AAACTGAAGAATAAACTTGACATTTCAAAGAGGCAGTATGTAATAAAGTTGTCACCACCATGAATACCTCATGAAAAACGGTGAAATATTCGAATTATTTTCACATACGTGTACCAATATTTGGCTGTTTTGCCATGTTCACTGGCCAGTGTCTTTTGTGTATAATCAATTATTTCATTCAGTTCTTTGGAAACATTGTAGCTTCTGAAGAATTTGGATGCGTTTACATCGATTATAGTGGGTACCTGTTAAAAACCAAGTAAGAGAACCATCAGCTATTATCCCAGCATCCCTCAATTACGAACGGTCCTTCAGATTCTGCAATATGGTTACCAACAGCTTTGAAATAATTATTATGCCCTTGATATGTGGAAAGGTCCTGGCATTATGAATAGGTTGTCAAATAGAGGACTTTCTGCAGCCTGAATTGTATATGCCATCTTTGCAATAGCCAAGTCATATGTCACTATCACTCTTCACTAATCTGCTGGGATCTCTTCATTGTTTCCAAACCAAATTGAACGAGGTTGGCGATTGATTGATTTTAGGAAGATAACATATTTGTTGTTGAGGAAGGTTATCTTTTACCACAAGTAGTTTCTAATACATGTGATATCATCCAAATAACATCCAAAAGCTTGCCATCTGCACAGCTACTAGGAATAACAGATCTTCTGGGATAAATCCACTGTTAGTCATTCTAAGCTTCTTCCTATATGGTTCCAGATTTAAAAGGATTGGAGTAAATGACCATCTTTTCCGACAAACAGGAAGCTGGTTATCATTGTCAGTTGTTTCATTACTGGTACTTGTATCTGATACAGTTTGTAGTAATTGTCCCAGGCCGTGTATTCCATGTGGAACCGTACTCTGTTCTTCCTGTAAACTGTATGTTAATTCGTCTCTAGTTCATCAATGCCGTTGTAATTAACGATTTAAATATCAATTACATTTCTTAGGCTTCCTGTTATACTCTTCATCGCCATTACAAGAGTCAAATGTTTGGAAGTTTTAATTTTGCCACACGAATAGTGTATATGGCATCTTGAGAAATTGAGGAAATTTTTCTTACATTTTTTTCTGTTTTCCTACCTCTCTGGCCAGGCCCGCCTAATAAATGAGTAAAAAGTCGATTAATAAATCTGGTACAGAAACCTCTCCTTGAATTATATCCTGCACTGATAATTTTGATGATAAAGTGGACTTTGATATTTTAGGATTTCCTTACGTAATATGTATGCCATGTCACGAATCTTTGCTTTTATCGATGATTTTCTAAGAAAACACTCTTTAATGGCCTCTTCAACATTCATTCTATTGTTATAAATGATATTTCCTTTAGTATTTGATGATAATAATGTCAATTTCTGTGGTCCAAAGTAATCCACTATCTTCCTTTCAAAATTGAAAATAGTAAAATCACCAAATATATTATTATCTTGGCTGCCATCCTCTGAAAAACTGGTATATACTTCTAACAGATTGGCAATGTACTGACTATACAGCTCTTTTGTTATGTTTACGTTTTCTTGTTCAATAATAGATTCTTGTATAAAAGATATTGTCATGAAATAATTTAATATTATAATCGCTATTCTTTGGCACCTGGAAATGGACACAAATGGGTCACAACACATAAAATAATGTAATATGAATGTATATAAACTGGTTTACATTCAATCGTTTCGGTTATTATTGTAATTACTAATCAGTAATGTTCGGCAAAATACGCAACGAGTCCGAATTGAATGGTAGTCTTTGGCATCTGGTTATTCCAGTCTACACTGGTAGTATTCTCCTACATGGGATATGTTTAGCCTCGTCCATCAAGTCGCTTCATACAAATTGCGCTCAAAAATGTTCTGACACACGATTCGTGTGCCAATTTTAACATTTTCATTTTGTCTTAAATGCCAGAAGCTCAACTTTTCATGGTAAGATAACAACATCAATGTATGTTGATTTAAATTGACCATTTAAGTCGTGTTTGCAACCTTGAAAACGGATGATATTGACTTCAAGACTTTGCCCCTTTAATGGAGAATCGTATCACTTGGTTGAAAATTGGGGATAATATTGAGTTCAAGACTTGGCCCCTTTAATGGAGAATTGTATCACTTGGTTGAAAATTTGGGATGATATTGAGTTCAAGACTTGACTCCTTTAATGGAGAATCATGTCACTTGGAGGCCAGCCATGCTGTATTGAATTTCTACTATGTTGTTGAAAACTGTAAATTAATAGTGGGGTGTCAAATTAGTTAGATTATAGATTTAAATTTGAATTGAAATCAAGCATGAGTATTCAACCTTTGGGTGGTTGGTGACAATTAAGTGGTCAGATTAGGAGTTTGCCCCACAGAAACCCATCAGATTTTATATTTTTAGAACCGACTAATACATAGTTAACATTTGGCACTAGTTTCAGTCATATTACTTATGAGGCAAATTTTGACCCCATTTGTGGGCGTGGCAGATTCGGCACATTTAAGTGGTCAGATTAGGGGTTTGCCCCAATGAAACCAGTCAGATTTGATATTTTTAGAATAGTCTCATAATTAGCTAACATTTGGCACCAATTTCAGTCTTATTACTTATGAGGCATTTTTGGGCCCCCGTCCACATTTTTTAGAGCAGTCAGAAAGGGGCGTGGCCCCATTTTTTCCGATCAGATTTTACATTTTAAGATTCAGATATAGCACCACAACATTTCAAAACTATTTCTGATCGTATTACTTATGATGCAAATTTTGACCTTTTTTGTGGGCGTGGCAGATCGGGCAGATTTTAAGTGGTCAGATTAGGGATATGCCCCACTGAAACCAGTCAGATTTGATATTTTTAAAATCGGCTCGTACATAGCTAACATTTGGCACCAATTTCAACTATATTACTTATGAGGCAAATTTTGGCCCCCGTCAGCACTTTTTAAGGCAGTCAGAAAAGGGCATGGCCCCACTTTTTCTGGTCAGATTTATATTTTTTATATTCATACATTGTATGGCAACATTTTAGAAATAATTCTGATCCTATTACTTATGAGGCCAATTTTAATTCTTTTTTGGCCCTTTTTATCTGCCCCTCCCAGCCAAATGCCCCACTGAAACCTCGTAAGACTGGGTGTTTTGAATTTGCCCTATCAATAGCTGCCAATTAATATAGTCAAACCTTCTATTACTTATGAGGCAGTTTTTTCGTCACTGGCTCTTGGACTATAAGTGTAGCGTAGGCTACATTTCATATCCGACTTTCTGCATTTGCATCGATGAGCGAGTAGGCCACTACAGCTTGTCTTGTAGCTATCGGGGAAGGGAGTTAATGACATTAGAATAGGTTTCAATGGTGAAGTTAAAGGACAATATTGGTGTCAGTTCACACAGGTGTTTGAATTGGTTAAACACTGGTTATTATTTTACACAGAGATCATTGCTAGAAAAGGAAGTAAAGGAAAAACACGAGTTAGCTTTCGGTATACCTGACTATTGTGACGAGTGATAACAGTTACATCTCACTTCTAGCTCGTTGCCAGTGGCAACCTTTGATAAAACTTTCCTGTTTATTTCCAATACAGGCATAAAAGTATCCATGTATCAGAAAGAGTACTGTTCATTTCCGACAAACGAACACTTTTATACAAACATTGAAAATACGCAGGATGAAAACAAACGCATAGAAATTTTATTACAAATAAATTTCAACGGACGACTATTACACGGCTTTGGTCACAGGGGCATAATGACATCATTTTTGGATTTATTAGGGTCGACTTGACGACTTCCTACATTTATAGGCCCAAAGGTTGATAGTTATCGAGATATCTTACCATCCGTAGCATTTGCCAGCCATTTTGTATTTATGCTAATTAGACGGTCAAAAACTCGAACATGGATATTCGTATTCAGCACATGAAAATCATTAAGTAAAGTCATGTTCTCCAGTTTTACTAAGAAATGCTCCTTGATTTTTATAAAAGAAAAGAAAGAAATGGTGTCTAGTCTCTCTGTTTCACAGCGGTTATGCGAAAGCCTTCTTTTAACTGTGTACAAGATCACAGGTCATGTACAGTAGGCCTATAGGTCCATTTGTGGCGTCACATCATACGGCGTCGATAACACGTGGGTTTTATTTTTTCATTTGACGTAGAAACACAAACTTATCCGGGCAGAATTGGTGCCCTTTGCCCATTTTACGCCTTCGTGTACTATTTTATGTACCCATTTACAGTAAATAGAAAATATTTTTGTTTCCAGATAGGCTTTCAACACTTTTTTTATAATGATTTAAAAAATGTTTTTATAATTTAATTTACTGCCAGGGATTGTCATTTGCATTTTTATAATGATTTAAAAAATGTTTTTATAATTTAATTTGCTGCCAGGGATTGTCATTTGTATTTTTGGCTAAAATATCAAATTTCTCACGGCTTAATCCACACCGTATTCAGATTGAATATTGAACATTTAGTTTAAAAAAAAAAATCAAAATACCAACGCTAGATAATGTTCTGGCTTGGATTTAATCGGATTTAAAATAGGCCCATCAATAAACCTTCGCGACTAACAAGATGGCGACAGGTTTACTGCGTAGCGAGCGGCATAAATCGATGAAAGTTCAAATCAACTGAACGGAACTGAACTATTTTGAACTAACATTCATTTTAGAGATTCATCTTTCACAATATTGTAGTTTGGAGTGATTTCTATAGCGCTAAAAATGGCGCATCGAGATTCTAAATTTTTCATAGACGTGTCGCAAAAGGGTTAAATGAAAGTGGAAATGATTTATAAACGAAACTAGGACGAGGAAAAGTTGGACTAATCTTATGTAAGAAGGGAGCTATATTATAGACACTTTACTAGCATACATATTACAGGGTTAAGGGTTGCAATTGTGGTGAATTTCATTTCATATAAAACCGGATCTTTTAACTTTGAAAGCGTCTGAAACGGAAATAGATACATCAGCTATCAGATATATTCTTTAAGTATATAATGATGTTCTGTTAGCTCGTAGTTGCCTTTGTGAATATTTATATTCTGTGAGCAGCATCGTTTAAAGCTTTTACAATAAAAGATTGTTAAAACTGAAACTGGCGGTACGCAACAAAAGATGTTATTGGTGGCAATATTTATTCAGTGGACTTTAGTGGAAGTTGGTAAGTAAAAACAAAATATTGATAAATATTACACTTCCACAGGTACATTTGATAAATCCAAGTTTAATACAATTGTCTGCGGTAGACAGGAACGTACATGGGGTTTATTTTAAAAATGTGGGTTCTGCTGGAAAAATAAATGAAGTTTGACGTCGGGTCTAATGAAGACGGGCATACGTCATACAGTGTGCTATCAGGGAAATTTTGCCCGAGAAGCGGAACTACGGCATACTCTTGAAGAAATAAGCTACTGAACATATCTATATAGCCCACTCTGTTCACGCGAGTTTCGTATAGAAAGACTGTACGTGAATATGTCCTACTTTTCTGCACCAACCGAGATGATGAAGACGTATATACACCTTGAAATGTGCTATATGAGGGACATTTTGTCCCGACAGCGGCGCTACGTTCTTTTACGTGCACGCTAATTTGTACACCGAGCATCGGTTTTCGTCCCTTTCGAAAGACTAGACACACTGTTCCATGTCAGACAGTCGATCCTACGCCACAGACAAGGGGGAAACCACGTCTGAAAATTCCGAGAAACGTTTTCAGTCAACACTGGGAGAGAACCCGGAACTTCCTGGTTAGCAAACCAGTCACCTCGTATCACACTTTGGATGGAGAAAGACCGGAGTGTCGGCTAATATAATTATTCAAAGTCTAATTCGAATGTCTTAGGAAATATTTGTTTGTATATTATGCAGGAGTTAACCTGGTCAATGTTCAAATACTGTAGCTTATTTTGATACCCAATTCTGTAGACAGTGCCGCGCGTTAGCTTTCATTATAATCCCAATGCAGATAGAGAGAGAGAGAGAGAGAGAGAGAGAGTGTGTGTGTAGGGGGGGGGCTAACGTATGGTTCAATTTTATTTCAGTCAATCGCTTGCGCATATGGGTCTTTAGCAGTGGGAGAAACCGGAGACCTCGTAGAAAACCCGCGAGATTTGACAGGCGACCCTTCTCCTTGTCGCGTACAAGCGGTGAATCGAAACCACGCCACTTGACTCAGTGGTCTGTGACAGAGCTTATGATGCAACGGGCATCGCCCCGCCCCCCCCCCCCCCCGGTTTTTATTAATAAGCAAAAATAAATCCCCAGAACGCGTGTATCGAAAGAGAGATGGGGTTGAAAGTCCACTCGAAACAAATTAGGTCATTTCTGGATTATAACATATGGTTCAATTTTATTTCAATCAATTCGGTTGCGCGAGGTTGGGCAGGCGACCCTACTCCTTGTAATTTGCATGCGGGGAATCGAATCCACGGCACTTGACTCAATAACAAACCTTATGAAACAAATCGCTCGCGGTACCCATTTGACCACCCAGTCCCCTCGCGTGTATAGATTGGGTCTGCCGTACAATATTTGTAGTTTCTTATAGTAGTTTAGAGCCTTAAATGGCGTAAAACGATGGCCCTTGGATTAGAAAAAATCCGGCTAGTGCTGATAAGTGGGACGTTAAACCCCATTTTATGTTGGTCCTTTAATGGCGGCCAACGGTGGATTTTACAATCTAAAAGTAATTAATCAATGGCTAAAATGTTTATTATCTCGTTTGTAATGAAATGAAATAAAATGGGGTTTAACGTCCAACTTTTCTGCACCGGCTGAGCAAATGAAGAGTATATCTCGATCTCTTTGATTTTGGGCAAGAAAAGTTCTATGTCTGTGGTTCAAAAGATGGAAAAAATATTCTAATGACGATCACCATTAAAAATAAACTGTTTCAATGGCTTATTGAACTGGAATATAAAGGTCACAATTCTATGGAATACAATTACTGCTTATACTGAGCTACATTTCGACTAGGCTTCTCTAGTCATCATCAAGGAATGATGGAATATGAAATATAAAAAGACAATAATAATAGTAAACAACAATACTTGGTTTATGCTGACCAACCAGATATACTCTTTTAATTACCTTGAAGGGAAACTAACTTAATTAAGTTAATGTAATTATGAAAGCGTAATGCTAATAACAAAAGCCATTTTACCTGAAATTAACACAAATTGATTAATGGATAACTTGTTGTGAAGTATTGACAATGATTTGGTCAGGTTTTAATAACCACAACACTATGAAAGAAGATGAAATTTGATTACATCATTTAGATTATTAATCATAAATATTGATAAGACTATTATTTAACATTAATTATTGATTAAAAAGAAAGTATTATGTTTAGCCTAGTTGCAAATAATTATGTAATACGACTGTCATATTATGCCATGGGGAGGAATAACCCTTGATTTTTGTTCGTCGTAGATTTGTATCTTCGTATCTGAACGGCTTCATATAGTCGGTTTATCCTCTTGCTCAACTGTTGCTGATATTTCTGACCATTGTTTGGTTGTTGCTTTCGACTTATGGTCATCTATCCTTTTATTTAATGGGCGTTTAGTCTCCCCGGTGAAAGAATTTGCACAATTGCAGTCTATTTGATAAACACATCCCTTTGGTTACAGTGTTTGTATTGGATTTAGTTTACCATTTGCTCTTAATATAGGTTTGGTGCTGTTACATTTTCTGAAGATTACATCTATTTCTGGTTGTTGTATTCACAGGCACTTGAAGGGATTAAAATAAAATTTCTTACTACTGCTTGACGGGGTCTTATTGATGGTGTTTTTGACAAAACTCTCTGGATAGCCGTTGAAGTTTGTAAAGACATGTTAGAGATGATCAATTGCCTTAGGCAGGCTCTCGGGGTCATATCGATTTTGCACGTTAAGCCAGAATTCAAATTGTGGCTGATTTAACACTATTGGGGTGATTGGATTTGATAATATATTCATTTACGGATTCAACTGTTGGTTTTGGATACAGACATCGAGGAAGGGTAGTTGAATTTAATCCACTTTTCGGAAAAAGCAGTTGCGGTTATAGTGGACGTTTGAGGCGCCGTCTCTTCCAAATTAGATGAAAATATGTCTGAAATCAAGGGTGAGAGTGGGCTTCACATTAGTAATCCATTAGTCTGTTCGAAAAAGTCATCACCCCCAGGAGGAATAGGTTGAATTGATGCATTGTTTCAACAGAAGTATAATGTTGTCAGTTGATAGGGAGGTCTCCAGTGGGTTATCTAAGCTTTCAATGCACTTGCGTAGAATCACCAGAGCCGCTTCCCTATTATATAGGTACACTGGTAAACAAATCTTTAACATTATATGAGACCATCTTCCCGGGGTTTTGAATATCCTACAGTTTCTCAAAAAATTCACCTGAATCTTTAACGAAGGACGATACTGTTGTGTAAAGTGCGGAAAGTAGGTTTTATAAATATTGGGCGCGTTGTAGAAGACTGGTTCTCGGGAACACAGACGGGCTTTTGTGGATTTTTATAGTAGCCTTGGCATAAGGTGGTCGAGGATGGTTTGGTCGGAGCTTGTAATAGAGAGCTTCAGAGTTCTGTTTTCTTTTTACAGTTTTTTAACAAGTTTTCATGACTGTCCCTGTGCGTGTTTGTGGGATCTTTGCGGATTCTTCTATATGTTGCCGGATCTTGGAGTAAATCGTTGATAGTGGTGAGTGTGAGGTATTCATCAGTGTTCATGATCACTGTTGCTTTTCCCCTGTCAACGGAAACAATTGTGATGGCTCTATCATTTTTAAGATCATTGGCGGCTTTCCCTTCTTGGCGGGCAAAATTGCTCGCCTGGTTGTTAGTACAGTAGAATCTATGTGAAGCAGCCACTCAAGGGAATTTTCATGACTGACCGCTTAACGGGAGTGACCTCTTAATAAAACCTCAGTGTTTGTTACTGCTGACATCAAGTAAATTTTACGCTAGGAGGCATTGGGAGCAAACATCAATTCGTTTGTACTTGCATCGGTAAATTTCGTCGTCGTTGAAACTTGCTTGGGAAGAAAACTTCGGATAGTTACTTCCTGGATTACTGGATTATGGCATCTGATTGTACAAAAAATCACTATTTTTTAGCTCGTTCTCTGTCGATCTCTTGCAAATTGTGGGCGTATTTTGCATGGCAACCGCTGGTTATCCGATTTTAAAAACTCGTTTAAATATATCACCATTACAACCTCATGATGGTTGAGTTCGAATTTCATGAAAATCGAAACGTAACTGTCCGACGAAATGGCCGCTCCTTGTGCGCAAATAATGTAAAAGTATGTAATACCAATATTGTGGACACACTAGAGGTCACAATTTTTATCCGTTGATGATGAAACTTAAAATATATGTTTATATCCCAAGGATCTCGATGTTCGTGCATACCAGACTGTAACTTCCTGGATTACGGGTCCTGGAGAAAGTCAACTTCTAGTTTCCAAAACAGATTTTTGTATTTGTTTTTCCAATTGCGGGAATTGGTCAAGTTGTAGTCTCACTCGGCACTATATGCATTATGTGCGGCCCGACAATCCTATATTATCATTATAAGGCGCCCCACCAATCATGTCATTATGGGCGCCCCTCCGGGATAAGGCACCCCACAGATCACGCCGTTTTGGGCGCCCCATCATTAACGTGGCGTTAATCGTGTGAATTATTATGAGGCGCCTTGCCATTTGCTGTGTGTGGTGGGGGGAGTGGGGGGGGGGGCTTGTATATAACGACATGATTGGCGAGGCGCCAATAAAACCTGACACATTATTGTAATATTACGTGGTCTTTAGCAGGAAGGTGGGCCCCCTACTATATGTCGTACATTATATTTTTATTTGCAGCATCGTTTCAACTTCGACTAGAAGGAGGGGGAGGACCGGAAGAAGGGCGCGTGGAAGTATTGTATAATAATAGCTGGGGAACAGTCTGTGATGATGGTTGGAATGAAAAAAGTGCCTCAGTTGTATGTCGACAACTTGGATACGCCGGGTAAATATTATTTATATCCATCTTAACGCTATCTACGGAGCCGTGGATGGGCAAATACAAATTATGGGCCTGATATTCCGTGTCTTTCAAATCACATAATTAACACTTATTTTCTCACATAATTAAATTTCGTTGAAACGACTAAACAACAATTAAACGAACCTCGATTGTTACACTAATCTTCCAGGTATTCGTCCATGTGAACCAATAATGTTGTCGTCCGTTCACAGTTCAGGTCACAATTGTTATCCGATTTTGGTGAAAGTTAAAATATATGTTTTATGAATTCGATTTTGGCACGCAAATTCATGGATTATGGCCCTTTTGATGAAACTTAGAATAATTGTTTATGTCCCGAGGATTTCGCATGAGTTGGATTGGAACAATAATTGGAGGATGAACCTTATTCATTTCCCCGTTCTTTATCTAGCTCTATTTTTAATGTGGGTGTATCTGTGATTTAATCAGATTAGAATTAATCACATCTTACGCTATGGAACACCACAAATAATAGTACGCATGATATAATGTATACCATTTTAATATTTTCCGTTATGAAATAGATCTAACGCCGTTGGGATCGGTGAAGCACGTTTTGGAGAAGGTAATGGCACTATTTGGTTAGATGATGTTAAATGTAATGGGTGGGAATCTGATTTAGCCGATTGTACTCATGTTAGTTTGGGTACTAAAGATTGTACACATGGTGAAGATGCATCCGTGAGGTGTAAAAGTACGTATATTAAATATATATTATTAGTTTCATGTTTATTCATGTTGTTTAATCATAGGGGAAGCAGGATGGGGGGAAAGACAGCGACAAACGGCGGATGGTGGTGGGTGGCTGTTTCGCCGAATAGAGCTAAGCGCGAATTTTGATCAAATTCTTATTCTTTGTCTTTGTATACAACATAAAAATTCTTGTTGTAATAGAGCTTCTTAAAGATACATTATGCAAGAGCTAAATCTGCATATTACCGGTCTTTCTTTAGGCCTGAAGTGTTTTCTAAATTATTAATTAGACATTAATTAACTTATCAACACTCGATGGCATCGGATTTCTCCGATATTTAATAGATTAGAACAGTTCAGCCATATTTTGATTTAAGCTAAAAATGGAGGAGCGAGACTTAGTTTCGAACAACCAGTACGGTGGTTTAAATTATTGCACGCGTCTTGTCAAACCTTCAAAGGCTAATATCTTCGCTTGCAATAGAGTAATTTGAATGAAATTTTCAAATTATTCATTTTACATTATCTATTTTCGAACTATTATAGCAAGAGTGGCTAGCTCTTTATCTAAATCTTACATTATGTATCTAACCAAAGCCAAAGTACCACTGACCAACGATTAGCAAGTATATTTGTTAACATGTTATTTTTACGGTGGATGGGAAAGGACGTCCGCTGATTTTATTTTTTCCCTGAGTATCTCGATCGCTTGACTAAGTATCTCGATCGATTGACTTAGTATATCGATCGATCCAGGAAGTGATGCATCTTGCCAATTTCTCAAAAACATGAATAACTAAATTTTATCGTCTAGAACTGAAATTTGTGCAAATGTTCAGTTTAACAGTTAAAATAGAAAAGGATTCTATGCGCACTTGTTATACGTCTACTTTTGTCGTGAACTTTACAGAAAATTGGAGTAATAAGTGCTTTTTGCCTTTTCGTAAAATCAATAATATGTGCATCACAATTTTTCAGTAATTGAAAGACCGGGTATTTGTAAATATCACAAAGACAATTTGATAAGCGCCTGTTGTCAAGAAGTTCTTACAAAGAGTGTGATACAATATGAAATTATAGATGTACCCAATGTTGTGGGTCTAATAAAATGGACAGAATTTGTAGCATTTTTTGTATGGTGATTTTTCTTTCCTCAGAAAAGGATCGCATAAGATTTCTTGGATTAGGGTAGGGGCAGTTGGACTTGATAAATATGTAATATCCCAAATACATATACCGCAATATTTTTAGCTATGTGAAATGCTCAGATGAGAAATGCTGTTCTGAAAAGCAATAACTTGCCGAGTCACTAGCCCAGTGGTTTAACTACACAAGTTTGTTAGAATCTTTTATACAAATAGACAGGATGAGTTACGTACATGTACTATGTTATTTTATTTCCAGAAGTAAGATTAATTGGGGGATCGACGTCCAAGGAAGGAAGAATAGAGATGCTATACAATGGTACATGGTCAAGACTTTGTAGTGATGGATGGACACTTAGAGGGGCACGTTCCATTTGTACAGATCTAGAATTTAATAGGTGCATATAGTACATTCTCCGATCAGTTGCATATGCTTTATTATTGATGGTGAAAGTTGGGAGTGTGAGAATGATGGGGATGGGGTCTACAAAACTAGAACATAACTTAAACATGCATTATGCAAGAGCTAAATCTGCCTATTGCAGGTCTTTCTTTAGGCCTGAGATGTTTTCTAAAGTATTAATTAGACATTAATTAACTGATCGAGGCCTTAATCAACTCTCGATGGCATCAGATTTCTCCGATATTAAATAAATTAGAATGGTTCAGCGATACTTTGATCTAATAAAATATGGAGGACCGAGACTTAGCTTCGATCAACCAGTACGGTGGTTGAAATTATTGCACACGTCTGTCAAACCTTCAAAGGCTAATACCTTCGCTTGCAATAGAGTAATTTGAATGAAATTTTCAAATTATTCATTTTACATCATCTACTTTCGAACTATTATAGCAAGAATGGCTAGTTCTTTATCTAAATCTTACATAATGTATCTTTAAATTTAAATGTGTATTAAAACATATTTGTGGGGCGTAGGCTCAGCATTCAGTGTTTTTTGGTAGACGATTAACTACTGAAAATGTTGGTTTAAATATTGCCCCGGTCAAATCTAAGATAACAGCCAAATCTCGTAAAATTAAAACAAGCTGAGATATCTAATCCAGTCCACTAATCAGCCCAAAAAGGCCATTAAAAGACATTTCAGATTATATATAAAATTTATGTTTTCAGCAATGGAGGAGATCCCGAATTTAATGTTAATTTTGGTAATGGTTCAGGTCCCATGTTGGTGGGGATATATAAACAGATCTGTGGAGGATCATCTTCAGGGAACTGCAACCCTATTTTTATTAAAACTGGACAATGTAATGGAATGCATGATGCTTCTGTAGTTTGCAAATGTAAGTTAGTAGCACAGGGGTAATGTAGCACAAAGATATAAATAACAAATATTCGCAATATTAGTAGAAATCCGGTATTCCCACACTTTAAAAATATTTTGAACGCAAACAATGATATTTTGACACTAACCTGCCAATCAAAGATATTTTTGGACTAAGCTTATTTGAGGTCAACCAATAGTAATATTTTCAGACCAGCCAAAGCCTTTGACAACTGAGATAACATAATATTATCAGTGATATTTGTCATCAACGAAGCTTATTTTTAGACCAGAGCTAAATATGTCTATTGCAGGTCCTTTCTGGCTTCAAAAATTATATCCAAAAATTCATAACTTTGCTCATAAAAAAGTAATTTGACTGAAAATTATCAATATATTCTTAAACTATTATAGCAAGAGTGGAACAACCAGCTCTTTTATTTAAATCGTGCATAATGAATCTTTAAACAGCGATATTTTGTTGTTAAACATACACTATGCAAAAAGCAAATCTGCCTATTGCAGGTCTTTCTTTAGGCCTAAAATGTTATATAAACTATTTATTAGATATTTATTAACATCGATGCCATGGGATTTGAATCCGACCTGCTGTTCAACGCCCGTTGATGATTAAATGCAAAAATGGATAATCGAGACTTTGTTAATTATCGACAGCGGTAACAATGACACTCGAGACTAATAAAGGTTTTCTTGGTTTAGCTGAAATTTTCAGCATATTCCCTTTACATCATTTAGTTTTTAACTATTATAGTGAGAACTGCCAGCTCATTATGCAATCTTCCATAATGTATCTTCAAGTAATAATATTACGTCTGTAATGATAGCTTTGAAGATTTTTTTGTGGTTAAGAAATGATACATTTTAGATAAAACGGTGATATTTTTTTCAGCTGTTTCAGTACGGTTATGGCACGGTTCAGGGCCCCATGAAGGGTTGGTAGAAGTGTTTTATAATAATGAATGGGGAGCCGTCTGCAATGATAGCTTTGAAGATACAGAAGCATCTGTTGTATGTAAACAACTTGGATATATTTCGTAAGTATAACATTCAGATGGAACTAATAGTAGGCGCAATTAAAACGTCAATGTCTAGGCGTAATTGCCATCATAGCTGATTTCATTTTGTAAGTGTAACATCTGCTCGACTCAAAAGCGTGCAGTCTGTGAGCAACGGAAATGCCAATGACCTGAAGCATTCCGAAAATCAGTAGCCTACACACTTCAAATTATGTAGGGTTGGGTGGCCGAGTGGTCTAGCGCATACACTTTAGATATTAAGGTCTGCCAATGAGTCAAATGTTGTGGTTTCTATCCCAGACATGCATATGTTGTTTTTTTCTGATCACCCAGTTTCCTTCCACTGCTAAAGACACCTTGATGCAAAACAATTATTGGAATAATGATATACCAGTAATCTTTTACTTGGAATGTTATTTTGCTTTTCAAGGAATGTGGCCTTTACAAATGTTTAGAACGAGGTTAGCGAAACAAATTCTAATCTTAGCCCACTCTCGTTCGTATGGGCCATCGTACGAGTTTAAATCGATAGTAGGAGGTAGTACGCCACGTAGGGTGTGTAGATCACTTTCAAACATCGCTCCTGGAGTTTAAACCGATCGTAGTAGGTAGTGTGCTGTATTCAAAGTAAACAAAAAAGTTATCTCCCTTGGACGAAAGTTTGATTCAAGGCGTTTTATCGACTTGATTAATCAATTTGAATTAAATGAAATGAAATGAAATGGGGTTTAACTTCCTACTGTTCTGCTCCTAAACTGGACCAATGATGTCGGGCATACGCCATACAGTGTGCTATGAGTGAAATTTTGCCCGGGCAGCGGCGCTACGGCCTGCTCTTATATCGAATTCCATCTGCCAAGGGATCTTTTACGTGCACGCCAATATGTACATGGGACCTCGGTTTTTCGTCCCATCCGAACGGCTAGACAGCTGCCCATGTCAGGCCCTCCATCCTGCATCACTGACAAGGGGAAACCACGCCGGAAAATCTGGATGAACTTTCTCGGCCAATGCAGGGATCGAACACCCGACCTCCAGGCTAGCGAGCCAGCGTCTTACCCACTTAGCCACGTGATCCCCCCAATTTGAATTAATGACAGTATCATAACATTAGTCATAAGAACATATTATTTAAACAACATTTACAATGCCTAGATTTATTTATACTTAAACATTTTAGTTTAGATCTTGAACAGGCTCTCTATAGGAAGGTAAGAGCTCGGTCTACAGGCTCCGCCGGCAGGCGAAACAACCTACAACTAGACAGAGAGAGAGGGGGGGGGGGTAACGTCCACTCGACACAGACTAGGTCATTACGGGACTAACACATGGTTCAATTTTATTTCAATAATTCGCTTGCGCGTAGGGGTCTTTTGCAATGAGAGGAAACCGGAGGACCCGGAGAAAACCCACGAGGTTGGACAGTCGACCCTACTCCCTGTCACGTACAATCGGGGAATCGAAACCCCGCCAGTTGACTCAATGACAGACTTTATGATACAGCGCGCACGTGCTAACCGTTCGGCCATCAAACACCCCTACAACTAGACAAGGCTACATGTTCAGGACAACGCGCGAAAATGAATTTTAAATATAGACCTTAATATTTGACGTACGATAGTGGTAAAGAAGTAAGCAAAGTAGTCTTTTGGACATCATATTACAAGAGAAACACTCCTGATGTAATTAATTCAATATTTTCCGCAAAACTCGACTGTAAACAATAAATCTGGATTGATGGACGCCATGTTGAAAAAACCGTGATCTCCCGATTAAATCGTTAAATCACACCTTGAGGTGATTTAGCGATTTGGTGTAATCGCCACAGAGTAAAAATACAAATCGGTGTCGATAAATTCGCTGATTAGAATAATCAATTTGAATTATATAGTCGTTAAAGATGAAAATTTGATTGAATGCAAATCCCTGTGGCCAACCCGTGGTCGTTAAAACTCCTAAGATGTATTGACAATGTTGACAATGGTTAAAATGATCCAGAGAGTTCAAGTTGATTGCCATGTGAATAATATGTCTACTTCATTATTTATATAACATTTGAGGCCAAATGAAAGACCCGCAATAGGCAGATTTGCCTCTTACATAATGCATCTTCAATAAACAAGTAATCGGAAACCGAAGAACAAAACATGGAAGAAATTTAATATGCTACGCATACAATCGATATCGAGTCCATGTACTACCTACTACTAGCGATTTTAGATAAACATCTTTATGTTTCTTAAATAAATAAATAAATAAATAATTATTTTGTTATTCTTTGATGTGTTTAATGAGATCATAATAAGAGTGTGTACATTTAAAGGAGCTAAATCCCTAATATTTGGAACCTAGAAATTGACTGAAATGGGTCGCAACGCATATAATAATGTATTATGAATGTATATAAACTGATTTACATTCAATCGTTTCTGTTTTTACTGTAATTTCTAATCAATTATGTTCGGCGAAATATGCCAGAAATTTCAATCGAATGGCAATCTCTAGAGTCTGGTTATTCCAGTCGACACCGATAGTATTTATTGCGCATGCTCTCCAGATAAGAATATGACGTCACCGTTTGACATGACTTGTGGAATATGTCTAGTCTCGTTCTTCGAGTCCCTTATTACATGTTTATTTTGTCTTAAATATTGTATATCAGAAGCCCATATTTTCCCGATAAGATCACAACGACCTGGCTTATTGTGCCTTTAAATGTCTCTGCTGCTGGTCCAAGTTGTCGGGTACGCTGGGTGGTAACTTATAGGCCTAACAGCCGAATAGCCCATACATGTGCCCCCTTTTCTTATTTCAATATAGTTACATGCATATTATACTTAGAATGGAAAAGTATGGAATAATAGTACATCGTTTCTGTGTTATATAGTGGTTACGCGACTAACAAGTTTACCAAGGATTTTGTACATGGCAGAGACAGAATATGGATGACAAACGTTAGCTGTGGAGGATCAGAATCTACATTAACAGAATGCTCTCACATCATATGGAATGCCACAAAAGAGTGCAACCCTTTAAAACTGTCAGCAGTGATTTGTCAACGTAAGTATTCGAAATCCCAACCAGATGTATTTTGGCTTTTTCAGAAAAACACATTCTTCTAAAGCAGTCTTACAAAACGCCTGTTAGCAGAACGGGTTCTATAAATATTTCTAGGAAATGGAGGAACCTGAAGATTTTTATTGAGCCAGGACGTAAACTACCTTCTGGATTTTTAGCGATCGTTTTAACAAGGAGTGAAAGGGAAATATGGCAAAATGGTAATGTACGTAATAGATGAATTTTAAAGACGTTTTGGCGGAAATGCTGTTGCCTGGGCTACCCCCCCCCCCCCTTCTATGATTGCACAAATAAGGAAAGAAATCAAATTGTCACATGTTAGTCTCAAAATGGCCTTTTACAAGTGGCCTTTAACCATTAATTGTCATTTGAACAGTTATTGTATTAGACAATATCTCCATCAAACAAAAATCACAATTTTGTTTCCTCACATTAATTGCAAATACGACGATTTTTATGACGATTCAATGTCATATTGTAGTCATTTACACACAATTGTTTTTGTTTCTCTATAAATAAGGACCTACCGACTGTCCGGCTGATAAGGATTCGAAAGGAACGAAATGGTCAGAAATACCACCAAAAACAACTGTTGAGCAGCCTTGTCCATTTGGATATACAGGTACATGTATACATTTTGATTAAACAATTGTCCAAGATACCACAGTCTTACTGTGCAGGGATACATTAATCTTAATGAAGCTTTAATATACGTACGGCGATAGTGTCATTTAAGTATGGTTTAATGGTCGAGAACGAGACATTATGTAATATATTGATACTGCACGAGGCGTTAGCCGAGTCTTGTTTCAATATATTTCGCAATGTCTTTAGCACGAGACCAATAAACAACTTAAAATACAGACACTATCCCGCACGTGCTTTTTCAATGAAATACGTCACGCGAGTCCGATATTTCATCTAGTATAGATAATGTACGATTGTCAAGTTGCCCGTACATTACGGGATATAATGGTACGCCAACATCAAAGGATGACGTCACATCTGTAGTTTAAAGCAAACTAAGGATGAGTCCAGCTTACAATACATGGTTTAGGGACAATGGTGCTGATGTTTGGTGATGCTTGGGACAACTCCTTGGTTGCATGCCGAGAAGACTCAATTAGTATAGGGCCCGGTAACAACCCATATTGTATTACTAACTCCTATTGTAATAAATGTAATAATTGTAATAACAATAACCCCTAGTCTAATACATGTAATTAATGTATTTTGTCATACAATAAAATCGAAGTCTAAAAGTCTGATTTTAAAAGTCTATCGATTGTGATCGTCATTTCCATATAAATATGAGTATGAGTATGCTTTTATACTGCACAGAATATTATGAAATAACACCACTGGAAACATGTTTAAATTGTTGTAATAAATGTTAATAATAAAGTTATTAATAAGGAATCCCAATTAAGTATATAGGGGTGGGGGTGTTGCTACATATTTCTACTTAGACCATAAGGTCTATCATTGAGTCAAGTGGTGTGGTTTTAATCTTTCGGTTTACCCCCACTGCTAATTTATGATTACCAATAATTACTATGTTATATGTTTGTAGGAAATGTATCTAGACATTGTAATAATAAAGGGCAGTGGTTGGTGGTGGATTATGGTTCATGTGTTCTAAATAAACTGAAAACAATCATTGATCAGGTGTGAAATTATAGCTAATTAAACCATTTGGAGGGTTAGGTGGCCGCATAAAGTCTGTAAATAAGTCAAGTGTGGGATTTGGAACCCAAGTTACTAGGTGACAAGGAGTAGGGTCTCCCGTCTAAACGTGTAGGTTTTTTCGGGTACCCTGGTTTGATCCCACACAGCTAGACTCCTGCTCGGAAGCGATACATTGAAATATAACTCTGTCATATATGTCTGTTATAAATGGCATAGCTTGTGCTGAGTGGACGTGAAACAGCGTTCCTTTCGGCCTCTCACGTACCTCATAGATTATAAATCTAATGACCAAAATTACATTTACTTTCACTTTCATATCCAAAATAATGAAATTGAGATTTCCGTGCCAATTTTTAGGAAGAAGTTTTAGTATAATGAATGAAAGTCTATAAACGCAATTGGTCATAAGGCAAAACCAATTTGATTTTCTGTTGTTCGTGATCTTGATAAATAAATACACACTTAAATCATGTGAAGGATGTTTTTTTTTTAAATTTCAAAACTTAAAAACATGGAACTGTACAATCAGGTACTTTTGTTTTTTTAATAAGATGTTTTCCCAAAGAAATAAGGATGACATTTTTTACAGGTGTTACCGAAGAACAGAAAATCAAATTGGTGTGGCCTAAATAGAGAAATTAAAAGCAGTATCTCAATGGGTACCCCTGTGCCTTTAGCCAAGGTAGTGGAGGCAATGAATTTCCTTTCTCACCTTTGCATTCTCAACCACGACTGGCTCCTCTGGCAAAGTTTCCCAGGAAATGGCCGGATTTGTAGATTTCGAAAAGAAACCAGATTGTGTTTTATAATTGATATTGTAGAGACTGTAGCAATTGGCCTAGTTATAGCTGTATTGTTTAGTTACATATTTTTTTAAAGATGCATTATGTAAGATTTAGATAAAGAGCTGGTCGTTCTTGCTATAATAGTCCAAAAAAAGATAATGAAAAATGAATATATTGAAAATTTCATTCAAATTACTTTTTTCTGAGCGAAGTAATGGTTGTTGGAAGATGTAGCGCATATCTTTTATTATCATAGCAATGTTACTTGTTAATCGAGCATCAGTCATGCTTCTCCATTTTTAAATTAAATCATTAAATGGCGATCGTATTTCAGTCTGTTTAAATCTTCGATATCTGATGGTACAGAGATTGATATAGGCTTGGCATGTGAATACATGTCTAAATAATAATTTATTTAACAACTGAAGCCAAAATAAAAGTCTGCAATAGGCATACTTAGCTCTTACATAATGCATCTTTAATGACAATTTAGATTTGTAAATTGATAGGTAATATACATTTATTTTTGATTTCGTGACTTCAGATTGAAGAGAATAAAGTGACGGAACCAGCGAAGTTGATACCTATTTTGACTGAAATAACCAAACAATCCAACGCAACGACAGATGACATTCTTCTTGTTACTCGTGTTGTAAAAAATCTTACAGCACTTATTGATAGAATATCACAAAATACAAAGGAGGCTAGAGATATAACTAAAGCATTTGTTAAGGTATCGTTTAGTACCTAAGATATCGTTTAGTGCAAATAGTTAAGATATTATTTAGTGCATCTATCTAAGATATCATTTAGTGCGTGTTTTTTTTGTGCATGTAGCTAATATATCGTTTAGTGCATGTTATAGCTAAAGTATCGTTTAGGTCATGCAGCTAAGGTACCGTTTAGTGCATGTAGCTAACGTATCATTTAGTGCATGTAGTTACGATATCTTTTAGTGCATGTAGTTAAGGTATCGTTTAGGGTATGAAGGTAAGGCATCGTTTAGTGCATGTAGTTAAGGTATCGTTTAGTGCATGTAGTTAAGGCACCGTTTAGTGCGTGTAGTTAAGGCATCGTTTAGTGCATGTAGTTAATGTATCGTTTAGTGCATGTGGCAAATATATCGTTTAGTGCATGTAGTTAAGGTATCGTTTAGTGCATGTAATTAAGGTATCGTTTAGTGCATGTAATTAAGGTATCGTTTAGTGCGTGTAGTTAAGGTATCGTTTAGTGCATGTAATTAAGGTATCGTTTAGTGCATGTAGTTAAGATATCGTTTAGTGCATGTAGTTAAGGTATCGTTTAGTGCATGTAGTTAAGGTATCGGTTAGTGCATGTAGTTAAGGTATCGTTTAGTGCATGTAGTTAAGGTATCGTTTAGCGCATGTGGCAAATATATCATTTCGTACATGTAGTTAAGGTATCGTTTAGTGCATGTAGTTAAGGTATCGTTTAGTGCATGTAATTAAGGCACCGTTTAGTGCATGTAGTTAAGGTATCGTTTAGTGCGTGTAGTTAAGGTATCGTTTAGTGCATGTAGTTACGGTATCGTTTAGTGCATGCAGCTAGGGTATCGTTTAGTGCATGTAATTAAGGCACCGTTTAGTGCATGTAGTTAAGGTATCGTTTAGTGCATGTAGTTAAGGTATCGTTTAGTGCATGTGGCAAAGATATCATTTCGTACATGTAGTTAAGGTACCGTTTAGTTCATGCAGCTAAGGTACCGTTTAGTGCATGTAGCCAAGGTATCGTTTAGTGCATGTAGTTAAGGTATCGTTTAGTGCATGTAGTTAAGGTATCGTATAGTGCATGTGGCAAAGATATCGTTTAGTGTATGTAGTTAAGGTATCGTTTAGTGTATGTAGTTAAGGTATCGTATAGTGCATGTAGTTAAGGTATTGTATAGTGTATGTTGGTAAGATATCGTTTAGTGTATGTAGTTAAGGTATTGTTTACTGTATGTAGTTACGGTATCGTTTAGTACATGTAGTTAACTGTCACCCCATTTAAAATATATAAAGTGATTTGTATGGCCTGTAAAGATATCATAATAGTACCTTTAACCTCGATTAGATTGCCAATCAAAAGATAGCCTTTCAAAGGGTTTTTATTGATAAGTTGATCTGGATTCGAAATATCACATCCTGTGCATTACTGAACTAGCATTATGTGGAAATTGATTTAGACACATATGTCCATATGTCCACTCTTAATTAGACAGGTGCATAAGGCAAATACAGGATCAGGGACCTGTAGGTCTCCCAATCAAGCATGTACTGAGAAGGAGTCTGTGATTATGGTAGGAGCGGGGGCCTAAAGTAGTCCTTTGAGGTTTGGTACTTAGGATATACTCCAGAAAGTCCCATTTTCAAACAGAATGGGGTTCCGGCATGGCAGCAGTCTTCCCATTCTCCCAATCCCGGTAATTCTGGGAAGTGCATTATTGTTGCGGCTTTGGATTCGAGGCGATGCATACAACTTTTTAGGCATTATACACGTGTACTAGATACATTTATAAGAATTAAATGCTGCCTACTTTTAAATTCGTAGATTGCCTGAATGATAAATGCTTTTACATTAGGCCACTTAAAGTTTATAAAGTGTATTAATAAAGGAATTATCAATGTTTAAAATGCAGTCACCCAGCGCCGGATTTAGACCAAGAATTGTCCTAAGCCTATGACCGTGTTAATAATATTATACACCTGGGCGGGAGGTGCCTAGGCCATAAGCTTTAGCTTGCCAAGCCTGTAGGTAAATCCGGCACTACAGTCATGCAAATATTTCGTTTTACTCTCTTTAAGGAATTTATTATATTGGCGAACAGCATATTTGAAGTCAAGCTGTCTGGAAGACTGGAGACACAACAATACAAGGTAGTATTCGGCAACAAAAAAAAAAACACACACCAGAATATCATGTCGAAATAATACAAAGAATACGTTACAACCATTCACTTGAGTTTTTGTTATTTATTACTGTACCGTGTTTGTGTGGTTTTTGTTATTTGTCTTTGGACGTCTTATTTGGTTGTATTATGTGGTGCGACTCTCCTTCGCTTACTATTAGTAATGTATTCAAATTTACTGATTCGGTATCTTATGCACATTCCTGAAGCAATGGCCCGAGAAATCCCTCTCTGGCCATTGCTGGATTGGCTTCTGATACTTGAGTTTTTGAGGGAGTGTGCTTATTCTTCCCGTTCAATCAAACCAATCCCAAGTACAGAAACATGACAGTCCTTCGTTTAATCTGGGGGTCTTCCCTAAAAATATGGATAGTGATTTAAGGTATTAAAAACGGTGAAAGTATTGTTCGTCTCCAAACAGTATTGTTTACATTGTATTCGTTTTGATAGCCTCGTTTGTCACGCAATTAGTTTTTCTGCAATATTCTGTTATGCACTGGTTAATTGGGCATAATAAAATCGTGAGTCATTACGTAACGTTATGTAAACATATTTAATCCAATTTGGAGCTCTGTTTAGAGCGTAGTGATATTGTTACGAAGTTAGCTATTGGTTGTTAATCAGACTATTGACTAGTCATAATTTGGAACAGAATTTTGCTTCCTTTACAGCAGTGTTAAGTGGGATTAAGTATAATCAAACGAAACACTGGGAGGAGTATTATCATATGGATCGTTGATCTCATTATTCAAATACTGCAACATTTAATAGAATTTTGATAGATATTGAACTAATATTTGAAACTGGTTTTGGCCAAGCTGGATACACCCGCCACACTGTCTATAGTCTATACGTTATTAGTTACTATTGTACATTACTTTACTTTATGTTAAATAGAATGGCCGTGTAACGGAAGTTTTAATGGACACTTTAGATTCTGTTGGTGAAATTGCTGGGCGTTATCTACTCGGTGGGAATTCAGAGACGTTTCATTCAGAAAACATTGGTAAGATACTGCAATTACAGTTGTACTAACTCTCCGACGAACTCAAAATTTGTTTGATTTTGTCTATAATCTTATCATCACGAACTCGATTAAGGTATTGACCTTTATTATTACTATTTTGATTCCAAACTCCCTATGAATCTTATAAACGAAAAACGTTGAAACTGCAATCAGAGAACACTGGTGGACGAATGATTTAACGCGAGTCAAGTGGTGTGATTTCGATTCTCCACTTGTTCGTGACAAGTAGACTGTCGACCCCCCCCCCCACACACACACACACAGTTTGTGTCAAGAAGACGTTAAACGTCATTTCACTCTCTCCCTTAGATTAGTAGAAAATCATACTTGACTTTAAATATGGTGATCGTTCCGAGAGAAAATTGTGCTTAGGTCTGTGATTCAAATCTGCTTATTGATCAGCTTTATTTTTGTTTAATCACAACGATAAGATAATGTTATTTTCATCTCTGGCATGCACCAAAAATTGGTTATAAGTTAGAATATGCCAAAATCTTTTGCTAAGACAGTGAAACCATTGCCTTTGGCAATTTGCCTATCTCTGCCCTCCTGAGAGCTGTTTTAGAGTAGACTAGATGACGTTTTTATTTATCATCTATAAAGCCAGTTATTGCATAGCCTATCTCTGCTTTAAAGAATCTCGATGAATCCAGTTATTGCTTGTCTCTGCTTTTTTTAAAAAGAATATTCACGAATCCTGTTATTGCTTAAAGAATCTCTACTAATCTAGTTAGTGCTTATTATTGTCTTTTTGTGTTGTTATTAATCAGTATTATCTATTGGCAAAATGGATCCGTTAAATATCAATGACATCAACTTTCCTGATGACCTATATACCAATGACAGTAATATTCCCAAAAACAGCAATATGACTGGTGTAAAGACAATGGTTCATATACCAAAGGAAAGCTTTCAAGATCACACAGGTAACCTAAATTGTTTAACTGTAACCTATAACAGTTGTTCTTTATTCTTGTGTGCATTGTATATGGTTAGTATAACTGTAACCTATAACAGATGTTCTTTAATCTCGTGTATATGGTTAGTATAACTGTAACCTGTAACAGTTGTTCTTTATTCTTTTCTATATAGTGTAACCTTAACATGTAACATATGTTCTTTATTCTTGTGTATAGGGTTATTTTAACTGTTGACGGAATGTAGGGTAGGTTACTTTGATCCACATGTAGTTGGACAACTGTTTTTCATTTCCCCTGAATTAGAAATCAGTTTCAGACCAGTTATTTGATAATCTCACTTAGTAACAGATAAATGTTATTTTTGAAACAGATTTTCCGTGATTCAGGCGCCTGTGATTGTTACATCACAATTATATCAATGTAATTCGTTTCGTACTGGTTTAAAATCTGGTCGAATCTGAACACATTTTGAAAAAGCATGTGCTATATTATAAATGATAATAATAATAATGCATGTAGTTGAAGAACTTATTATGTGGCTTAACCATGTCATTGCAGATAATGGATCAATTATCTACTCAGTAATTTTGTACGAAAATATTCCAGATCTATCAAATAATACTAACAGGTAGGTCACAAATATAAGCCATTTAAATATAAAAGTTAGACATCAACTCGACACAAACTAGGTGATTTCGAGATTAACAAGTTTAGCAGTGGTGCCAAAATACCCAAGAAGTTGGGCAGGTATTAAACCACTTGGCCACGCAACGCCCCTGAACTACATTAAAGCGGTTTTGAATTAGAATTTGTTACGTTAACGTAATATAATTAGGCTAAGCATGTCCGAATACAAAAATACCTATGTAAAGAATGAACTGGCTTTTTTACTTTATTTTCCCCAGATAGGATCAGGAAAATAATAGAGAAAATAATGTAAATTTCAAATGGCTATAACTTAATTTAGAACTGACCTGTGTTTGTGTCTGATCTTAAACTCGTTATGCGCCAATTTTAAATATGCCCACCGATTTATACCTTAATTGAACTCTAACCCTTAACTCTAACCCCTTTTCACTGGATGGGCAGTACTGATGTATATTCCGTAGTTTAAAGATACATTATGGGAGATTCGATAACGAGTTGGCAGTTCTCACTATAATAGTTCAAAACTAGATAACGTAAAGGCAATTTGCTGAAAATTTCATTCAAATTGATCCACTATGAACCAAAAACTAAGCGAATGAAATTTCTACCTAGCCTCGTTCATCATTACTAAAGTCAGTACGATAAAAAGAATAGTCTCGATTATCTATTTAATCGTTTAATCGAGAAGGAAAGTTATGCAGTAAATCGGCTCACAATCCACTTAAGATCGCAGGCTAGCGATGCCATCTAGAGTTGATTATGGTCTGGATAAGTTAATTAATGTCTAATTAATAATTTAGATAACATTTCAGGCCTAAAGAAAGACCTGCAATAGACAGATTTAGCTCTTGCATAATGTATGTTTAAGTATGATTTTTTTTAAATATCTATTTTACCAGTGATTACAGCAATTTTGTTGTTAATTCTGAGCTATTGGCTGTCAATTTGTATGTAAATGGTATAGATACAACTAAACTTAAAGGAAATGTGTTGTTGACATTTGCACATCGAAACGTGAGTAACGCATTATATATATTTCGCCATGGTTTTCCCCCTTTTCGAAGGTGAAGGATGGAAGGCTTGACAAGGACCAGTGTCTAGTCGTTTGGATGGGACTGAAGCCCAGGATGCCGTGTACATGTTGAAGTGCACATAAAAGATTCCTTGAGAGTTAGACGGCAAACTTTCCCTCAAACAGAACACTACGTGGCATATGCCTGTCTTCATTAGCACAGTTTGTGCAGAAAAGTAGGACGTTAAAACCTATTTCATTTTATTTACACTGCATTTTAAAAACTTCATAACCAGATAACCTATGGTTCTGCTTCCTTATTTCTGCACTTAAAGCACAATATTTTGCTAAGACAGGGGACATTTTCACGAAATTTTGCTATATACTGTACTTATATTTCTAACATTTGTTTTACTTTCATCATTATTTATGTCGGACCCTCTGACTTTATCTTATACTTGTGTACTTTTTGATATTTCAGGCTACTTTAAAGAATGCGATTTGTTCTTTTTTGGATTCTAATAAGTGAGTATTAAATTCTACTAGGTAAAAGCATCCAGAAGCCCTATTAAGCCTCCATAGGGCCCCTGGCTGAAAATGTCACTTGGACCCTTGCATCAACAGTGAAAATGGAGAAAAAGAACTAATTGGGGGAAGGGGGGGCAGTCACCACCATAATCGAGCCCTAGCAATGTGTCGTAATATGTTTTGTCAGCGCCCGGGGCAAGTCAAGTATACCGTTCTCACTCCCCAAGGCGGAGTCCCTCCCACTAGTCCAAAATTGCCCCCCCCCCCCGCCGCCTGAAGCACATGATTTGCATAACTATAGCATGTCTCTCCTAGCAATACTGTGGACTCTGTGATTAGTAGGACTACTAATCTGTTTGAAGAAAGTGTGTCTGAAATAGGGAGTATCAACCAGTTCCTGTTGGCCATTAAACACTTTTTCACTAGAAAGTAATAATAGCTAATTTTGTTGTAACCTTATACATGGATATTTATAGTGTATGGGACAACGAGGGATGTCAAGTAAAACAAACCAACCAGAATTCAACCATTTGTTCCTGTGATCACCTCACTAACTTCGCCATTTTAATGAAACCAGTTGGAATCAGCGAAGATGCGGTAAATATAAATAAATTCTGATTGGTCGAAAAGTGTGATCGAATGGACAATAAACCCCCTCTGAATTATCAAGGCGAATTACTGCTATAAATATAACAGTGTTCTTTTATATCATTTTTGTGCTCAATGAACTTCCTCAACTCAAATCTTTCTTGGCAAATATCTTTAAGGAATTCTGCACACATGACTATCACACCATTTTCAAACATCATCTTTTATGAAATCGCATTTCTGAAATACATAAAACAGTAGAAAATCAGTCATAAATTACTTAAAACCGTTTTCAGGAATCCAAATATATTCGTAACTAGGCGGTGAAAGTGTCAGGAGGCCTACATGTTTTCTTTTTTTTTTATTAACATTAGTTGTGAGTCACGTTTGATTTAATTTCAATGTTGTACTTCATTTACCTTTTAAAGAAATCAGAAAAGTAGTAGTTTCTAGGCTACCGGTGGTTGAGGAGTTATTTCCCCTTTTGAAATTCTGGTATTGTGTATGGTTAACCACCTTTGTAAGCGTGACTGCGTCATAGGTTGACCGTGTTTATAAACAGTGGCTGTCAGTTACTCCGATGACGTCACAGTCGGCGTCTTAATATGCTACTTACAATGGAAATGATAGGTATTTCAGGTTGCCATTTTTGAACATATTATAATATTAGTTATTAGGTAATGAATAATGGCTAGACTTCCCATTTAACAATTTATTTTTTCAGACTTATCATCATCAAGTGCTTACTACAATAACTTTAATTGGATGTTCCATCTCCTTGTTCTGTTTATTTTTGGCCCTCGTTATCTTCATCGCTGTTTGGAGGTAGGGTAAATATGCTATAATACTCGTCGTCGCTTTAACCTCATACCGTTTGCCAATGGGAAGCCCGAAAGTGGTCGGTGGGGGTAGTTGGTTATAAGTGAGCGCATGACTTTGTCTGGTAAAGACGGATGGGCAAGTGGTATAGCCTCATTCTACCCAACCGTTTTAAATATGTCATTTTCACTGGCTGTTGTTTTTTTAGACTGCACAATAATTTGTTTATACCTAACAGTCCATGTTGAAGCGAGAGAAGATGTGTAGCAAGTAGATACAGTTAAATGGCGCATGACTCTATTTTTTGGAACCTTAAAATATACAAAAATGGTTCTAAAAGCACATATTAATGTAATATGAATGTATATAATGTAATTTCTAATCAGTTATGTTCGTTGAAATACGTTAACAGTTCAAATTGAACGGCAATTGTTTACGCCTGCATATTGCATTCTACACGATCGTTTTTTAAAATTATTATTTTGTCATTTGTGAATCAGCCCTTACTATTTAAATTACTTCCACATTGCATTGTAGGATATGTTTTATTTGTTCAGTACAAAATGGCACCCGAAACCATGGGGTACACGATTCGTGTACCTATTATAAAATGTTAATCGTGTCTTGAATATTGGATAGTAGAATCCGTTAGTTTCACGGCAAGATAACAACACCAGTATTGATTGAAACTGATCAATATTGAATTCTAATTCGTGTTTTTAATTTCGATTCTGAGCAAGGTTTTCCCGAAAGCACGCGCAAATGAAATTAGAAATTGCTATGGATTGAAGTGACCGAATGAGAATACCATTCCTTATTTAATTTAACTCTGATATTTAATGTAAAGAATCAATCACACCCTAGCTTTTACAGTTACAGTGAATTACTAGGGTGATAACCATCAGTTGTATCCTGTAAGGCCAGTTGATTGATCCTTTAAGACAATCTCAATAAAATTCTAAAAGGGACAAGTAAAATCCAATGGGTGTGAGTCATGTTACACAATAGAAATGTAAATATGGAGGAACTTTAAAATAAGATTAATGATGGAAAAATGATGGAAAAATAAGAAGACGGAGTTCGCGCTTGAATGTGATTGGCCATTTCTTAGGATATATCCAACATCAATTGGACTTTTTCAATACTTTTGAATTTGTAGGTACGCCAAAATATTGCTAACGTGTAGGACAAATTTTACCCTTCACATGAAATGATTTGTCATATAGATATAGACCCTCACGATTAATCCAGCAGTGTGACACAGCCTTTTGGCATGCATTTACCTATACCTTTCTATGTATATATATATCAATAATATTTGTAGATTATAAATTTTGTCAAATTGCCTGATATTTCAGATTTATCAAGTGTACGCGGTCGGTGGTACTGGTTAATCTTTGTGTAGCCTTGTTCATAGCCCTCCTACTGTTTGTTGTGGGCGTAGATAAGACATCAAATAAGGTAACTATCGGTTATTCTATGTGTAATCATGGTAGTACTTTTAGTTTTAGAAATTATTTCTTACACAATACATTTTTAAAGAGATTGAAATTTAAACAGAATTAAAAGTTCATATTGCAACCTGTCACAAATACCAACCGAGGATATAACAACTGAGCGAAATTCCACTGCGGTACGCACTGTACAGCAAGTCACGGTGAGTAAAACACTGGCTTTCTAACCTTGAGATCCTTGGTTTGATCCTGGTGTTCGTTGGCCAAGAAAGTTATCGGGTATTTTCCGCTGTGGTTTCCTGTTTTCACTTGTCAGTGCTATAGTACAGAGGGCCTGGCCAGGAACATTTTCTAGTCGTTCCGATGGTATGAATAACTAAGATCCCATGCACGTAAAATAACCCTGAACAGTTGAAATTCAATTGTTGTACGGGTAAAATTTCCCTCATAACACACTGCGTGGCGTATTGCCGTCTTCATTAGCCAGTCGGTGCAAAAAGAAGGACATTAAACCTCATTTTATTCTTAGGATTATGGTGTATTTTGTAGGATTTGTGCACGGCAATATCTGTTGGATTACACTATTTTTATCTGGCTGTTTTCTTTTGGATGTTATTCGAGGGTATACAGATTTTATTTGCCACTCATGTTGTATTTCATCATTCCGGTAGAGATGCCATCTTTTTGATCTTAGCCTGGGGTGAGAACTATTTATCTATGTTATATAAAAATACAAAATTAGTACTTAAAGAGAAGGCAAGGAAATAGAGGGCTAGATTATTAAAACAATAACCGGGCTATGTTATTAAAGAGCATAGCTCACTAAGTTATTAAAGGGCATAACAGGCTAAGTTATTAAAGAGAATAACTTACTAGGCTATTAAAGATGAGGACTGCCTCATGAAAGATAGTATAGCAGGTAAAGTTAATCAAAATAGCGGATAAGTTATTAAAGATAATAGCAGGCGGAGTTAATAAAGTTGAGAGCTAAGTTAGTAAAGATGATCATAGCAGGATAAGTTATTAGAGATAATCGTAAGAAAATTGACTGCTAAATTATTAAATATAATAGCAGGCTAAGTTAATAGATTGCTTGGTTATTAAAGATCATAGAGGACTAATTTTACAGGACACTATTTCTATGTGACACATGCTGCAATGAGAAAAAGGGGGAGAACAATGGTTTTACTTTCACTTAACACAAACTATGTCATTTCCGGACTAACATTATAATATAGGCTAGTTCAATTTTATTTTAAAAATTCATTTTCACGCACAGCACGAAACGTCGCCCAAATAAATAAGTAGCTGTTTTTCCATAAGTATGTGTTTTTTGTGTATAAGTCTTTAGCAGTGGGAGGAAACCCACGTGGTTGGACAAGCGATCCTACTCTTTTCATACCTACAAACTTGGGGTAGAAACCATGCCACCTGACTCAATCACAGACCTTATGGTCTAAAGCTCATGGGGATATGTTATTAATGATAACAGAGAGCTATGTTATTAAGGATAAAAGAGGGCTAAGTTATTAAGGATAACAGACCAGAGTTCTAAGATATTATGGATAACATATGGCTTAGTTATTAAGGGTAACTTAGAAAGGTGTATATTTCCTTTTTAGGATTAGAATATATTTTCTTAATAGATCATTTCGATATGGCGGCTAAGCATGGCCGCAAATACGCTAGTTTTAATGGTCAAAGGGTTGGGTTTATTTTGTAATAAATGTTTATGTTTTTTTGTGATATTAAATTAGGAATACCGTTAATAATAGTGATTATATCAACGGCTGTGACACGGTTTAAGGGCTATGGAAACGAGCATTTGTAAGTTGGTTTACTTTTGTTTAGAATAATCAATATTGGTTAACGTGGGTTGAAAAAAAATGGTGATTGGAATAATAAACATAAATATATAATGCAGAAAGAAAGTATAGGCCGAACAGCAGTTTGGTCTGTACTTAGACGTGAAGAGTTCTCTCTCCTTAATTATTTCCCTTTGCACTCATTTGTTGCCGACGCATTAGGTGGGAGTTTACAAACAACGATCACGTGATTAATTGTCGGTCTGTCAGTACGTCGGAATTTTCATGTACTTTTTGACAAATATTTACAAAATTTCAAAAGTTAATGTTCTTTGCTGATATAAGAATCGGAGGTTGGATCTTAATCATTATTTACCGTACATACAGCTAATCTCCAAAACTATCTAATGTCAAGTGGACCAGTGCTTGTAAAGTGACCCCCTCAGAATATTATGAAAAAAATATATGTTATAGTACATACAAATTTATGTAAAAATGGAGATATGGCCTTTTGAATAGGGGTACCTTTTCGCAAGTTTTGAACCTACTATTCTCTGACTCGATTTTGGTGTAATGTTTTATATCTTCTAGTTAGATAATATTCTTGATATTATGGGGTTTGTAAGACAATATTATATAGATTAAGAATTCACTACCCTAAGTGCCAAAAATTAATACTTGTGCGAAAACATCAATATTTTGATACAGTGTAGAAATTTTACTACACACACACTTATCTGATATTGATGCATAAAGGTTTTGTTTCCTGATGATGAGACAATTAGAAGTATTACAATTAATCCATTCACTCGGCAAAAAATGAAAGAAAATCATAATTTAAAGATGCCTTCCCTCGTACAAAATGAGTGATTTGATGATGTATTTGGACTAAAAAGATATTAAACTAATTTATATAACAGAAATTTACTTCAAATCATTCTCAAAACATTGTATTCGCCAGGAAACACACCAAGATATAAAAAAAATCTATTTTTAGAAACCATGTTTGTCATGAAACTTGATTGAGAGAGGGTCAATTTTCCGAATGTATTTGTCGTTACGTATTGTCCATTTGCCATACATATTGAAGCCTAAGTAAATTCGTGGATTATCTTCTGCCAACTTCTTTTTCCGCCGTTTAATTGCAGAGTCTTTTTGTACGTTTTCCAAGCTAATTTTACAAGAAACCGACAAAAATGTGGCTTTTAATAATGTTTGTTCAAACAATACCCATTTATACAGTATATGATAAGTAACAACTTTTAATATAGTGTAGTAAAATTTCTACACTGTATCGAAATATTGTTCTGTAATATTTGATGGTAAATTCTTAATCTATATAACATTCTCTTACAAACCCATAATTTTAAGAATATAGACTGACTAGATGGAATAAAATCAGATCACAAAAATCGAGTCATTTAATACTATAACAGTTTAAAAACTTGCGAAAAGGTACCCCGATTCAAATGTTCATAACACACACCCAATCCCAAAAACAAGGAAGTTGCCTAATTAAAAAACAGAAACATTATTATTACAAAACAGAGCTTCTAGTGAGCGTATGTTACTTTGTCTGGAAGTTTCCTTTAGTAATTGTATTTTAGAGTTATTTTCATTTAAATTTAGTTGTTGGTTGTCAATAAAGGGTGGTCTAATCTGGGCGTTCATTGTTCCAGGATTAATTGTTATTATGGTAAGTACATGATTCTAATAGGCCTACCATTTTCTTCTCATATTGTCAACTGTGAAGGTCCTTCTGAATCAGTTTAAAAGATCTAATTTTGTAACCTTTTCAACTATAACGGGTCATAGTAATATGTACATGCCAAAATTGCGAAATGAATTAGTTACAAATTGTTTTTTTCCACGCAGCACCAATCAGCGATCACTTACACATTAAATGCCATTCAAATGTCATGTGACATGTATACCATTTTTAAATCCCGTTATTTTATGTGGCAGTAGCAATGACGCATTGGGCAGTATAGTGTATTGTTCGAACTGAGCATTCGTTCGTCTGCGTTACAATGTTCGTCGTCTGCGGAAAAGAGAACGAAAACTATTAGTTCGGTGCTTTTGTTCGTCGACGTAAATGTTCTATCGTCTGCGGTACCATGTCCGTCGTCTTCGAACAAGAAAAACAAAAATATTTGTTTGGTATTTTTGTTCGTCGACATGAATGTTCCATCGTCGGCGTTCGACTTTAGCAATACATGTATATCTTGGCCTGCGCTCAGTCCACTCTTGTGTTATATTCAATTACTTTCCGGAATTGATTTTTTCAAAATCCCCAATCAGTGACAATCGCGTGAATAGGGGGATTTTGAGAAAAGAGCATGTGCCGATTGAAGATAAACAAAATATCTCAACCAATCAAGGGGGTTGAATATACTCGCCGTGTTTGGTTGAGTTACAATTCTACCCACGTTACATCAGGACTGACAGTGACAGGACAAATTCTACACACGTTGCATCAGGACTGACAGTGACAGGACAAAATTCCTTCTAACTAGGAACATTCCGTATGCACAATCGAAGATTCCCTACTGTCCATGTGGCAATACTAGTTTTACTACATTTCTGTTTTTATATGTTTCCTTTATTTGTTTCTTCAGATCAACGCTGTAATAGTAGTGAAAGTAATCCACGTTCTGATGACAACCAAATTTATGATGAAAAAAGATATAAAAGAGAAAGCCATGTAAATATAATAACGATATATCCTTTTACCGAAATTAAATATTTGCTGGTTAAAATGATAAAATTAACGAGCATTCGCATAATAATTGAGTGTTCGGGAGGCGCATATTACCATGACTTTAATGATAAAGACACTAGAAAGTTAAAAGCCCTATAATTGTGGATGGGGGAGGCGCATGTTACTGCTTTAAAAATAAAGATACCAGAATATAATGCGGGCCAAGGGTAGGTGTTGCGAGGGTTTAGGCGATCGCATATTACTGGCTTTAAAAATGAAATGAAATGGGGTTTAACGTCCCACTGTTCTGCCTCGAACTGGGCTAAAGACGATGGGCATAAGCCATACAGTGTGCTATGAGGAAAATTTCGCCCGGATATTTTACGTGCACGCCAATATGTGCGCTTGACCTCGGTTTTTCGTCCCATCCGAACGACTAGACAGATGTCCTTGCCAGACCCTCCGTCCTGCATCACTGACGTGGGGGGGGGGGGAGGGGTACGCCGAAAAATCTGGATGAACTTTCTCGGCCAATGCAGAGATCGAATACCCGACCTCCAGGCTAGCGAGCCAGCGTCTTACCCACTTAGCCACCATGACCCCCGCTATAAAACTGAAGATACTAGAATAGTATTCTGTCATATGTCTGATATCTTCACCTACATCCATATTGTAGAGTAGCTGTAAGAAGTATCTGTGTGTTATTACCAGTGATGGGTATATCATGGGCTTTTGGTATATTTGCTGTAAATGGAAAGGGGATTGTATTTGAATATATATTTACTATATTCAACACACTACAGGTAAAATAATACATTTTACTATATTTAACACGATACAATAGAATATATAGCGTTACATAACATTACTTTACATTATGTAACGTTACATTACATAACACTATATTGCAATACAATGTATTGAATTGCAATACAATATATTGAATTGCAATACAATACAATAAACAAGATCTGGTTGCCATCGCACTACCTTCCTGTGGCTGGCCGATCGTTTCCAGCAGACAAAGTCCACTAGGAATCGGACATGGCCTGGGTCGCAACGCGTGACGACACTACAGTGTGATTGGTACATTACCTGGCATAATCTGCAAGGTTGCTCGAGTCCAGCTTGTCGCACTGCCGCTAATGGGTGTATTAGAATTGACAATGTTCGTCGCCGAAATTGTTGGTTGCTCGAGTGCATACAGCATGTCTCAGCGGACTTCTTGAACAAAAACTGTACTTTAATGGTCAGGTCTCTCTCCCTTATTCTCTCACAAATCGAACAGCTTTAGGACAATATCGGACGTCTCTGGTCCAGGGTCACCAGCTGCAGAATCTCCGTCAACTGGAAGCAGCATTGAACAACGACACCACACGCAGCCCGTTTTAATTAGCGACGTGGCACGTTGTGTGTTGTTGCTAGACATGGGCACATATGTTACTGGCTTGTGATTTTCATATATTCTGCCTAAGTTCTTATGACCTCTGTGGGTTGTAAAAATCACATTTCAGCTGCATTATGTATCGCCAACACTTCCAGTCAAATGGGTGGTCCACTTCCATTGCGTCACATATTGGATATTTTTATGAATAACGTCTTATTTGACTAGCGCACCAGTTGAGATAACCTAACGAATAATCTGCTACTGGACATGTTCTCAATTGCCTTATAATCTTATGAACCACCAATTGAGAAGTTACTCATCCAGAGGCGTAGCCGTGAAATATATATTGGGGGAGGGGTCCGCAAATGAAATTATATAAAATAATGAAAATCTGTGCGCAGCCGATGTAGCGCGATTGGCACCCCCATAAATTTTTTTAAATTTTCAGTCTTCTGTAAACACTGTTTTGGCATATTTTACGGGGTTAAACTAAAACATCACACCAATACAAAGATTATCATGTTTAAGTCAGGGGGTGCCGTATTCATATTTATTTCATGACTTTTACATATTGAATGTTACGCTTGAGTAATGAACAACACGACAAAGAGAGTTTAGTAGGGGAATTTTTATGGGGAGGATCCAAATGAAACAAAACTTGTTCACATAACTTTAGTTTGACAATCACCTTGTTAACTGCAATACTATATACATATACACATTGACATTTACAAGAAAGTTGTATAGATATTTAAAGTATTTTGTACATTTTGTGTATTATAAATTGATTTAAAAAAGTAAACATAAGTGTTTGTGTTTTAAATTGTACATTGTTTTATACAGATAGAATCTTAACTAATCCTATTATTGTTGTTAATAAATAGGAGTTAGGGCCTAAAGTGTAAATTTTTGGGGGGTCAAAGTATATTCAGCCCCCCCCCCCCGAAAAACAATTGGGGGGTCGGACCCCCCCCCCCCCCCCATGTGTGGCGCCCATGAAGGAACTCAAAAGATGGAATCTTAGTATGGGTTTGCATAACGTTACAGTAGAAGCCACTGTGGTATTATAAGTAAGGCACTGGCTTACAAACCAGGTAGTTCTGGTTTTGATCCCGGTATTTGACGGTAGAGTTTCTCGGGATTTTCCTGCGTGTTTCCCCTTGTTAGTGGGGCAGTCCCGAGGGCATACGTGTGTAGTCGTTCGGATGGGACATAAACTGAGGTCGCATGTACACGTTGATGGCACGTAAAAGAACCTTTGACAGTTGGAGTTCCAAAGAAGAACTGGCCGTAGCTGTCTTGACAAAATTTCCCTGCGTGGCGTATTTGTTCATTTCGTAAGGATATATTGCTATGATCACTGTCTAAATTAATAAAATGTTGCACAAACGGTAATAAAATAATATATATTTTTTGTAGGGATTTTTTATCTTCATGTTTCACTGCGTGTTCAATAGAAAGGTAAGTCGATATCTCGACTTGGTCGATATCTCACATAATTGGTCATATTAAAACCTATATTGAATAAATCGATCAAATTAATTTCTATTTCTGAGGTTGTCAATGTCATCTATGTACAGTATTACATTGTTACCAGAAAGGGCATTCTAGAACGGTGGTCTGATATTTTTAGAGGTTCTATATAAATGTCTTTTCTTGCCTAGCACAACTCTCCTCACTGGCAACCAGTGTTTTCTTATTGAAGATTAGTTAAAATCATATAGTTTCTTCTCTTCTGTTATCTTTCAAGTTCGATGATACGACATATTAGAATGGACCACACTTACATCTGACATGATTTTAAAGGGGCATTATGCGAGATTTTAATCTTCCTATTTATGTTATATAAATTATTTTTTAGACATTTATTCACATGGTTAACCCATAATCAATTCTCTACACCATCCGGTGGCTTAGATATTGAGTCCAATCCACGATGCCCACCATATCTGCGTTAAACGCTCATATGGCATAGAAAAGGACTGAGAATCGAGACTTCGTTTATTATCATGACAATGGTACTTCACAGTTATGACTATTTTATTAAAACATTTACAATTTCGCTCAAATCAAGTAATTTGACTGAAATTTTCAATGTATTCATTTTTCATTATCTTTGTTTGGACTATTATAGCATAATATATCTTTAATTTATGTTGTACTTTTGTAACTTCAGGTGAGGGACGGCTTGGCCAGTGTTATTCGACCTTATAGAATTAAACACACGGATATGTCTGAGCGTAAGTGTAGTGCTGCTAACGATAATATAACCTTGAAATCGTTCGCCAATACTAGTGTCAGTGTAGAAACGGGTCTTCCTACAATGATGGAAACAGCTGCAGATGTTACCTCTGACGTTCATACAAAATGTTTAAATACGATGGATTCGGAGCATCTTTCTTCATCAAATCTTCATATCACGGAGACCGCCATCAATCCAAAAACGAGCGACCAATCATCGGGGAATAAGGGCGGTAGCAAAATTAGAAAATAATCAGTTGCTCCCAGATATCTAGCCGGAATGAAAACAGTTGTAGCTAATTAAATTGATTAGCTACATCTACCAATCTACAGTGATCAGCAGAGTAAATAGCCAACCTGTTCGACCAGATCGGGCTATTTCCGGTGGATTATATGTAAATATATTAGTTGCTTATCGGTATTTGCATTTCCGACTCATGGGTCATTTATTAATTAAAAGACGCCTTTTATGTTCTAGTAATTTTCATATCAATGTACTCATGGTATCTATAATCCGTTTGTTGAAAAACTGGGCGATCTGATGATATATTTGGACTAAACCATATTCAAACTTTTTTATCTATCAAAAATTTGATTTGTCAATCAATCAATCAAATCTTTAATCAGTATTTAAGGCCTCTGGCCTATAGTACATAGTAGTGCAGTATAATAAAATATATCAACTATATAAAACATAATTATATTACAACAGATAACTAGTTGTTATACTGTTAGCCTTAAATACATATTCTGCTACATTATTTACAATGTTTATATCCGACATAGCTTTTATATACAAAAGTCAATGTTATTACAATAGGATGAGTCGATCTTTGGCATAAGTTGTGATCTAAGGTCTTTATACATTTGACAAGATACAATGAAATGAATTTCATCTTCGATAGTCCAGCCACCCGATTATATTTTATTACATACTTCGAGAAGGTATTTGTTGAGTAATAAAACATTCTAGTAGTTTATCGAGGGCTGGCCGTCCTTACCGCACGGTACAAATAAAACCTTCTAGTAGTTTATCGAGGTTCGGGTGCTTCCGGAGTCCAAAATGGCCGCTTTATATAAATGAGAATTTGACAAGATACAATGAAATGAATTTCATCTTCGATAGTCCAGCCACCCGATTAGATTTTATTACATACTTCGAGAAGGTATTTGTTGAGTAATAAAACATTCTAGAAGTTTATCGAGGGCTGGCCGTCCTTACCGCACGGTACAAATAAAACCTTCTAGTAGTTTATCGAGGTTCGGGTGCTTCCGGAGTCCAAAATGGCCGCTTTATATAAATGAGAATTTTGGGGATAACTAGCCCACGTGACTCTGCCATTATTATGCAATTTTACAAGTATATTATAACAAGCTTATGAAAATCTATCATTTGACATATATAACAACTTAAACCAGTATTTAATACAGTTAAACAAATAATTTACTAGTAAAATTTGATTTAAATCCCTCTCAATCTCTTTACTTTTATCAGTCTTGTTTATCATCTGATTTCATTGTACTTGTCGTTAACCGCTAATCCTAAGTTAATTCCTGGATTATCCTTTGCCCATTTATCATAAATATCTAAATTCCTGGATTATCCTTTGTCCGTTAAATCTACAGGGCGTTTAATTCTCTTAATATTCTCACAACCGTTAGCCATTAGATCAACCCATTAGATGCGATGATTACACCATTCAAGGAGACAGACTGCCTTTCAGGGATATCCTTACATTTTTGTCTTGTGCGCACCCCGCATGTTTTTTTTTATTTTCTTGGGGAATTCGGTATTTTACTAATAAGAATGGATGTCCCCACTTCCATATATATATATATATATATATATATACCAAATTGCATACTTTTATTGGGAATATTGGGGTACGAGTGTATGTAAATAGACAGCGGACAATGGTATAATTATCATTTGTAGTGTATATGCATGGTTTTATTCATATTTTGTTCCTTATTATCTACATATAAATAATTTGCTTGTTAATTATTTTGATATTGTATCTAATCTAAATATTTGCCTTTGTTAATTATTCTAATCATATTATAAACAGTGTTGTTCGGAAAAATAAAAATTCAATGTTGTTTTCTTAAGACAAAGAGGTGTTACTGTGAGAATATTTATTTGACTAAAAGACGATATTTCTAACGACCAGTAAAAACAAAATTCTGTGGCACCATGCAAGAACCTGATAAGCCACATGACATTCAATTTGAGAAAAATGCAACTAAAGTCTGTGGTCTATAGTTTCAAATCTGTGATCTCTATTTGATGTTTTGCGATTTTGATGTGTACATAGGCATAGTATAAAAATTCTGGATGATAATCAGTCTTGTAACTGCAAACCTTACGGAAAATTTTGGGCAAATATGAATTTCTGAGATAATATTTTTTTAATTTTCCATGCAAAAACCTGATAAGCTACATTGATGAAATCCAATAGAAGGTTTGTTGGCTTTAATCTTATAAAATACGTCATAAATCAACTGAAACAACACATACAAAAGTAAATAAAACAAAACCCCACATATGCTAGGAATAACAAGGGCGAACTCAGTGACCATGGGTTTTTTTTGGGGGGGGGGGGGGCTCGAGTGACGAAGCGCTCAAATGGGGGTCCAGGTGGCCTACTCCTGACGATTTCGAAAAGTAGAAGCCCAAAAATGCCATTTCCAGTGACCTGAGACAAGAATCCGGTTCTAAAGTGCGCCCACTGGATCGCACCCCCCCCCCCTTCCCACGCTTAAATCCCCCCTTCCCACGCTTAAATCCCCCCTTGAATATCAAGCAAATGACTTAAACTTCAGCAAAACGGGTTAGGACGCCATGGACAACCTGGATAGACCGCTATCTCATGACATAAAAATAAGAAAAATGCATTATATGCAGGGGCGTAAAATAGTCGGTCGCAAAATCAGTGCAGTCGGTCGCTAAATAAGAGCAGTCGGTATCAAAATAAGTGCTCACTGCACACGTCATGCTAATCACGCAAAACTTTAGTATAAAATAACCTTGTCAACTTAATGTGTTTCACTCTTATTCTGTTGTGAGTATGTGGGTCTAAGAACAAAATTTCCGCCAAGGAGAAAAAAAAGTCGGTCTCAAAATAAGTGCAGTCACTGCAGTCGGTCTCAAAATGATGCATCGCCGTCTTAATGAATTAATGAGGTAAACAAATAATGCCAGAATAGATCCCAAGTACTAGTTGGTCGCAAAATCAGTGCAGTCGGTCGTAAGATATGAGCAGTCGGTGTATCAAAATAAATGCTCACCGCACACGTCACTCTCACGCAAAACTTTAGTATAAAATAACCTTGTCGACTTATCATGTTTCACTCCATGGCAAAAAAAAAAAGTCGGTCTCAAAAAAAAGTGCTCACCGCAGTCGGTCTCAGACTAAATGAATTAATGTGGTGTTTTCTGACCCAAAGTCCAGGGCATTTCAGAGACCAAGTAAGCGCCCCATTGAGGTAAAGTGCCCTCAGGTCCAGTCCTCAAAAATTAAAAGCTCAGTAACATATCGGCGCTCAATTCCATTATGCCATCATTCTTCAACTCCTTCTCTGTCTTATACTATATCATCACTATCATATTCACAGTTACAGTGAATCGCCAAGTAAGTAGTACCACTAGTGAGTCAAATGACTGTAGAATTGTTAGTTCTACTCTCAAAAAACTGGCGACATTGACAGATAGGCCTCAAGATTCTGTCCCATTTCTTATCCTCTCGTTAACGAGAATTTGGATCCATTTGCCATGACATTGACTAAAATTGTCAGGCCCAGTCCCAAAATTAAAAGCTCTGTTACACATCTCAATTCTTTTTTGCGCCTGCGGCGCTCGATTCCATTATAACTTCATTCTTCCACTCCTCTGTTGTCTTATACTGTCTCAGCACTATCATATTCAAGGTTATACTGAACTGCTTCGTTATGTTAGTAGTACCACTGGCACTGGTGTGTGGGTCGTGGGGCGTCAGACTATACAAAAGTTCTGTCAACTCTTGCAAAACAGGCGGAATTGACAGGGGCAGATCTCGAGATTTTGTCTAATTTACTCACATTTCTGGTCCTCTCGTCCACAAGAATTTTTCCCAGCAATGACCTCAAATACCAAAATATTGATCCAATTTTTCAAAATTTTCTCAGGTTGCTCAGTGTTATAGGCACAATCATATATGACATAAACTTTATGTCAACTTAAATAAAACTGCTTTCCAGCGAGACAACGATCGGCAAACAACTATATAATTATACAATACCATCTATGTTCTACCGGGACGCTTAATGTTATAGCCAGTATTTTTTTGATTTCATTGTGGGGTGGGATTGTGGCTGTGGTGGCGCCCTAGATTTGGACCCCCCACCCCTATCTAGATCCGCTACTTCACATGGCCCCTACAAAAATCGCACCTGTGGTGCTCGGTTCCTGACTGCGTCACTCGTACTAGGGGTATGGGCATCAGTCGGTCGCATTTTGGCTAAACCCCCCCCCCCCAAACAAAATCGTTATGTACGCCCCTGATTATATGTTATGGAAGTGTGTTGACAAACCAAAGCGTCTTAATGAGTTATTATAATGTCTACTTGACACAAAATATGTCATTTCGGGATAAACTTTAGGTACAATTTTATTTCAATCATTCACATGTGTGTAGGGATATTTACAATTTTTTTTCAGTCCTACATGAACTCGATTCCATTCAGTTTTCGACTTAATGAAAATACCAATTTTAATTAATTACAACAATTAAACCAGCGGTTACCATGCAAGATACGCCCATATTTTGCAAGAGATGTACAGAGAACAAACTAAAACAAATGTGATTTTTTTGTAGAAACAGTGACCAAAATCCAAGAAGTTACGGTCCAATATGCACAAATATCGAAAGGAACCAAGATTTTTTTGTTGGATATAAACATATATGTCAAGTTTCATCAATATCGGATAAAAAATTTGACTTCTAGAGGGTCCACATTCCACAAACTTGGTATTACGTATTTTTACACTATTTGCGTACAAGTAGTAGCAATTTTGTCAAGTAGTTTTTACGAAATTCGAACTCAATGATCATTATGGTAACCGTGATATATTTAAACCGTTTTTAAATTGGGTAAAAATTGTGACCTCTAAAGGGTCCACAAGCTAAAAACGTGATTTTTCATAAAGGGGGTCATAACCAAGGAAGTCATGGCCCGATATATGCAAATATTGACAGGTACCGAGACCGTTTTGATATAAACATATATTTTAAGTTTCATTAGCCATTTTGGGGGGTTGGATGGCCGAATGGTTAGCACGTGCGTGCTGTATCATAAGGTCTGTCATTGAGTCAACTGGCAGGGTTCGAATCCGTGGTTGTACGTGACAAGGAGAAGGGTCGTCTGTCCAAGTGACCCGTGCACTTTACAGAAAGTTGGTCTCGACACGGCTAAATGTGCACGCTTCAGTTGCGTGTCTCGAACTGATTTCTGACTACCCCGCACTCGCTTTGAGTCTATAAATAGCCATGGCACGTGCAATTCTCTACAAATATATCAACTATTACAGCCGTAAAAAATCTATTGTTGACGATTTTGAATAGCAGTAAAATTTAGCTTCTTGGTTATTACAGCAGCTTTAGTAATTACGTTTGTTTTATTTTTTAAATTGCTTTATCATTAACTGTACCGTTAAGAGCGGCATCTTTTGGTTTAGTACAAATACTATCTCTGAATCACTTTCTTTAGCAGGAACATGATACTAGCAGTAGTTTCATTTTACTTTTACAAGTTTCTTAAAACAATTGTTGAGTTGTCTAAAGTGCTTACTTTTTAATTCAATTTAATTCTTGTTCTAGCTTTCTGTTATGTTTCGTAAAAAAGTATTCTTGATTATCCCGACCTGTCAATCAGACGTACAATGGTCGATAGACTGGTTAAGCGAGACTAATTTCAAAACAAGGGCACGTAACCTATCTTTTACTCAAAAGTGTCTCGATGTTATGGACGCAACTTGGAACCAGTTTTCAGTCTATTATTTATAGATGATTGATGGTCATAGCTTATTAAGTACAACATGATCGTTTATTTAGTGACTATAATTGTGTGAAACTGATTTGAGGCTTGGCATATATATAAATATTGTGGCGTTATTGTCGAGATATTTGGAGATATTTATTTATGGTGGGTCACCCTATGGGTTTTCTCTTGGTCCTCCGGTTTCCTCCCACTGCTAAAGACCCCTACGCGCAAGCGAATTATAGAAATAAAATTGAACCATTTGTTAGTCCTGAAATGATTGAACTTAGTTACGGGCCCGGGGCTATAAACCATGTAGTTACGATCCGATATGCGCGAATATCAAAAGGAACCTTGGGTGGGACTTGTGGGTTATCAGGTTCTTGCATGGAAACGTTGGCACACAAATCCGACCTTATGAGGCTTATCAGGTGCTTGCATGGAATATGCTTATTTTTTATATCAGGTTAAAACTATTATAGACTTGGTTATCATGTCAAATATATTCACAGTGTCTTCATGATTACAGTCAAGATGGATTCTACCAATCTACGTTCAATGGCACTATTATCTCAATTTTGGGGAAAATGTGGGTTATCAGGTTCTTGCATGCTGCCACAGAATTATGAATTGAAATTTCATAATATGCCAACAGTAAATTAGAAATATTTTTCAATATGGGGGTGGATGGCACAATGGTTGGCGAGTGCGCGTTTTATCATAAGGTCTGTCATTGGGCAAACTGGCGTGATTTCGATTACCGGTTCTACGTGACAAGGAGTAGGGTCGCCTGTCCAACCTCGTGGGTTTTCTCCGGGTCCTCCGGTTTCCTCCCACTGCTAAAGACCCCTACGCGCAAGCGAATTACTGAAATAAAATTGAACCATATATCTTAGTCCCGAAATGAACTAGTTGTGTCGAGTGGGCGTTAAACCCCATCTCTCTCTCTCTCTCTCTCTATCTATCTCTCTCTCTGTGTGCAGTGTCGAAGACGCGGAGACTGGGGGGATATTGAGTTAAAGACTTGGCTCCTTTAAAGAACCTTGGCAGTTGGCCGGAATTCCTTGTTAAGTGGACCAGCCCTTACTCGCCGGGTCTCCTATATAGTGGAAACTGCTATTGTCCTACATTTTACAGTCAGTACATCTGCTGCTTGTGGTAATAGCTTGGAGGGGTGTGAAATTATTTTTTATGTTTTTAAATACATTTTTTGATGTCTTTTTAGCCATTCATAATTATTTTCAAGAATTCAAAATACTTAGGCCTAAGGGGAATAGCCCTACTTTGCGGGCGATTTTAAAATCTGAACTCCTTTTTTTTCTTACGCTTATCCGTAGGCTATTAAGAATGCGTTTGCGAGAGAACCATGCAGGGACCGGCACATGGTGGGTGACCGATTTTCACCATTTTTTTTATGTATGATGGGTAACCCCTCCTAACCCCACTGCCACAATTTTAGGAAATTTATTGCGCCCAATTGACCAGTGCATAGCAGAATATTGCAGAAAAACTAATTGCGTGACAAACGAGGCTATCAAAATGGCTACAATGTAAACAATACTGTTTGGAGACAAACAATACTTTCACCGTTTTTAACCCCTAAATCATTGTCCAAAGTTTTAGGGAAGACCCCAGATTAAACGAAAGACTGTACTTAGGAAAGAATAGACCCCCAAAAAACGTAAGTATTAGAAGTCAATCCATCAGTGGTCAGAGCGGTATTTTTCGGAATATTTCTTCAGGAATATGCTATTGTGGTTTCATTCGGATAACTGGCTACTAAACCGCATTTTATTTGTACAATAGACGGGGGAATGAACAACTGATTTCAGCCGCCATCTTGGATGCTGGAGTTCAAATCTAACTTCGGCGGCCTGACGAATAATAAAAATAATAATATGTACATTTATATAGCGCACATACTCCATGTACAGAGGCGTATCCACTGCGCATACAATTAAATTAATTTAATTAATCCTGATAACAAGATGAGTTTTAAGTCTTGATGTAAAACAATAAAGGGTTGTGAGATGATTTAATGATCTCTGGAAGATTGTTCCGCAGTTTAGGCGCATTCCCTGAGCACGATCCGTACCCAAATGATTTTAATTTCCTCCTTGAGCAACACAACTGATGAAGGTATGTTCGGTCGGAGGTTACGCGAGGGAACTTGTATTTGCATAAGGCTAGATAAGTATATTTGAGCTAAGCCATTCACACACTGATTCGTCAAAGACAGACTTTTGAAGATGATTTTTTCATGAATTGGCAGCCAATTGAATGATTTCAGAACAGGAGTAATATGAGAGTATTTTGATGGTCTGGTAAGAATTCGAGCTGCGGTATTTTGTACAAGTTATTTTTTTTTTAATATTGGCATTAGATGTTTCTAGTAACAAGCTGTTACAGTAGTCAATCCTTGAAAATACCAAAGAACATAAAAGTGTAGCAGCTGCTTCCTGGCTAATAAAGTGTCTTATATGGCCAATGTTCCTGGACCGAAGATATCAGTTTCGACAAATTTCACTAATGTGACTGCCCATGCTCAAATTGGACCCTAAGAGGACATCTAACTTACTTCTTCACAGTGTCTCATGGTATAAATATTGCATCTTGTACAACCACATCATTTGAACTTGTATTTTTCAGATGTGTATTTGGACCACATAAATTACATTCTGATTTACTTAATTCAATTAAATTTAATTTCAACATATTTCTTGTTATACTATCTTTAATCTTAGAACTAGTATTCTAGTTCTATGCTTTAATGTCATGTGTACAGTTAGGAGATGGAGCAGTTTTTGAAAGGGAGTAATTTGCGATCAGCTGTGTATCATCTGCATAGTTGTCCTAAATTCTTAGCATACATTACAGAAAAGACAGGTCCAAGGACTGATCCTTGTGGAACTCCCGAATCATCTGTACGGTACTACACAGGGTTGCTGGAAGTGGGTTGCTTGGGGCATTGTCTGGCCTAATAACAGGGGCGTACATAACGATTTTGTTTGTTTGCATATACCCTTAGTACGAGTTTTCTAGGGACCATGTGCAGTAGCGGATCTAGAAGCTGGGAATAGGGGATGGGGTGGGGCGGTTCCAAATCTAGGGCACCATCCACAATCCTACCCTACAATGAATGTCAACAAAATACTGGTAGAACATAGATAGTATTGTATAGTTGTTCGCCGATCGTTGTCTCGCCGGAAAGCAGTTTTATTTATGTTGACATAAAGTTTATGTCATATATGATGATTGTGCTGAGCAACCTGAGAAAATTTTGAAAAATTGAGTCAATATCCTGGCATTTGAGGTCATTGCTGGGAGAAATTCTTGGGGACAAGAGGGTCAGAAATGTGAGTCAATGGGACAGAATCTCGAGATCTGCCCCTGGTAATTCCGCCTGTTTTGCAAGAATTGACATAACATTTGTACAGTCTGACGCCCCACGACCCACACACCAATAGTACTACTAATGTAACTGGTCAGTTCACCATAACCGTGAATATGATAGTGCTGAGACAGTATAAGACAACAGAAGAGTGGAAGAATGATGTTATAACCGATCTTTTAATTTTTTGGGACTGGGCCTGAAAATTTAGTCAATGTCATGGCAAATGGAACCAAATTCTCGTTAACATGAGAATAAGAAATGGGACATAAACTAGAGGCATATCTGTCAATTTCGCCTGTTTTGTGAGAGTAGAAATAACAATTCTACAGTCTGTCGACCCACAATCCACTCACTGGTGGTATTGTAACTGTGAATATGATAGTGATGAGATAGTATAAGAAAGAGGACTTGAAGAATGATGACATAATGGAATTGAGCGCCGAAATGTAACTATGCGCTTTTAATTTTTGAGAGCACTTTATCTCAATGGGGCGCTTATTTGGTCTTTGAAATGCTTGGGGGGAGATTTTGCAGAATTCTGATGGCCAGAAAACACTTACAACATGAGTAAAATACGTTTCAATTCCTCCTGGGATTGAATATGCAAGAAGTAAAAAATAAGTGCAATAGATCGCCTTAAAATTTCATAATTTAAAGATTTTTTTACGTATTTCTGAAACAAGCTATACTTCCGATAACTTCTAACCAACTGTTCGACTAATATTATTCGTATGACAACCAAGAATAAATTTTGAAATATTAAAATCTTCGTAACAAGCTCTCTCAATTTCTTAGACCAACATACCCATAACAGGGATTTTTTTTTCAAACATGACAAGCTGACTAGGTTATCTTATACTATACCGTTGCAATTTAGGTGCACAGATTCACACAAAATTATTCCCTTCTATTCTGGCATTGTTTGTTTACCTCATTAATTCATTTAGTCTGAGACCGACTGCAGTGAACACTTTTTTTGAGACCGACTATAGTTTTGTGTGACGTATGCATAATTTTGAGACCGACTGCAGTGACTGCACTTATGTTGAGACCTACTATTTTTCCTCCCTGGGGAAAACTTTGTTCTTAGACCAACATACCCATGCAACAGATTAAGAAGAGTGACACACAACATTTTTTCAAACATGATAAGTTGACAAGGTTATTTTATATCAAAATAGAGACTTTTGGCAAGCGGAATTTTTCCCATCCGTATCACGTATCCATATCGTCACGTCACGTGATACGTTGCGTCAAAGTAGTTTTAGAGATTTGGCAGATTTTCGCGCCGTGTATATATGAGTAGCTGAGCTGAGCTTAGTTCTATTATAGCATGATGACAGTTATCTACCAAGCGAGAGAGGGGGAAATGGGGTTTAACGTCCACTCGACACAAACTAGGTCATTTCGGGACTAAGATATGGTATTAATTTTATTTCAATAATTTGCCTGTGCGTAGCGGGTCTTTAGCGGTGGGCGGAAACCGGAGGACCCGGAGAAAACCCACGAGGTTGGACAGGCGACCCTACTCCTTGTCACGTACATCCGGGGATTCGAAACCACGCCAGTTGACTCAGACAGGCCTTATGATATAGCATCATGTAATTTATATGTTTTAGCATATAGCAAACACTACGTCTCAAAATAAATTCCTCATAGCCTCAAATGGTATTCGGAAAAATTTAATAGTTAGCCTATATATATTGAAGTAGTAGACAAGATCATTCATAAAAAAATAATTAAAAAAAATAAAAAATCAATAGGCAATTTATGGGAAATATTTGAATTTAGGGATTTTCTTTTTTTTTAAAATGTCGTTTTCTTTTCTCTAAAATGACCATAGCTGGTTCTTCTTACAAGGTTGGTGACCCTCATATTTCATGTGGGATATTCTTAACTGCACGTGATAAATCCTGCACAGATTCTAAAGAATATCTGAAACCCATGGTTGGCTACATTTACTTTTCTAATTAAAGTATGACAACATGTGGTTGCAAGTAACCTGCTGTGTAATACATTTACACGTCTATTGTGTATGGTCTAGTTCTAACGGTAACAGGTTGCTTTTGAACATGAAACGACGTTTTAAAACCGGTAATATCCAAGATTTCACGGTTCAGTGATTTTAATCCCACGTCCAGTTATCTCCCTTGGATTGACACCCAAATTCAACACGACCACATTGCAGTCAACATGAAAAAGCGAAAGTACACCCTCTCGGTCCCTCCTGATGATGATGACCATGGCATTAGTAGCATCGTTCCACCTGAATATATCATCTATTTTTCTGGATTTTTGGTAGGTATATATTTGTGATATTTAGTTCAGCGAGGAAATGAATAATACAAACAATAACAAACGCTTACACGAATCATTTCTGATTTCATCATATTGATAATTGATTGATGGCATCTAAAATAATGAGGTATACGGCGTTTGATACACTGGAGCCGCAATACATCGCATTCATTGGAAGGCAGGTCCGACGGGTGTGCACCCCTATAACGATCCTCAATCTTTTTATCAGAGTAAACAATATGTTGAATATCTGATATGTTGAATATCTGATATGTTGAATATCTGTCTGTTTATTGCTTTAGATCATGAATGTACCGTTAATGGAATAAAATGGGGTTTAACATCCTGTTGTTCTTCTCCGATTGGGCTAATAATAGCATGTGCTATGAGGGAAATTTTGCCCGGACAGCAGCCCTATGGCCTACTCTTACCAGTATATCGAATTCCCAAGCTAAGGGTTATTTTATGAGCACACCAATGTCACAATGTGTACATGAGACCTTGATATTTCTCAACCCACACCAGGATTGAACACGGGACCTCCAGGTTAGCGAGCGAACATCTTATTAACTGAACCACCGTGGCTCCTTTAGATCATAAGGTTTGTCATTAAGTCAGGTGGTGTGGTTTCAACCACACAGTTTCCTCCAATGTCTAAAAAAAACTTCCATATACGCACGCAAATTACTGAAATAAAAATTGCACCATATTTTAATATTTTAGCCCCATATTTAACCTAGTGTTTGTCAAGTGCAGGGGCGCGTACATATGAATTCTGTTTGGGCAGGGAGGGGGGTCGAGTGGGAGTTTAGAGCAAAAATGACTGATGCACAGGCTCCTAATACGAGCGACGCTTCCACGATATCTACTAGAGTTCCTGAAATGCCATTTCCTGGACTTTGGGGGAAGATTTTGCAGAATTCTTATGTTCAGAAAACTCTTGCGCGAGTTTTCTAGGGCAGTCTAGGGACATGCTCCCAAGGATAAATTTTTGAATCTACAGTCCCTGAATTGCCAGTTCCTGAACTTTGGGGGAATATTTTGCAGAATTCTGATGATCAGAAAACACTTATAACATGACTAAAATTGAGTACTACGCATGGGAATTCATGTTATTTATTAAGAATTTTGAAAGAACGTATAGGCCCCTAAAGTACTGTGAATCTGTGACTTCTTATGAAAGTGATAATAATTACAAAATTTACATGGACCTATATTTTCGATGTATGGTTGTAGTGAAGATACGTAAATTAGCAAAGATATGACTATATCCTCATATTTTCATCAAGCGTTCACGCTTAGTCAATTTTGACCACCGATTTTGTCAAGATCAATCGTGATTGTCAGGTCACACTTACACACAAGAGGCAATAGTTCATTGAGGTGCTCCTGTTTCATTACTGAACACATTTAAAACAGTTTTTACTAATTTGAGCTTTGAAAAAATGGCTTGTATTGTGATATCCTATCAACACAATCAAACGTACAGATAAATTCATACATATATTAAGTATTTGGGATTTTTCCTTCTATTTTGGCATTGTTTGTTTACCTCATTAATTCATTTAGTCGACGATGCATAATTTTGAGACCGACTGTTTTTATTTGAGAAGTTGTATCAGGTTGTCATTTATCAGATAGGCCTGCACATTAGAAAAATTAACAGAAAAAAACTAGATGAAATTGGAAATATTTGTGACAGTATATGATTATATATTTCAGGATTTATTTGGAGTTAGTATGATATTACCCTTAATTTTACCGCAAGCTAGAGATCTGGGTGCTTCATCAACATTGGCAGGAATATTAGGTAGGTTTCATGCTACCAGGGCAACCAAGACAACAATTTCCAAGTTGTATTGGATATCAGAAGCCCATCTTTTCCCGGGACGATCACAACATCAATTTTGATTTAAATTGACGAATAATTTGTGTTTTCAACGTAGAAGACTTTGGATGAAATTAGAGACTTAGTTACTTTAAGAAAACAAAATGTTACAACTCTGTTGTTGCTAGATAGCCAATATCATTCATTATGCAGGAGCTAAATCTATCTATTTCCAATTGTTTTTTGCCGTAAAATGTTACATAAATTATTAACTAGACATTTATTCGCCGGAGAAACCCATAATCATTAACTCTTTAGACTGTCGGATGGCCAAGTTATTAGATTGATTAGAACACCTTTGCCATTCTATTGGCCCATCTTCATTAGCTCAGTTGGAGTAGGACGTTGATCCCCATTTCACTTCCATTCTATTGAATTCTCACATCAAACAATATGCAGTTAGTCACAACCATCAATCACCATCTGCCCAAAAATTATCAGATCCATTTGATATCCCGATCCATGGACACCCTGTGTATTTTCGAAAGATTAGATATCAAGCTAACATTTGATGTTGTTGACATCGATGAAGTTTTAAACTATATTCAATTCTTTTCCAGGTTCAGTATATGGAAGTATGCAGCTGTTTTCAGGACCCATAATAGTAAGCTATTATAATGAGTTTTTGTTTAGAAACATTATGTGATGTCATGATAGGAAGTTAGCCAAAAAGAAAGACAGGAAATGAAATCGGGTTGAATGCCCAGCTTGGACAGCTGCATTTCCATCTACCTTACTCCTCAACGAATTCCAACTGTTAAGGGTTCTTTTACATGCACACCAAGCCGAGACAGGTAGATCCCTTATTGCCTTGCCAGGCCTTTCTCGCCTGCACCAGGCTGGAAAATCATGTTAATCAGAATTAGTTTTATTGACACAAGGGTCTCTCTTTAATGTGCTATGTCTAATTTCTAATGACAAAGAAGTCCCAGTGTATCATTTGTCTCCCCAAAATATTTTTTATATGGGTTGAAATTATTCCTGGCAATTGATATGTAAGATATTGGAAAACTTTTGGGGTTTTAATATTCAATTTATTTTAGTATGTGTCTTGATAGATATATTATTGTATATTTCAGGGAAATTGGAGTGATTCAATAGATCGTCGAATGAGTTTAACATTGGTACTATTTCTATCAGCAGTTGGTTATGGTTTATTAGGAATAGCGACATCTATAGCCATGATGTTTCTGGCAAGACTTCCACTTGGTAAGAAAAATGCCACTTTTACTATTGGTAAGAGTAAGTTTAAGCTCTAGTGTTGGGGCAATTTGATGTAGAGAGCTGACTTTAGCCAAAGATAGAGTGGTGCAATACACCTCAGGTATTACAGGAAAGGGAGGATGTTGAGATTTAACAAGATATATTTTCTTGAAGGTATATCTAAATCATATCTTGTATATTTTCAGGTATATTTAAACACAGTCAGGGTATATCTAAATCATATCTGGCAGATTTTATACCTGCACACGACAGAAATACTGTTCTTGGCCATTTTAATGCAGCTTCAAGTATTGGTTTTATCCTTGGACCAATGGTCGGAGGACATATAGCCGAGCTACCTGGTGGTTTTAACATGGTCGGACTTTTATCGGCTTTTATATTCATTTTAAACAGTGGTGAGTTTCTAAAAACTGTCTAATCTTCAGTCCTTGAAATAACATACTAGTACTGGCCAGTGAAGGGCATGTAGTGAAAAAATCAATCAAAACACAGAAAAAAGACAAATCAGTGCCTGATAAAATGTCAGACATGACATAAGAGCAATTGCACCTGTCTGAGAGAGGTTACTTAGTTCCAGGTTGGATAATCTGCATTTGAGAAAAAGCTGAAGATCGTTTTAACGCTGGAATTTTATTGGGGTAGAAAATTGGTCCATTGCGTTTTTTGGTTGAGTCAAAAGATCAGGCTTGGAAATAAAACTAGTCTCTTTCATACAAACTATTATGGACAGTCCTACACTTTAGATACATCTGTACATTTAGTTGAAATTTCGATCCAACTCTCTTAGTGGAAGAAACAGCAGTAACTTGTCATTCTGGTCATGAAATTACCTGTAGATTTACCAAAGATTTTTACAGTACATCCAAGCTCTTACAGTACAGAAAAGGCCCTTTCAACAGAGTTCTTTATATCCGATCTCTTACAGTAAAGGTCCATTAACTAGAGTTCTTTATATCTAAGCTCTTACAGAAAAGGCCCTTTCACCTGAGTTCTTTACATCCGAGCTCTTGCAGAAAAGGCCCCTTCAACAGAGTAAAGGCCCTTTAACCAGAGTTCTTTACATCCAAACTCTTACAGAAAAGACCCTTTCACCAGAGTTCTTTACATCCGATCTCTTACAGAAAAGGCGTTTCACCAGAGTTCTTTACCCCCAAGCTCTTGCAGAAAAGGCCCTTTCAACGGAGTTCTTTACATACAAGCTCTTGCATAAAAGGCCCTTTTAACGAATTTCTTTACATCTGTCTCTTACAGAAAAGGGCCTTTCCCCAGAGTTCTTTACCTCCAAGCTCTGGCAGAAAAGGCCCTTTCAGCAGAGTTCTTTAACCACTGAGCTCTTATAGAACAAGCCCTTTCCCGAGCTCATGCAGAAAAGGTCTTTTCACCCGTTTTCTTCCATCTGATTATAATGTTTGCATATATTTTAGAATGTCAAAATAAACCATTGGTTTTTTTTTCTTCAGGTTTGATATGGTTGACCTTGCCATCTGTGAAACCTTCACATCATCTTAATTTAGCCAGAGAAGACTCAGTTACCTCCCTTAAAAAACTCAACTCTGATGAAATCAATTTTAGTCCACGCTTATTTTTGGATTCCTTAAAACAAATTGATTGGAAAGATTTGTGGGATTGGTTTTTGATCAAATTCTTGATGGGATTTTCCGTGATCTTATTCCGCAGCAATTTTTCGTTGATGACCAGAGAAAAATATGGCGTTGGTGCCATGATGAATGGATATTTAATGTCATTCAGTGGTGCAACAGCATCACTTGCAGGGTTTTTTGTTGGAAGGATTTCAAACCGTTATAGAAATGATTATAAATTGATCAAACACATGTCCCTTTTATTAACATTTACCTTATTAGGACTGATAACATCACCTAATATGTGGATTTTAGTGATGTTTTTGCCAATTTTGAGTCTTGCAACATCTGTTTTAAGAGTAGCGACAACATCGTTAACGATAGAGCGAGGTAAAAATCAAGGTATTGGCGCCACAATTGGACTACATCAGAGCATAATGTCCATAGCCAGAATGTTGTCCTCTGTTATAGCAGGTGTTTCTCTGGAATTCAGCAACTCTGGACCTGGAATTCTTGCTTTGTTTTCAAGTTGTGTAGCTTTAATACTGCTAATATTACGACCTCAGGATGCAGCCTCAAAGAGGAAGAAAAATAACTGATTACTGTATGCCACGCTATTCTAAACAATTTGTCAACAACAAAGTCATCTAAGCCTTCCCATTGGTTTATTTACTAGCAGCATAATACTAACCATCAGGGATCTTGATTTAATTATATTTCCCAGTCTTGACTGATGGACATTGAAATTGACCAACTAGTGTTCTCACCTGTCAGTCAGTCTATTTACTTACAATTAAATTACAATTTCAAAGAATTTAACCTGTGTTTTACGGGGTATACTGTTTTTTTGGACCTTCATCCATAGATAAGGCTATGCAGTGTATAAGACAAATGTTTTTCAATATGGCAGCAATCTTTTACAGTCCTTCACATTTAACGTGTGCTTTCGTCTTGCGCCTGTCGACGCACCTCAACTTATCTTCAATACGCTTGCAAATTAGCTAAATCGCTCCCTAAATATTGAAATTCATAAACTACCATACTTTCAGTTTTTTTTTTATTTTTAAAACTGCGTATATTTTCCATGTTTCCATGGTAAAACTAGGGCTACCATAATTCTTCACCAAACATATTGACCTTTGTTTTCATTCTGATATTGAATGCTAATGTAAGGCTTGTTTTAATTGTATAGAAGTCTGAAATCAACCAATAGAATACAATGTTACTTTACAGTCTAATATATCCTAATTTGAAAGGAAGGTTTTGTAATTTTCAGTTTGTTACTAGAGGCAAAGACCTATATTTTACAAATTTTATTCAGTTTTAGTAATTGTTGAAGGCTTTTTAATTGTGGGGCTTTCAAAGACCTATGGTTTCTATTGTAATTTGGAAGGAAGGTTTTTAATAGTGACAAAGACCTATGATTTCCTATTGTAATTTGGAAGGAAGGTTTTTAATAGTGACAAAGACCTATGATTTCTAGTTGTGATTTGGGAGGAAGGTTTTATTATTATGTTTTATCTAGTTGCCATGACATGTTTTCTCCATTTTCAAAGACTTATGATTTCCAATTGTAATTTGGAAGGAAGGTTTTGTAAATGTTAGGTGTTACTAGTTACACTGTACAAAGACCTGTGATTTCGAAGAATGTTTTGTAATTGTGAAGTTTATTTACTAGTTTCAAAGACCTGCAATTGTTATTTTGAATGAAACTTATTGAAGATTTTGTAATTATGGGGCTATCACTTATGACAAAGACCTATGATTGTTCACTAGTGAGAAAGACTGTGATTTCCATTTGTAAATTAAGGCAATCTATTATTGTCAGGTGCGAATCCGTGTTGGGGGGGGGGGGGGGGCACCCCATTGAGACTGGTCATCACTGTTCAGACCAGCACCTGCTGCCAGCAATGGGATTCCCAGATTTTAGTTTCTGTTTAATGAGGCCGCGACAAAGATTCTGGGGACTACACCAAACCACTAATGCATGCAGCACTCTGATTATTACCCTTTGCTCCAATGTATGCCCCCCCCCCCCCCCTCGACAAAATCCTGGATCCAAGCTTGATTATGGGGGATTTAGTGGTAGCAAAGACCTATGATTTCCAGTGGAGATTTGGAATGAAGGTTTTTAATTGTCTACAATGTAATCAATTTAATTTTTTAAAAAATGTTTTAGCATTTATTTTATGTACAAATTGTTAGAAATTAATGCAATTATGTTTTGTATTGATAGAGATTTAAGTAGTGGCAAGAACCTATGATTTCCAATTGAGATGTGGAAGGAGAGTTTTGCTATTTAAATTGTAATGAAATTAAATCTTTTTAAAACCTAATTTTGCATTTATTTTATGTATTTACTTATTCTGAATGCAATTATTAATAAGGTATTGACGCTAAAAGTAGTTAGGATTTTAGTAGTGGCAAGACGTATGATTTCCTGTTGAGATTTGGAAGGAGAGTTTTGCAGTTGTCTGCTAATAATATACTACATGTATAATCCTTGAGTGGCATTTAGTGATTGAGCACATTAAAAAACACAACACAATTTATATGGAAAACAATCACTGGTTTATACACATATAACACAATGTTTCGACAAGTATTCTTTTATCGTTATCATTTGTACTTGATAACCACAAGAGAATACTTGTAGAAACATCCTGCTATATGTGTATAAACCAGTGATTGTTTTCCATATAAATTGTGTTGTGTTTATTATACTACATGTATTTATAATGTAATCAAATTAACTTTTTCAAAAACATGATTTTGCATATTCTGAATGCAATTATTTATTTGGTATTGATGCTAAAAGTAGTTGGGATTTTAGTAGTGGCAAGACCAATGATTTCCTATTGAGATTTGGAAGGAGAGTTTTGCAGTTGTTTGCTAATAATATATTATTTATAATGTAATCAAATTATTTTTTTAAGAAAAACTTGATTTAGCATTTATTTTAAGTACTTATTCTGAATGCAATCATTCTTTTGATATTAACCCTAAAAATAGTTGGGATTATAATAGTGGCAAAGACCTATACTATGATTTCCAGTTGAGATTTGGAAGGACGCTTTTAATATAGTGAATTTTTTAAAAAAAATTGATTTCTGATTTAGTTTATGTACAAATTGTGAGAGATGGATGCAATTATATTTTGTATTGCTCTTGAAATTAGTAGTGGCAAAGACCTATGATTTCTAGTTGAGATTTGGAAGGATGGTTTTCTGTCTAGGCCTACCAGTAATAAACCAATTACAGTTTAATCAAATTAATTTCACAATTATGATGGATAAATGCAATTACATTTTGTAAGGACACTGAACTTTTTTTTATCCATTTAATATATTTCAATATACATTATTTATCACCAATGATTCGGTCTGTATTAACGGGAATAGTAAAGTGACACGTAGCAATCCCAGCTCTACAGGGGAAGCGATATGTGTGTGTTGGTTTGAACAAATGGTCAACCACTGAGTCGCTGTTACAAAATATGACATATTTAAACACAATTTCTCATATATTACAGAGATGTAATACAAATTATTATAACAAGTTAGTTAAGAACTGCTCTAAACAATGTTTCTAAATACCTGGTTCCTTGAAAGACTTAATTGCTATTACATTGAGTTATATACTGCTCTTAGACTGCCTCAAATGTGGTTGTATAAAGTAAATTGTTCATCATTCCAGTAGCAAAATGAAATAAACATCTAGACAGTTAAAAATTATTTGAGGAAATTTCACTCAATTGAATTTTCCCAAAGTGGCCTGGACTCTTGACTAGACCTTGTCTATGAGTATGACTGGGTTTATGATAATATTTGTCAAGAGAGATTAGTAATATCCACAGATATTGATGTGTAAGGATAATTTTATTATCGTTCAGTCTTTGTTATGATTTTGTATCATATTTCAATTTGTTTATGATTTTTTATCATCTTTCAATTTGTTTATATAATATTTTAAGGGAGATTAATATATTAACCAGATTGTTATAAGAATTCTGTAATAAACTATTCATTTTATGTAATAGTCAGTGTTTTATACAGCCTTTCCCTAGTCCTGTTCATTTTCATTTCTGACTTCTTTGAGGGAGCCACACTAACAAGGTCAAATGTTTGATCCCAGTTTTGATCAAGAAAATTCCCCGGGATTTTTCACCACTGTTTCGTGTATGCATTGGTGTACACATAATGGGGTTTAACGTCCACACGACACAAACTAGGTCATTTCGGGACTAACACATGCTTCAATCTTATTTCAATAATTCGCTTGTGCTAGGGATGATTAGCAGTGGGAGAAAACCTATGAGGTTGGACAGGCGACTCTACTCCTTGTCACATACAACCAGGGAATCGAAACCACGCCAATTGACTTAATGACAGACCTTATGATACAGCACGCACATACTAACCATTCGGCCTCCAACCCCTGCATAAAAAAACAAAAAGACATACCGGTCTTGTACATTTGGCCCCCAAATTTTTAATAGCCAAAACAATCCAGAGTTTGTGTAGTTTCTGTAATGTGGGCATAATTTTCTATGCTCATGTGCTTCTATACATTTATCTCAAACTAATAAATGACTATAACTGTTTTGGCAAGTAAACACTAAACATATTTTGAACAGTTTCAAACTTTTTTATTTTTCTATGTACAGTAACAAACAAGTGTTAACAGTTAACGTTAATCAAAATGATTTTTTTAATTCTTACATCTGATAAATAAAAGTAGACAGATAACTATGAGTAATATAAAATAAATTACATGAATTTCTTTAAATCTGATACATTTTTACATGAAAGCAAGACAATGTATATTTTGCCAAGAAAATAGTATTAATATTTACATGTGTATTCTAATAATTCAAGTGACCGGACATCTGTGATTAATGTAAATCTGTCTGCCCTACTTTCTACATAAAGGAATAGTTAGATAATATATTTGATAGAGCTGGCCTAGTGTTACTACACATGCCATTCCATCTAAAATGATGGAAAATACTGAACAAAAAGAATTTATATCCTAAACATTGCAGAGTATTTAAATAACACAAATAAATTTCATATAGATCAGTAACTTCTGCCATAACTCTGGATGAAATTAACAGACATTGTTAAAATTCAATAGGATTCTTTATTTCAAAATACTGCATATAAAGATCATACCGACTGGATGATAACTTTTGTGGTTAGAGTGTTCAAATCCTTCTACAAAGTGAAACAAGGACCTTAACTCGAGAAGCAATTAATTAAAATTGTTGAAATTCGATAAATTTCTAAATTGTACTCATTTAAATAATGCATATAAATTTCACACAGATTGGTGTAAATTAAAGAAGTTTTTGTTCAGGTACTTATTTTCTGAAATTGAAATTTTATTCACAAGGTTCTACAAAGTAAAACAAGCGCCATGACTCTAGAAGTAACAAACAGAAACTGTTGAAGTTCAATGGGCTTCTTCACCTCACTAACGTAAAAAAAAACCCTCAAAACATATAAATTTTAAAACGATTGGATGATAAATGTTGTCTGTAGAGTGTTCGCAAGAAATTGTAGTAGACCGACCTGGGACTAAAAAAAAAACAGAGATGAGCCAGAAGGTTAATAAATTTTTTCCTTTTTATTTAAATTGAACAAAAAATAAGTAATTAGAAGTGTTCTTTAGATAGAAATTTTGACAATAAAAACAAAACAAGGGCTGACCCGTGAAACAAAATAAGGACTGGACATTTAGATGATTAAGATACATTATGTAAGATTTAAATAAAGACCTTACCATTATTGCTATAATATACATGTAGTTCAAAAACAAATAATGAAAATTGAATATATTGAAAATTTCATTCAAATTAATTTATTCGGAGCAAAGTTATGAGTGTTTGAAGATATAGCATAGATCATTCATTATCATAGCAACGGTACTTGACAACCAAGACTTGGCCCTGATTGTCCATTTTATCGTTCAATCTTGTGGATGTTTAAATCCATTTAAAGGAGCTAAATCTCTATTCTTTGGCAACTAGAAATGGACTGTACAAATGGGTTGCAACACATAATAATGTAATATGAATGTATATAAACTAATTTCTTATCAGTTATGGTTGGTGAAATATGCCAAGAGTCCAAATTGAATGGCAGTCTTTGGCGTCTGGTTATTCCAATCTACACTGGTAGTATTCTCCTCTGGGATATGTTTAGCCTCGTTCATTGAGTCACTTCATTACAAATGGCACTCGAAAGCATTCTAAATCACGATTTGTGTGCCAATTTTAAAACTTCCATTTTATTGTAAATATTGGATATCAGAAGCCCTTATTTTCACATAAGATAACCTCAAAACTGATTTAAATTGACCAATAAGTCGTGTTTGCAATGTTGAAGACTGTGGATGATATTGAGTTAGAGACTTGCCTCCTTTAAAACATGGCCATCCAATGTCCTAGAGAATTGATTATAAGCTTGTTATGATAACTTAATTTTTATAACATTCAAAGCCAAAAGAAAGGACTGCATTAGACAGATTTAGCTCTTACATAACGCATCTTCAACAAGTTAAATGTAAAAATAAACTTAGGTTAGATGCCATCTTGGCCTCGATGTCTATGGATATAAATGAGTTATCCTTTAGCTCTTAATGAACCACTATAAGAGCAAAAAAGATGAGAGGGTGAAGTCAATAGAAAGTAATGGGTTCTCATTATTTTCTATTGACTTCACCCTCTCATCTTTTTTGCTCTTATGATGGCCATTGATTGATTGTAACAATTTTTTGAACGATAAGCATTTTGGGAAAACTAATTTTTACTGTGTATGGTCTGAAGCTGAAAGTCTGTTATGCTTTTTATTCTGGAATGTTGTGATTGATTATACATTGTAATATCTTTTCTAAATTCTAATCTGTTAGATACAAGAAAGAGTCAAGAAATTTTAATAATTTGAATAACTGATAGGGATGACTCTCTTCCAACATATGGATTTTGATTAAAGAATCATATATCATGGGTTGCTCAAACAAAAACTTTGATGACTGAAAGACACCAGAAAAAAATCTTATAACTTTAAATATATATTTAACTCTCAAATAATTATTTTCTAAGAACACAAGAAATTTGATTAGATTGTAAAACCCATGTCCATAAATTTGCTGTCTATACAAAAACACAATAAAACAACAAAATAAAAAATAGAAATAAATATTTGCTTTGAAACCATAAACAATGGCCGACAAAATATACTTTGATTTACCACTAAAACATATTGTCATAGTAACCAAAAATAAAATAATGTAATGTAGGTTTCTTTCACCAAACTCTTTATAATATCAAAGCGGCTGATCAACAGTGATTGTGATTTGCATGTTACGCACATCTAATTTTAAATGGCTATATCCACGATAAAAGGTACTCAAATTGATTATTTATCATTTAATTAATAAAACAAAACCAAAATATTAAATGTAGATTATCTCCTTGGATTCAATCAGATTAAAAAGGCTATTCAAAAGATTACACTTACAGGTGTAGCTAGCTTGTTTATATTGTATGTAGAGATTGTCAAATTTTGAAATCAACAAAAAAAACCAAAACATTTTTGTGCCAATATTCTTTTTGTTATCATATTTTAAAATACAAGGGATTCAAAACCCCTTAAAGGACGACAAGGGGTTGTAATCGATCTCTAAAATTTACTATTGTCCAATATAACAAAATATTCCCCGTAAATTTCACATAAAATAAACCGACAGTGAAGTATAAATGTTTTCTTGTAATTTAATCCATTAGCACTTGGTACATGTAAATATAGACTACCCCAGTTGCTTGAAGAAAATCAGAGAAAAGTACATCCCTGAACAGATCGAAACTGTTGTCCCCATAGACCACCCGAGATACATTATAGCTTACCGTATTGTGTGTGTCACAGCTACGGGGTGTTCTAAGGAGCCCTGGCTAGGGCAGTTTAGTGCTAAGTGCTCACACAAATATTCATATGCCAGTAGCTGTACAGGGCTATTTCACTGATGTTTTGGGGTATTCATTATTCAATGTCAATTGAAGTTAATAAATGAAATGGGGTTTAACAGCCTACTGTTGTGCAATGACAGGGTCAATGAAGACAGTTGAAATTAACAAATTAAAACTAATTCTGTCTTTTTTTATGAAATATTGTATATATTAATTTAATGAAAACAACTTAATATTCAAATATAAATAAAAAGGTCAGGTTACTCAGTCAACAACAGTTTAAATTCAACTGCATTTGAATCAATGTTTGTGAGAAATATTTGTGAGCACCTTTGAATCATTCCAGTGTTTTTGTTTAGTTTACCCAAACTGTTCTTGAAATTTTTGTCATCGATGTTGAATGGCATCTAGCCAATAAAAACTGTCTATTCGATTAGGTGAATAAATATGGTATCTTATCCCAAGTGATTTTGTATTATAAAAAACATGGAATGGTTCAACAGAGGTTAGAAACATTTTTGTGGATGATGATGCTTTCGATAAATTGTGGCATGGTCAGCGAGTCACCTTTTTGAAACTCTTAACAATAGAAATTACTACTGTTTATTAGACAATCATATCAATGTTATGATATGCCTTGATCAGTTCTTATTCCATTGGTTAACAAGCCTGATTATTTATGATTCCATTGGCTGACATGCACTGATTGTTTATGACTTCATTGGTTGACAAGCCAAATTGTTTATGCTTCGATTGGTTGATGTTGATGTGCTTGTATGCTTCCATTGGTTGACAAGCCTGAATATTTATAGTTAACTCTTTTATCATTTATATTTTATCTTAGACAAAAGGGCATCAATGTTCACAGATTTCAAATCAGGTGCTTTTTTTCTTTTCTGAAATACAAAAAAATAAGAATTACATGTAATTTAATGTTTAACATTGTAAACCGCTATAATTAAATGGTTCATATTTAACATTGTACGACTGTTATAAATGGTTCATAATTAACATTTCACGACCACTATAAAACATTATGTAAGAACTGAATCTGTCTATTGCAGGTCTTTATTTGGGCCTTAAATGTTATATAAATAATTATTAAATTAGACATTTATTAACATAACAAGCTGATAATCATCTCTTGATGCCATCGGATTGCTCAAATCTTAAGTAGATTTGACTGGTTCGGAAAGAGAGAGAAATGGGGTTTAACGTCCACTCAACACAAACTTAATTGGTCATTTTGGGACTAACACATGGTTCAATTTTACTTTAATAATTCGCTTGAGGGTAGGGTCTAATAAGCAGTGGGAGGAAACTGGAGGACCCAGAGAAAAACCACGAGGTTGGACAGGCGACCCTACTCCTTGTCAGATACAACTGGGGAATCGAAACCATGCCAGTTGACTCAATGACAGACCTTATGATACAATGCACACACGCTAACCATTCGGCCATGATTCATATTCAACTTAGTAAGATGAAATCAAAAGTTTATATTTAACCTATGACCAGTATAAATGGTTCATAAATGTATCTAAACCAATATAAATGGTTCATATTTAATGTACATACCTTTTTTTTCTGTACTATATTTGGAGAATCTGCTGACTGTAATAGATGAAATACAAACTCAATAAGATAGGTTGCCAGGCAACGAAACATACGCCCACAGCAGCAAAATCGTCCGAGCGGTCGACAAGGGTTGTCGCATATTTATTCCTTTGTAGGTAATTGGGGGCCTTTACAAGACAGTTCCATACAGATCAGATTATAATTTTTGCCGTTTGAGGGTTCACAAGGTTTTACAAACTGAAACAAGGGTCTCAACTCTGGAAGTAATCTACAGAAATTGTTGAAATTTGACAGGCTTTTTCGTTTTACTAATTTAAATAATGCATATAAATTTCATACAGATTAGATGATCACTTATGTCATAAGGTTCACAACCGCCATAACTCTAGAAATTATTGACGGAAATTGCTGAAATTCAACAGACCTCTTCACAAATTTAAATGATGCATATAAATTTCATACATATCGGATGATAACTTTCATCAATCGAGCATTAACAAGGTTGAACAAAGTGAAACAAGGACCATAACTCTAGACGTAATAAACGGAAATTTCTGAAATTCAATAAGCTTCTTCGTTTCACTAATTTAAATCATGCATATAAATTTCACAAAGATTTGGTGATAACTTTTGGCGTTAGAGCGTTCACAAGGTTCAATAAAGTGAAACAAGGGCCATTACACTAGAAATATTAAACGGAAATTGCTGAAATTCAATAGACTTCTTCGTCTTACTAATCTAAATAATACTTATAAATTACACGGTTAAACAAAGTGAAACAAGAGCCATAACTCTAATTTCCCTAATTTAAATATTGCATATAAATTTCACAAAGATCAGATGTTAACTTTTGGCATTAGAGCGTTCACAAGGTTCAACAAAGTGAAACAAGGGCCATAACTCTAGACGTAATGAACGAAAATTATTGAAATTAAATAGGATTCTTCATCTCACTAATGCAAACAACATATATCAATTTTAAAACAACTGGATGATAACCGACAGACGGACGGATGGGGGCAACGGCAATAGAAATGTGGACGTATAAAAATCGAATTACAATATTGTAACAAAGTGCCTACAAAACACTCTTACCGTAGCCAAACGTCAGAGATTAAGCACCATTCCCCTGGCTATCAAGTGAACAGCATTTCACTCATTGGTATGTATTTTATTTGATCAATGAGTACAGTACATGTGCATGAATTAAAGATACATTATGTAAGATTTAGATAAAGAACGGACCATTCTTGCTATAATAGTTCCAAATAATGTAAATAATGTAAAGTGAAAACATTGAAGATTTCATTCAAATTACTTCATTCTGAGCCAAATTACATGTATCACTGTTTGTAGTTTTGACAGTATCCAATGCCATCAAGAGTTGATTATGGTCTGGATAAGTTAATTAATGGCTAATTAATAATTTAGATAACATTTCAGGCCTAAAGAAAGACCAGCAATAGGCAGATTTAGCTCTTGCATAGTGTATGTTTAAATAACTGAAACATACAGAAATGTCAAGTCACGCTAAACTTCATTGGATTAAAAGACCATTTTATTCGACTTTGAATTTCTCGAATATAAGGCTTCATTGTGGATCTTTTTAGCAATCAGTTGGCTTTAGAGTCAGGTTGTAAAAACACCTTTTATGCAAACTACCAATTTACTGTCCCAAGATTCGAACCTGTGACATTGCAGGTTTAAGTTCAGTGCCCTCACTACACCACAACTACAGCTCTCGTTTTGGTGACATATATTTATAAAAGTACAAACCTTCCAAGAATCGTTAATACTCGTATCTATGGCTTTTCTTTTACCATTTGTTGTCTGCTCTGTTGTCACAGGAGGGGGAAAAGCATTACTCGGCATTGCCAAGGACAATGAGGCCAAGACTTCTGCAGCTTCATTTGTTTCCTTCTGTTCAAATGAAATGGCTGCACTATCCAAGTGTGATATGGTACCAGTATTAACGTTATCTGCAGTATTATCAACACTTTGAATTACAGGAACACTATTACTCAGACTACTGATGATTTCAAATTGTTGATTAAATTCTTTAGTGTCTGCGTCCAAAATATCGACGATTTCCGGTGGAACATTCACAATTTCAGATGGGGTATTCACCGGTATTTCGGGAGGCACAATTTTTTTCGATTTTGATGTGGTGCTTTTCTTATGACGTGATGTTTTTGTCTTTTTACTTGCTTTCCCTTTTTTAACCAAAGGTGAAAATTTAGATAACGCTGATGGTTCTGCCGAAGCAGGTATTTTCGTTGAAACAACTTTTTTAGCGGCTGCTAATATTTTTGGGGAAGGTTTGACCTTTGTTTCTGGCTGATCTAGGTTACGCGCTTTTCTGTGTTTTCGTTTCCCTTTAGGTACTAAAGTTAGTGGCATAATTTCTTGGGGACTTAGTCTCTGTATGATTAATTGTGGGGATCTGCTTTTGTCAGTGTTGTTGCTACATGTATTTTCAGTGGAAGCTGATTTCTTTGCTATAGAAACTTTAGGTTTCCAGTCACGGACGTTGGCATCTGTAAGACTTATCACAGTTTTACCACCATTAGATACAGTTGAAAGTGCTGTCGAAGAAAGATGTGTAATGGTCGCAACTCTTCTCATTTCAATTTTGGATTTCGGCATTGTTATGGGATTGTCTTCACCATTAACAGCAACAGCTTCTGGACCAAAATCTAGGTTTCGCACATGGCACAGCCTTTTTGATATTACCCCGAGTGGCACTGCCGTAAAACTTTCTTCGTCAGTTGACCCATGCACAATGGAAGGTTTATCATCATGGGGATCCAAAGAATAACAAGTCGGAGCTACTTTCTCCTTTGATAATTTGGCAATCCTCGGCGATGCTCTCGTAGCCCTTGACGCACAAGTAGTGTTCGGCTTTCGAAATTCTTTATCTGGGGATTTGATAATAGTTTTTGATAAATTACACGGAGGGATAGGAAACTGATTATTAGGGGTACTCGAACTTGATTGGGAGTTCTGATTAACTGGGGTTATAGGTGATAATATCATCCGATTTTCCTCGAGAGCTGTTTTTAATGAACGTTTGTTGTGAAGTAGCAAATTTTTGCCCCCAGGTGACATCGCGATATCACAGACACTAGTCTCACACTGTTCCGCTTGACTAAGCTCTGGGTAGGAGTCGGATATTATCTGAATACTGTTTGACTCGGAAGTAGCGAAACTTGTGTTTACATTATTCACAGGGTTAAACTGACTAGTAGGTGTTTCACAATGATGTGCAGATGTTTCTTCAAAACCATTAGATATTTCGGGATTGTGTTCTTGTATTTCAAATGTAGTCGGGGTTTTGTACGATTCCCCACAGACAACATAGCCATTGTATGACATCTCATTTGCCTTTTCTGGTATAACGACTAAAGGCTTTTGGGGTGAAGCAATTTTTCCAATATTGGGTAAAACTGAAAAGAAATAAAATTATTGATGTAAGATCCATTTAAGGCAAATTCTGTTTCTTTTTGTTTCATAATAGGTAAGTGCTGTACATGTATGTAACTGTAAGAGGTGGTGGAGCTGTAGGGCACCGGCCTTTTGACTGGAACCTGGTACACATTGGTGAGCACTCACTTTGTAAGTTGGAATTTCAAGAAAGCCTTAAAATAAAACCCCACCAAGTATTATTATTGTGAGACTACCATCGGAGAGAAATGGGAATTGACGTCATCCACTCCACATAAGCTAGGTCATTTCCAAACAAATATATATATTTATTTGAATAATTTACATGTATACAGGTCATGGATTTGTAACAGTGGATTAAACACAGCAGGTTAGGCAGGTCAATCTACCCCATGTCACATTGCCAACTCTTGCATTAGTGACAGATCTTATAAACTAAAGCAATGCTCACGCCTCACAACTAACATAACTGGTTCCATACACCTGGTAATCTTTTTATTCTTGTTGGGGCAACACTATTCCAAAAATAAAAGCCTAAGGCCCACTAAGGGTCTGTAATTTGAGTAAAATCAATATTAACCATGTATTTAACAGACTTTTTTTTTTGATGATGTCACGACTCACAATTGCCAGATGGCTGCAATTATGACTAGAATCATTTGTATATGGAAACAGACATCCCGGATTTCAACTGTCAAATCTAATCCTAGCCACATGACAATTGTGTTTCGGTATTTATAAGAACCTCTATTTACCACAGATTAATATTTCAGGTATATTTTCTCCCCCAGTAATTTAAAAAAAAAAAAAAAAAATACCTTCATTTCCACAAAGTGGTGTTGGTGTAATTCTTTTAGGTCTTTTTGTTTTTGTCTCTGAATTTGGACGTCTCTCTGATGGTGGTATGAAACCAGGGTCTGGTGATGCAATGGATGTTATTGATATGGCGGGTGAGTTCAGATTTACTAGGTTTTGGACTGTTGAAGTTGTGTCTTGTTCTACCAGCGTGTTCATTGATGATTCGCTTAAAACTGATTGTGGCTGCTGGATCGTGTAATCGTGATTTTCAATATTGTTTAAGACTGGATGATTGTCAGTACTTTTTAGTAGATTTATGTTACCAGTGACTGGCACTGATGAATAGTATGTGTTGACGTGTTCGATAGAACTACAGTTAGAGGTACTATTGGTGATAATAATACAGTCTTGCTGAAAATTTGAAGCACTGTTTATAAGATTAGAACTTGAATTGTTAATGTTTGAATTGTTACTATTATCATTGATAGGCAAGTGGTGCGGAACATCATGATCAAGATGTCCGTTCTGTAGTAAAATTGGTTGGTCACAACTTGAAACGTTTCTGTTCTTGTCCTCATTCATATAATTATCCACAAGTTCTGGTGGTGTATGCACTGAAATAAAAAAAAACCCCAATATTTTACATAATAATGACAGTTATTTGTATCCATCTTCTTTTGGCAATCCTTTTTGTTTCTTGATTTGACAACAAAGTTCCATTATGTTACATGTATAATAAGATTATATGCACAATTCCATCATAATAAGTCCAGCTGCAGAAAAGTAGGACATTAAATCCCAATTTGCTTCAATATGAAACAATCAGGGGCCATAATTCAGGAAGTTATGATCTGATACGCGCTAATATCGAAAGGAACCAATATCTTTGGGTTATAAACATGTATTTCAAGTTTCATCAAAATCGAATAAAAATTGTGACCTCTAGAGGGTCAGGGGCGGCCATTTGGTCCGGCAGTTTTAGTCCGATTTTCACGAAATTCGAACTCGGCCAAAATTACGGTATAACAGTGATATATTTGATTTTTATAAATCATATAATAATTGTGACCTATAGAGGTACATGAAGCTAAAAACGTGATTTTTCGTACAATCAGGGGCCATAATTCTGGAAGTTACGATCCGAAATGCACGAATATCGAAAGTGACCAAGGTCTTTGGGTTATAAACTTACATTTCAAGTTTCATCAAAATCAGAAGAAAATTGGGACCTCTAGAGGGTCCACAACTTTGATGTACCATATTTTTACGCTATATGAGTATGCGGGGCAGCCATTTTGTCTGTCAGTTTTGGCCCGATTTTTATGAAATTCGAACTCAATCATCCTTGGGGTGTAACGGTGATATATTCAAACCTTTTTTATATATCGGATAAAAATTATGACCTCTATAGGGTCCACAAGCTAAAAACACGATTTTTCGTACAATCAGGGGCCATAATTCAGGAAGTTACGGTCCGATATGCGCGAATATCGAAAGGAACCGAGATCTTTGGGTTATAAACTTATATATCAAGCTTCAACAAAATCGGGTAAAAATTGTGACATCTATAGGGTCCACAAGCTAAAAACGTGATTTTTCATACAATCAGGGGCCATAATCCATGAAGTTACGGTCCGATACATGCCTATATCGAAAGGAACCGAAAATCTTAGGGAGCTAAACCTATATTTCAAGTTTCGTTCAAATCGGATAAGAATTGTGACCTGTAGAGTGTCCACAAAAATATGCAAAATGCTGTCAAGACTTATAATTAGAAAATTTGGAATTTTCATCTTATACCCTACAAACCAAGCAAGATTTACAACATTCCATCAAGAACTTTGTCCTGTGCTGTGTTCATAAGGATTCATAAGTTTGATGTGAACGGGAAGATAACTCTGAAAACAAAATATTTGAACTCTGACTTGTTCCTGTCGTACGAACAAATGAACAATCCCTGTGAATTTGAACTGTAGTCTTTTCACAAGAAAGTTTGGATTGACGTAGATGACAACAATATACATTGTAAGTCCATATTAAATGTGGTTAAAAAAAATGAATATCTGTGTTAACTTACAGCCTGTTTCTTTCTGGTCATTGTTATCTACTTGTTCATTGGTTGGATGTGATACTGATGTCATCATTTGGTCCATTTCTGCATGTATTGATGATTCTTTAGCTAAAGTATAACACATACATAGTAGTAAAAGTATTGTCAAAGATTAACCCTTTAGCACTTGGTACAAGTATATTTTAACAACCCCACTTCCTTGAAGAAAGTGGATATAATTCTTACTCACTGATATAACTGGACAAGCCACCCCCCCCCCCCCCCCAAATCCTGTTCTTCGAATTTGATTGAGATATGTGAATACGGCAGTATATTAGTTTTTGGTATTCAGATGACTTTTAGGGACATTTATGGAGCTCTATAGTTAATGACGGTTTAAGTGCTAAAGGGTTAAAGCTACTTCAAGGGAGAATAAAAATTGGTTCTTTTAATTTTACTATAGATCTAACAGTGGCTCAGTTCAATCCTGGTGTCTGCTGAGAAGGTACCTGGAGATTTTTCAGCATGGCTTCGCCTTGTAAGTGGTGTAGTATGGAAGGCCTGACAAGGAACAGCAGTTAGTTGTTCGAATGGGGCAAATAAACAAGTCCCATGTACACAATGGCATGTACGTAAAAGAACTGCTTTGTAGTCTAAATGTAATAAAGCCATAGCAAACTTACTGTGTAGAAATCTTATAAATAAGATTGTCACCTGACCTGATAGACTACATGGCAAACTTACTGTGAACAAAAAAATTAAATACGGCTTCAAAAGAAGGATCATTACCAGTAACATCAGCTATATTCTTTATAATTAAATCACTCATAGAATTTACATTTTCCTGAAAAGAAATAATAAAACAAGGTTATACATTATATATTACACTGAATTCAGATTTTGTTTTATGTTTAGTAATTCCAACTTTCTGATTGGAAAATATTGCTCGAATCATGCTAGCAAATAGAAAATGTTAGATGATTTGAACATGACATTTAAGTCAGAAACTTGTAATACAGCATTATAAAAACACAGTATATATTATGTAGTAATATAGCAACATAGGAATTAAACATTTTGAGTAATAACTTGTTTCAGTTTCTGAGTTCCAAGTCCAACCTACAGCTATCACAAGCTATAACTTATACTCTTCAAAAAAAGTAGGGGATATTCACAAACAATGCAAAACTGCGGAAATGCACTGCTGTATTTATTAGAGGTAACCAGTGTATGTTAATAACAGGCCAATTGCCTACACATGAAAATAAACAGTTCATATGGGCGGCTTATCTGACAGGCCCCATTTCACTCGCAAAGAGATAAACCATTAAAAGTGAAAATGGAAGTTTTTGATTTCTGTCTTAATAATGAGTAATTGCTCCACCAATCCTCAGACATTCAGCAATTCGTCGTGGCATGCTCCTAATCAACCGTCCAATCACGATTTGGGGCAATCTGACCCACTCCTCTTGCAGTGCACGGCAAATTCTTACAGGGTTGGTGTTTGACGTTAACGTCAACGAACACGTCTCCCGATCAAATTAAACTTAACACGCTAAAGCAAAGATACACTAAACAGTTAATCTTATGCAAGTACCGATAGGAAAGCAAACAAGGATAAATAAACCAGAACGCGGCAGTTTTCATCAACCCTTTCTTGACGTGTCAAATATTGACAATGAACCCCTCCCACATGTATGGCACAATTGCGTGTCGCATGTGCAGCTCAGTGGTTCTGTTGGGGCGATAAGTTCTTCATCTGTGAACATACTCTCAAAGCATGTCAAGTGTCCATGACTATTTATCATATCATAACCTGGGTATTTGCACTTCAATATCCCCTACTTTTTTTGAAGAGTATATATTGGAGTTATGCATGTGGCAGTGTATAATGTTGTTATTTTGAAGAGGAATTTTCACTCCAACAAATTAATTTGATCCAAAGTTTCATGTACAAGCTCGAATTGAACATAAAAATGGAAGACATCTTAGTTAGTTTTCAGATGTGAATTTGGATGGAGGTCAAAAATACTGTTTTTAATTTATTACACAAGCCTGTAATCCAACCTGTTACGGCTTATTGGGTTCATGTATGTGGTTTCCCAAGAGGAACAAATTGATACTACTTTCAATTTACATATTTTTAAGGCAATAGACACTTAGGTGAGTAAGAATTGAGCGGAACCTCATTCGAAATTTTGTGGACTGGATTCTGAAACAATGAGAGGAAGATCAGGACAATTTGTTAAAATCCCATCTTTAATATATACTATTCAAAAAAAGTAGAAGAAATTTGATTTTGGGGGCATAATACTAAAATATGCAAATGACTACGAAAAAAGTCACTATAGAACCTAACAGAAGAAACATTTCCAGTTACATGTGACGCCCAAACGCACCAATAGCTACCGCATGGAATGCAGGTGATGCTTGGGATCATCATGGGGGTCCAACCCAAGATTTGCACGACTCTGACTTTGAATGCTACAGTCATTGTGGCATTGAATTCCAGGGTGGAAACATCAGTTTAATTGTTTTAGTGACCAGAAAACAAATTTTGATATGCGTCAGCTTACCCAAAATGAAAGGTTACGTGCCCTTGGCATGCTACAGATCGGCACAACACAGGCGGTTGTGGCGCGGACGATGAATGTTTCTCAGTCTGTCATAAGCAGGCTATGGTCTAGATACCGTGATACACAATCTGTACAGGACAGACCACGCTCAGGTCGACCAAGGGCGACAACTCAAGCCCAGGATCGATTTATCCGTACCTTGGCCTTGAGAAATCGTGTCATCACAGCAAATCAGATCAGAGCTCGTCTTCAAACAGACACTGGTGTGAGAGTGAGTGGCCAGACGATTTGGAATCGACTGCATAGGGGTCACCTTCGCGCCCGACGTCCTCGCGTGATCCCTTGTTTGAGAGATCATCACATTCAGGCAAGACGTCGTTGGTGTAGGGATCGTCAACACTGGGATAATCGACGCTGGAGCAATGTGATGTTTTCAGATGAGTCAAGGTTCACTGTTGATTTTTTGGACAGACGTAGGAGGGTGTGGCGTCGTCGAAACGAGCGCTTCCAAGACGTTAACGTCATCAGACATGATCGATTTGGGGGTGGTTCTGTTATGGTGTGGGGAGGCATCACTGTTGCTGGAAGAACGGCTTTACATGTTGTTGCAGGGCGTGTTACAGGCCAGTACTACCGGGACAACATCTTGGCAGTCCATGTTGTGCCGTTCGCACGACGTCATGGCCGCCGTTTCATCTTCCAGGATGACAACGCAAGATGTCACAGGGCCAGGATTGTTACAGGTTACCTCCAACAACAGAACATCACCACATTACCTTGGCCAGCACTGAGTCCCGACCTCTCCCCCATCTAGCATGTCTGGGACATGCTTGGACAGAGGTTACGTCAACGTCAACAACGTCCTGCCAATGTCCAAGAACTTGCTGCTGCGTTGCAACAGGAATGGGACAATCTGGACCAAAATGACCTTAGACGTCTCATTAGGAGTATGCCATGTCGGATCAATGCTTGTTTGGCAAACAGAGGAGGATTTACCCGTTACTGACTTGGTTGTGATGCTGTGGTAACTTTGCTGTTTGACCCCGGGTATCATTTTACCCTTATAATGGTCAGTCTGTGCCTTACTTAGTCTAACGATCATTTGGAATAAATCGATGAATGTGAACTTCATTTCATTTTGTCATTTGTTTCTTCGTCAGTTTCATTAGGTGACTTTAATAACACTTAAAAATCAAATATCCCCTACTTTTTTTGAATAGTATATAAGCCGCATTTTACTTGACTCTTCTTCTGCATATGATCAGTAAATCAAATCCAAAAGAATTCATCTACATAAAACGATGGCAAAAACATAAACACTGTTTCAGTCAGTCTACAGTTTACTATAAAATCTGCCAACATCACCAACATACATGTACATGTAATTCTGAATTTGACGGAGGATTGTCTGATCATATACAGAACATGAGTTATCTACGGTAATCCCTATGTTATTGAGTGGACAAGGAATTTTAAAAAATAAAACCTACGCTACTGCTAAATGTATGATTGGAGTTTTTATCAAGGGGAGGGAAGTCTGTGTTGTTCGGAACAATAAAAGTTTCATCTGCTGCTTTTTGACTACACTGATCAACAACTGCCAGCTCTAGAGATTGTTTTCGTGGTATCAGTTTCTTATTGATGTCTTCGGCCAGTTTTTCATGAAATTTTGTATCTTGTAAAAGTCTTTCCAATAAATCCTACAAATGCAGAATGAACGATTTATTACAAAAAATAGCCAGAGTTAACTCAAATTAGTATGGATAATACTATATGTAGTTATACTTATATGCATCTCATGGCATTATACTAATCTGATTGTTTATCGTCTTTTTTCAATAAAGACGGCCCGAGAAAAACAATCAGATATCTTCTGCAGAATTTTCCATTAGGCTGACAGCTGTGTAACGAACTGTGATACTTAAATTGTTTTAATAAATAGTTTTAAACTGTAAACTGCCTTTTAAATAAAAGCAAGTTTCAATCAAATCTGGGTATTAAATACCGCCGCTGCATGTAAGGTAGAGTCCTTATGGTCACTAGGAAATAAAAACAAACAAAAATGAAGTATTAATAATGTAAATATTGTAGACAAATGAAACAAGAATTTTAAATCTGTACAGAAATAAACCAAATATTTGTCAGTCTAACTGAGTAATCAGTTAAATTCTCTCAATTCCTTGAAAGGTACATGTATCAATCAAAAACTTCAGTACACCAACAGAATATGATACTCTTTTAACCGAGACATTTTGTTACAAATGCAAGGCACGTTCAGAAATACTGAGACATTATCACTGTAACCCGGGTATCATTTAATCTTGTGTATCTAGCGCTAATTTCTTTCACATTCGTTTAATATCAAATCTTAGTTTAAAAATTCATAAAAATCATTTAAAATCATCTAATTTGTGCTTTTGTCCAGTTTAAAGTCTAATTTACAAGTATTTCATTTCCTGACCACTATTCAAAAATTATCATTATACATCAAAAATCAATTGGGTTGTTTATTTTTTTAACAGTGATCGAGAAATTTAACACTTGTAAATTGGACAATCATTATAAAAATTGAATGGACAGAATTTGTGTGATTTTGAATGATTTTTAAACAAAGATTTGATATTGAATCAATGTGAAAGAAATTAGTGCCAAATACATAAGATTAAATGATACCCAGGCTACAGTGTAGGATTTGTTGACTCCAGATCAAAAAGCCAATAAAAAAATTGTGTGATCAGAAAATTCTGTGCAAGATCTTCTGACAAGCCTTGATTATTGGTACATGTACATTGACTGGCTGTCAAATCAGGTTCAAGGTTATGTTAATGCTGCATGCATTTGTACAGAACACATTTTTCTTCAACATGTCTTTTGAGAACAATAAACAGAACGAAACTAACAAGATTCTAATCAGATTGATTACCTCTGTTTCAGCTTCTAGACAAATTTCATTTTGCTTCATTCAGACAAAGAAGTAAATAATAATTTTTATGTTTGAGAAGTTTATCATGTTAAAACTCACCGGATACTCGCTGGCTGTATGTTCCTCTATTTCAGGTTTAAATGGTTGAAACTGTGAAGTTGATGAGGTTTCATGACCGCCTATTACTGTGTGACGTTTCGGAGGTTGTCTAAAAATGTAAACAATCAGTTATGGGTCATTCCTTGTCAAGTGGACCAGTGGTTGTTGGGTGATCCCCTCAGAAAATTATGAAAAATATATGTAACATGTTTTTTATAATTTTCTGAGGGGGTCACTCAACAATTTTCTTTTTTTTCCCCACACAGCCTTCTTTCCTAACTGGGCGTTAACACCTATTTCATTTATTTCCTAACCCAAAAAAATGATTTATCTTTAGAGAGGATGCTGAGGTTGGGGCCTACTAGGATTCATTCTCCTTTCAAGACGTGAACATAAATATTATTCATTTGAACATTATTTTGCAGAAAAATAAACATTTTGTTTTTATGCACCAATACTCCACACTCTCTTAGAATTTGGTCCACTTGACACGGATCATGTTACCCATAGACATAAAAGGAAGGATATGGTAGACCTTAGATATTATTTGGGTACATGTGGTACAGATTTATTTTAATAATTCCCTTATATGCAAGCAGATGTCTTAATAAGTTTTCAAAGTTTATCAGCAAGAGTGTAAATCAAATTAGAAAAATTCAGGAAAATTCATTAGCAATGTCCAGGTGGTTTTCTTAAATTCTCACCGTTTTCTACGTGGTGATCTATGATGATGTGGATGATCGGAATGATATTGTGTAAAAGTTTTTAATGGTGTGTTAAACTGGGATGTTTCGTCTATTGGCTGGAAAGTTTTATGTGGTGAAGTAGGCGGTGGTATCATCTCTTGAACTTCTAAAACAAAATAAAATTAAAATCTAAGATTTGAAGGAAGTAAAATTAAAGACACATTAGTTAAGAGTTTAATAAAGAGTTGGTCATTCTTGCTATAACAATTCAAAAATTGATGATAAAAAAGAAAATATTGAAAATTTCATTCAAATTACTTCATTCTCAACCAAGTTATCATTGTTTGTAGTTTTGACAAGATGTGTGCACAGTGGTAACTAGGGCACTGGTATAATCGGGACTTTGCCTCGCTTTCCCATTTTTAAATTAAATTTTTAAATGGCGATTATGGTCTTGTTTTGTTAATAAATGTCTAATTAATAGTTTATATAACATTTCAGGCCCAAAGAAAGACCTGTAATTTTAATTCACTTGCGCGTAGGGGTCTTTAGCAGTGGGAGGAAACCGGAGGAACAAGAGAAAACTCACGAGGTTGGACAGGCGAGCCTACTCCTTGTCACGTACAACCGGGTAATCGAAATCATGCCAGTTGACTCAATGACAGACCTTATGATACAGTGCGCACGTGATAACCATTCGGCCATCTAACTCCCACTTTGGAAAATGGGCCTTGGGGTATGTCAATACCTTCAGTTGATGGTTGCTGAGGTTGGTTGTAATAACCAGGTGATCGAGATACACTTGAAAGATTATTAAACACTTGACTGTTCTCATCATTTGTAGCAATGCAATTCGACTCATGCTCACAGTTCTTGATCATAGTCTGCTGTTCCAGATCACTGTCTATTATAGTTTGCTGTTCCAGATCATTGTTCTTTATCCTAGATTTCTGTACTAGATCCCTGTTCTTTACCCGTGAATGCTGTTCCTGATCACTGTCCACACTGATAGGAACATTTTTCACGGAAACAGATACTGAATTGTGGCTTGTTGGTTCAACATGATCACTGTCAGCACTTGAATTATTTCCCCCGTTAAAACCATCACTTTCGTGCAGAGAAAATTCCATCGACTCATTCTCTTTTTGTTCTTCACCGATAACTAGACCCGTAGAACTATTAACACTAACGTTTGTACTATCATTTGTACATGTACGCTTCGGGGATGTACATATTTCAGATCCATTTTTCTTGCAGTCTAACACATGCCTACTATTTTTGACAGCTGACACAGAACGAGTTTGTCTCCGCACTACATCACCTGGGCTTGAATTATCAGCACTTTTACTGTTAGTTTTTGTGGCACTTGAGGATTTTGTTTTGGTAGCACTAGTACGTGATTTATTACGTTTGGAAGCAGAATTATTCACAAGGGGTGGTGTTAAATTAGGCGGGGATACAATTTGGCATGATGATGGTGATAATTTTAATGTCGAAGATCTAGAGAAAGGCTGTTTTTCATTATTGCTATTGTTATATGTTACATTCAAATTTATCGTATTGTCTAGCAAGTTATCTGTCTGACTATTGTCAGACTCCCAACCCTCATCACTAAGTTCACTGATATGTACAACATCAGTATCAGTCAAATTTCCAACCACAACCTTTTGTGTTTTTCGCTTTTGTAATGATTTCTTGGTTCGAGTTGATTGTGTTTCAGGCTGACGGATTTTACTCTTTGTTGCTTTTTTTAATGATCTTGTAACATTGTCAAACTGTTTCCATAATGAAGCTGTTGAAACAGTCCATTGGTTGCTGGCTGTATCTGAAAGTTGAAGAGATTTAAAATATTTAACAAACAAAATAAAAACATTCTGTTTCAGAGATATTATGATTATAATTTCATTTGTAGATGTGTGTTTGTTCTCTAAGTTAGAGCATGTCCATATGTAATGTGTATAATAGCACAATTATCGTTTGAAATCAAAAAAACACATTAGAATTAGATCCAACAGAATACATGTACTTTTTTTTTGTTTAAATCAAAGAGATTGTTCCCTTTAATTGTGTACTTAACTCTGTTGTTCTCTAGAGAAGTTTGCGACACCTACATCTTTTCTTTTTACAATTAAGACTGACCTCCAGTCTGTGGAAATATTATTTTGTCTTTTTTGCATTGGACTGAGAGAAACGGGAATAAAATATTTGTCTGAATTTTCTATAAGGATTGACATTTCAAACAAGTCACTTATTGCCATAGCAACAATTTCTACTAGCAACTAGCAATACATGTACGTATGTATATGGAGGCTTGCCTGTTGTCAGTAATACTGAATCAACTTACGGCATAATTTTGGCTGGATCTAGACAGTAAAACCCATCACTGCTCAAATTCAAAAGGTCCAGTCCTTAACATATATAATATAGTATAATATAGTGAGAACAGGATTACCGTATAGACAACAGGATTACCGTATATACTGTAGTATACAGTCCTAATGAGTTATTGCCTGTGAAAAACACAAGGCAGTTTTATTCCTAGAAAATTTCACCTTGTAACTTGTAAGCAGCATATTCATTGATAATTGCAATCAATGTTAAACCATTGATAGAAGTGGGATAATTTAATCCTTTTTTCAATAAAGCTGAATATTCCACCAAATCTTTACTTTCCTTTATAAAATATTTAACTGTCATTTTACAACCAACATCTTGTAGATATCCTGCAATACATAAATTAAGTTGTAACTGTTGGAAATACAGAAAAGTAGAAGATACATGTACATGTACCTGTAAGGGAGAGAAATCGGGTTTAACACCCACTTGACACAAACTAGTTCATTCGGGTCTAATATATGTTCTTTTTTATTTAAATAATTAGCTTGTGTGTACGGTGTACATGTAGGTGTCATTAATTAGCAGTGGGAGGAACCTGAGAAAACCCACGTAAATGTATGAATAAAATGTTGCTTAATGGCATGTCATCACCAACCGGGCTATATTGTGCCAAATCCTTGTCACGTAAAGTTGGAGAATTAAACCACCCCACTTGACTCAATAACAGACCTTATGATCTACTATGCACGAGTTAAACCAATCGACCCCCCCCCACCACATCAAAATCATAGAGAAGAGAGATATGGTTTTAATGTTGACATAAAAGAAATGGTCATTTTGGGATTAACAAGGTGATTTTTCATTCAATAATTTGCTTGCGAACAGGGGTCTTTAGAAGTGGGAGAAAACCAGGTAGGCAATTTGAATTTTTGTCACACCTAAACCACAATTTGAAAAGATGACTGGCATTATTATCCACAGTGTATGCATTATCCATTATGAGTATGACCACTGTCATCTGTCATACCTGTATATCAACTAATTCAGTGTGCAGTTGGTTAAAGTGTAAAGTACATGTATGTATCAATTTCACACAGTCATTTAATTTATCAATATTAATTGTAGTTGGGTGTGACAGAAATGTAATAATAAATAAATAACAATAATCAGTTGTTGTTTTAAAGAAAAATTTGACAGTTTTGCTTCTTAATGAATGACGATGTAATTCACAGCTGCATCTACCAGAAAGAACTATAAAGTAGCATATCTTTATCTCTAGACACGCAGGGTCAAGAGATGAGGTTTCTTATCTATCTAGTCTACCTCCGCAAGAAGACTCCTGTCCTCTGCTGAGAGTTTTCAATATGATAATTATCATAATGGTCCTTTCATGTAGAATTATTTAGTTTTATACAAATACATCTGGACTATCTCCTATATGAGAAAAAGTTTACATACACATACAACTACATTTTGTAGTAAATAAAACTGGAACTGGAAAATGAATGTCGAGTTTGAAAAAGAAAGACAAAAAAAGAAAAGAAGGAAAGTTACCCAAAACAAGCCTTGCTATTTCCGAAGGCAAGAAATAATGCTGCTGCTGATTTTCCATTTGGTTTTGAATGGGTTAATATTTGGTTAATAACGAGGGAATTAATACTAATGCATTATTTCAACAGTCTGATTACTTCATTTTGATAATAAAATTTCCAGTAATTTTTAAGTTAGAAAGGGCGGTCAATTTCACAGACCAATTGACGATTGTCGTAAAAGTAAACAAAATAAAACATTCTACTTGAACTCATTTGTGGATCTATTGACATTCTTAGTTTTTTTATGTAATTTGGATTAAAATATAGTTCTTGAAATACTAGAAATTTCAAATATTATTTAAACGCATTTACGACTTTCGACCCACCATTGGTAAATTCTGGGTGGTGGCTGAAGAAAATGTAAACAACGTCTGTCGACAAAAATGAACTATGACCGCTTGAATATTAATTGATTTGAACTTTGAAGAGCTATGAATTTGTCATTTAAAACAAATTCAAGGCATGGCTACTCCGTGAAATTTTCTCCATATTTTCCTCAAAGAATTGCATGTGCCACTTCCCAATATTATGGAATTGCAGGTTCTAAAAAATTATATGTCAATAATTTTATCACTGGACTAGATTAGTTTGCAATAAATAAAAACAATATAATTAAGGCCACAAGAAAACTTTTCATTACAGGGTGTACACCTATAATGTGTAATCCATACCCAAAGGCTTAACCCTGAATGAAAAGGCATAAAATAAATCATTCAGAAATTGTGTTTTGAACACTTTAGGACCTACTTGGATACCACAAAAATTTGCTAACATGAAATGATCTTGGGTCTATAAGATAAGAATTATGACATTTTCCAACTGATTTGTATTAAATTTTGCAAGCAATCTAAATTGAGCACTAACAATCTACTATAGCCATTAGACAAAGTGAAAAATAATTTTTCTACAGATCAGAAAAATAAGTTCCAAAAGCTATAAGGTCATAATTAGTTTTAGAAGCTGTGATGCCTCAGTGTGTAAGATGTTAGGTCGCTAACCTGGAGGTCCCATGTTCGATCCCAGTGTTGGGCAAGAATGTTGATTGGGATATTCCAGCATGGTTCCCCACAGTGGTGTATATTATGGGATAGAGGGACAATGTATAGTCATTCAGATGGGTCGAAAAACCGAGGTCCCATGAGCACATTGATGTGCATGTAAAAAAGACCTTGACAGATAGAATTCTAAATAAGAGTAGGCCGTAGAGGGACAATGTATAGTCATTCAGATGGGTCAAAAAACAGAGGTCCCATAAACACATTGATGTGCATGTAAAAAAAACACCTTGACAGATAGAATTCTAAATAAGAGTAGTCCGTAGCCTGCTCTCCAGGCCAAATTTCCTTCATAGCATACTGCATGGTGTATGCCTGTTTTAGTAGCCTTGTCTTTGCAAAAAATGTATGTAGGATGTTGAACCCAATTTCATTTCATTTCTGTTTAACATTATGCTGCCTGATTTGTCCTGAATTTTAAACTATGGTTTAATTTTAGGTTGTGGTACACTGTTTATATTAGATACTGTTGGTGATCAAATAGTAATTGTTCAAACATTTGATTGGAAAGAAGGTTTATTTGATGTTACATGGGCTGAAAATAATGAAAACATTGTCATATCCGCTAGTGGTGATGGTACTCTACAGATCTGGGACGTTCAACAACCAAAGGTTAATATGAAGACATTTGTTTTTTCTTAAGATATAAATCCCTTGGGTTTTAGCTGTTTTCTCCCACTTCTATATCTGCACCCCAGAGAATTATTGAAATATAAACATTCCACATATGTTAGTTCTAAAAGAACCTACTTTGTGTTAAATGGACTAATTTCTCTCTCGCTTTTAAAATAAATCCAGAAGATTTAAATCAATCTGCAGTTCTTTGAAAGAAACAAACACGCCTAGTTTTGTTTAAGATAATTGAAAATTATGAGGACTAAAGCAGTCTGATTAATGAAAAGCAGATGTTTGATTTTCCTTAAAGCCAGTACCTAGTACATACAGTGTGGGCCATTGAAAGATTTTAACAAAAAAAACCTCAAATTTACACCCATATTCAATCGGGGTCAATAACCAAAAAAATTTGAATCACCTCATAGATGTCTTTTTATTGCCTTAATCATTTGACCATGTAAACTTATTATTTCAGGGTCCCCTTCGAGTTTTAGCTGAACACACAAAAGAAGTAAGATCATAAATTCAGATCTTCTGAAACAGTTGCGGTGTCTCAGTGAGTAAGAAAGTGGCTCGTTAACCAGGATGTCTCAGATTCGCTCCCGGTGTTGGTCAAGAAAGTTCATAGGGATTTCCTGCGTGTTTTCCCCTTGTCACTGGTGCAGGAGGGAAGTCCTGGCAAGGAACAGCGTCTAGTCATTTGGATGGCACAAATAAAAAAAGGCTCCGTGTACACATTGGCATGCATATGAAAGAACCCTTGGCAGTTGGAATTCGAAATAAGATTAGGTGGTAGTGCTACTGTTCAGGCAAAATTTCCTTAATAACAGTTAACACCCTGCATGTCTTCAAAAGCCCTGTCCTTGCAAAAGAATAGGATGTTAAACCCTGTTTCATTTCATTTTCATATGTAATAATAGGTACCATGCATGGGCAGGATAGCTTACTATTTCTAGAAGATCTGCTATCACTTCTAATTTTGTTTCACTTTTTGTATTTGCTAGGTGAATTCTATTGATTGGAGCCAAACGAGAGATGAGAATTTACTTCTGTCAGGGTCTTGGGATGGAACAATTAAATTGGTATGTTTTAATTTAGTAGCAATATTGCTTTACCCGTACTCTGAAGTGATTTACATAACCCCATATTAATAGTATTTAGTGCACTTTATTATTATTAATGTACTGGAATTGGACACCATTTTATTGAAACAAATATGGTGTTAAGGAATAGGGATGCATGCCTAACCATATGCATTTCTACTGTTTACTGCCGGTTTCCTCACATTGCCAAAGTCCTTCTCAGACTTATTGTGTTCCCAAAATTGGCATAGAGGATGTTACAAACCTCTTTTCTTATTATTCTTTGCTTAGTGTATATCTTAAGTCCTTTTCACGCTTGTGTTGGTCCCAAAAATTACTTAGTTTCTGTTGAGTGTCAATCTGATTAAAATACAGATCTATACTTTTGATAGCCTCCACTGCATGAAGATCTGACCAGGGAGGTTGCGTCAGGAGTCATACAAGCGACTTTTGACCTTATGACATCAGACTTTTGATTGACCAATCAGCATTGATGTTTCTACTGGGATGCCCCCAGTTCCGTGCACAACACACCAAAAACTTGCCACAACAGACTTTTTCATTGGCTAATTCCATTACATCAACCAGAATGCTGGTTATATGACAACTCATCCAGATCCTAGTGTAGTAAAGACAAATAAAACGAAATTTTGAACTATAAGAAATAAAATGAAATAGGATCTGTGTTTTTAAACAGATTGGTTGAGTGTGTGTAAGTATATTTTCTCTTTCTCGCTTTCATATAAGTATCGAAATGAAATGGTGTTTGACACACCAACTGGGTTAGTAAAAGCAGCATATCAGTATCGATTGTCCTCTGTAAACTATGACACTCAATGTCTCTAGGTTGTTTTATATTTAAATTTTCAGTGGGATATATTTCAAGATCGATCTTTATCCACTTACATAGGTCATGATAATATCGTTTATAGTGTAAACTGGTCACCAAGGTTACCATCTTGTTTTGCATCTGCCTCAGGTAATAGTGTTTCTTGTTTCTTAAATATGTTACATTCTTCTTTTTAATATTCTCTCAGTCTGTTTTAAGATTATGTGACCTGTGATAGCAAAGTGAGGCGGAAGTCTATCGATACTAACAAAAAAGATAAAATAGGCTGAAATATCTCTTTAATAATATAATGTGAAATGTAAAAGTCTACACTTAACGAATAAAGAAAAATATTTTTTTGTTATATTTTTTAGCCTGTTTCAATAGTTTTGTTCAGATATCGTAAGCAATGACTTGTGACTTGCAACTTCAAGTTAGTTTGCTGTCACGGGTCACAGTTATATTTATACTGAAATTGTTGTTACTTGTTTATCTATCTGTGATTTGTTTTAATTTATGTATATTGTATCCGCACCACCAAGTAATTTTAAGTACCTATTTGAGGCGCTCTAAATTATTTATTGGAAAAGAGCTATTCATCATCATCCATGTTCATGACTACTAGTTCACTGTAAATCTCAGTCAAAAATGACATAAAATGTCTGCATGGGTTTTCAACTGTCATATATTTTTCTTACATTCATCGATTTAATGTTGAACAAACAAGCGTACAAAGCATTGCTGCTGTTTGACATCTGCACTCCACTCTAATCCTGTATATGTATGCCCCTAAATAAGCAGGAATGTTGTCTCAGAGCTTCTAATTTTATAGAATTCTTGTGTAATCCCCCAGACATCACACCAAATTTGACGTCTGCACCCTGGACGTCTGCTCAAATTCCTGCATACGTCCGGAGTACCATATATGTGATTACAGTATATATAAACACTTGTTAATTATAGTTTATAATTCTGACAACAATAAAATTGTCAAGTGCCAAATAAATTTTTTCTCCGGTTAGTGTATGAATTTTATCCAAGTAGCAAAATCTGATTAAAATACAGATCTATATTTTGTTTCGTTTTTTTTTATACTTTTGATGGCATATACAGCATGAAAATCTGACCGGTTGTAGTGGAGGGTTCATATGAGTGGCTTTTGACCCTATGACAACAGGCATTGATTAATCAATCGGCGTTGACGATTCTAGTGGTTATTCCACAGTTCCGTGCAGAGCATGCCAGGAACTCGCCGTACCAGAACATTTCATTGGCTAATCACTCACATCAATCAGAACACAGATTATATAACAACCCTTCCAGATCCTAGTGTAAAGACATGTAAAATGAAATTTTAATCAGATTGCTAAGTATATCCTAGAGTATTTCTGGCCACTTTCTTAATACAGTAAATGTTTGTTTCTAGGGGATCAAACTGTACGAGTTTGGGATGCAAGAAAACACGATTTACCTGCTACAGTAATACCAGCACATCAAGCTGAAATACTGACATGTGATTGGTCAAAATATGATGAGGTAAATTAAGATAAGTTTTTAAAAAACTTTTTTTCGTTGCAAAGACATCCACTGCCTAATGTTCTGTTAATAATTGTATACAATTCTCTGCTTTACAAATGGCACATTAATTCCATTAAACAATAACAGAAAAGAGTGTCCTATCTTCTCTTCATCAAATTCCAATGGTCCAGGATTTTTTATAGACACTTGTACACAAGTGTACCTTGGTTTTCTGTAACATCCAAACAACAAGACAATACTTTTCATGTAAGAACAGCAAGTGCTACCTCTAGCAAATGGGAACCGGGTTTGAAAAGTCCTAAGTTAACTGAACCCATGACATTCTAAGTGAGAATCCAGTGCCCTTACAGCTCGTCTCCCACAGCTTGGAGGGTGGGTGGTCAAATGGTCATGAGGTATGTCATTGATCAGTGAAGTGGCGTGGTTTCGATTCCCAACTTCTACGGGTCAAGGATTAGGGTCGCTTGTCCTTCCTCATGGGTTTCTTCAGGTCATCCTCCCATTGCTAAAGACCCCTACACACAATCGAAACTATTAAAATAAATTGAGTGGATGTTAAACCCCATTTTCTCTCTCAACCACAGCTTGAAGAAGTTTAAACAAGAGTTGTGTCAGATCTTTGCCATTTGAGCAAGAGGATTGACTTTTGTGATTAGATATAAAATGAAAGTAGTAAAATATTGTGTATTAATTCTATTTATAGAATATAATAATATCTGGTGGTGTTGATGGTATTATACGATGTTGGGATATCAGAAAGACAGGATGTTGTTTATTAGAATTACTGGGTCATCAGTATGCTGTTAGAAGAATTAAGGTACCCTACAGATATAAAGTAATAGGGATGTTTTAAATTTCTTAAAACTGCTGATCATCATTTAAAAAATCTTGAATGCCTTGCAAACTATTATGAAAGTTGAATCACTTAAAGGAACATCTGTGATCAGTTCGGAACAGTGTTTATAAAGATATCATTAATTAAAAATGTTGCAACATTGGGCATCCTTTGCAGGGAGTATTACATCTGTGGCAAGGTTTGGGGGCATTTGAGTTCCACAAGATATTGGGTTTCTGAAAATAAATACATTCCACAAGATTTTCGACTTAAAATAATATTGTGTTTTGGGTCTGTGGTGTTTTTCACCACTATTGGACATAGAAAAAAAGATGATTTCTTTTCAAAAAATTCTTCTCAGACCTCCCTATATGCCTGTGTGGTACCACATTCCACAAGATTTTCGACATAGAATAATTTTGATACAGTGTTTTGGGTCTGTGGTGTTTTTTTACCACAAGAGTTCTGAGAAGAATTTTTGGAAAAAAGTGATTTTTTTTCTAAGTCTAATATCTTGTGGAAGTTTTGTGGCAAAAAACACCACAGACCCAAACACTGTTTCAAAATAATTCTAAGTGAAAAACACCCCAGAATAATATTTTGTAGAATATATTTCCTCACATCTTACAAGATGATAAGATAAACTATTATTGTTCCAGCGAAATAAAAAGAAAATGTTTCATAAATTTTTCATGGTTCACTTTTCCAAACGCCCCCAAACCTTGCCATGCCTATCCCTTTGACACATTTCAAGCAAGGGAATTAAGCATCCTTGTTTTTATTTGTGGTATTTTTCCGTTGTACTCCACAAACCCCTGGTCCATACATAGGGTTGTCACGAATTCAAATTATCTGCTATTTAAATATTGTGGCTTAATTGTAAAGCAATTGACAGACAAATTTAATATCTAGCTAGGCAGTTATGTCAGGCAAACAACCACATCAAAAGTCGTTTTTGTTTTCATATATCTTTTATTTTGTTGTAAAATTCAGTAATGGAATGTATAATACTGGTATTTGTTTTCAAATTTCAGACTTCACCTTTTGTGAGAAATGTGATAGCTTCCTGTTCATATGATTTTTCTGTGAGGTGAGAACAAATTAATATTTTAAATCAGGTTTTTAAAATCAGACTGTAGGTTGTTACATGCTGTAGTTATAGAGACAGAGAATCCGTGCTATCTGAGGTATCAACTAAACATGCACAACACACTACATACGCCTTAGGTCATACAACAAAATATTCTGGTTCTCAGACAAGTCCTATCAAAAATCTGATGTGGGAGGGAGGTTTTATTTTTTGGGTTTTTATTTTGTCAAAGGATCACTACTGCCTTACTGGGCTAAATGACTTTCAAGGCACTATATTTATCTCATATTGTTTATAGGAAAGTATGATGATCTAGTATCATTTATGATTGTAACATTTATCTGTGTTGCATACTTGATAAATGGTCCTATGTCAAATTTCTGGATTCATTCAGCTTTTTTTTATAGTGTTAATTTTTTTATAGATTGTTTTTATTTTTTACTATTTAAAATAAAAATGGGTCATGTGTCACAAATTCAGTCGCATATTTAAACTGCATACTGCCGAGTCTTGTTTTGTTGTTCTGGATCATAGGCGAAAGAGTTGTACTCCAATATGACTCAGTCACTGTACTTGAGTTAGTAATCATGACATAATGGGATGCAACTTGATTGTGAAAGTAGAAAAGCATCATACATGATATTTATATTTTATTTAAATTTTAAATATAGAATATGGGATTTAACTAGTGGTCATCAACTACAAAACATAGAACATCATACAGAGTTTGTTTATGGTTTAGATTGGAATCTTCATATACCAGGCCAGGTATGAAACATCTGTTGGTGGGGGTGGGGGGAAGGGTTATGAATCAGCCCACATTTAGGGTGCATTTGAGCAGCATTTGAATCTGGCTTCGCATATTTCGGGGAATTATTGAAATGGGTCTGTCTGTCTGTAACAATATTTGGAGGACAACACCTCTGCTTCTGATTGAGAATAATAAAAAAAGAGATGTGACAAAAAGAAAAATAAGTAATCAACGAGTGTCATCTATTTATTTGGGGATATAGGGAGTGGGTGGAACTATCTGCCTCACCGTTGGCTTGTTAAAATTTACACTTAGATTATTTGAATGTTGAGAAATTCCACCATAAAAGATATAGTTGTTTGACATATAAGATTCTAAAGAACTTGATCTCCCATTAGAAAATTTCTTCAAGCTACTATGTCATGCATAGAGGACAAGATTCTAGGCTTAGAATGTAGAATGTATTGTTTCTTTATATGTAAACAATATTTTATTCATGGTATCTGAATGGGATTGGGGAACAGTGTTAGACTATTTAAAACCCATAATAGTAAGACTGCACTAAACTAAAAAACGACCTGAAAAGACAAAACTGTGGACAAGACACACAGACATTGCAAGTAATAAACAACAGATATCAAATCATAACAATGTTCTGGTTTTAATGGACCTTTAAGATTTTCAAGGCGGTTTAGCTTTCACATAAAGGTACCCATCCTCTCTTGCAATGCATATGTGGCAATGAAATTATTTTAAAAAGATTATGTTGGTCTCATAATGACTAAACCATTACAAAATTTGTGTCCCCTTTGCTGTATTAGAAAGTTATTTTTATGTGATCTATCAATATTTTTATTTCAGATAGCTGACTGTTCATGGGATGAGTTTGTAAGGATATATCAACCCATGGCTTGTCTTCCAGGCAGCTGATATTAACCCACTTGTTTTAATTCTACATAATTTTATCTCATCTTATAGGTCAATTTACTGATTTAATAATTATCCAACTTTAAATTGTACATTTAATCTCTTTCAAAGGGCTCTTGCCAGGTAGACTTTAGAAAATTAATATTGATAGTCTGTTTCAAGAATGTAGTTAACTTTGTTCTTCTATGTTACCAACTTTTAAAAGGGCCATGAGTCGACAGTAGAAGAGCAGGTTGTTTTAAAATTGGAAACTGATCTGAGCCACTATGAACCACCCAAACAGTAGGTCTACGTCACCTACAACCTTTAATTGGACCATACAATAAGGTGTGTGTAAGTTGCCTACCCGGGCATCCTATGTTCGATCCTGGTGTTGGCCGAGAAAATTCTGTAGGATTTTACAGCTTGGTTTCCCCTTGTCAGTGGTGCAGGACAAAGGTCTGTGTATTCTATTTGCAGCAAGTTAAAAATCTGACAATTGGAAATCAGAATAAAAGAAGGGCAGACGCATTGTTGTCAGGGCAAAATTGACCTTGCAAGACACTTCATAGCTTACCCCAGTTGGTGCAAAAACATTTTAATATAATGCAGTTATAATTAGTGGACCCCACACATCAGTATTAAAGTGAATCCCAGTGTAGTTGCATGAATGAAGTGAGAAATATTGGATATGATTTAAGGCCATACAATAACAATCTTCTTTCAATAATATTTCTAGATCTTTGAACCTGGCAATTGTTCAGTAAATATATATATATTTGTAATTATAGATTTGTATAATTTCATGTGATAAAAATATATTTTCTAATAAGAAGTTATTATTAAATGGTGGGTATAACCTTCAAATTATTTGCTAGATCATAAGGTCTGTCAATGGGTCATGTGGAATGGTTTTGATTCCTGGCTTGTACTTGACAAGAAATAGGGTCCAACATTATAGGTTTTCTCCCCAGTCCTCTGGTTTCCTCCCACTGCTCAAGATCCCTGCTTGCAAACAAATTATCGAAATAAAATTGAACCATATATTAGTCCTGAGAAGACCTAGTTTGCGCTGCGTGATTCACTTGATTCAGTGGTGGATTCACTTGCTGACGAACACGTCGACCCATTTCGTCCCAGATGTGTTCAATAGGATTAAGGTCGGGGCTAAGCGACGGCCAATCCAGGACTTGGACTCTGGCATTTCTTAAAAAATTCTGGGTAGCAATTGCTGTATGGGGTCGAGCATTGTCTTGTTGAAACGTTAGTCCAGGTCTATGCATAAACGGAAGAAGAACAGGTTGCAAAATCTGATCCCTGTACTGGACAGCATTTAAGTTCCCTTGGACAACAACAAGAGGAGAATGTCCATGTGCACAAAAAGAACCCCAAACTATGACGCTGCCGCCACCAAATCGGTCAACTTCTCTGAGGCATACGTGAGCGTAACGTTCACCTCGTCTGCAGTACACTCGGACCCTGCGATCGGCAAATCTCAAAGTGAATCGAGATTCGTCACTAAGGACAACCGAATTCCACTGTCTTTGAGTAAATCTTATGTGTCTTGTGGCCCACACAAGTCGGTTACGGCGATGAAGAGGTGTCAATATTGGTCCATTATAGGGCCTCCGAGCTCGAAGACCAGCAGCCTGCAAGCGATTTCGAACAGTTTGTGCAGTTACCTTTCCACCAAACATCTCTCTACTTGTGGAGGTTGCAGTGACAAATCTGTTTCTAAGATGACGTAATCGTATTACTTGATCTTCCTGGAGTGACGTCACACGTTGCGCTTCCGTCCTTGGGCGGTCGGCAATAGTTCCAGTTTGAAGCACTCTCATTCTAAGATTAATTATTGTCTGGCGTGAACAATTAAAGGCTCTTGCAACAGTGACCACAGACTGACCAGCATAGAGCCTACCTATAGCACGTAGACGTTCTACATTTGAAAGGCGCGACATTTTCTAACAAAGATGAAAATAACAATTTTAATTTGTTTTTCCAGTTCAAGTTACGTGTGCGTGTTCAGTTTAAGCAAACTTGCATCGATTGACCTAACGAGTTTGTGTTTGCACGTGTTTTTCAAGTTTTTCATCTTTATATGCTCAAAAGTCATGTGATCCACGTCACTTTACAATTTAATGAAATTAAAGGCTTCTTACTACTTACTATCGTTAGAAACACTTTAAAATTTATTTGACTTACCAGGGTTTACTTCTTGAGGGTTTACTTCCACTGTAAATAGACGTCTGCAGAGTGCAGACAAGCAAATTATTAAAATAAAGAGTATGCCATGTTAGTCCTAAATTAACCTGATTGTAAAACATTGGATAGAATATATATTTTAGCCACCAGTTCAACTGTTTATTATTGTGAAAATGCCAGATTAGATCTATATTTCTGATTTGCATTGCAATTTTTGGAGAAGTCTCCAAGATAAAACCATTTAAAATGGCTTGGAATCGAAATTCTGGGCCACAACTCTTTGCAGGGGACTTGCTGGAACATTTCAATAAAGTCACAAGAAACAATGGATGCTTTGATGAATTTTTAAAAAATAAAAAATTCAAGAAAAAATACATTCACTTGGCATCACATCACTCTTGCGAGGCAAGACGTTACAGCTTTTTAGCAAATTCCATAAAAATATTTATAATATGGATAATATGGATTATGATTATATAAATAATTAAAAAGTATTAGATTAAATAAATAATAACATTAGTATTAAGTTTATGTAAACAATAAAATATTTGATTACACAAACACTAAAAAAAATATTACAATCATATAAGCACGAAAATAACAGAGTGTTAACCTTACCTAAACAATAACAACTGTACTAAAATATATAAACAATTACAATGTTCTAGCTTATATAAACAATACAAAGTATCACATTATGTAAACAGTAACAATATTATTAGTTTATATAAACTATTACATTATATAGATAATAACAGAGTGGTAATCTTTTATAACAACTTTACTAAAATATATAAACAATAACATTGCTCTAGGTTATATAAACAATATGTTTATAGATTAAGTAAACAATAGTATTAAGATTATATAAACCATAACACAGTATTAGATGAATATAAACAATGTATTAGATTATATAAATATTAACATCTGCTATATAAACTATAACAAAGTATTTGATTATATAAATATAAACAATGTATTATATTATGTAAACTATAATAAAGTATTAAATGACAAACCAAGTGTTTGACTGTGTAAACAAAAACAATAAAATTAGCACTTTTAAAAGAATAAAAAATTATACTTGCATTATTCACATATAAAATCATCAAGTAACAATCATAATAAAGTATGTAAAAGGTTAGGTCTAAATCTGCAGTTGGCCTTAATATTTAGACCTGACTGTACATAAAATCTATTGCTAACAATTTTGTTTTCAAATACAAGATAAATTTATAAAAAAAAACCCAACAAAAACTAAATTTTATCACATTTGATGGCCCACTTAAGTTTATTATAATAATTCTTAATTACAAACAAAATCACTTGCAGATCTGATACTAAAGTACACTACAATTTGAAGACACTGCAATTTGATGAAATTAGATATAAAAGGGCTATATTATTTAATTTATATCACTCCAAATATTTTCAATTCCCGTAAAATGTAAATACAATTGCTTTTGTGTAACACATCCACAGGAAAGTAAGTAAACGAAAATTTGCCAGTGTTCCCAGAATGTATGTGTTGAATGTGACATTATATCATCTTTAGATATGAACCAGTCTGAACTTATGTTGGTGGGGTTTGTTTGATACAAAACTTAAAGTGGGCCATTATTCCATTATCATTTCAGGCAATAAGGTCAAAAGTAAAAAATATTTTGTGCACCGGTTTGATAATTGTTTATAAAAGATACTTGAGTACAAAACATCCTTCTAGTTATCAGTAAAACATGAAAAACTTATATAGAATATAAGTTACTTGTATATTTATTTCATGTGATGTTGATAAAGATACGAAACAACCAGGCTTTATATCTTTATCAACATCCAAGTATCTGATGTTCTGTACAGTCAATTGCTAAATGCTGCTTAAAGAAACATTATGTAACAGCAGGTTTTTCTTTTGGCCTCAATTGGTATGTAAATTATTAATTAGACATATATTCACATGACAAGAACATAATTAACGCTCTAGACCATCAGATTGTTGCGATTTTCAATGTACTGAATTGTGATAACTGCACTCAGGAATGGGTAATTTAACTGAAATATTCAATGTATTCATTTTTCATTATTTATTTTTGAACTATTATAGCAAGAACAACCAGCTCTTTATCTAAATCTTACATAATGCATCTTTAAGCAGTCTATTTATCAAATATTTGTTAATAAAAAATTTAGTAAAATATAGTGTTCTATTTATCAAATATTTTATACACAGGTATAATAATTGTTTATTATAGGTACAGTAGTTTAGTACAAAGTATCAAATATAATTTTCAGCAGTTCAAAAGACCAAGTTATTTAAAATTTTAAACTAGATATCATATATATTCTGTTTATTATATTCAAATCTATATATTTCCATCTTATGATCATTTATTTGTGAAAAATGGTTGATTTCATAAAGTTAATATGTTTATATATTTTATAAAGGTGACAAAAAGATTATTATTAACCATGAAAATCTACTCAAATTTGAAAAATTATGTTTGCACTACTGTTAATTTAAACAGTAACTCATATTGACTTAATATTGTCTGGACTTGACCTAAAATATCATTTCCTTTCATAAATGTCAGGACATTTTAATCATTTGTTTTGTGATCAGATTCATTTAAAATTAGCACTTATTTAAACATACATTATGCAAGAGCTAAATCTGCTGATTGCAGGTCTTTCTTTAGGCCTGAAATGTATCTAAATTATTAATTATACATTAATTAACTTATCCAGACCATAATCAACTCTCGGTGCCATCGGATGGCTCCGATTTTAAGCAGATTAGAACTGTTCGGCCATTTAATGATTTAATTCAAAGATAGGTTGCCAGGCAACGAAACATACACCCACAGCAGCTAAATCATCCGGGCAGTCAACAAGAGTTGTCGCATATTTTTACTTTTTTCGGTAATGAAACATTTATAATACACTAAAATCTGATTATGAGCAACAACTCAGAAAACCATTAGAATTTGTTTGGTTTTTATAAAGTTCTGCCCCATGCTAACGTTTTGCATACAAAACTTTTAATACTGTATCATGAATTTAGCTGTTCCAAGTCATAAAAATTCATTGAAAATCAATATACTTGTTCGTCTCAAGATCTTAAACTCTGTGTATCAATCTGCAGTCAATCGGATATTAACTTTGGCCTCTAGAGCATCCACAAGATTTTTCAAAGGGATCAAGGGCCATAACTTTGGCAGTAATTATCAGAAATCTTTGAAAATCAATAGGATTCTTCGCCTCGTGACCTCAAACATTGTGTATAAATTTAAAGTCAATCAGATATTAACTTTAGCCTTTAGAGCATCCACAAGGTTTTTTGAAGTGATCAAGGGCCATAACTCTGGCAGTAATTATCGGAAATAGCTGAAAATCAATAGGCTTTTTCGTCTCATGACCTTAAACACTGTGTATAAATTTAAAGTCAATCGGATATTAACTTTCGCCTCTAGAGCATCCACAAGATTTTTTGAAGTGATCAAGGGCCATAACTCTGGCAGTAATTATTGGAAATCGCTGAAAATCAATAGGCTTCTTCGTCTCATGACCTTAAACACTGTGTATAAATTTAAAGTCAATCGGATATTAACTTTGGCCTCTAGAGCGTCCTCAAGCAATTAAGGACGCCGGACCGCCGGCCGGACGGACGGACGCGGGCGACAACAATATACGACCGCATTACAATGTGGGCGTATAAAAATGGATAATTAAAACTTTGTTTATTATCTTAACAACAGTAGCAATAACAATCGAGGCTACACTCCTTTCCATTATCTATTTTCAATTCTTATAGCGAGATCGGTCAGCACTTTGTCTAATGTTACATAATGCCCATTTAAGTACACATGTAGAATTTGATGATGAACAGTTTATACTTATATGATATATAAACGAAGACAGACAATGTGACATAATATATAAATGACAAAAGACAACTCAACATTTAGTATACATGAAATGGGAAGAGTGAAGAATATAAAATACCGGTAATGTTGAATGGAATATAACTTAATTCAATGTTTTCAGAAAATGACCTTTTTGGGTAACAAATTTAAAAAAAAAAAATTGCAGATAGTTGAGCTTCTCAATACCAGTTGATACCACAGACATCTGTAACGTGGAAAATATTTCAAAAATAACATCAAACTATGGCTAAGCATATGTCTAAAGTCTGTTATGTCCATGTTCGTAAGCAATATTATCAGATAACTGGTCTGATTCCAATTTCTAACTCGGGCAAATAACTTATCTGAAACCAATTCTCTTTCTGTAGGCCCTAAATATAATAATACCATGGTGAGAAACAGGTTGGAATTAAATAATTGGGATCAAAGTTCACTTGGTTTCAGAGAGGTTATTTGCCCCAGAGTTAGAAATTGGGTTCAGACCCGTTATTTGATAATCTCACTTACGAAGATGACTTTAGACATATACTTTTTTAAAATATTTTCCATGTTACAGGTGCCTGTGGACCGTGGTTGATACCTGAATTAATAATATGAGCCACTAACATTCAATCCCCATTGTTGCTTTGGATAAACATTTTATAATAACTTAAAATTTTTGTATCCTGAATCTGAAAATGAAATAAGCCTATGGATATTTACATCAGATTGTAAAGAAAAGATTTTTGATTTGACTACACAAGTACATGTACATCAGAAATGTTCAGATATGCAAAAAGTAGGGCAAATATATTTGAGATATACATGTTCTACCTTTCAATTTTTTAACGTTGAGATTTGTATTTGTTTGAAATGAGTTTATCAAATGTTTGTGAAAATACGTTACTTCAGTTATTAGATATTTGACAATTAGGACAGTCAGAGGTTATTTTGAATATAATATTGTATAAATTTAATAAAATTCATTTTCTTAGCGAGTGTGATTAATGACTCTTTAATAAGTCTATAAATTCAGCTATTTAATATTCCTTTGAGTACCGTATAACATTAATAGTATCAACCTAGTAACATTTTTGTATCAACAGTGGCATCCTCGGTATCCCCAGTGGTCTCATTCCATTCAACTCCAATTACCCCTGGGTTCATCCATGGGGGAGATACATATTCAAATTATCTGCCCTGGATGATTGTTCTTTTTTTTGACCAATCAAAAGAAATGGTTAAATACAAAGGAAGTTGACAAAGTGAAGTGACTCTCATCTTGTTGCAAAGTTTCTGGTAATCGAGCGAACAAGCTGCCATATTGTTGTGAATGTAAACAATGAGGCGAACTATTTTTTGATTGGTTCATAGAATCAAGCTACGTTTAAGGGCAGATAATTTGAATACCTCATGGATGGACCCAGGGGTTAGTAGATTAGAACGGAATGAGACCACTGGGGATACCGAGGATGCATCAGTGGTAGCTCCCTGATTTTCAGTAGGAGGTTGATAAGATTTCTGATGTCTCACTCATAACATTTTCAAAAATTCCCAACAAAATATGCAATTTAGAGTATTTTCTTTATCAGGAAGAAAATCAACAGAAAATGTTTATCTTAGCATTAATCGGAAATGGGGAGAATTGGCTCATGGAAGTTGGATATGTTTAGTTACATACTTTAAATAAGCTCACTGCATCAACTTTAATCCTCTGATGTTTTGGAGGAACATTAATTTTTAAAGTAACAATACATTTGAACTCATATGTTTTATATTGTATACATCATTGGCCATTTCATCTGTATATTCGTCAGTTCTCTGTTGTCTCTGTAATAAAAACAAATTTATTAGTGTTCATTAAAGGGACAATAAGTCAGACTAAAAATAATAAGGGCCCTATTTGGGGTGCTTTTACTTCACCTCTTAGCCCATACAAAAAACTACCGCAAAGAACATACACAATCAAGAATATCACTTCTTTAACACTCACAAAGACCATATGCAATCAAAACTACCAGTACTCTTAACAAGAGGCATACACAATCAAGACTACGATTTCTATGAAGACCATACACAATCAAAACTACCAGTATTCTGTAGACTACCAGTACTTTTAATTAACAACACTAAGACCATAGACAATCAAAACTACAGGTCCTCTTCTTTACCACCACTTAGACCAAGCATAATTAAGACTATATGAACTCGTTATTAACACCACTAAGCCCACAGACAATCAAGACTACTGGTATTCGTAATACAAATAAGCCAATTTACAAACAAGACTACGATTAACAACACTAAGCCCACAGAAAATCAAGACTACCAGTACTCTTTATAAAAAGAGTAGGCTTATCACCACTAAGCCCACAGACAACCAAGACTACAAGTACTCTTTATAAACATCACGAAGACCATAAACAATCAAGACTACTGGTACTCTGTATAAACACTACTAAGACCACACGTACCAATCAAGACTACTAGTACTCTTGATTAACATCCGACATTACACATTCAAGGGTTACTGCCAACACATTCAAGGGTTACTGCCAACTTATTAAATGCTTGTCAATGTTTGAAAACATATCAACAAATCTTTTTAAACCTCTGGCAAACAATTTTTCACAATGGAAATGAAATGAGGTTTAACATCCTACTGTTCTGCATTTTCACAATGGTGCTTTCAGAAGTTGAAGGTAACCTCAGGGTAAAGGTCCCCAGTTGATTAGATATTTGTCTACGTCTGCCGAAGACATAAAGAAACATTTTGAATAAAAGACACATATTTTTTAAATTTTTGTAATGTGTATTTTATGTCTAGTCAGTATTTTTACGTGTACAGCCTGTTGAGATAATTTGTATGTAACATAAATCCTTATCATTTTAATTATTACCTTTTTAGATTTAAAAAACCTGCCTTTCCTATGGGAGGAAGTACTACATTGTTGGAGGTCTCCATCATCTTCACTATCACTATAGGAATGACCAAATCTTGATCTTTCATTCTAAAATAAAATATAAAGAATTTTAAGTAAACTAAACTGTCGAACAAGCTTTACCATTGGAAGCCAGCATACTAGCAGTCCATGTTGGCGTAAAAGTCCTGAGTCTAGAAAAAACTCAATGTTTTCCTTTTGACAATACACCAGAGCTGATCACATATTAGGATTTGATTGTCACGTATCAGAAATATATCATCTCTGTAGGCTTACATCTTTTTATCAGAATATACTATACTCAAGGTTGGCAGGCCTGCTTACTGAGAATAGTTTTTGATATGTCACCCAATTCTATTCTACAGAAGTGTCTGGATAACCTTATATATATTTACCTGCTGAAGTTAAAGTGGAAAGTAACCATTATGATTATGACTTTTGGAATTGAAGAAATCAACCTCAATGTTGTGACAGGTGAATCTCTACTACATGTGCGAGAAGAATATCGGTCCAAGAATGGTTTAATTCCGTTCAGTATTTACAACGATGTGTTGAATTGAAATTTCATTGATATATGCTGTTTTCTATGTAATAAGGACGCCACCATTTTGTTGTGGGCGAACAATATTTTTAATTTGCGCTGGACAAAACTTTCTTAGTTGATGATCAGCAGATTTAACAGAAAATAGGGAGTTTAAAATGTTTCAAGTAATATAAAATTAAAATCCTACCCTTTGATGTGATGTGACATGGTGATCAACAGAGCGTATTTTACTGAATATCTTATTATATTTCTTTCTTTCACCATGTTTGTCAGTATCTCTCCTGAAAACAAAACATGATAAAACTGAAAAACAATACATTAAAGAAGAGAGAGTTAGAAATGGGGTTTAACAACCACTCGTCACAAACTAGGTAATTTCGGAAGGACAGGGGACCCTACTTCTTGTCATGTACACACTTAAGACTCAATAACAGACCTATACATTAAAGCAAATAAAATGTCTTTAATTTAGGTCAAAATAAAACAAAGAAGTTATACATCATCAATAATGGAGATGTGGCTATCAACCTAATGTATCAAATTGGGAAATTAGAAGGCAACGTTTAATGCACTATTACTTCCAGTGAAATAGAAATTGTTGCTTGTACAGATTTATTTGTGCAGGGCCTCGAATCAAAGGTGTTAATTATATAAACTGTTATATTAAATTATTATTGTTGTTGCATATTCTGTATATATTTTATCTACCATCCATTATTTGTATCATTAGCTTCATAAAGACAAGAGTATCATAATAAATCAGCTTATGGTTGACCCCCCGGATCCATTCACTTGATTCGTATTTGTTGTTCATTTTTTGCAATGTCTATGTATTCTGTCTTATCCGCAGGTTCATCTTGAAATTTTGTTTTGTATGAAGTGCGGACGGATCTACTGCACTGGCTTTCTGTGTCGATAGTCAAATACAAAATCCTGTACCACTGACAATTAATTCAATCATGGGAACTTTATGGGCCACAGAGTTTTAACAGTGACTTTCAAGTAAACATATACCGGTACCTGTGAAACCAGGGGAAGTTTCTGTGCCAAAACCTTGTATCTATGTTTTAACAGTAACTTTCAATTAAACAAATACACATGACCTTAACATGTTCAACTTTCTATTCATTGCTTTTATTTCTAGTTTAAAAAATACCTCATGTACTTACGTATTTCTCCAAGCTAATCTTTGATTCATCAGAGCCATTCCATGAGATTGGCTGTACTCCCCTTTTAAAGCTAAGTTAGCACAAGCCTTTGCGGCATATGGTCCTAACACTTCTAAATTCAAATCTATAAGAGAAAACAATATTTTATATAACAAAATCCCAAAATAATATTGTAATATAAATGTGGAACAGGACTATTGTTTCAGTCATATTGGAGTCTTGAAATTAACTGGTTGGATAACTTAAAGATGCATTAAGGTTCAACTCTCTGGGCCATTTAAAAAGTTAACCATAAAATAGATAATCAAAAATTAGTCAAGTAATGTTTGATAATAAACAATCTATGCTACATTGTGTCAAAACTTCAAACACTCAAAACTTCACACAGCATAAAGTAATGTGACTGAATTTATTAATATATTCATTTTTGATTATCTATTTTTGAACTACCAGTATCATAACACGAAAGGAAAACTTTTTATCTAAATCTTACATTATGCATATTTAACCTGTCAGTCAATTTACATATGTAAAATAATTTAAATTGTAAATATTTGAAATTGCGATAATGATAAAAGAACAGTTGCTGAAACATCACACTATATGTATAATAAACCACTAATAGCATTCCATATAAATGTTATTTTATTTAGAATGTGGTCACTGATGCCACATAATGATTTATATGATCCAAAATGCCAGGAAAAGTCAAGTCAATTCTTAAATAATCAATTATAACATTACATTCTTCTGCTAACGCCCTGTCTTGAGTAACTGGTCTCTTTTGTGTAAGAACTCTCAAAGCTTTCGTTCCGTCTGTATCTATGTATTCTAGTTGAAGTTGGAATGGTAATTCTGTCGGTGAGGCATCAGATGTTGCACCAGTGTCTGTTGACGACTTCTCTGATGTTGCACCGGTGTCTGTTGATGATTGGTCAGTAGACGGTTGATTAGCACTGGTAGCCACAGCACCTTCAGAACACTCCTCCTGCTCCTGTTTCTTTTCTGATGCATCTGCTGAGAAGTTAAACAGACGCATAATAATTTTTTGTATGAGAAGAAAATTGCACATCTACATAATATTGAGATTTTATTTTATTGTTAAAGCCAGAAGTCTAATTGTCATTTTTCTTATTTAAATCTAAGAAAAAAAAGGGCTCCAATGTGTTCTATATATAGTAATCTAGATCAGCGATTTTCAATCCTTAATTCAATGACAGACTTTATGATCTAAAGTGCATGCACTTGATCATTTGGCCACACATGCCACTTCTAAATTTTAGAAGTCAAAGTTACATGTCTTGAAATCGCTTTCTCAGTTTAGAGAAATTAATCATACATGACAATTATGAAAGCATATGCCTTTCAGAGATAATAAGAAGATGCCTTGACAGAAACGACAAATGGGTGATTTTAAAATGGTAGTAGTCAAAAAACAACTAGTTTGGGTTGTTAGCATTTCTCAGTAAAAGCAATACATATCAAATATATATATAAGGAGAGTGAATTGACTAAAGTGAGTGTTACCCAAAGCTAATTTTGACTACATCAAGGGCAACAACTCTGTAAAAAAAAAAATGTGGCCAAATAAATATGATTCAACAAAAATAGTAAATAAAAAAATACTTACATGTACCTGTTTTCCCATATTTAAATGTTATTTCTGTTTCCATCGTGGCATTTCCAATATTTTTAACAATTACATGTTCTTTAGTATCTTCTTCTAAAAACACTCTACAACAGAACAGAACTAAGTTTCATTACAAAATGCAGATGCTAAACACTTCATCAAGATGCACACCAACAGAAAATTTCAAGTCTCTGGACATGATTTGAGAGATATTGGAATCCCTGGCAAACTACAATACTGTAAAAGTTGGGTCTCTAATAGGATTATCTGCCCAAATATGGTTCAATACGGTTCACTATTTACAAAGATATGATGAACTGAAATTCCATTGATCTATTCTGTTTCTTATGTAAACAAGCCTTCTTTCTGTTTTCACAACATTTAACTGATGGGAGCGTTATTAATCTGATTGAATCCAAGCGAGGAGATTATCTTGCACTGACATTTTGATTTTGTTTTTCTAAATTAAATATTAAAACATCAATTTGAATACGGTACATATTAGCGTGGATTAAGCTATAAAAAAGTTGATATTTTCTGAAAAATGCTTATAATGCACAGTTGCTTTTAAGTTTTTAGTGTCAGTGACAATAATTAAGCATAATAGCATGGGCTTATCCTAATTTCAATAGGATTCATCCTCAGCAAGTTTGGAAAAAGAATCTAAAAAATCTGATCTGGGTTTACAAGGTTTCAGTGACAGGGGCAATAAGATTGATGAGTGACTTTAAAATTCAAAAGAATTAATTCATATAAACCAGCAAGTTTGAGAAAACAATATAAAAACTCTGACTTGTAGAGCAATAATTTATAAGGAAGGTGGATGGACAGACAGAAGTGATAATAATATGCTCCCACATGAAATGAAAGAGAGAAATGGGGTTTAATGTCCACGTGACACAAACTAGGTCATTTCGGGATTAACACATGGTTCAATTTTATTTCAATAATTCGCTTGCGCGTAGGGGTCTGTAGCAGTGGGAGGAAACCGAAGGACCTGGAGAAAACCCACGAGGCTGGACAGGTGACCCTACTCCTTGTCACGTACAGCCAGGGAATTGAAACCCTGCCAGTTGACTCAATGACAGACCTCATGATACAGCCCACACGTGCTAACCATTCGGCCATCCACCCCCCCACCCACCCCCATATGAAATGAGGGCATGCAATTTAATGCTCTTTTAAGGTATTTTAATTAGAATAACTTGATATTTCTTTACTTACAAGTTTTTATGTAGAATAAATGTAGCTTTAACATTTGTAGCAATAATTCTATCAGCCAGAATATTACTGAATTCATCAGTTAATTTTAATGGATCAACATGGTTTACCTGGAAATATTTGTAGAAATTTTAAAATGAAATCCCAGTAAGATAGAGTTTGGTAAAAAGAAAACAGTGTACTAAAAGAAAACTGACAAGATAAGGTTAATGACTCTATTCATTGTCATATATAAACATTTGAGATCAAGCAATCAATACATGATCATCTATACTACACTGACTTAGGCTTGGTATCATGAGTATTAAAGCTTTGAACATGAGCGACCAGATTTCTGATTAAGACAAGCGGCCTGTTTTCTGGCAATGATATTCATTTGCTAACATTTGCCCCCTCCCCCCAAGAATATTGGAGATAAACGAAGAAAGCAATGTTGTAGTGCCAACAATACGAACGACAGATGTCAGGTGTCTAAGCAACAACTACGAAGATAGTTTATAGGTCACGAAATATTCAAGTACATATTGGTCAACAGGTTAAAGAACAATGTTTTATGCTTTTACTTAAATAAAACTTGTCTATCAGTAATAGGTTCAATGGCTTGTAATAACTGAACGGGAAATACAGAGGACACTATTCCATAATTGCTTGATAAGACAAGAGAAACCTGGTCAAAATGTTGCTCAGTAATAAATAGTTACAGTATTCCATAGAATTGTGTACCAGTAATATGGGAATCCAAACTATGTCAAGGTTAGGAATGATATCTAACATACGATTTGGATTAAATTTAAACAGAACTTTTGAAATCCATTATAAAATTTGATCTTATGATACAGGAAGGGGGGTCAGCAATACTCCCTTAAAAGTGTAGCAGGTCCACTATAATTTGATTTTGTTTATATTTTGATTATATATTACCTGGACACTGTAATTTGATTTTGTTTGTATTTTTGATTCTATATATTACCTGTCCATTTGTTAAATCTGCTAATTTTCCCAGTTGTACCAATTTAGTTTCTGCTCCTTTTATAGTAATCACTGATATTGATACACTGTAAAAACATTTATACTTTTAAAGATATATATATATTCTAAAATATGTTTTACTTCAGGTTTAAAATCCACTCGACTAATGGTACAATTTTATTTCAATAATCCACTTGCATATAGGGCTCTTTTAACAGTAGGAGAAAACAAATTAATCTAAAATGTGTTTTGAAAAAACAAATTGACCATAATTTGGGTATCACATTTTTTACAACTTTTTGTCACTTCCTGGTAATTCGCTAGACATTGCTCTAGATCTATGGGGATGGGCATGAAAAAACCCTTAAAGTTATTCTCAATCTAGACATAGACCCTAGATCTACCAAACCTGGAAATAAGTCACCTGCCACAGACAATCCCAGAAACAAATTCAAACTTTGTCAGAAACAGTTTCTCTTGTACTGTCATTCTGTCCAGCACTGATTTCTCTTTTTATCAGAGTTTTTTATATATTATTTCTACGCTTGCATGTCACCTTAAAAAATATAATCTTACCCTTTCTCCACAGCCATTGCTCCAATATCATTATAAAATCGTTCATGTTCCTCTGAATTACCATAAGTGAGTTTTCCAAGGCCAACATTAGCCAGGCCATCTGTACATAAAATGATCTTAGAACCTGCATATCTTGAAGCTAAACCCAATGCAACAACTATAGATGGTCCCAGGGCTGTTCCTCCACTTGCATCCAATCTTTGAAAAGAGAAGAAAATGTGTATTTCCAAAAAAAAAAACAGATAAGTTTAACTCTGCTGACAAAATTGAGGTTATTTTGGGACTAACAGTCTTTAGTAGTGGGGGGGGGGGAACTGGAGGACCCATAGTAGACCCACAAGGTTTATTCCAAAATAAAAGGAACAGATTTGATACCAAATTAATATGGAAATTCTAAATTATAACACAGAAAGAAATATTAAATGCAAAAATAACAAATATATGGCGTGGTTGCTATGTGATTTTGTTTTTTCAAAACCACCTTTTCTGACTTGGGCAACTTCAAAAGGATATAGCCCAGCCAATTTATGTCTGATTCATACCAACTATACATAATTTTGAAGGTATTAAGGTGGGGAATGTGAAAATTACTCAATTTTCTAAATTCCTCATTGTGACTCAATTTGCCAGCATGGGTCACATTTATTATAGATATACCGGTACAGGTGCCGACAACAAATTTTGGGAATTATATCATTGTCAACATTTAATAACTGATAATCTCAACTTTATTTATTATTCGTACATTAAATAATTTTAGTTAATAATAGATGGTGTGTATTTTTGACATTGCGTTCCTGTTTGATTCCCGAGGTAAAATAGTACCAGGCGTCTCCTGACAAACAATCAAATTTAACCACTATTCTTTATTGTATCTTTGTGGTCGGCTTTAGTCGATTGATGTTTAATCTAGTTGATTTGCAAAACAATGCCCTGGCTACTATGGTATCATAAATCAATCTACTTCCATAAAAATTACACCTGGTTAATTATTATTTGTTAATTAAGAAGTCAGCCTGCTTGTCGGCTACAACATGTCATACCTTTGTGGTTCATAATCCTGGTAATTAGCACATTTAATGGTAAGTTCAATAGTCCGGTACAAAAACAAAACAAGCTGTCTGATTCATAACAGGTCCAGTAAGCGCCTTTGTGGAAATAAGTCACATGGCGAAAGAAGACGATCTCAGCATGGTTTCCGAATCACATGTTTTCGACGCTCCGTATGAATTCCAGGTATCGGTAGATATTAAAATAATAAATGGATCATACATTGATGGATTCACTGACCAGTTGTTAGGTAAATTTAAAGATACATTATGGGAGAATAGATAAAGAGGTGGCAGTTCTCACTGTAATAGTTAGATAGGTTGTCTAAATCGTCCGAGCGGTTGACAAGTGTTGTCGCATATTTATTCCTTTGTAGGTAATCGGGGCCTTTACAAGACAGTTCCATACAGATCAGATTATAATTTTTGCCGTTTGAGGGTTCACAAGGTTCTACAAATTGAAACAAGGGTCTCAACTCTGGAAGTAATCTACAGAAATTATTGAAATTTGACAGCCTTTTACCTTTCACTAATTTAAATAATGCATATAAATTTCAGAAAGATAGAATAATAACTTTTGGGAATAGAGCGTTCACAAGGTTAAACAAAGTGAAACAAGGGCCATAACTCTAGAAGTAATAAACGGAAATTGCTGAAATTCGATAGGCTACTTCGTTTCCCTAATTTAAATATGGCATATACATTTCACAAAGATCAGATGTTAACTTTTGGCATTAGAGCGTTCACAAGGTTCAACAAAGTGAAACAAGGGTCATAACTCTAGACATTATGAATGAAAATCATTGAAATAAAATAGGCTTCTTCATCTCACTAATGTAAACAACATATATCAATCTTAAAACAATTGGATGATAACTTTTGGCGTTAGAGCGTTCGCAAGAAATTGTGGACGACGGACGGACGGGGGCGACGGAAATATACGACCACATTTCCATGTGGGCGTATAAAAACTAGACAATGTAAAGGGAGTTTGCTGAAAATTTCAGTCAAATTGATCCACTCTAAACTGAGAAATTAGCGATTGAATTTTAGGCCTAGCCCCGATCATCATTACTTAAGTCGGTATAATAAAAAACATTTTTTGATTTAATCATCAATAAGCGTTGATCAGCAGATCAGATTCTAATCCAGTAAATATCGCTGGCTAGCGATGCCATCAGGACTTGATTATGGTCTGGATAAGTTAATCAATGTCTAATTAATATTTTTAATTATTAATAATATATTTTTCTGATAGAATCTCCAATGCCGAATTCTGATGAAATGTGACATTGATTGGAAATAGGTCAATAAACCAGTATTATATAGCATTTACTTTTATGATTTTTTATTATATACACACATGTTGCCAAGCTTAATTTTAAAAATATTGGGGTTGTTATTGAAGACTATATGACATAGTAGTACAGAATTTTATCTTAAAGCAGTTTCAGTTATGGTTGTCACATGATCATTGTGCCCTTTGTCTATCATCGACGAATGAATAAAAACTTTTGCAAGTTACGTGATAGACAAAAAACTACAAATTGTGATTTGAAGAAATGCTATGCTGATACTGGCAACTACATCGATTATCATGACATTCAAGACATTTAAATGTATAATAGTGTTATATCCACCACTATCGGTAATTGTATCTGTATCGGCCGATATATTTCATCAATATCTGATATTGGTAAAACCGATAGTAGCCATATCAGACCATTACTATCATGTACAGAAACTTACTTCAAAACTTTTTTAGACAAATTGTGTTGCGTGCCTTTAATAGGTTTAGGTAAAGGTAGTTCAGTACCAATCATTTCTAATTGCTTGAAATGATCCAATTGATCGTTGTGAATGTTTCGTTTAGTTGTTGTACCATCACCTATTACTAATAACTGTAAAATAATAGAATCATATGTTAAAACATTACTAATAAATAATTACAGACAATCACAGTTATTAGCCAAGAAAATTTCTCCTAGTTATTAGCAGAGAGATTTTATCATGGTTTCCCCTAAGTAATAAAATTAGCATTCAATGTGATCAATGTTCCCTTCCAATTTTTAAAAGTCAGTGTGCCCAAAATCTTATAGCATGCAAATTTTATTCTGGTGACAATAGTATGTGTGGAAGATATTTGCATAAAGATAAAATTGTATTGGCAAAGAAAATTGGAGAAATGAAATGAAATGGATTTAAACGTCCTACTGTTCTGCTCTGACTGGGCTAATGAATGGGCATACGCCATACAGTGTGCTATGAGTGAAATTTTGCCGGGACAGTAGTCTTACGACCAACTCTGCCAAGGGATTTGTTACATGCACGCCAGTGTGTACACAAGACCTCAATTTTTCGTCCCATCTGAACATGAACGATTAGACAGCTGTCCTTATCAGGCCCTCCATCCTGCACCACTGACAAGGGGAAACCACACAGGAAAAACATGCTGAACTTTCTTGGCAAAAACCGAGAGAAAAACTACGACCTTCAGACTAGCAAGCCATTTTTTTACTTTCTGAGCCATCGTGGCTCCCGAGCTTTACCTCATTATTAAAAGCTATTACTGCAACTCGTCTGTTAGGATGATCTTTAGCTAAATCTTCTAGTTGTTTATCAACAGCAGCTTGCACAGCTTGTAGCGAAGAAACATGGCTAACATTACGATCTTGATGTGGCAGATATTGATCTTCCAAAGAGCCATCAAAACTTGGCCTGTTACGAGATCCTCTCAAATGAACACGCCCAGGTACCTAAAACAAAATGTCTTTTTTAGTTTAGGTCTCTTATTCAGAATATTGTTTTGTTAATTAATAAAATATAAACCTTTACTAGCTGTTTACACTACATTCCTGGAGTACAGGCCTGCAATGTTTACTGAAACCAGAAGTTGTACCCGTTTATCCCAAATTTCAGTCTTCAGGCAGCCCCTGATCAGGCAAACGACTATCACAAATATAAATTTTAAGCCTTGACTGAATGAATAATTAGACCGACCCCCAGTCAGATATACTACCAGTATAATCTTATAACACTGTACTAATTTGATCTGTTCATGTTTTTCTTTTTGTACACTGGATCGAGGGAGCGGAAATCAGACCTTGGGGGGGGGGGGGGGTAATAGAATAACAATGCTTGATTATCCCAATGCTTCACACCAAATGGGAGGTTGGATGGCCGAATGGTTAGCACGCGTGCACTGTATCATACGGTCTGTCACTGAGTCAACTGGTGGGGTTTCGATTCCCCGGTTGTACGTGACAAGGAGTAGGGTCGCCTGTCCAACCTCGTGGGTTTTCTCCGGGTCCTCCGGTTTCCTCCCACTGCTAAAGACCCCTATGCGCAAGTGAATTATTGAAATAAAAATTAAACCATATGTTAGTCCAAAAATGACCTAGTTTGTGTCAAGTGGACGTTAAACCCCATTTCTCTCTCTCTCTCTCTTGACACCAAATTTGAAAAGAATCTGTCAAGCTTTGTAGCCTCAAGATATACCTACCGCGAATGATGTGCACATACTTCCAGATACATCAATACAAAACACAATGATGGATTCATCTTGACTTGACGGACCAGCAGCTTCTGTTGATAAGCCAGCCTCTAATAAAAATGTCACATCTTCTACAGCTGGTATCTCACCATCTTCTACGTCAACTTCATTATTACATTCACAAAATTCACACACCCACACCTAAAATATATTAACAACATTACACCCACACACCCACACCTAAAATATAATAACATTATTACTACCAGACACCCACACCTAAAATAACATTTTACTACAACACACTACCATCTAAAATATAATAACATTATCACTACCACATACCCACATCTAAAATATAATAACATTATTACAACCACACACCCACACCTATAATAACATTATTACTACCATTTAACAACAACTAAAAAATAATAATATTATTACTACCACACACATTATCACTACCACATACCCACATCTAAAATATACTATTCAAAAAAAGTAGGGGATATTTGATTTTTGGGGCATAATACTAAAATATGCAAATGACTACGAAAAAAGTCACTATAGAACCTAACAGAAGAAACATTTCCAGTTGCATGTGACGCCCAAACGCACCAATAGCTACCGCATGGAATGCAGGTGATGCTTGGGATCATCATGGGGGTCCAACCCAAGATTTGCACGACTCTGACTTTGAATGTTACAGTCATTGTGGCATTGAATTCCAGGGTGGAAACATCAGTTTAATTGTTTTAGTGACCAGAAAACAAATTTTGATATGCGTCGGCTTACCCAAATGAAAGGTTACGTGCCCTTGGCATGCTACAGATCGGCACAACACAGGCGGTTGTGGCGCGGACGACGAATGTTTCTCAGTCTGTCATAAGCAGGCTATGGTCCAGATACCGTGATACACAATCTGTACAGGACAGACCACGCTCAGGTCGACCAAGGGCGACAACTCAAGCCCAGGATCGATTTATCCGTACCTTGGCCTTGAGAAATCGTGTCATCACAGCAAATCAGATCAGCGCTCGTCTTCAAACAGACACTGGTGTGAGAGTGAGTGGCCAGACGATTCGGAATCGACTGCATAGGGGTCACCTTCGCGCCCGATGTCCTCGCGTGATCCCTTGTTTGAGAGATCATCACATTCAGGCAAGACGTCGTTGGTGTAGGGATCGTCAACACTGGGATAATCGACGCTGGAGCAATGTGATGTTTTCAGATGAGTCAAGGTTCACTGTTGATTGTTTGGACAGACGTAGGAGGGTGTGGCGTCGTCGAAACGAGCGCTTCCAAGACGTTAACGTCATCAGACATGATCGATTTGGGGGTGGTTCTGTTATGGTGTGGGGAGGCATCACTGTTGCTGGAAGAACGGCTTTACATGTTGTTGCAGGGCGTGTTACAGGCCAGTACTACCGGGACAACATCTTGGCAGTCCATGTTGTGCCGTTCGCACGACGTCATGGCCGCCGTTTCATCTTCCAGGATGACAACGCAAGATGTCACAGGGCCAGGATCGTTACAGGTTACCTCCAACAACAGAACATCACCACATTACCTTGGCCAGCACTGAGTCCCAACCTCTCCCCCATCGAGCATGTCTGGGACATGCTTGGACAGAGGTTACGTCAACGTCAACAACATCCTGCCAATGTCCAAGAACTTGCTGCTGCGTTGCAACAGGAATGGGACAATTTGGACCAAAATGACCTTAGACGTCTCATTAGGAGTATGCCACGTCGGATCAATGCTTGTTTGGCAAACAGAGGAGGATTTACCCGTTACTGACTTGGTTGTGATGCTGTGGTAACTTTGCTGTTTGACCCCGGGTATCATTTTACCCTTATAATGGTCAGTCTGTGCCTTACTTAGTCTAACGATCATTTGGAATAAATCGATGAATGTGAACTTCATTTCATTTTGTCATTTGTTTCTTCGTCAGTTTCATTAGGTGACTTTAATAACACTTAAAAATCAAATATCCCCTACTTTTTTTGAATAGTATATAATAACACTATTACAACCACACACCCACACCTATAATAACATTATTACTACCATTTAACAACAACTAAAATATAATAATATTACTACTACCACACACTCCCGCCTAAAATATAATAACATTATTACAACCACATACCCACACCTAAAATATAATAACAATATTACTACCACACGGCACACGGCCACACTTAAAATATAATAACATTATTACAACCATACACTGACACCTAAAATATAATAACAACATTATTACTTTAACACACTCTGACCTAAAAAATAATAAAATTATTACTACTATATACCCATACCTAAAATGTAATAACAACATTCTTACTACCAGACACCCACACCTAAATATAATAACACTATTATTCAAAAAGATAGCTGAACTGTGCATCCATTATGTAAGACAATCGACAACACAGATTGTTTGATATTTGACAGATTACTAACTTTAACAGACATTCAAGCCTTGCCTTCTGCCAGTTCACCGATATAAGACATATTCTATGTAGATTACTTAACACATATCCTAGCAGTCAGTTTATTGAAGACATGATAATTATATAGATAACTAACTTTACTAGACATCCCAGTAGTCAGTTTATTGATATTTAAGACATAAAATTATATAGATTACTAACCTTGCCAGATATTCCAGCAGTCATGAGTTTACTGATACACATATAAGAAATATTTTATGTAGATTACTCACCTTACCAGACATCCCAGCAGTCAGTTTACTTAAATGTGACATTATAGCTTTACATCCAGTACCTCCACATTTCACAGCATCACCAGCGTGCATATTGCTCGGGTCTTTTAATGTATTTAATGTAACTGATACCACATTAGTATCAGCTTTTTTAAATCGTCTTTTTCCTTCTGGTTGTGAAGATACATTTCTTTGATCCATTGCAGTAGCTAAAGATGATACAACATCTGTTAAAATTCTATTATTTAGCATGTCCACCAAGCACAACAAATTTATAAGAGGAAACGATGATGTCTCCATGTGAAGCATGGCAACATGTATGGAAACCAAGGGAGAAAATTTTGTTCACAATTGACAATTGAATGTTTAGGTTTACTACAATCTTAAATCACACAAAAAAACAATTAACGGTAACTTTATATGTAGTTTACATTCTTCATCGAAGCAAACCCTAATAGTTTCTAATTAAATCAAAGAGACATGCTTAAACATACATTATGTAAGAGCTAAATCTGCCTATTACAAGTCTTTATTTAGGCTTCAGATATTATAGAAATTATTAATTCGACCTTTATTAACATGACAAGCCCAAAATCAACTCAGTAGACCCTTGGATGGCTTGGATACAGCTTTGATTTAAACAGTCGTCCATTTAAAATTGAATCAACAAATGGCCTTCCAAGCTAAGCTTTATCATTAGTCACTGACGTCACTACCGGAGACAACCGATGAAAGGCCTCCCAAGCGAGGGTACCATAGCCATTGAGAATGTTACTTGATAATCGAGAATAAGTGGGTGGAGTTATAGTCTGTCAATCAAACGATCAGCAATTTTCGTAGACGGTACGGACACAGTTTATGCCTATTTCTAGCCCAAACTTCCAACAGTGGCAACTCCATTCAGAATAAAGTAATTTGACTGAAATTTTCCATATTTTCTTTTTTTATCATCTATTTTTGAATTATTATAGCAAGAATGGCCAACTCTTTATTAAACTCTTAACTAATATATGTGTAATGATAATACCATTGACTTCAATGTTAAACTTAAAACTGTGGATTCTGAAATGCTGTGCCCTTATTCATGAAAACTTAAACTAAGATACAATTGAAATTTTAAGAAATACTGCAATTCGATTGGCTGACCAGTAAAATCAATTTGCATATATCCAATGAAGTTGCAGTATTTCTTAAAATTTTGGTTGTAACTTAGTTTAAGTTTTTGTGAATAAGGACCCAGGTGTTTAATTTAACATCCTACTTTTCTGCACCATCTGGGCTAATGAAGACGGGCTGTGGATTCTATTTTTGGCTCATAGGAGTTGTCGTGTTGAAGCTATCAATGTTGCATCTAGCTATTCCGATGACAGATCTAAATTATCAACATATTTCTGGAGAAAACCCATGACATTAGGTGGGAGACAACTACTCCATTTCAGGTACAAGTCTGGGATGAAAACTCTGATACCTGACCTTACGTGTATATGATCTACAGGTACAGTGAGTAATTCACTGGTTTGTTAACCCGGGTGTTGGCCTAGAAAGTTCCATAAGATTTTCCAGCGTGGTTTCGGGACGGCGGACCTGGCAAGGAACAGTGTCTAGTCGGATGGAAAACAATGGTCTGTGTTTTCATTGATGTGTATGTAAAACAACCCATGAAATGCTGGTGTTATAAAACACAGTGTGGCCTATTCCCATCGTCAAAGTCAGGTTGGTGCAGAAAGGTAGACGGTTAGACCACATTTCATTTCAAATAGAAGAGGTACTTATTGGTATAAACTCAGTCAAATTTATATTTATAGTAAATTTCACATTCTGAACAACTATATATTTTCAAGTAGTATTGTATTCAGCTTACCAGTTTCATCTCCTCTTCTCTGCCAATGATGTTTTCGTCTTTCCTTGACATCTTTTATCTGGTTCACATCTTTTTTCTGATCCAAATCCTTTTTCTTAGTCTTTTTTCTCAATTTCAGTGAAGTTCTCATTCGTCCAAACAATGATTTTCGCTTTTCATTTTCTTAAAAATAAATTTTTACATCCATATTAGATTTGTTTTTGACAGGGCACCGTCTTCCAAAATATAAATTACAGGAAATGCCTTTTACATGTACATGCCTTCCCGCGTACCAATTGTGTGATTTGATGATATAGTCATAAATCATATTCAAACTAATTTATCTATCAAAAGTTTGTTTTAAATCCCTCTCAAAACATTTGATCCGAAGAAAACTAACCTGTGTCTCGAGTATCTATTTTTATCAACATTCTTTATTACGTGACTTTATTAAGGGAAATCCATTGTTAGCTTGTGTTTGTCGTACAAGAAATGCAGACAAAATTGTGTTCCAAAAAACTTACCAGGTTTGACAGAAGAAGCAGCTGCTTGTGACACTTGTGGTTCTTCTTCATCTGACGAACAATCACTGCAATAAATATTAAACTACACACTAACATGTAGTCTCCATACTAATACTTCTAGAAATAGAGGTGGGACCAATATGACCATTTCAATAACAAATTTAGAATGAACGGTCATAATCATAAGTATTTACACAATACAATACAACAAAGTCCTTCACATTTTCCAACCAATTTTAACCAGAATTATCTGTTGCCATCAATCAGCTTTTCATCTTAATAACTGTTGAATACGCATATTAATTTAGAAATTCTAACAGTTTCAGTTCTGGTACTTGCAATGTTCTCGGATAATATCCATTGTTAAGGTCACTTACTTTTAACAAGTTTGTACATGTAGATGACCAAAATAGAGTATTTTTAATTCCATGCAAAGATGGGACACATTTTTTGGATTTAAAAAAAAAGACATATCAATAAATTTTCGCAGACAACAAAATGGTGGTGAGCTTATTGCATAGAGAGCAGAATAGATCAATGAAATTTCAGTTCCACATACACGGTACTTAAAGATACATTATGGGAGATTTTTATAGAGAGTTGGCCATTCTTGCTATAACAGTTCAAAAGTAGATGATGAAAGAAGAATATATTGAAAAATTCAGTCAAATTACTTTATTCTGAACATAGTTATCATCGTTGTAATATTTGACTAGAAATGGTAGCGAAATGCGTCTTCACCTTCGCCGATCGTTTGATTGACAGGCGTTAACTCCACCTACATATCTCGATTATCAAGTAAAGTTTTCAATGGCATACGGAAACGCTTTACAGCGGCCTCGCTAAGTACACTCTATCATTTAGCCTCGATCTAACTGACGTATTTTCATCAGGTTGCCCCATACTTGATTTAATCAATTAGTGAAATCCTATTTAAATCCGAGCTGTAGTCGAGCCATTCGTGGGTCTACAGAGTTGATTTTGGGCTTGTTGTTTAAATAAAGATCTAATTTATAATTTCTATAAGCCTAAATTAAGACTTGCAATAATCAGATTTAACTCTTGCATAATGCATGTTTAACTGTACAGTATCGTTGTAAATACGGTACTGAACAGAATTGAACCATTTTAGACATGTAGTTTGAAAGTGCTAAAATAACTAATGATGCATCAGGATTTTCAATTTAATCAAATATTGGAATATAAATTCAACATTCAATTATGACTGCTAATGGTTTTCCAGCCTTAGATAGAGAAACAACTTCTCAACAAAATACAGGACAAAAAAATAAGTCTATTTTCTACTTTATTACTATTACTGGGAGAAAATAGATATTAAGCTATGTATGAAGCCTCCCAGAACTCTTTTCTGAAAGCAGAATAAATTGTGCAATTTTAAGTACAAGTGCAAAAGACCTTTTAATTTATTGATTTTAACGTAAACAGGTTTAATTTGTCCTGTATTTGGGCAGGTTTTCTATAGAATTTAACTGTCCATAAATGCCATAAACCATATAAAACAAACCAATGATAAGACCACAAAGAATTGATCAAAAGAAAATGATTGTCTTACCTGACACTTAACTGTGCATGATATTCATCATCTGATACGTACTCATACTCATCCTGATTGCCATTATACACATATTTAGATGCAAAATTCATTTTTAATAGTTCTTCTTAACAAGACCACTGCTGTATCTAAAGAGAAAAAATATTGAAGAATAATTTGATGCCCGAGTAAAAATCTAAAAATACTTGCCATTTCTTCAATTTTTAGCTTAAAGGACACACTGATCCGCAGTGAATATTTGCTAGGCCGCTACAATCACTGATAAGGATGACATCGATGCGGCTTAATGAGCCAGTAATATTAACTTTTTTCCTGAGACAAATTAAATTCTAAAACATTTTTTTTATGTATTGGAAAAATAAATAAAGGCGTTTGACGTATTTGTAGGTAAAAATTATTTTCTATTTAGTGTAAATGGGTATTAAAATGACTAAAATGCAGCATTTTCTCCGAAGCAGTAACGTCTTATGTAAACAATGCACGCGCCATTCAGCCAATGATTGACGCCGCGTGCTGTGACGGCACGTATTAAGACAGTCATCTTTGACAGAGATATATTACTATAATACTGTAATATGAATGTATATAAACTGATTTACATTCAATGGTTTCCGTTTTTACTCCAATTTCAAATCAGTTATGTTCGGCGAAATAAGCCAGCAGTCTCAAGCGAGTGCAAATTTCTAGCTTCTGGTTATTCCAGTCTACATACGCCGTTTGATTTGGTGCAATGTGTCTAGCCTCGTCCCTCGTGTCTCTTGATACAACTGGGGCTGAAGCGCATTATGGTACACGATTTGTGTACCAATGGTAAAATGTTTTTTTTGTTTTAAATATTGGATATCAAAAGCCCACCTTTTTCCGGCAAGATCACAACATGAATGTTGATTTAATTTGACAAATAATTTGTGTTTTCAATATTGAAGATTTTGGATGATATTGAGTTAGAGACTTAGCTACTTTAACTGGCTAAAATTTGGTGACATTTTATTTGAGAAATATTTGCAAGAGTGATTGTGTTTTTTGTAGCGCTATGAGCACGATTAAACATGCATTATGCAAGAGCAAAATCTGCTTATTACAAGTCTTTCTTTAGGCCTGAAATGTTATCTAAATTATCAATTAGACATTAATTAGCTTATTCAAACCATAATAAACTCTCGATGTCAAGGCTAGCCTTTGATGTTGGCTGGTTTGGATTCCTATAAGCCGCTTAACGGCCATTGATAATTAAATCAAAACAGTGGATAATCGAGACTATGCTGTTTATATTTATGATTTTAGTAATGATGACCGAGACTATGCGAAAATTTCACCCGCTCCGTTCTCGGCTCATAGTGGATCAATTTGACTGAAATTTTCAGCAAATTACCTTTACACCATCTAGTTTTTAACTATTATAGTGAGAACTGCCATCTCTTTATCTTATCTCCCATAATGTATCTTTAAATGTGGAATTAGTGTGATATAAATCAACTTATTATTATCAATTACCAACGCTTTGCCTTCTACTGCATGGTAATTGGTAACTAATTTCAAATCAAACCATATAACCATTCTCCCTTGCCTAGTTATCTGGAATAGCCCAGGGTTGTAGGTTTGGGTCAGAGTTGTTTTGGCCTACTTGCATGTAATAAAAAAAGTTGCATCGGTTCATACAGAAGTAGAATATAACTTTTTAAAAAAAATGTTATTTAATGTAGGTTATATAAGCTGCCCTTTGGCACAGCGGCCAAGAGAATTATTACATGTATGTGCCGCAGCAAGACAAACTTTTTCCCGTCCCCTTTCCCATCCACACCTGTGCAAGGAGTATGCAAAAGATAGGGTTTCTAACTTTGCCCCGGCATGGCCAGAGTATCGCATCAGAGATCGGATCAGGGACTCTGTGGCATGAACACTGGCTATGGGCCCCCTGGGGCTTCATGATGGAACTTAGAGCAATCTACCGACTGCATCCTCTCACCTCGGGCCTTCCCTCTGGTCCCAGACTAATATTGTTTGTCCCATTGACAGTCTAATTTGGGCTCCAACTCTTTGATATGTATCTTCATACAAAGTTTAACCTGATATTGCACTGACATGTGACGGATGACATGTGACTGAAATTTGGAAGGAAGTTTAGACGACATACCCTAAAATAACCAAACTCGGTCCATAATATGTCATAGTGGTTTGCATAGTTTTTCCTAAAAATCATCGGCAAAAAAACTGGCAGAGATTCAAAATTCAAAGACTTTCCAATAGTTCTAAATCAAAAATTAAAGATAGCCACCAAACACATGTAAATATATGCCTACACACAGCAGCTATGTCTCAACAGCAGCTTACTCCTAAGCTGAGATAGAGAGAAATGGGGTTTAATGTCTACTCGACAGAAACTAGGTCATTTCAGAACTAACACGTGGTTAAATTTTATTTCAATAATTTGCTTGCATGTAGGGTCTTTAGCAATCTAATTAAAATATAGATCTATATTTTGTTTTGTTTTTTATACTTTCAATGGCCTACACTACATGTAGATCTAACAAGTTATACTGGGAGTTCACGTTCTATGACGTCAGGTACCAAGCAAGCGACATTTGACCCGATTACGTCAGTCATTCGATTAACCAATTAGGGACCGCCATGTATTTTTTATCTAATTTTGCTTTGTTTTGATTTCTATTGCCGCTAATGTCTACCCACAATTCCGCGCAAAAAAGGTCAAACGCTCAATTCGACAAACCATTTGATTGGCTGACCCCTCATTTCAAGCAGAACACAAGATAAATAACAACGCTTCCAGATACAAGTGTAGTAAAGACAAGTAAAATTGAAATTTTGAACTATAGAAACGAAGCGAAATTGGATCTGTGTTTTAATCAGATTGGGGTCTTTAGCAGTGGGGAGGAAATCAGAGGATCCGCAGAAAAGCCACAAGGCTGAACACATACAACTGGGGAATCGAAACCACTCCAGTTGACTGGCAGACTTTACTACTCCTAAACTGAAGATCCAAAGTGCTGAATTATATGATATTGTACGAGATGGACATTTTATCCTGGAGTTTACTATGACATCTACTGCTGAAAATCAGTGTACTATGGGGAACATACTGGTAGCGACTAGCAATGCTATACCGGTATTATGAATACATGTATCTATGATCAAATAGACTGTGAGGAATATTAAAATACCAATAACCAAAAAAAGCTTCACAAAAGTTGATATTGTTAGAATACAATTATTTAGAAAAGAAACGATTAGAAAACAGCTTTGAAATAATAGATAAGAAGTAATAATGTCACAAGACAAGCAGATGAATTCTCCTTCACTAGAATTTTTAATGAAATGCAGACAATTTGTGTATCACCCTTCTATCCCCAAGCTACGCCAGGGTATATGCAAGTGTCGCATTTTGACGCAGGCACAGTGGTGAGTATGTCTGAATATGTGAAATTAACATGATAATAATGGATTTTATCATTTTATAATTATTGAACATCCTGGCCGGCATAATAAGGATTGATATATGAAGAAAGCCAAAGGATGACAATTCCAGGTATTCAAATTGGCCTACCCAGTTAAATATTGAAGAAATGGCAAGCAATTTTCGAGATGGCGTTTCACATAACAGACAGTAATCTAATCATTAACCATAGCAGAATAATTGTTTTAGTAAATATTTATAAGATCCCAACAAAGTTGAGTCAATAATTGCCTCTTTATTTAATTTATTTTCCTGGCATTCAATAATATCATTTTCAATCGGTCATTTTCACAAATAATAGGACATTGACAAGCAAATGTTGCCCTATTCCGAGTCCCGGTCTTATAGCCTAGTAGTAGATAACAAACCTAATCTCTCAACCCTCAACGTTTTTAGCTAGAACGTACTATTAATATTATTAATGGTCTAGTTGTTGGACTAGAATTAAGTAGAATTTGTAAAATGTCTTGTAACTTCAACTTGTAAACACCGTACAAGTTGATATTTTCTTAATAAATTTTATCGGTGCCAATGAATATCAACGAAAAAAATAAATCCCTTACCTGAGCTTAAAAAATTGTTCCGTTATCTGCAACTTTCGTTTTGTTAGTAAAGCCTGGTCAACGGGTGACCAAACTACATAAATATAAATGCGTGACCTATCAAAGAAAGTAGTTCCAAAGAATGATTAATGATTTATTGCATTCAGAATAGTAACTTGTATGTAAAATACTATGATAAGCTTTTCAAATCAATTGAAACGAAAAATCTTCAATCAATTTGGACCAAATCTTTTTAAATGTCCTCTGGCTCTACCCTTATTTTGCAGAAAAACTGCGCATGAATCTAGAATTTAATAATATTATTCTGAACAATATCTATTTTTAGCAACTTGCTCACGAGTACTTGTATACTATTTATAGGACTATACTGTAAGGACTAATCGGTGACCAACTTGCTTGGAACGAAGTGTCGTGTGCATCGATTATGAAGGAAATGAAATGAAATGGGGTTTAACGTCCTACTGTTCTGCTCCTAACCTGGGCTAATGAAGACGGGCATACGCCATACAGTGTGCTATGAGGGAAATTTTGCCCGGACAGCGGCACTACGGCCTACTCTTATATCGAATTCCAACTGCCAAGGGATCTTTTACGTGCACGCCAATGTGTACACGGGACCTCGGTTTTTCGTCCCATCCGAACGACTAGACAGCTTTCCTTGTCAGGCCCTCCGTCCTGCATCACTGACAAGGGAGAACCACGCCGGAAAAGATTATGAAGGAAGTTTATATCTGATCACTAATAATAGTATCTGATCACTAGCCTATCGAGATCAGAACTTCGATTGAGGAAATAAATATCGATCGGCTTTGACCCATTTGTAAAATATTCAAATACCATCTTTTTCTAAGAATGGCAAAGTATTTAGACATTTAAAGATAAAGAGCTGGACAGTTAAACTCACTATAAATTATAAATATAATTAATTTAACTATAATACTCAGCCAAATTAAAAACTTGACACTGATGAATTTCAACAAATTTTTTTTTCTGGTAAGTCAAATAAATTTTAAAGTGTTTCTAACGATAGTAAGTAAAGAAGCCTTTAATTTCATAAAATTGTAAAGTCACGTGGATCACGTGCCTTTTGAGCATATAAAGATGAAAAATCTGAAAAACACGTGCAAACACAAACTCGTGAGGTCAATCGATGCAAGTTTGCTTAAACTGAACACGCACTTGAACTAGAAAAACAAATTAAAATTGTTATTTTCATCTTTGTTAGAAAATGCCGCGCCTTTAAAATGTAGAACGTCTACGTGCTATAGGTAGGCTCTATGCTGGTGAGTCTGTGGTCACTGTTGCAAGAGCCTTTAATTGTTCACGCCAGACAATAATTAATCTTAGAATGAGAGTGCTTCAAACTGGCACTATTGCCGACCGCCCAAGGGCGGGAGCGCCACGTGTGACGTCACTCCAGGAAGATCAAGCAATACGATTACGTCATCTTAGAAACAGATTTGTCACTGCAACCTCCACAAGTAGAGAGATGTTTGGTGGAAGGGTAACTGCACAAACTGTTCGAAATCGCTTGCGGGCTGCTGGTCTTCGAGCTCGGAGGCCCTATAATGGACCAATATTGACACCTCTTCATCGCCGTAACCGACTTGTGTGGGCCACAAGACACATAAGATTTACTCAAAGACAGTGGAATTCGGTTGTCTTTAGTGACGAATCTCGATTCACTTTGAGATTTGCCGATGGCAGGGCCCGAGTGTACCGCAGACGAGGTGAACGTTACGCTCAAGTATGCGTCAGAGAAGTTGACCGATTTGGTGGCGGCAGCGTCATGGTTTGGGGTTCTATTTGTGCACATGGACTTTCTCCTCTTTTGTTGTTGTCCAAGGGAACTTAAATGCTGTCGAGTACAGGGATCAGATTTTGCAACCTGATCTTCTTCCGTTTATGCAGAGACATGGGCCTGGACTAACGTTTCAACAAGACAATGTTCGACCCCATACAGCAATTGCTACCCAAAATTTTCAAAGAAATGCCGGTGTCCAAGTCCTGGATTGGCCGTCGCTTAGCCCCGACCTTAATCCTATTGAACACATCTGGGACGAACTGGGTCGACGTGTTCGTCAGTAAGTGAATCCACCACTGACGTTGCAGGACCTTCAACATGCTCTTGCTGAGCAGTGGCGACGTCTTCCTCGGGTAGTGTTTACTAATGTTCTGAGATCCATGAGAAGACGTTGTGTGGCAGTACGAGACGCTAGAGGAGGCCACGACCGTTACTAAACACTTTATTCCGATTGTTCTCCAAGTCTGTGAATTTCATTTTGGGGGGTACTGTGACATCACGAACGTTATCAATGTCAAGGACTTTCGGCGAGACGTATTCTTGCTTTCTGTTGATTTCAAGGTCGTCTGTGCACAACATAACACTAAAATAGTTGCCTTAAACCAAATATTAAAAATCTAGTCCCAAAAATCCCGAGTGTCAAGTTTTTAATTTGGCTGAGTATATAATACGGTATTATAGTTAAAACTAGATAATGTAAAGGGAATTTGCTGAATTACACAAATCGTGTCCATGACCATGATGCAGAGCCTCGTCTAAGGATTTGGTAGTGCGCGGCAATGTCGCGAGGGCCCAGCCGGCGCGCGAACACCGCAGGTGAGAGCACGCGCGGGGGTTCTTGTGGGCCATCCCCCATAAAATTTTGAAAATTGACTCCCTTAGACTCGATGTCTGAGCGCTTAAAAAATAGTTTCGGAGATTTGATACACTATTAGTTTTGGCATCTTGTTAAACCTGTCCATGGATACCCTAATATCGAGATCAAAACACTGCTGCGGCAGCTGACCCGCAGACAGAAATATACCCATAAAACAATCAGAAAGACGATTTTTTAAACCTACGCACCATGATAATAAAGTATTGGCACATGGGAAAAACCTTGTCAGCGATTTTCAAAACGTATGTATGTTGCCGCCCAGTCTTCAACTTTTGGGCTCAGTAGGCGGCACAGTTTGGCCAGTGCGCGGCGGCGCCTAGTCACCATGATAAACGAGGCTCTGCCATTTTTGAATTCAAATGAAACACAAAAGAAGTTTGTAGACTTATATACTGAGCGCCATGGAAAACGCATCACTTTTTTTCCCCAAATATTTTATTACTAGGTGGTTTTGTATGTATAATATTATGCAATACTATGAACTATTGTTTCACACAATGTTCCCAAACGCAAAAAATATCGGCCCGTGTGCACAAAAAAAATTGCACGAGATGCACATGAAAAAACCCAATATTCACGTGCAGCATTGTGTGTGAGCCCTTTAAAAGCATGTTTTTAACTTAATGTGCAGTACATGAACTGTGAAACGTCAATCTGTCGTAATTTGTTGTTGGACGTGTGAAGGAATCGAGCTAGAGATGCGGAGACTTACTGAAAATCAACCGAATGAAACCATGGGAATGTCCAAGGCTGGCATGTCTACACGTGCTATTGCCAGACACTTCAATTGTCATCAGTCCACTATTGTAAGGTTGGTGGAACGTGTTCGAGTTACTGGATCAACACGTGACCGTCAACGTCCTGGTCCACAACGCGTTACAACCCAGGTTCAAAACCGCTACATCCGGGTCACTCATCTGCGTGACAGATTCCGCCCAGCGACCCGAACAGGTGCAGCAGTCGTCGGAAGACAAGGACCAGTAAGTGCCAACACCGTAAGACGTCGTCTAAGAGAAGTAGGACTCCGTGCACGACGACCTTATGTTTGAGCTATCCTCAGGGATCATCACCGTCAGCGGCGTTTGATATGGGCTCAAGGACACCAGACATGTAGAAGAGTAGACTGGCAAAGTGTGCTCTTCAGTGCTGAGAGTCGCTTTCATCTTTATCACGCTGATGGCCGTCAACGTGTGTGGGGAACGTCTTGCAGACTGCTGCGTCTTCGAAACCAATCGATGGGGTGGGGGGAGTGTAATGGTGTGGGGGGGGGGGGGCTTTACATTTCATCACCGGACCGCCCTACACATTTGCAGGGGTCGCGTTAATGCTGTAGCCTACCGTAATGATGTCTTGCAACCAATTGTTGTTCCGATGTTTCGAGCGCACCCACAACTTCAGCACTTCCAACAGGATAATGCACGTCCGCATACCGTCCGTTTTAGTATGGACTACCTGGCTGCTAACAACATCAATGTCTTGGACTGGCCAGCCATGTCTCCAGACATGGCACCGATAGAACATGTCTGGGATCAGATTGGACGCCGCCTGTATCGGAGACCACAAATGCACACCATTGCTGCTTTAGAAGCTGCTCTTGTCCAAGAATGGACTTTGTACCGTTGATTACAGATTAAACATCCATAGGTGTACAAATGTGTTGTTATTGATGTGTTCCCATTTGAATATTGTTCACAATAAGAAGCAAAATAAATAAGATATTATGTTTACAGGATCATTTTGTTATACGAAAAACTAAGTGATGCGTTTCCATGGCGCTCAGTATATTTGAAACAGGAACTTTTTCTGAATAAAATAAATAGGATAAACAGTTTTGGGTTGTTTTTTTTGTTTTTGTTTTTTTTTTCTTAAAAAACAATTTTAGACCGTTCGAAGACAAGTGTACTGAAAATATCAGTCGAAACCATAGAGGTGTATATATTGACTAGAGTGTATTGTGGTCACGTGATCCCCATTGACGTAACGATAACGCCGTGGGCCGTCACTGGAGACTGGCCGCCATGTTTCAACCGGGAAAGAATCACGGAAGTGCCCGGATGAACGCTATGTAAACAAAGGGAAATAGACTGACGGAGGGCGGACAAGCCCATTAAAAAGCAGTTCTAATTCAACAATATCAACCAAAAAAAATGATGATTGAAAGGTCTTACCTTACTGTCCTAAAAACAAAATCGTTTTGGTCAACTGGCATATTTTTGGGGCTTTATTATTAAGAATAACTCTTATCATAACCATCATCATGATGAATATTATACCGTGGCACTGGCATGGTATAAATTCAAAATTGTAATGCAGATTTGACGAAATCATGTTTATTTTATTAATTGATCAAAGTGAACGTCCTCAAATGTCCAGATCTATAAAGTGTTCAGCTAAATTTTGAACATTGCTCCTCGGTAGTTCACATAAAACTTTATTTTGGATAGATCTAACTAAATAATTTGTGGACGATTTGAATGAAATGAAAGGACTGCTTGATTGACAGATAACTAAACTATATATGTAAAGAAATAAAATCATTTACAAGTAGAATATCTGATGCCGATTGGAAATATTTTTTTTAAAAAAAGTAAAATATAAACACGTCTAGCAAGGCCTTAGTAGGCCTATATGGTTTTCAATTTCCATGACCTGGTGTCTGATTTTTCTTTGTTGAAAAATACGGCGGTATATTAAATTTTACAAAAAAATAAGACTAACTTAATCAAACTTAATCACAATGAGATTTTCGTAGTAGCAGCGATTAAAAAAAATTATCAGGCCTATTTTTTTTTTACAAAATTTGACTGGGAATGAAGTTATGAAGACTACTTATTATTATTAACCATTTTTTTTAAAGGCTCAATACCACTTTTGTTGTAACTGAATAATATGTCCCAATCTTTATTCTGGTCAACAATTAATTGATGATACAAATTTCATCTTAACACACCTTATTTAAAAATTTTGAAAAATTCAACATATAATGGTTTGAAACGTCTAACGTAAAACTTTTCAAATGAAACTTCGATTTAAAAATATTTTCGAACCCTCTGGACAAGTAAAATAGGATGTAATGGATAATTTACACAACAGGTAGGACACTTAAACATCTAGTATAGAGATATTATTTATTTTCTGGAGCTTTCAAGCCAGCAAGAGTGTTATTGTCCCTTTAAACTAGTTTGGTGGTTTTAAGCGGGTTTTCAGAAGAAGAAAAAAAAAGAAACATTTTATAAATATTGCAAGAAACTTTCACTTTATTCTGTACATCTGTCATTCTGTGTACACAATGATTATGAATGTCGGCCTAATTAATAAAATCCGAGGGAGTAAAACTAACCGATAGCAAAGCAACTACTGGCCCATTAGTGCATGTCTGTGACTAAACACCCCACTCCAATAAGCAGACTTACTCCCGTGATATTTTTCGTACAATGCCAAATGTGTGTAAAAATATAATATGCGCAATTTCCATAATAATCAAATATACATTAATTTGGAAGTTCGCTAAACGCGCGGACCTTGTAATTATTACATAATAAAAGTATCAGTACTAATAATATAGACCCCCCGGTTTCCGGCCTCAAACTTCCAGTGTTCGACGTCTTCTCCCCGGTTTCCGGCCTCAAACTTCCAGTGTTCGACGTCTTCTCGCCGTGTTTATTAAATTATTTTACACAATTATCATGATTATACTATATCTATTAGATCACTATTTCACTTATAATATATCTTACCTACTTATGAAATTATAATCCACTCCCTTTCAGCCTGACATTGAATTAACCAAAACAATAACAACTCTCCTGCATGTTAATTGATATATGCCAACGTAGGCTAAATCTTCCCGGTTGTAAAATGGCTGCCAACCTCCATAGTCAGCACGCGATCACGTGACCACCATACACTCTAGTCAATATATATATAGAGGATATTTGTCGTTTTGTCGTGAATAACATATTTTATTTCATCGAGAAGCAAGAAAACTTATATTTTCACGAATGCGTAGCATATGAGTGAAAATATAAACGTTTTCTTGCTTAGAGATGAAATAAAATATGTTATTCACGACAAAACGACAAATGTTCTATTTATTTTATGATTTTACAATCATTTGAGGTAAAAACAACTAGCCAGTGGAATAACATTTTTATTTCAATGATAAAACGCGGTATTCCACGACTGATCATAAAATAAATTATTATACACCTCCATGGTCGAAACTGAAATTCAGTGGAAGAAGGCAGATAACTCCGTTTTAATAAAATCTGGATGATCAAGACTACAAAGCTCTTCACGAAAAAGGTTATCCAAAATGGCGTCTGTAAGTGATTGTAAAACGAAGTTAATTCTTCTTTTACGTACAATTTGGTTCAAATGTCAAAAAAGTAATCGCAATAATGCCTCTTAGTCTATATAGGATTATAACAGAATCAGTGATGTAATATGTAACAGGCATTGCCTGAGTAGAGCGAAGCTGATTATTGTCAAATATACAACCTTCATAATTAATTTTCTCAAGTGATACAAAAAATGTTAAATAATTTAGTTTTTCCAAATTGATTAATATTTAGATCTAAATTGTATACCTTAATTTTGTTTTTAAAAAAAGAACAAAAAAGTGTGAGAATTATTTTCATTGACTTCAAAAATATGTGACGTCATTGATGAGACGCGTCATAGAAATAGTTCTATGAGGCGCGTAATCTCGCTTGGGCGACATGCGCATTGCCTGTTTTGCCCAGTGCATCCGGTTCCGGTCTGAATTTTTTTTTAATCAACAGTCTGTGGGTGACAATTTCAGTTACGCTCCTGTGTTACCGGAAAAGAGCTTTGCTCAAGCACCGCGTTTCACGCGATGCTTTAGAGCTTCGCTCTATATTAAAAAAAGATTAAATGCTCATGAATTTATTTGATAATAATCTACATTTTCTCAAAACACAAAAGCAAATATTTACGTATGCACAGTTATTAACACTCCTTACCAATTTTTATACGCCCACATATTGTTTATTTATGATTATATTGTCACTTTGTAAAGTGCCTCTGAACATGTTATAGAAAAGGGCACACTATAAATATGCTGTAATAATAATAATAATATATTGTTGTCACCCCTGTCCATCCGAATGTCCACAATTTGGTTGTGGACACTCTGCAGGTCACAATTCGTATCCAATTTTGTCGAAACTTGAAATATAGGTTTATCTCCAAAAGATCTTGGTTCCTTCCGATATTGGCATGTATCGGAATGAAACTGCATGGATTATGGCCCCTGATTGTACAAAAAATCATGTTTTTAGCTTGTAGACACTCTACATGTATATAGAGATCACAATTTTTATCCAAATTAAATGAAACTTGAAATGTATGTTTATAACCCTAAGATTTTGGTTCCTTTCAATATTCACGCATATCGGATCACAACTCCCTGGATTATGTCCCCTGACTACAAAAAGTCACTTTTTGTTAGCTTGTTATCTGTCCATCTCTTGCAAAATGTGGCCCTATCTTGCATGCATTCCACGACAAGCTTACAATAAAAGGCAACGATCAAATCAGAATTGTTAAAGCTGATTAAACATGCATTATGCAAGAGCAAAATCTGCTTATTACAAGTCTTTCTTTAGGCCTGAAATGTTATCTAAATTATCAATTAGACATTAATTAACTTATCCAGACCATAATAAACTCTCGATGTCAAGGCTACCCTTCGATGTTGGCTGGATTAGATTCCTATATGCCGCTAACGGCCATTGATAATTAAATAAAAAAAAGTGGATAATCGAGACTATGCTGTTTATATTAATGATTTTAGTAATGATGACCGAGACTATGCACAAAAATTTCACCCGCTTCTTTCTCGGCTCATAGTGGATCAATTTGACTGAAATTTTCAGCAAATTACCTTTACACTATCTAGTTTTTAACTATTATAGCGAGAACTGCCATCACTTTATCTTATCTTCCATAATGTATCTTTAACTGATAATCCAAATGTTATTTATGTAGGAATTGAATTTGAAAAGAAATTTGACTGTTCTATGAGACGAAAAGCGGCGAGTTGTTGTTCATAGATAATCTCAGCTGCATGTTGATTGCAATTATTCCATTTCACGTAACAGCTTAGACATTTAAACTTGTTAAAACAGTCTTAAATATCAGAAAGCCAATCAACACTCTATACCAGACAACTTTATTATAATTTAAAAACATTGATAAACTAATGTCGACCAAGATCAATCAGGCTCTTTTACTTCTTGATAAAACAAAAGTCAGAAAGTTTTTCTGAATATACACAAAATTTTCAACAATATTTTATTTATTCATCATTTATCTGAAACTGAGTACGAAACCTCATTATTATAGAGTCAGTATTATGGAGTCGAAACAATCGTTCAGTAAGTTTGAATAGCCAGGTGTACAAATAACCAAGAATCACAAACCACTGACAGCTTTCACTGTGGTGGACTTTGGTTTCCTTCCAGGATGGCAGATGCAATCAAAATTTGTGAAACATAGTATTGCTAATTGAGGTCATCTACTACAGTAAAAGATTTAATATGAATGTTATGTCATCGAAAATGGTACAAACACATAAACTGCTAATCAAAACATACATGCATGTAGGTCCAAATTGTTCCAACAGAAATAATAAATTTAATTTGTTCTATCAACCCATGGCGGAATATACTACCAGAAACCTTTATAGTTAAACTACTGTGGAATGCAATAATAAAATGAGATACATGTTACATGTATGTTTTTTTGTTCTATTACAGGCAGATGTTGCAGCTGGACCGTCTACTTCAAAACCAAGTGCTAAAGATCGGATGAACAGATTACGTGAACTGGAACTTCGCATGGTAATGTACATGGTGCCCTCAGAGCACATTCTCCATGTCCCATTTTCTAGGTACCTGACATGTACCGACCATCATAATTGGCCCGTTGTCTCCAGTTGATTGAATCTGAAAGTCTTTCTTCTATACAAATTTCTCCCATATGATTGTGATTCTCAACAGATTTTCTGTTTATGTCCTGAACATTCAGAATTTGGCTGCACTGTGTTATATTATAATGAATAAAAACCATTAATATTTGCTAATACTATTATCACCAGTTGAAGAAGTTAAAGTCTGAGTGATGGCTTAAAGCCATCCCAATTCTGGACAATAATAATCAACTACTAATGGGCCTGACCCACAGTCTGTCCTATTTATTTCACATTTAAATTTTTCTGAATAAAAAATAAAATAGACAAGTTTATCACTTTACAGATAACATGTACTTGCAGATTTCACATTTATATTTTTCTGTGTAGAATGAGGCTCGTAAATTAAACCATGTAGAAGTGGTGGCAGAAGATGAAAGGAAAAAAAGGCCTGCAAATTTTGAAGCTAAAAGGAAAAGAACAGAATGGGAAGATGAACAAGAAAAATTAAGAGAGGTTTGTTAAACAGGCCTTATGCAAGAGCTAAATCAGAGTATTGCAGGTCTTTTATTATGCCTTAAATGTTATATAACTTATTAATTAGTCATTAAAACTTACCAGGACCATAATCAACGCTCGATGCAGCGTCAATAAGGCTTAAGCATATAAACCAGATTTCAGCAAAATCAAAGGGGGTATGGTTTACCTCATTGGGTACTTTGACACAATAAAGTTTTCTTGCTTACTTTTTGTTATACACATGAATTTGTTAATTATATTTTTTAGGATTGTACTAAACGAGGAGAAGATTTTGATCGTGTGAAGGTTTTAGATCAAGGCGCTGATGATGTTGAAAGATGGGAAAAGAAAAAGAAGAAGAAAAATCCAGACATCGGCTTTTCAGGTGAGGCATTTGTGTCCAAGGTACTAATTTACATCTTGGTTAGACCTAGAGGATATTTTTACGTAAAGATACATTATGTAAGATTTAGATAAAGAGCGAACAGTTCTCGCTATGATAGTTTAAAAATAAATAAGGAATTCGGAATATATTGAAAATTTTAGTCAAATTACTTCATTTTGAGCGAAGATATGATTTTTTTTGAGAAAAGCGTAGTCGCGATTTTCATTGCTGTCATTGTTAGGATAATAAACAAAGTCTAGATAATCCATTTTTAAATGAAATTGTCATGTCACGATCGTGTTCTAATTCGTTCAAAATTACAACCATGTGAATAAATGTCTAATTAGTAATTTATATAACATTTGAGGCCAAAAGAAAGATTTGCAATAGGCAGATTTAGCTCTTGCGTATTGCATCTTTAAGCTCAAAACAAGGGGCCCTAAAGAAACAAAATTAAATAAGTATTTTGTCTTGATCAATATGGTTCTTTGAAATGTTATTAAAAAGTAATTGAAATGTAATTGACCATTTACATGATTCATGGAATGTAATTAATTACACTTCTATTATTCATTACTTTTAAAAACTTTCAATTACTCATTACTTTTATATCTTCAATTACTCATTACTTTTAAAATTTTCCTTTACTCATTATGACCATTACTTCAAAACATATGATTACATTACCATTACTCCAACCCTGCTTTGTTACCATTAATTTATATTATTTATTATGATCTTTCTAATCACTTTCAATCTATAAGTGTATTTTTCCCAGTCATAAAAAAATCATATTTTTAGTTTGCAGCTGTTCAAGGTCTAAATAAATCTGTTAACCTACATCTTCATCATTTTTTTTCAGACTATGAACAAGCTACACACAGACAATATTCTGGACTAGCCAAAAAATTGAAACCCGATATGAAAGAATATGGTCGACAGAAAGAAAAATTGTAAGTAATCTTAAATTCTGCTAACTAGGTCTTTGGTTTTGCTTGTTATATTAGACTGCACTATAACATAAAAGATGAACCTAAGTGCCAAAATCTTTTTACAATAATGCCTTGGTGCAGCACATCTTTTTGGCTCATTTAACAGGCGTTTTGCCAAGAAAGTTCCTCTGGATTGGCGTGCACATAGAAACTTTGACAGTAGGAATTTGATGAACAGTGGAATGAATTGTCGCTGTCCAGACAAAAATTCCCTTAAAACACGGTGCAAAGCGCATGCCCATCTTCATTGAAATAAAGGTGTACCATATATTAGTCCCAAAATAATCCAATTTTGTTGAATTGCCATTAAACCCCTTTTCTCTCTCTTTATCATGTTATAAAAGTAATTTATATGTGTAGGTCAATGAAATTTATGTTTAGATTAAAAAATGTTATCTCTAGGGATTTCAATACAGTAGACCAAACTGCTCAAATTGTGATGTCACCACCATCTCCTGACACATTACAGAATTTTTATGCTACATCAAAATTTTCTTGCACTGTCCTAAACTTCAATGGTTGTATATTTTCTTTCTGAATGTAGCTCATTTTTATTCACATTTCTTTTAGAGGAGAAGATTTTTATGCATCATCTAATACACTGGGCTTGCATCAACAAAAATCTTCAGATGATGCCATTAATAGAATGGTAGATGATTTAGAAAAACAGTAAGTAGCAATTATTTTAAATATTTAAAATACAGTTATTGGAAGGAACATGTTTTTTTTTTAAATATTAATAATGAGTCATAGAGATCATTTGTGATTGCCACTTGTACAGATTGGTATTGCACCTGGAGTTCTGTAAAATTATATCTGGGAGTTCTGTAAAATTATATCTGGAAAAACTGTTTTTATTTAAAATATTTAAAATACAGTTATTGGAAGGAACATGTTTTTTTTTTAAATATTAATAATGAGTCATAGAGATCATTTGTGATTGCCACTTGTACAGATTGGTATTGCACCTGGAGTTCTGTAAAATTATATCTGGAAAAACTGTTTTTATTTATTATTCCAGAATTGATAAAAGAACTAAATACAGTCGCAGACGACAATTTGATGATGAGGCTGATATTGATTACATTAACGAAAGAAACATGAAATTTAACAAAAAACTGGAGAGATTTTACGGAGATTACACATCGGAGATCAAACAGAATTTGGAGAGAGGGACGGCTGTTTAGATTATCAGTTTCATTTGTATATATTGTAAATATTAAATAAGATTGGAAAATTTAGCTGATTTTATTATCAGTCAAATTACATGCCATCAGATTGGGTGTTAAAAAGATTTTAATTTTAAAATGTAATAAACCCAATTAAATTTGTAGATTTTATGTAGGAAAACACTTGTAGTGAATTGATAAATTTAAACAACTGGTCTATTACTAATCTAAGAAAAACTAAATACAACAACAACTAACTGGTTGATAACATTTTAAAGTGAGAGATCTCATGTGTACATATTGTAAATATTACTATATAAGCTATTCTAAGGGCTTTGATTGTATTGAATATGATATACCTGGGACTTTGGAGATTATACTCATAGGGATAGGTGCTTGTTAGATTATTGCTTTCATCTGTTTATATTGGTATTTCATTGAAGTATATGCAAATTTCTTTTTAATTCAGTTTCTGTTTGAATTGTCTTCATGAAATCTGAAGCTCAAGTATTTTTATTGGCTGAGAGATAAGATTTTAGGACCATTTCACAACGAAAAGACTAATTTCTTATTAACATTAGGGGATACGTGGTTAGTACAATTAGATTCAGAACCAGAAATCCCCAGTCTGAATTTGATTGTGGGCTGTGAAGAATCATCAGGACTTTTTAAGCCTGGTCTCCACTTGCTAGGTGTAGCACCTACAGGGTTGATAAGCAAAGTGTGTGTGTCTAGTCATTCGGCAAACAACATGGTCCATTGAACAGCAGCGACAATAACAATGAAAACTTTGATTAGAGGTCATATGTAATAAGAAGTTTACTACCTGTGTATCCATAAAATTGTATATTGTGTTACTCTTTGATTGTGTAAAGAATGATATATGTATCATGAATAAAGATATGGTTTATTAAATGTTTTCCTGCCATCCTGTCCAGATCATTGAGAGATTGGATTTTCCTCCTTAACCCTAACCCAGAAAATTCAATGGATTTTCCTCCTTAACCCTAACCCAGAAAATTCAATGGTCAACATTCAAGCCTAGTTTCCCCATGTCAGGGATGGCCCCTGCAGAACTGATAAGGAAAATGTGCCAAATCATTGGAATTGAATGAAAACAACCCAAGATAAACTTGTGTACACATTGGCATGCACATGAAAGAACCATTGACAGTTGGAAATAAAAAAAGACTTAGTGGATTTATGCTGTTAGGGAAGAATTCAGTTCCTGTACATTTCATAGAAATAATTGTTAGAATATGTCAGTTTCAAAATGCCCAAAGTCTGTATCTTACCGATGAGACATTAAACTCTATTCCATTTCTATAGCTTTTGGACTATTATCATTTGTCTAAGATATAGGTCAATTTTAAGACCAGCAATTAAAGTTATATTTTTTTATTGTCCGATTATCATTCTGTAAACTTTTATCCAACAGAATCTGTCTAGTTTATGTAAATAATCCCATTTTGAAATACATCTTTGTCCATTGTGTTGGGATTACTGGGGTATTTTTTTAAGAATCCTTTCTTTCCCACCCATATCACCGAGATCCAACCTTGTTTGCACTGAACCTGGGATTCTTTGACTCCTTCATTGTACTTTTATAAAGGTGTTAATTCGTTTTATTCAGACAACTGAAGTGCACTTTGAAGACTAAACTACCCATGCGCCTAGACCATACGGTGTATTATGGATAGATGCATTATTTACACATTTATTCACATGACAAGATCTTTAACAACTCTCTAGCTCAGATGTTAAGCATGGATACACATGGTTGTTCCAGAGACCCTGGCTATATATCTGACAGACTAAAAAATAAAATTAATGTATGCACCTTTCATTCAAAGCTAGCCATAACCATGGACCTTATTATAAGATCCAGGTCATAACCAAGCTCCATGATCTCATTCTTCCTCCACCCCCCTTTCTTATCAATGCTAAGATACAATTTTTTGGAATGGTCAGAGGCAATTAACCTCCATTAGACCATACTGAAAGGAACTATACCAGGACATACTCTAAATCATATATGCACTAGGACGTTTTCTTGGAGAGGATCCCCCTCTCACCATGGCCTCCCGTCTAATTATAGAGAGAGAGAAATGGGGTTTAATGTCCACTCAACACAAATTAGGTCATTTTGGGACAAACATATGGTTCAAATTTATTCCAATAATTCGCTTGTGCGTATGTGTTTTTTAGCAGTGGGAGAAACCGAAGAAAACCCATGAGGACAGCCGACCCTACACATACAGCCGGGGAATCAAAATCACGGCAGCTGACTCAATGACAGACCTTATGATACTGCGAGCATGTGCTAACCATTCGGCCATCCACCCACCCCACCTCCCGTCTCATAAATCCTGGTGCCACTGTGCACTGTTGAATGGATATAGCTGGGTGGCCAAAAAAAAAACTACCGTAGCCTAAGGCAAAGATCAAAAATAACAGACAGAATATTGTTAAATAGTTTTCAAAAGAGAAGTCGGCAATAATTTATAACACGGATACTATTAGCAAGTATTACTAGAATAGTTACTTGCTGTGTTCGACAAAAAATAAAAGCAGGCGTCACCAGCTTGAAAACGTGTAGACTGCTAAAAATAGATTCTGAAAAACCCATGAGTCCTGTTCTAAATCGGGTCATGATATATGTTCTATATTCATACGCTGTTTTCATTAAATTTGTTAAATTTTTAGTTAAAAAGAAACCTTTTTTCTATGTAAGCGTATTTACATTAAAATATCCACAGTTTCGGTTTTCGGAAACAATAACCTAAATTAGTTATTTAACATTGAGATATAACAGGTACTATTTTCTGGGCTATTTCTAGAAGTGTGTTGTTAGTCTTTGTTTATGTTCCGCGAAAATAAGTAAACTAACTTCCTGCTAAAGACGCAAAAATCTGAACCGAAACGTATCTTAAAACTTTAATATCTCAGAATTATAGATTTTCATAATAATTACTGCATATAAAAGTTCAAATTACTAACAGTTAATTGTGGATGATTGACTTTCACTTTTTTACTGTCTAATTTGCATGAAAATCAACAAAATAATTTTGCATCTACAGTACTAGGCCTGTCAGTAGCCAAATTATATCAATTTGTTGACAGCCTTAAAACTTTATTTTCAATTATCTGTGGTGCATGTTGTGTTTTTCTTTTTTTGCTGACCATCGTCAAACAGTTAATATAAGAAATTAAAGAAATCTAAAATAGATAGGAAATGTATTTCGCATCAAAGTATGTTTATGACAACACTGTTGAAGAATATGAAGATGTTTCAGATGATGAATATAATGAAGGTTTAGATGTCAGGTAAGGAAATTGGGTTTAACTGACAATTTCTCTGCACTATAACCGGCGGTGGTACTTTTTACCGCCGACCACCACCGACTACCGCCGACCAAATGCTTTTTACCGCCGACCGTCGTGTAATTACCGCCGACCAAATACTCTTTACCGCCGACCCCATTGTAATGACTTTCGACCGTAATATAATTACCGCCGACCAAATACTTGTTACCGCCGACCAAATGCTTAATGATTCCCCGTTACCGCCGACTATATAAAATTAGCAGCAGCATTTAAATTGAACGGTAGGCCTACCTAAGTTTTTATACGCCCACATTGAAATGTGGTCGTATATTGTTGTCGCCCCCGTCCGTCCATCCGTCCACCTGTCGGTCCTGCGTCCACAATTGCTTGTGGGCGCTCTATATAGGCTAAAGTTAATATCCGATTGACTTTAAGGTCATGAGACGAAGAATCCTATTGATTTTCAGCGATTTTCGATAATTATGCTGCAGGATTTATGGCCCTTGATCACTTCAAAAAATCTTGTGGACGCTCTGGAGGTCAAAGCTAATATCTGATTGACTTTAAATTCATACACAGTGTTTAAGGTCATGAGACGAAGAAGCCTATTGATTTTCAACGATTTCTGATGATCACTGCCAGAGTTATAGCCCTTGATCACTTTGGAAAATCTTGTGGACGCTCTAGAGGCTAAAGTTAATATCCGATTGACTTTAAATTGATACAGAGTGTTTCATTACCGAAAAAAGTAAAAATATGTGACAACTCTTGTTGACTGCCCGGACGATATAGCTGCTGTGAGTGTATGTTTCATTGCCTGGCAACCTATCTTTTTTAGTGTGGTTCCCTCTTGTCTGTGGCCTAGCAAGAAACAGTGTCTAGGCATTTGGATGTGCATGAGGTCAGTTGTACACATTGGCCTGACAGGTGGAATTCAATGTCATATTTGTCATTTTTAATATAAAATCGTAGAGTTTTTGTGTCCAAATGTAATTTCCACATAAGTTTGTAAGTCATAACCAATTGACGTAACTTAGACACCTTCCAAACTTGCATGGAAATCACATTTTGAGGGTCATTTTGATACAAAAATGCTACAATTTTAAATTAAAAACTACAAATTGACATAAAAAAAATTAAAACACATTTATTTAAACAAGTTTTTAGCTGACTCTGATACAACTGTTAACATGTCCATAATCTGGTTATATTGTCACTTAGTAAAGTGCCCCTGAACATGTGATATGAAAGGGCCGTGCACTAGCTGTAATAATAATAATAATAATAAAAAGAGCAGTATATTGTGATATATTAGTTGACATAATGGTAGATTTATACAAGGAACTTCGGTTTTCTATCCCATTCAAATGACTAGACACTGTCTTTTGCTTCATGGCCACAGATAAGAGGAAACCACACTGAGAAAAACTGAGGTACTTAACAGCCAGCACTAAGATCGCGAACCTGGGACTTAGCTCCTTTCTAGTGAGTTAAAGCTGTGCTCACTAAGACACTGTAGCCTGCATAAACCCTGTGCCCAATACGCCTATGACTGTAGTAAGTGGATCTAATTTATAATGTATATTGTCATAAATAAGGATATAAAACATATGATGAGAGTAATCTCTGTAATGGTTTTGGTGAAATGAAATCGGGTTGAATCTGCACCAACCCGACTAATGAAGATGGAATTGTAATGGTACAGTAGTTATATGTCAGGTTTATTGCAAAATAGTCCTGTGTTCGATCCCTGCGTTGCCCGAGAAAGTTCATTGGAATTTTCCGTGGTGGTTCTGTGACACTATGGGGACAGATGTGACACTTTCTTCTAGGCGTTTCTTCGACTTTAGGTTGTAGGATTAATTATTTCAATCATCAATTAACTGACTCTGAAACACTGTTTATGTTGTTACTAAGTTCATATAATTAAACAAATACAGCAAACTACAAAGTTATGATAGTACTTTTTGAGTTATTAAAATATCCATGATCTGAGTTTAGCATACTTTAAACTCAGACCTAACGGCTTAAATACTACATTTTGTATCTATCCCAGCCTCTCAGTCGAGAAGGCTACGATGTTCCCCTCTCGGGCCGCTCTATGATATCTGAGGTAAATCAAACAAGCTCTCTCCTATAGAGGACGTATTATGCGTCATCTATTAGGGCGGGACAATTACCATTTTTGGGTATGTGTTTCGTATAGGCACTGTTTTACGTCAACACTATTCTAGTTAATTGTACTAATCCGTGCACGAGATGGCAGGACTATAGTACCCTACTTCCAGCAATGGATACTGACATAACTGTCGGTGAGTTAGTCTAAGATAGTAGTAAAATAATGCAAGCTACTTCATTACCCTAGTTTTCGTCACACATCATGTAGGTGACGAATTTCTATATTAAACAGAACACCTTTCTTAGTAAAATAAGCCCTATAGTATTATAGTTCCCCTTTGTCAGTGGTGTAGGATAGATGGCCTGGCAAGGGACAATGTATAGTCATTCGGATGGGATGAAAAACTGAGGTCCTGTATACAAGTAAAAGAACAATTGATAGTTGGAATTCTTTAACAACGTGCTCTGGGCAAAATTTCTCTCATAGCCTACTGCATGGCGTATGCCTGTCTTCATTAGCCCAGTTGGAGCAGAACAGTAGGACGTTAATCCCTATTTCATATATTGCAAAAGAAGGTACCAATTTATAAATCTGAACCATCTTGTAAATTTATACAATTATTTTTTCAAGTCCTCTTTTGTTTCCAGTGATGAGTCAGATGATGATGAACGGGACACTCCTGCTGCCCCTCCTAGACCAAGAGGTAAGCAATATTGGGCTTCCAGCCAACTAAACATAGTTAAGTGGTCTTAAGTTTTGTCCTTGCTTCTCAAAGCAATAGCTGACTGCATAGCATATACTAGCCTTCATTAGCAATGTTGGTGTAGAAAAGTAAAATATTAAACTCCCATTTTATGTCCCCCATGACCTTTGACCTCCATTTATTTCTTACCGAGCATGCATCATTAGTGTAATGTAACAAGGAGCATCAAACACCTGGTATGACTTGTTAAGTTATCTATGGATGTCATGGGTTTGATCCCAGGTTTATATGTGACAAGAGGTTTGGTTACCTGCCTAATCCTGTGGATTATCTCCAGGTGCACTGACTTCCTGTCATTTCTTTAAATAAAAAAACTTGTACCCAGGCGAATTCTTGAGACCAATATGTTAAACGTCATTTATGTTTTATGTCCTTTTTTTCAAATGAAAAAGGTCTGATCACTTGATGTCATGTCTAGAAATTTTAAACAAAAGCAGTTACGGCTGAAGGCTAATGTCCAGGGGAGTGCTACAATAATAACCACCAGAATGATAAACTGTAAGATAAGCAAAGAAAATGTCAAATTTACAATTTGCATTGATCTTATATCACAGCAACAAATATATACAATAGAACTACATGTACCAGGAACCAAGCCTGACGCCATAAAGCCATATTGAAAATCAAAGTCTGTCTATTGTCCATGGAATAATCAGGTTAAGTTTTGTGTCGATCTCTGAATTGGCAGAGTCTTAGGCTTTTTTTTTTTTTGAAGACTGTCGCTCCCAAGAAGAAGAACAGCAACAAAATGAATAGTGCTTTGGGCCTATTTCCTGGTCCAAAAATCAATTCCTACAAATAACTAATTATCAGACAGTTTTTCATTCGAGATTCTCCATTAAAATAAAAAATATGACTGCAATAATCCTGCAGTCCTTAAAATAGATTTGTTTTTATGTTGGTTTGCTTTTGTAAACTTTTCATAAAGTTGTCTTGTGTCTCGCTTGGATCAATGGAACTGTGTTGTTTACAATGTTAAAATTGTCTTTTCTAATTTCAGTATGCTATACTTGGCCTTTCATATCAATGTGTGAATTTTTATTTTTAAGTAAAACCTCAGAAGAAAAGACATCATTGGCAGTTACAGAAAGGTAAGTATCAATCTGATTATATTATATTAAAACATTCCTTTGTTTTTATTTTGGTTATTTTTACTACACAACATATTGTAATCTGTCATATGTTCTATCACAGAAATATTCCATTGGTGTAAGTTCTATTGACAGTAGGATTCTTGGGTGGCCAAATGGTTTAGTGTTGGCATTTTGGATAAAAAAAGTCTTTTATTGTACATACTATTGACTTTATAAAACATTTTTCTTTTATAAAGTCCATGTGTATACTGAGGAGGAGATGTTACATACAGATTAGTCCTGTTCCTCAATACCTAAATCCTCAACCCCTAAAATAGAACATGTACATACTGAGGAGAAGAATTCACATACAGATAGCTCAATACCTGAATCCTTAACCCCTGAACTAAATAGTGTTTAACTTAAAGCCAAAATACAAGGCTTAATATTTTTATGGGAAACGAGAGGCCTCAAGGCATTTGAAATTGTAGCCTTTAATTAATATCCATTTATTATCATGCAATACGCACAATAATTTAATGTTTCACCAACAGAAAGCATGAAAAAAGAGGCCAAACCTTGTCCTCCGTTACCTGCTAATAAAACCGATTCGAGTCAACCACCAAAACAACCAAGTGAAGGAAAAAGACGTTTTAGAAAAGCTGATACTAATGTGGTATCAGTAACATTAAATACATTAAAAGATGCAAGCAATATGCACGCTGGTGATGCTGTGAAATGTGGAGGTACTGGATGTAAAGCTATAATGTCACATTTAAGTAAACTGTCTGCTGGGATGTCTGGTAAGGTGAGTAATCTACATAAAATATTTCTTATATCAGTAAACTGACTAACTCAATATCATCCAAAATCTTTAACATTGAAAACACAAATTATTTGTCAATTTAAAACAACATTGATGCTGTGATCTTACCGGAAAAAGATGGGCTTCTGATATCCAATATTTAAGACAAAATAAATATTTTACCATTGGTACACGAATCGTGTACCATAATGCGTTTTAGCCCCAGTTCTAGCAAGAGACTCGAGGAACGAGGCTAGACATATTGCACCAAACCATTAAACGGCGTATGTAGACTGGAATAACCAGACGCTAGGAATTTGCATTCGATTGAGACTGCCGGCTTATTTCACGGAACATAACTGATTTGAAATTAGTGTAAAAACGGAAACGATTGAATGTAAATCTGTTTATATACATTCATATTACAGTATTATATGAGTTGCGACCCACTTGTGTTAATTTCTAGGTCCCAAATGTTAGCGATTTAGCTCCTTTAAGTAATCTACATAAAATATCATCAGTAAACAACAACTGGGATGTCTTGTGAGGTTATCTATTTGAAATATATTGTGTGTACATAAAGTAACAGCTGTAAGAAGGCAGGGCTCAGATGTCTGGTAAAGTTAGCAATCTAACAAGTATCAATCAAACTGCATTGTTGATTGTCTTATTACATAATGGACTAACAGTTCAGCTATCTATATTTAGTATAATTATATTTTAGGTGTGGGTATCTGGTAGTAATAATGTTATTATATTTTAGGTGCGGGTGTGTGGTAGTATAATGTGTTAGGTTTGCGCATTGGATCAGAAGGTCTGTCATTGAGTCAAGTGGCATGGTTTCAGTTCCCCGCTTGTACATGACAAGAAGTAGGGTCACCTGTCCAACCTCGTGGATTTTCTCCTGGTCCTCCTGTTTTCTCACACTGCTAAAGACCGTTGCGCGCAAGTCAATTATTAAAATAAAATTGAAAGATACTTAGTCCGGAAATGACCTAGTTTGTGTCGAATGGATGTTAAACCTCATTTCTCTCTCTATATTTTAGGTGTGAGTGTGTGTTGTAATAAATAATAATATTATTATATTTTATGTGTGTGAGTGTGTGGTAGTAATAATGTTGTTATAATTTAGGTGTGAGTGTGTGGTAGTAATAATATTATATTTTAGTAGTGGTTAAATGGTAGTAATAATATTGTTATAATTTAGGTGGGAGTGTGTGGTAGTAATAATATTATTATATTTTAGTAGTGGTTAAAGGTAGTAATAATGTTGTTATAATTTAGGTGGGAGTGTGTGGTAGTAATAATATTATTTTATTTTAGTAGTGGTTAAATGGTAGTAATAATATTGTTATAATTTTGGTGGGAGTGTGTGGTAGTAATAGTGTTATTATATTTTAGTTGTGGGTATGTGGTAGTAATAATGTTATTTATTTTAGGTGGGAGTGTGTTGTAGTAAAATGGTAGTAATAATATTGTTATAATTTTGGTGGGAGTGTGTGGTAGTAATAGTATTACTATATTTTAGTAGTCGTTAAATGGTAGTAATAATGTTATTCTATTTAGGTGTGGGTATGTGGTAGTAATAATGCTATTGTATTTTAGGTGTGGGTATGTGGTAGTAATAATGTTATTTATTTTAGGTGGGAGTGTGTTGTAGTAAAAATGTTGTTATCATATTTTAGGTGTGGGTATGTGATTTTTGTGGATGTAATAATGAAGTTGACGTAGAAGATGGTGAGATACCGGCTGTAGAAGATGTGACATTTTTAATAGAGGCTGGTTTATCAACAGAAGCTGCTGGTCCATCAGGTCAAGATGAATCTATTGTTGTATTTTGTATTGATGTATCTGGAAGTATGTGTGTTACTACTGAGGTTAGTAGAAATTTTCTTAACATTTTAGACATCATTATGGGCTTCTTTTTGATAAAAGTTGATCTTGAAAGATAAAGAATGGCCAGATTTCAACTATATTCTGGGCCCGATTCCTAGAAAATTCTTAAGCACATTCTTGTGCTTAGATTTTAAGTAGACTTTGCATTTAAGTAAACTTACCTTATTTTGTGTTCCCAGAAAATTCTTAAGAACGTTCTTGTGCTTAGATTTAAAGTAGACTTCATTGTAAGCACAAGAACATTATTATGCGTTCCAAGAAAAAACTTAATCACAACTTCATTCTTAAACATAGCCAATCTAAGCAAAAGTCCCAAGCAAGGTATACGGTTTGCTTACCAACCTTAAGTCTGTTTCTGCTTCAAAAAGATGGCTGACCATAGAGTTATTCGACGGCTTTCCGACACCTTTTGATACCAAAGAGACAGAGAAAATCCTTCCCCAGAAGAAATTAAGAATGCTATAGAAAATTTCGCTTCTACCCTAAAACCACTTTATTTATTTGCCAATTAGTAAACAATAGGCTACAAACACACAGGCTACCTTAAGATCAGGCGCTCTCACAATTATTCAGTTAGTTTGTATGTGTCAGCGTTTTTTTATCTTGTGGCACATTTTAAATGTGTATAGGGGACATGTCAAATGCATCTAAATCAACCATATATATATATATGACTTTAATGAAGCAGACGACAAATTTATGAAGTAATTTGCATACCAAAGTTGTTTTTATGACGTTAAAGAGTATCGTAGTCTCAGTTTATGGTAAACTTTACCAGTCACAATGTGCTTAGACTTATACTTGACTTGTGCTTACGTAAGAATGGTCTTGAGAATTTTCTAGGGACGGTATTTTTATAAGTTTCTTACGTAAGAAAAAGTGAGCACGACTTTGTGCTTACTTTAAGAATTTTCTAGGATCCGGGCCCTGGTCTGTCTACAGATTAACAGTTTTATACACACACAGCATTAGAAACATCAGTAAAAATACAGAAAATAAATACTGGGCCAAACAAAATGACAGACAGCAGAGTGATTGTACATGTACCTGACAATATCTATATGACTGGTGTCTTAATTCCAGCTTTGAATAGGAATCTATTTTTTCTAATTTTGAACACAAGTATATCAAGATTGGTTTCCTAATTAAACATGCATTATGTAAGATTTAGATAAAGAGATGGCCTTTCTTGCTATAACATTTCAAAAATAGATCATCAGAAATGAATAGGGGGGGTTGGATGGCTGAATGGTGTGCGTGTGTGCGCTGTATCATAAAGTCTGTCATTGAGTCAACTGGCGAGGTTTCGAATCCCGGTTGTACGTGATAAGGAGTAGGGTCGCCTGTCCAACCTCGTGGGTTTTCTCCGGGTCCTCCGGTTTCCTCCCACTGCTTAAGACCCCTACGCGCAAGCGAATTATTGAATTAAATTAAACCATATGTTAGTCCCGAAATGACCTAGTTTGTGTCGAGTGGACGTTAAACCCCATTTCTCTTTCTCTCTCTCTCAGAAATGAATAATGAAAATTTCAGTCAAATTACTTTATTCTGTGCAAAATCTTCATTAGTCTGGTGGGTGCAGAAAAGTAGGATGATAAACCCCATTTCATTCATTCATATGTTTACAAAGGATTCAAAATTTAGGTGCTTTGATTTATTGATTTACATTACCGTACATAATATTTCTTTAGGTACCTGGCCATGTGAATTTTAGAAGATCTGCCAACATGGATGCTTTGGGAAGATTTAATAGAGGCGGAGAGGACCAATATCTACCTCATCAAAATCGTAATGTTACAAATGTATCTCGACTACAAGCAATGCAAGCTGCTGTTGATAAACAATTAGAGGATTTAATCAAAGATCACCCTAACAGACGAGTTGCAATAATAGCTTTTAATAATGAGGTAAAGAATTTTACAAATGTATGTTATTATTATTTAGGCCGGATAATAATATAATTTTTGGTGAAATAGATTTCTTATAGAGGACACATGGTAATATTTTGGGCAAGCTTTATTTAAAAATGGCTCCATGCGAAAAAATAGCTCTCTATGAATTGTACAGATGTGACAGAAAATAATTTAAATGATTTTGAAATTTTCCCCTTTTTTCTAGACCACTAGTATTTGGCTCCAGTCTCTTGTATATGTAAGCGTTAAAATGTAATGTTATTCTACTAGAATTTCATAATGCAGCGGATTGTAAATGAAATAAGGTTTGCTACGAAGGAAAATTTTCCCGTACACAGGCGTTTCCACCTACTTGGTTCATGCACTGAGTATGGGGTTGGTTTATAGACTTTACCTTGAGAGATCTTCCATCTTGCATCCCTGACAAAAAGAAACCAAGGTGAGGAATCCTGAGGAACTTTCTCAACCAACACCAAGATCAAACCTCGGACTTCCTGGATATTGACCCAGCATCAGCAGATTGTTTTTTCACAACTATTTAAAATTGAACATTCTGTTGTCTTATGATTTATATAATATATTTTAATATTTGCCAGTTGTTAGTGATGGGTGATGGTTCAACCACAGATCAGACTATTGCTGGTAGTAAATTAGATAAATTAGAGGAATTAGAGAAACTTGGTGCGGAACTAACTTTACCTAGACCAATAAAAACTACCAAACAGATTTTATCTAATAAAGTCTTTGGGTAAGTATGGGTTTAAGAAACAAATAATGAAAAACAAAGAAAATAATGCAAGCAAGAAATTAATGCCTTAGACAATTCTGTTGTATAACATAATATTTGTAAATAGGTGGGACTTTTTCTTGTGAAAGCAGAAGTAAGTGGCTTGAGGTGACACTTTATAAATATGTTACATGATGCACATGTCACATTCCTGGATAACCTGCTTTTCGGTGAATTAAGAAATTGATTGAGGGACCGTAAACTTTGTTTCCAGTAGATTATGAACTTAATCTAAGATTAAGAAAAATGCCTACCAGTATCTCTTGTAATGTTACCATCAGTAAATCATACATCGGGTCTTATTTCATTCACATTTGCCAGTCTAATTCCAGTGAAATTTTCCATCTGGAGAACATACACACATCTTTCAATTTGCATGCCATAAAATGAGAATTTCAATGAATTTAGCTGAAATTTTTTTTTTTTTAATACAGTTAGATTTTTAGTTTATATATATATATATATATTGGGATAATGCTAGAACTGTGACAGGACTGAATTCCGAGTCACTCGATAGCAATTCTGTCAATTCGGGACGTTCCGGACTGTGAATCGAGCATCCCCAAGTCATCGTCACATGGTTCGAAGAGATCCATAGGGTGACCAAACTTATAGGTTATTCAGGTTCAATCGGCATGCGCAACAAATGTTTCCAACAGGTGCTAGGAATACTTTTACGACTGTGAATTTGGGTGAAAATTTGTGGATATTCTTGTGTATTTGTCACAACTGTCGCACAAGAGATTAAAATTATCAAAGTAATCAACAAAGACCCATGGTAACAAGTTTTAATCTCACAGATAATTGATTGGTGATTGCTTGTTAATCTTTTGTGGCTTCACACCCATCGAGTTTTAATCCCACGGATAATTGATTTGTGAGTGTTTGCTTCACACCTACCGATTGAAGGCCATATTACACAGTGTCGATTCATTGGAAATCATATGACGGGGCGGCTGATTGATGTTGTAATCCGGAATATTCAGAGGTCGAATTACCCAATGATTTTATGGCTGAAGTAATAAGGAAATAAATCGGGACTCGAAAATGGTGTCGGATTTCACAAACTACCGGAGTGATCAGAGGTCGGATGTGACAGAGTGCACTGTACTTAGAATTTTGTTTTGGGTAATATGAGGTAAACAAAGTACTATAAACTTTTCTTTTTTTTTTAGGCTAGAAGAAGGGGGAGCAACAGCCCTGGGACCATCTTTAGTTGTTGCATTGGGTTTAGCTTCAAGATATTCAGGTTCTAAGATCATTCTATGTACAGATGGTCTGGCTAATGTTGGCCTTGGACGACTGGATGAGAGTTCTACAGATGATTCAGTTTTGTTTTATGAACAAATGGGAGAAAAGGCTGTGGAGAATGGGTAAGATTAGAATTCTGGAAAGGATGAAATATATTCTAGCTTAGTTGGCCATGATCATTCCGTAATCCTCGGAATTATTTCCTGGATGTTCTGCGCAACCGAAAGCTTGAATTAATTACAAGAAATCTGAAATATTAGATGACTTTCTTGTACATGTATTTAAGTATGGTTTGTGATAAAAGTTGAGGTCCCAGAACCCCCATATCTAGGTGGTGCATGGTGATACCTGTACTTTTGACATGGAAAGTGTGACTAATTTGTCAGTATCAGACAAAAAATCTAAAAAGATATTTTATCAAGATTATTTGACTAACATACAGGCAAATGTTGCTAATGTTTTAAAAAGTAATATTATTTCTCAGAGACCATATTGTTGAAAACTCAATATGAACCAGTTTAGGAATACTGTCTTTGCATTGGCTGGGAGCTATGTAGTAGCTAGGTAGGCTAATGCTAATGTTCAATTAACCAGATTTCATATTTCTTAGAGGGATTAAATGTCTGAATTGTTTAACTCATGGTGGCTTTCCATTGCTAGAGGGGTCGCCAGTCCAACCTTGTGGGTTTTCTCCTGGTCCTCCGGTTTCCTCCCACTGCTAAAGACCCCTATGCGCAAGCGAATTATTGAAATAAAATGAAACCATATGTTAGTCCCGAAATGACCTAGTTTGTGTCGAGTGGATGTTAAACTCCATTTCTCCCTCTCCCTCTCCATTGCTAGAGTCGCCTGCTCACAAGACTATTATTGAAATAAGAATATACCATACTATTTGTTAGTCATACAAATTTTGTTGTTTTTGTTTATTTTTGTTGTTGATTAAAAGTGTAAATGTATTTACAGTGTATCAATATCAGTGATTACCATAAAAGGAGCAGAAAGTAGATTGGTACAACTGGGAAAATTAGCAGATTTAACAAGTGGACAGGTAATATAATCAAAATACAAACAAAATCAAATTACAGTGGCCAGGTAATATAATCAAAATATAAACAAATTCAAATTATAGTGGCCAAGTAATATACTCTTCAAAAGAAGTAGGGGATATTGAAATGCAAATACCTATGCAGGTTGTGATATGATAAATAGTCATGGACACTTGACATGCTTTGAGAGTATGTTCACAGATGAAGAACTTATCGCCCCAACAGAATCACTGAGCTGCACATGCGACACGCAATAGCGCCATACACGTGGGAGGGGTTCATTGTCAAATTTGACACTTCAAGGAAGGGTTGATGAAAACTGCCGCATGCTGGTTTATCATACCCATGTGTTTGCTTTCCTATCGGTTCTTGCATAAGATTTACTGTTTAGCGTATCTTTGCTTTAGTGTGTTACGTTTAATTTGATCGGGCGACGTGTTCGTCGACGTCAGCGTCAACCGACAACACTGCAAGAATTGGCCATGGCACTGCCAGAGGAGTGGATCAGATTGTCCCAAATCATGATTGGACGGTTGATTAGGAGCATGCCATGACAAATTGCTGAATGTCTGAGGATTGGTGGAGCAATTACTCATTATTACTCATCAAAAACGTCCATTTTCACTGTTGACAGTGTATCTCTTTGCGAGTGAAATGGGGCCGTCAGATAAGCCGCCCATATGAACTGTTTATGTTCGTGTTTAGGCAATTGGCCTGTTATTAACATACACTGGTTACCTCTAATAAAAACAGCAGTGCATTTCCGCAGTTTTGTATTGTTTCTGAATATCCCCTACTTTTTTTTAAGAGTATATAATCAAAATATAAACAAAATCAAATTATAGTGGACCTGTAAAATAATCAAAATATAAACAAAATCAAATTATAGTGGCCAAGTAATAAAATCAAAATATAAACAAAATCAAATTACAGTGTCCAGGTTATATATAATCAAAATATAAACAAAGCAATATAAAATCATAGTGTATTTCCTAGATTCTAAAATCCAAAATTTGGAATGAAAAATAAAGCTTACATTACATTTCATACCAACTATATTAGACATAGCAAGAAGGGTGTTGGTTTGTGGGGTGAGGGGGGGGGGCAGAATGGTTTAACACATGTGTTTTAGATAATAAGGTCTGTCATTGAGCAAGTGACATGTTTTTTATTCTCCTCTTGTATGTGACAAGGAGTAGGGTTGCCTGCCTAAGCTCCTGGGTTTTCTCTAGATCCTCTGGTTTCCTCCAACTGCTAAAGACCCATATGTGCAAGAGAAATATTGAAATAAAATTGAACCATATGTTAGTCCCAAATTGACCTAGTGTGAGTGAGTGTGTGTGTGTGTGAAGTGGACGTTACACCTCATTGCTCTCTCTCTCTCTCTCTCTCTCACATGGTCTGGCTTACATGACTAAATGAAATGCTCTTTTGTACATAATTGTATTTTAAGATAGTTAATAAATATTTTCAGGTAAACCATGTTGATCCCTTAAAATTAACTGAAGAATTCAGTAATATTCTGGCTGATAGAATTATTGCTACAAATGTTACAGCTACATTTATTCTGCATAAAAACTTGTAAGTAATAAAATATCCAATTATTCTAATTAAAATACCTTAAAACGCCAACTATTGCATGCCCTAAGAGCATGGAGGGTAATAGCTAATCCTGATAGTAAGTCATAAACAATAAGTTTTGAGTTTGGATTTGAACAACAAGTTTTGGACACAGCTAATATTTGTGAACTCTGTATCTGAAATGGTAAGTTTTTCTGCTTTAAGCCTGGTCAAGTAAAGCTGCTTTCGTTTGTAGGGTATGAACAAAGTATGTCTTTAAAGGACAATATTGGTGTCAGTCATTATTACATATGTGATAGAACTGGTTAAATACATTCCAAATATAATTTTAACACAGAGATCATTGCTACGGGAGATGTGTAACAAGCACGTGAATAAACGAGAAGTGACGCCAAACATGACAAACACGAGTTGTTCTTCTATATAACTGACTGAAGTAACGAGCGGTAACAGACAAACGATCAAATTTCATTTCACTGATAATTCCGTTGAAGTTGAAAAGTTATTATATGGGACGGTGAGAGGGTATCTCACAATTCAAAAATAGAATTGGCTGTCACTATAGATAAGGGACACGAGAAAAATAGAAAAATCCTGTGCATTCCCCCGTTTTTATTCATTCTGTTCTTAATAAAAACATGGTAATGCACAGACTTTTTCTAATTTGTTCGTTATCATTTATCTACTGACAGCCAATTCTTTTTTGAATTGTCAGATATCCTCTCTTCGTCTCATATAACAACTTTTCATCTTCAACTGAATTATCAGTGAAATGAAATTTGATCGTTTGTCTGTTATCGCTCGTTACTTCAGTCAGTTATATAGAAGAACAACTCGTGTTTGTCATGTTTGACGTCACTTCCCGTTTCTTCACGTGCTTGTTACACAACTCCCGTAGTAATGATCTCTGCGTTAAAATTATATTTGGGATGCATTTAACGAGCTCTATCACATATTTTATAATGACTGACACCAATATTGTCCTTTAATGAAAAGTAGTCATTTCTGGTTAATTTAAATAAAGTATTCTACTAAACTAGGGAATGCCAGAATTGCATAGAGTATAATTGAAGTGATAGTCTTTATCTTATTATTTTGCAGAGTATTTTTCGATGAGGACACAGAAGAAAATATAATTGTTAAAAATATTGGAAATGCAAAAATGGATACAGAAATAACATTTAAATATGGTAAAAAAGGTAAATATATAATCAGTTTTAGCCAATCAGGTTCCACATCTGTGTCGGTTAACTTTTTACATTTTTATATGCCCACATTTTCATGTGGACGTATATTGTCGTCACCCCCGTCTGTCCATTCACATTTTGTTTGTGGACACTCTACAGGTCACAATTTTTATCCAGTTTCAACGAAACTTGAAATATAAGATCTCCCAAAGATCTTGGTTCCTTTCGAAATTTGCATGTATCGGACTGTAACTTCATGGATTATGACCCTGATTTTACGAAAAATCATGTTTTTAGCTTATGGACACTCTAGAGGTCACAATTTTTATCCACTGTTGAGTTCAGATTTTATAAAAATCTTACCAATACTGTCGGACAAAATCGTCGCTCCTTGTACGCAAATAGTCTAAAAGTATGTAATACCAAAGTATGGACCATCTAGAAGTGACAATTTTTATTTGATTTTAATCAAGCTTGAAATACATGTATATGTTTATATCACAAAGATCTTGGTTTATTTAAATAATCGTGCATTTCTGAACGTAACTTCCTGGATTATGGACCCTAATTGTACGTAAAAATCACATTTTTTAGCTTGAGGTTCCTCTAGTGTTTTTCTGGTGTTTTTCGGTATTCAGTATAACATGGTGTTTTCCGGTAGTTTTCCGGTTGTTTTTCGGTGTTTTCTGGTGTTTTTCGATATATAGTATAGCCCGTCTAGACCAGTGGCTCTAAATCATTTTCTACTATTAGATCCCTGAGGATATTTAACAGATCTCTGAGGACTCTGCATTTTCTCTCTTCATTCGGGGGGTTGGATGGCCGAATGGTTAGACCTGTATCATATGGTCTGTCATTGAGTCAACTGGTGTGGTTTCGATTCCCCAGTTGTATGTGACAAGGAGTAGGGTCACCTGTCCAACCTCGTGGGTTTCCTCTGGGTTCTCCGGTTTCCTCCCATGCTAAAGACCCCAACGCACAAGCGAATAATTGAAATGAAATTGAAACTTGTGTTAGTCCCGAAATGACCTAGTTTGTGTGTCGAGTGTTCCTTAAACCCTAACATGGGCCACCTTAAAATGGAATTCTGATCAGAATTGTGGTACATCAACCCATAGCAAGATGATCACCATTCCTATTAATGTGATTCTGATATCAGGTACTGAAATTACTTTTTTTTCACAGACCCCCTTTTTTCCCCTGGTGAACCCATTATACTACTTCGTGACCATCTACCCCCCAAATTTATTCATGTGGACCCCAGGCTTGAAAAAAAAATAATCTACCAATCGAGCAACATTGACAATGTAAATATTTATTATAGTTTTGATTTCTGAAACTAATCTCTAGCTTTTTAAATTCTAGCATCAACTTCAGCGAGTTCAGCTCCTTCAAAGTATGATGTAGAGCAAGGTACTTTTTTAAACATTTTTCAAACTTATCTTTTACCCAAGAATGCAACCACTTCTGTATATGTTTGAGACTTACAATTAAGCACTCCAGTCATTGTCCCTTGGCCTGCATACAAGCCTGAAAATGAAATAAACCACTTATCACAATGTCAGGCACAAATCCAGGCTTTCTTACATTTGTCGATTTTTGGTATTTTTATTGATATTTTAAACATTGGTCTGGCACATTATTAAAAATGTCAGTTACTTCAGGTCCAATTGTTATTTCCAGAAGCAGAAGCTTAATTAACAACGAAATCAGATTTATTTTCGATAGAACTACGCCCCCTTCTGAGCAGTGGTGTATAATTATTCCACAATGTACCTTTTTTCCTCAATAATCCTTCTGTTCTTCCTCACATTCCTGCCCCTGTACCCATACTTTTATTTCTCACCTCACAACTAAGTCAGAAAATATGCTTCCTCATTCATAGATGAAATATTTTATTCTTTTATATAAAGAGATGACAATACCCTCACTACACTCTACACAAACCTATAATATTTATTATTCTAAAGCAGCTGGATCATCAACGTCGATGACAAGAGAGGCATGTCCTGCAAGTGGAGTTCAAGAAGACAGTCAACCAAACTCACAGAAATTACTTACAAACCCGTCTGCCTGTTTAACATCTGACACTGCTCCAACTGAATTACCATTCCAGCTTCAACTAGAATACACAGATACAGACGGAATGAAGGCTTTGAGAGTTCTTACACAAAAGAGACCAGTTACACAGAGTAGAAATCTTGCTGAACAACGTAATTATCTATTTTTTATTATCCCACACCCGACATAGGGAAGAATATTTAAAAGATCTCCATCTGTTTATTTCCTTAGGATAATCTCATAATATACAGTTCAAGATATATCTTTTTGAAATTCTGTACACATTCTGTGCCTTTTGATAATTTGAAATTTGATTTAATCATTTTTGACATTCCATGGAAACAAATTTTATTTGAGTATAAAAGTTTTTGTTTTGGTATACAAGGACACAGGATGTTGAACTCGTAAAGTTTTAGTACTGAAATCTATTGAGGGATTGTGTGGTCCAATACATACACAGGTTATCTATGCAAGTCATGGGTTTAATCCCTGGTTTGTATGTGACAATGTGTAGGATCACATACCTTCTAAAGATCCCAGCTATATGTTAGTCCCAAAATAACCTATCTAACATTGAGTGGATGTTAACCCCATTTATCTCTCTCACTCATTTAAATAATATAATCTGATAGACAAGTATATTTTGTATAAGATATTGTTTTCTCTTATAGATTTAAATTTGGAAGTATTAGGACCATATACAGCTAAAACTTGTGCTAATTTAGCTTTGAAGGGACAGTATACACAATCACGTGGAGTTGCTCTCATGAATCAGAGATTAGCTTGGAGAAATACGTAAGTTAGGACTTGATCAATAGACAAAATCAGCTAATGTTTCACATGACCTGAAATGGGCATTTACATTTGTTTCTAAATGAAGCAACAATACCATTTAGTACAAGCTTCAAAGATGAAAAATTTGCTACATAATATTAGAATGTTAATACAGTCAAAATATAAGTGTTTTAAAGTTTCTTCTTTCTCATGAAGCAATGTGACCATTTAGTTCTATCTTGATTCTGTAGTCTGTATTGATATGTTGCATGGAGCCATGGTGGCTAAGTGAGTAAGATGCCGGCCCCCAATGTTGGCCGAGAAAGTTCATCATGATTTTCAAGTGTGGTTTCTTGTTGTCAGTGGTGCGAGACAGAGAGCCTGACAAGGACAGGTGTCTAGTCATTCAAATGGAACAAAAAACGAGGTACAATGTACACATTGCCGTGCACGTAAAAGGTCCCTTGGCAGTTGGAATTCTATGTAAAATTAAGTCTTATCGCCGCTGTCCGGGCAAAATTTCCATCATAGCACACTGCATAGTGTATGGCCATCTGCATTAGCCCAGTTAAAGCAGAACCCCATTTCATTTCAATTATATATTGCTTTTGTTTTTTTAAAGCTTGTGATTAATTGTGACGTATGCATTAATTATTTCATAAAAATTGTATGGGTAATGATTACTACAGTTTTTGAACAAGGAACTGGTTCAATACATTGTGTAATCTTTCAACAATTTGCATATTCGTGTAACTGATAAGTAAAAAATCAAACACTTTGTTATAATATTTGGTCACTGCATTGTTATTGAGATGTTGTCAACATGTCCTATTGCACATAATGTGGCATGTACCCATTTCAAGTCTCATGACCTGTTGTCTTGCGTAAGTTGGGCGTTGGAGGTATTTTTTATTGTTTTAGGTATATATATAGATACAAAATAGCCTTTCAAAGGGTAATACCCAAATTGTATCCGAGAGGGCAAAGTATAGCCTAATTGTTCTGTTAGGTTGAAATGTAGTGAATATCTGTTATGATCTTTTTCTTACCTTTTCAGAAGAGACAATGAGAAAAGTGGCGAAAGAAAGATATATAATAAAATGTTTGGTAAGATCAGATCCGTAGATCATCATGTTAATCATAGACAACAGGTACGTACGTGTATTATATTCATCATTGCATGGGAGGCAGAGTAGATAGTCAGTAAAGAGCTGGGTCACTGACCAGGGGGTCCCGAGTTCGCTCCATTGTTGGCAGAGGAAGTTCCTCATGATTTTCCAGCCTGGTTTCCCCTTGTCAGTGGTACCAGCCAGAAAACCTAGAACCCATATATATACCACTGGCAGCACGTTAAAGATCCCCAAACAATTGGAAAAATCGTAGACCATAGCCCCACTATCAGGGCAAAATATTTTTGGAGCTCCACTGTCAGGGCAAAATATCCTAGGAGCCTGATGCATGCATGTTCCTCTTTTCATTAGCCTGGTTTAGTTCAGAAAAGCATTCTTTCACATCTTGGAAACCCATCAACATATCAGAGGGTTTTTATACGTTCACATTGAAATGTGGTTGTATATTGTCATCACCCCAACTGTCCGTCTGTCTGGCGTCCACAATTGCTTGTGGACGCTGTAGAGGCTAAAGTAATGATACGATTGACTTTAAATTTATACACAGTGTCTATTGTCATGAGACGAAGAAGTCTATTGATTTTCTATAATTACTGAGTTATGGCCCTTGATCACTTTGAAAAATCTTGTGGATGCTCTAAAGGCTGAAGTTATGAACTTCAAATTTATACACATTGGTTAGGTCATTAAACGAAGAAGCCTATTGATTTTCAATGATTTCCAATAATTGCTGCCAGTGTTTTGGCCCTTGACCTCTTTGAAAAACCTTGTGTACGCTCTAGAGACCAAAATTATCATCCAATTGACTTTATATTTATACACAGTGTTTACGGTCATGAGACAAAAGAAAAAAATATGTGATAACCCTTGTTGACTGCCCGAGCGACTTAGCTGCTTACAGCGTATGTATTGTTGCCTGGTAACCTATCTTGAAAACTTATTGTGATTGTTTAAAGGGCAAAAATAAGCACTTTTAGATTGCAAATCATATAGTAAGTGCATGAGGACCACACTACACACAAAACAAAAAAACTACAAGATAAACCTGCGGACAAGACAGAATATGGACATTGCAAAAAATAAACAAATATCAAATCAAGTGAATGGATCTGGGGGCCAGCCGTAAGTGTCCACTGCGCTGTACAGTAAATATATGTTTCCTTCTTCATCAAACTTTTAAAGCTTTTGAAAACAATGTAGGGTGGTGTTATGAACACTTTGATCCCAGTATTGGCCGAGAAAGTTCCTCAGGATTTTTCAGTGTGATTTTTCTCTCGTCATTTGTGCAAGACAGAGGTCCTGTCTGAACATTGGCAGTTGGTCTTCAAAAAAGAGTAGATTTTCTTTTTTATCCCAGAAGGCATGTGGGAATGGCCAGACTGCTTACTGGACAAATTCCCACCCTTCCCATCATATAGGTTCTCAGACACTTTGTTTTATTGATTTCTCTGGAGACCTGTTAAAGTATGAACATCAGATGGCAAAATATTTTCTGTGTGTGAAGGTTTCAAATTAAAATATAGAGCCATTCGGATATGATCACTAAATTTATGTAACTTTGACGATTGTTAATTTGTTATATAAAATCCAAGACTATGACAAATAAACTCATTACTCCATTGTATGGAAGAATCCCTTTGCAGTGTAAGTAGGCAAGATCATATCTCAGAAAAACAGTTAGGGATAAAAAGAAAAAATAATAAAGTATAGGTAATATTCCCATATTGTTATAGATACTATAGGCCTACTAACACTCTATGTATGTACTCTTCAAAAAAAATTAGGGGATATTCAGAAACAATACAAAACTGTGGAAATGCACTGCTGTTTTTATTAGAGGTAACCAGTGTATGTTAATAACAGGCTAATTGCCTACACATGAACATAAACAGTTCATATGGGCGGCTTATCTGAGGCCCCATTTCACTCGCAATGAGATACACTGTCAAAAGTGAAAATGGATGTTTTTGATTTTTGTCTTAATAATGAGTAATTGCTCCACCAATCCTCAGACATTTGTGGCATATATGCTCCTAATCAACCGTCCAATTACGATTTGGGTCAATCTGACCCTCTCCTCTTTCAGTGCCACGGCCAATTCTTGCAGTGTTGTCGGTTGACGTTGACGATCATGTCTCCTGATCAAATTAAACGTAACACACTAAAGCAAAGATACGCTAAACAGTAAATCTTATGCAAGAACCGATAGGAAAGCAAACATGGATAGATAAACCAGCTCGCGGCAGTTTTTATCAACCCTTCCTTGAAGTGTCAAATTTGACGCTGAACCCCTCCCACGTGTATGGCGCTATTGCGTGTCACATGTGCAGCTCAGTGGTTCTATTGGGGCGATAAGTTCTTCATCTGTGACATACTCTAAAAGCATGTCAAGTGTCCATGACTTTTTATCATATCACAACCTGCATCGGTATTTGCATTTCAATATCCCCTACTTTTTTTGAAGAGTATAATCCCCTCCAGTGATGAGATTTCAAATTTTTTCTTGTCAGACATATTTTTACCGAAAATAAAGGGGCATAACTCTTATCGTTATTTAAGCAGGCGTTTTCAAACCACAATTAAGAATCATATATCAACAAAATATTCAAATTCATACATAATAAAAAAAAGGTGAACCTCGTTATTTTTCATGTTTAATTCCCATACGGTATTCACCCACCCTCCACGTTAACGTATATCCTGAAAAATACAGTATATATATAATTTTACTCTGTTTTACAGGCGGAGCGGTCAAGATTTGGTCGTTCATATAGCGATGATGAGGAAGAAGATGAAGACAGGTCACTTAAAGCAAGTAAAAAAGAAAGTTGTCCAGCCCCTTCCATGATGAAGAAGGAAAGTTGTCTAGTTCCTGTTAAGGGAATGGCAAAGGTATGTTATAAATTTTTAACATCATAGATGCTTTAGAAACAATTTGAGTTTTACCCTACTCATATTTGGATTATTTACGACTTTTGAAGAATATGAGATCTGGTCAGAGATCACGCTCCTTTTGGCAGAAATTAATTTGGGAAGTACTTGTTTTAAGTTCCTCATGGCATTCTGCATGGTGTATGTCTGCCCATCTTCATTAGCCCACATGGAACAGAAAAGTAGGATGTTAAACACCGTTTCCTTTCATTTCGTTTATAAAGTATATAGTCATTGTAAAAGCTACCTGAGTAACTTCTGTGAAGACACTGTCCACATTAGGGCATCATCGGCCAAAATTAAATAATTTTTAAAACTTATTGTGTATGCTCTCTCCCCAATTATCACTGGGTTGACAGAAGAACACACAATCTGATATATCTCCTCAACACAGGCTTTAATTTTCAAAGAAATGAAATGAAATGAAATGGAGTTTAACGTCCTACTGTTCTGCTCTTAAACAGGGCTAATGAAGACGGGCATACGCCATACAGTGTGCTATGAAGGAAATTTTGCCCGGGCAGCAGCGCTACGGCCTACTCTTATATCAAATTCCAACTGCCAAGGGATCTTTTACGTGCACGCCAATGTGTACACGGTACCTCGGTTTTTCGTCTCATCCGAATGATTAGACAACTATCCTTATCAGGCCCTGCGCCCTGCACCACTGACAAGGGGGAATCACGCCGGAAAGTCTGGGTGAACTTTCTTGGCAAATGCAGGGATCGAACACCCAAACTCCAGGCTAGCGGACCAGAGTCTTACCCACTTAGCCACGTGATCCCCAATTTTCAAAGAAGACATTGTCATCCTACAAAACAATTCAACATAAAAAGTCTGTGGAAATCAATAATTTTTTTTTGAACCGAAATCTTTTTAAATTTAGATTTATATCACAAATTTGTGGCCAACAAATATTTCGATATTCCCTGAAAAGAGTTAAAAAAAATATTGTAAAACCAAATTTAGATATGTGGTGTCATAATTTATTGACCTTTAAAGATATATTCCCACAAGGTTAATAGGGTCATATTTAGCACCCCCAAATTATTTTGAATTGAAATGGGACATTTCTTATGATCCATTATAATCTTGTCTTACAGCATCTGAATACAAATATTATTTAAAAAAATGAAATGAAATGGGGTTTTAACATCCTATTTTTATGCACCGACTGGGCTAATGAAGACAGCCTAATTGTATTTCAAAGTTCAAAAAGGGTTCTTTTACATACACGCCAATGTGTACACATGACTATTATCTATATAAAAAATTAGAAAAAGTTATAAATTAAAGTAGCTAAGTCTCTAACTCAGTATCCTCCAAAACCTTCGACATTGAAAACACGAATTATTTGTCAATTTTAATCAACATAGGTGTTGTGATATTACAGGGAAAAGATGGGATTCTGATATCCAATATTTAAGACAAAATAAACATTTTACGATTGGTACACGAATCGTGTAGCATAATGCGTTTCAGCGCAATTTGAAACAAGCGAACCGAAGAACAAGGTTAGACATATTGCACAAGTCATGTCAAACGGTGACCCCATATTCTTATCTGGAGAGCATGCGCAATAAATACTATCGGTATAGACTGGAATAACCAGTCGCTAGAGATTACCATTCGATTGAGACTTCTGGTGTATTTCGCCGAACATAACTGCTTTCAAATTAGAGTAAAAACGGAAACGATTGAATGTCAATCAGTTTATTTACATTCATATTCCATTATATACGTTGCGACCGATTTGTGTCAATTTGTAGGTCCAAAATATTAGCGATTTGGCTCCTTTAATATAGAATATGAATTCTGTAGTTTGATAATTATCTATTTACAGGCAAGGAAGAGAACAGAAGAATATCCGGATGACATGGCTAATGATATGTACAATATGAAACATATGAGTCGTGATGATCTTATGAAATAAGTGAAAATAGTAAAAGAATCGCACAAAAATAATATTGTATTTATTAGCATAGCAATCAACTATAAATGTATCAATAGGGCAAGATGAGGAAATTGGGCACTATCCCGAACAATCTATTATGTTTAATCTCTTGCAGTCCCAACTGATGTGCAGATGTGTACTCCACGATTCTTGTAACATGGACATCAATCTCCCCACTTTTTGGAGTTTGTAGCCATGCCATGCTCTTAAGTGTTTGTCCTACTGCTTCAGGATCTTAGTTCTGATTTGAACCACATTTTGTGATAAAACTTTTAACACTTGTAGAAATTAGAACTACACAAAGCGCTTCACTATAATATAATGTTGTTATTTTATTATATATTGTTGTTGTGTAAAAGTATGTAATACGAAGGTTGTGGTCCCTCTAGAGGTCCCATTTTTAACAGATTTTGAAAAAACCTACATTATATCTTTATATCCCAAAGATTTCAGTCCCTTTTGATATTTGCACATTTCACTAACTTTCTGGATTATGATCCCTGATTATACGAAAAATCACTTTGGGTTTTTAGCTTCTTCTCTATCCATCTCTTGCAAAATGTGGGCGTATCTTGCCTGGCAACTGCTGGTTAGATGAACATGTATATATATATTGCAAATTATATTGATTCTTGCTTAATTTTATGATTTTATAAATTTTATATTTGTACCATTGTAAAGCACCCCGATTACATGTATATGTGAAAGGGGGGCTATAGCAAATATTTGTAATAAAAAAAAATAATAACACCGGAAATATATCAAAATGACCTCACTTGTTTTATCATGGAATTGGCCAAGTTTAATATTGATGCTTGAACATGAAAATGATATATTTGCCAATTCCAAATTAATGAGTCTAAGGTGTCAACAAGCAATTGTTGATGCTGGACAAAATAGGCTGACGATAATGTAGGGGTATAAAAATTGATAGGGCCAGTGTTTTGAAGTCTATAACCTGAAATTTGGTGAAACTTGGTGAAACTTGTTGTTACACTTATGTTTTACTTGTTGATGAATTGCATTTTAAAATTTTAAATGAATCTGTGCAAATGGGTTTACTTGTATCACTTGTAGACCACACTCTCTGCTTCAAAACCAGACTCATGATCAAGACAGGTAAGAAAAACCAGGGCAACACCTTGATTATGAACTTTCACCACATTTTATTCATAACTTTGTGGGTTGTCCTTATGAATATTTAGTTAGACATTTTGTCCCATTTAAATCACAACCTTTAGGGACTTAGGGAGAGAAAAAATAATATAACTAGACATGTCTATATCATTGCTGCATCAGTCAGAGGAAAAAATAGTATTACTAGACATGTCTACATCATTGCTGCATTGTTCATTGTTTTGATTATTATACGTTGTTTACAATCTGTAGTATTCAGTCTAATATGTGTTTATATTATTAGTGTGGCTATAATTGGACTTGTTAGATCACAGTGTAGGTTACCCAAAATGAAAACTGGGTTGAAATCAAAGGATAAGTCATGTAGGTATACTAAGCTCGATGTCAGCTATTTTGAGAATAATTGCTGGTTAGTTTGTAGAACAAATCTGACATGAATATGATTTGTTCTGTACCTTAGGATTTATTGGTAGACCAGAAGTTCAGCAACCCATATATAAGACAAATTTTCCTCCCTTTTGTAAAATTTTAAATAGGCGTGTTTACAATTAAAAATTGTTCTATACTGGTTTTTACTATTATTTGTTTATTTATACATTCATATTCCATTTAATTATACTCATTTGTCTATTTAATTCATATGTCAAAAAATATTACTGATTATTTTAATAATATAAATATGACATGTTTGTTTTAATAATATTAATCTATGACATGTTTGTTTTAATAATATTAATATATGACATGTTTATCCAATAAAGCTTACTTAAAACTGTATATACTTGTAATCAGTGTCTTATGTAGACCGGTGTATGCGTTTGCTCAATGCGTCCCAACGCTTCCCTACACACACCAATAATCTTCTTTCCCCCCAAAACAGTGACAATACATTTAGAGGAAAATACAGTTTATTGACATCAATACTGGAAGGTACACCTATCTAGGAGACGTAATTCTAGATATAGACGGAGTATATTGGAGACGATTAACTGAAAATAAAATAAAATATATTGCTAATAAAATATTACAAAATATATTGTTCATTATTAGGCCACTTAACTAATACCAGAATAAGTACACACACACCCTATCTTAAATTTATGTTTTCTATACATCCTTATCAGTTCTGCGAACACTACATTAATTTTCATCACCTTTGACCTAAGTTGACAGTAAGATTCTGTAAGGGTGGTCTATATAGTACATATATGTACTAAAATGGACTCTTCCAAATTACCAGCTTGCAGACGCAATGTAAATGAATGGTACCTAATCTTTATATTAAAATATACACTAAATAATTCAAATTTGAAGAAACAAAGACAACACATTATTCTTAGATTATCACCTAATAGTAGCACATAGAAATAGCAAAAACCTTTCATACAAAATATGCAAGAAATAATTAATACAAAGATCCCAATCAGTGCACTAAAGACATAACAGCACCGAGCACAATCACTTGTAAATGACAGGCAAAACAATATTTCTTAGCATTAACTATATGACATCTTCTTATAAAACAATTATAATGTACATACCAAGTTGTCTACTACCAAGGCTCAAAAACAAGTTTATAATCAGAGAGTACCACAGAGCGGCTTGTACTATTTAAAAGAGACCCGCATGACAGAAAAAATTCTTCTTAAACAAAAAAGCTGTGACGTAGAACATACGTATCAAGAAATAGTCTTGGTTACCTATGTCTGAGATTTTTGAACTTAACAACCGGATTCTCAATCAATAAATTGTTTATCACTGTTTTAATAATATTAATCTATGGCATGTTTGTTTATTACATTTTAGTTTAACATTATATACTTCAACTTTATATATCAGTGTCGTGTGTAGACCTGATTATCATTCAATAAATTGTTTATTACCATTTTATTAAAATTAATACAGCTTAGTTTACATTATATAATCTTATGTATACTGATAATCAGTGACTTATGTAGACTGGATTATCAATCAATAAATTGTTTATTACTTTGACATGCCTTTAATTATTAATCAAATTAATAATGAACTGATATGTATATTCATATTCCCTGTTAAATCAGTTTTGATGATTGGCTGTCTCTATGGCTACAGTCATAGCAATGTCTGCAACACATTATTATTCCCTTGTTTCAGATAAGTGTCACAGTGACAAGGTATTTGGTTTGGCTTCAGGTCCTTGTACATGGGACTCAAATTGAAAAATGATTTATTTTGTATCAATGTGTTTCCTTTTATTCACTTTTTTCTATGTCGTCTTCATGAAGGAATCTGCTGGAGAGTTTTTCACCAACCCAGCTGTTTATTACTAATATAAATCTTTTGATTTGGTTTTGTATTTAAAAAAACACAGAGCAAAGAGAAACCAATGTACTAAAGAATATGCTGTGTTGCATGTAAGCACACATCAATTACTAATGAACATACATGCACCATGCAAGAAGTGACAAGATGTCAGTTGCTATTGAAGTTGTACTGGACATATTTAGCGTTGTGTCTTATATGTAATAAAAGTATCAATAAGACCACTGTACATAGGTCAATTGATGCCAGAAAGACGATCGACATCGGGTCTATGACAGGTGCTTTATTTGGCAATTTATATAGCTTGTAGACTGAATGTTGGGGTAGTTTCTTATGAAAGAACAAAATAACTCAACGACTAGACTGGGGGTTGAACATGCAACAAATCTAACACTCTAACGATTGTACAAAATTCCTCTCAACAATAAAGATCTGCTGTCCAATACTTTGTCCACTGTCCCCCTATACTTACTATTTGATTAATGAAAGGCCACTCGACAGTGAGACTGAACTGTTCCTAATTAATGTATTGCAACTGAATGATACAGAATTCATTCCTGTCACAGTTGTTTTAGTCCTGATAACATTTGATGTGCATAGAATCGTGATATAATAAAACACGGGCAAACTTGTTTCTGTGATAAGGACTTGCTGAGATAATACTCTATTTCACCTTCCATAGTATCCCCTAAATCAGCCCATCCCTCAAAATATTATAACAAGACTTCAGTTTAGAATATAATTTTTAATTTCAATTAACTATTTATTTATTTAGACACACACTCACATACTCTATATACATGCATGCAGAGCTCTTTTCCAAAATGTGCTGATTTTAGGTGGAAGAGTAAGTTTTTTTGTGAAAATACCAAAGATTTAGAAATAATATTTTATTTGTAGTTTAACATCCACTCACCTCTGACTAGGTCATTGTGGGACTAACAGGATATTTTAAACCCAACAGTCGACTTGCATGTAGACATCTTTAGAAGAATGAGAAACTGGAGTAACTAAAGAAAACCCACAAGGTCAGGAAGGTGACCCTACTTGTTGTTTTCAACCGTGGGATTATATCAAATTAAATCCATGCCTTGCATAGATAACCTAGCTTGCTGGATAGACAACTTGACCACCCAACTTAGTGAGACTGATATAATTATATTATTTAAAATTTGTTCTAAACGGAAAGACCTGAATGGTGTTTAACTCATTTTGAAAAAGAGCATTTCATATACTGTTACATATAAAAAATTTAATCTACATCTATATCCACTATATGCTATAAAATCTTCCTTTCAATTAATACAATTAAGTATTCCTTATCATTAACTTCTAGTCCTGTTAAATAAGTACTTTCATTTTGTTTTTGTTTGCTAACATTTTACTTTTTTAACAGGACTTTATGAAGACCATTTTTATTGACGAAAATCAACATGGTATAAACTAGTTGCTAGATGAAAGCAGTTTCCAGATGAAGTTTCCAGATGACATGGCATCAATTTTAATGACAGGTTTAAAACAGTTTTAAGCTATAATCCTAATCTAACTGAACACATCTGTCTTATTATCTACAGATAATGGCATTGATTTGAATATAATGCTTATATGTCTGACAATGTTTAATGATTTCAGACTCATTTATGATGAATTCTTATCTATTAAATACATTTACACTTTTCGAGAAACAACCTATTTTCAAATAATATGAAAAGTTATAGTTTCTATGAAATATCTTATTTTATGCTATGTAAATGGACAAAATCACTGCCAGTCAAAAACAGTTCAAACTCAAAAAGAAAGTACCATTTTGTCCCTGATAATTATTATAATAAAACCTGACTTGATTTATGATATACATGTACATATATATATCCCATGCCACTGTAATCCTGCTGTAATTATAATTGTTACTGGTCGTAATTACAGTACCAGTTTGCACCTCTTCAAAAGTTATAATCATGGTAAACACCACTTCAAAAGTTGTAATTACAGTAAACACCACTTAACAAGTAGTAATTATGGTAAACACTTCCTAACAGACTGTTATTCTGGTAAACACAACTTATCAAGTTGTACTTGTGGTAAACACAATGTAACAAGTTGTTATTATGGTAAACACCTCCTAACAGGCTGTAATTACGATAAACACAACTTAACAGGCTGTAATTGTGGTAACCACAACTTAACAAGATGTAATTATGGTAAACAACACTTCACAAATTGTAAATACACTGATCTGATTTAAATGAAAATAAAGTACTTTTTGTGGATTGATCAGGTATATTATTTCGATTAGCCATGGGAACAGTCCTATATGATTAAATCTTCGTTTTGAAATATTAAATGAAATTCAGCCTGTGTATTAAGTTAAGTTCCATATTTAGCTTAGGCTACTGTGTCAACAGTGGAACACACTGGCTTTCTCTGTGGATGTAAACCTTCAAGAAGACAGACTGTCATCTGACATCTTCATTAGCTACTTGCTACAGAAAAGTAGAACATTAAAGTAACAATGTGTCATTGGAATTTTTTGCTTAAAAAATCAAATTTCTCACGGCCTAATGCACACTAATATGTACTCAGATTGATTATTTGAAGAAAATCAAATCCAAATACCAATGCTAGATAATGTCCCGCCTTGGATTTTAAAAAGAAAATTCACGGATAACAAAATGGCAGTGGGCTTATTACACAGCGAATAGAAAAGATCAATGAAATTTCAATTCCACATATCTTTGTAAATACTTTTAAAACGGAATTGAACCATTATTGATCTGATGTTCCTATTAGGTGTTCATCTTTCACAATATTTAGTTTATAAATGATTCTATAGCACTGAAATATCTTGTCAAGACTTTAAAAGGTTATAATTAAATCCCATTTCATTTTTCATCCCACAAAATAAATCAACATATAAAATTCAATGCAACCATGTATTAATAACCTATCTTATCTCCTAGTTTTACGTTATTTTTTTAAGGTTGTGATGTTGTGATTAAAAATGTCAAGTAGTTGACCTTGACTGATGATCTTTTGGACACAACTATATATACACCAAAATACATGCAGTTATACCGTAATCATTGAAGAGTGAAACATATATTGACATTTAGTAATTAAACATATTAACACGAGATACAATAGATACACAATAATTTCAATAATTGTGTGTCCCTAAATTGTACAGTGTGCCCAAAGTATCAACACTAATAAATTGTATTTTCCAGAGTTAGCACCAAATAATCACTACTTGTACCTATAATACTCAAATATAACATGACATATACCAAAGAGAGTCTGGCCAACTGTGGCCATTGCCGCCATATTGTTACCCAATCTGCAAGTTATTAGACTGACATCAGGTCAAATATAACGTAATGAGTGTTAGTGAAAACAAACGAAAAGAGAGTTCTGTACAAAGCATAGTGGGTTATTAGAGGTGGGAACTGTATAAAAATCTGTAATTTCATAGCACTAATTTCAGACAAAATAGGCATTTTGTCACCCTGCAATCACAATTGAGGCAATAGTTAACCAGACGCTATCTCTCTTAATATATATATATATAGCTCTGGAATTTACAAGCAGTAACAGTACAAGTCTGTCCCTGTATTAGCCATTATCTTAATAACTTCATTTACTCTTATATCTTCAACTTCATCATACATTTAATTTAGGAATAGTGTAAACTCTTCTACATTTCTCATCAAAGGTCTGAAATAAGATGAGAAAATAAGGGAAATGAAATGGTGATTTAACGTATTACTTTTCAGCACCAACCATGTACTATTCACTGAATTCTAACTTTCAAAAGCAGGATATATCGGTGAATCAAAGTAAAGTATCACGATTTACGTATTGAATCGCAAGATGCTAAATCGAATTTTCACGATTCTTTTTTATGTTTTTTTTTTGTTGCATCAGTAAGTAACCTGTCACACTTAATTATCTACTTCACACATTATCCATAGGTACACTATTTTGATCCACATCAATATCGTGATATAAATAAACCATTTTTAATTTCTACATCGGCAGGACTAAAAATTTTCGCCATCCTGTTATTTTCTTGGTAGATATAGACCTGGTTATGAATCATGATATGAATCTATCTTTTCATAGAACCTGAATCACAATATGTATCAATATGTACACACCAACGAGTGCACAGGTGGACCTCAGTTTGTTTGTGCCATTCCAATGCTTTTTCAAGCTGGAACATCTTGAATAATCCAAGGAAATCCTCGTTAGTGAGTCTATGCCACACTCACCGAATCACAACAGCTCCCAGAATTTTTTTTTAAACAGGCCTGGAAATAATGATTGCAGTTGCACCTGACAAATGTCTGACACTAATGTACTAGTACCTGATATTTTGAATTTTGGGCCAGCCATGTATTTAGAATATCAATACAACACACAAATAAAAAGACAAATCTGTGCCAGACAAACACCAAAATAATTCTGCCTGACAAAGCCTGAATTTGTGAATGAAAATGTCTGTGAGAGATACTTTATTTCTAAGCTAGCAAGAATCATATATCACAGTTATTTCAATACATCTTGTGAAACAGAAACATCATTTTTAGGACATTATTTGGAGGGCTTTTCTAATATTTTATAAGTTACATCTATTTCTGAAAGAAAGCTCCTGTACAACTAATACCTATTCCCATTGGTGTGTTCACACAGCTATCAATAATAATTTTATTTTGTACATACCCTATAGCTTTTATCTTTCAGTACTTCTTCTATATTTAATTCAGTCTGCATTAATCTTAACTAGAAATATCCATTACAATCATTACATCATTATATATATTGTTACATATGCACCATGTATTATCATCATATTATACACCATGCATTATTACTTTAGTTTCAAGCATAATTATTATATTATTACATAATGTAATCATGTAGTATTACATAACATAATCATATATTGTTACATAACATAATCATGTGTTAGTACATAATATAATCATGTAGTTACGTAACATAATTATGTGTTATTATATTATATAACTATGCATTATTATCACATTAAATAAAGCATAAATTATATATCATTTAATTTCATCATGAATTATAATACATTACCATGTATTATTACATAATCATGCATTATTACATGTACATTACCATGCATTATTACACATACATTAACATATATTGTATTATATAATCATACATTTTTATCTTGGGTTGTTTTTATTTATATAAACATTGTTTTGTTGAATTCTAGGATTGGGAAACAGGAAAAGCCTGTAGTAAATAATTATCAACATATCAAATTACATCTTACCTTATTTTGTTCTTTTCTAAGATTTTTACTAATTTCTAAATCATCTTCATTTTTAGTTTTTGCTTGTCTCAGTGTATTAACATTATCTGAAACTTCAGTTATACATTTCTTTATAATTCTTTCTCTTTGTTGATATGCTCCACTCATCTGTAAGTAAAAGTATACTAATTTTAAAGGCATGCTACTACTCCTAGAGTTTAATGTCCACTTCCACATAATGATACTGCAAACAATCTTCATGTACATAGATAACCTAAAGATAATATGCTGAAAATTTGAGTCAAATTGCTCTACTCTGAACCGAGATATTAGCGACTGAATTTTAGGCCTAGCTTCGATCATCATTAATAAAGTCGGTACGATAAAAAACAAAGTCTTGATTATCCATTTTGATGTTAAATCATCAATCACAAAATGTATTCAAATCTAGTAAATATCGCTGGCTAGCGATGGCATCGAGAGTTGATTATGGTCTGGATAAGTTAAGTTAATTAATGTCTAATTAATAATTTAGATAACATTATAGGTCTAAAGAAAGACCTGCAATAGGCAGATTTAGCTCTTGCCTAATGTATGATTAAGGAATAAAAAAAATATATGGTCCATTAGAATAAAGGTGTTTATTTGGTCTAATACAGTTGGTGATATCTATTTTCAGGTTTGTTAGGGAGGCGATTTCCATATGGAAAATTATAGGTTTGGGTTAATATGATTTGTGTGTGGGAATTTCCGATCACCCAAACTGGCCTGAAAATAAGACATTCCAAACTGTATATGTATCTAACCTGTTTATATAATTTTTCACATTGAGCAGCAGCATTGACTTCTTTTGAAAATGAATCTGTTGGTATTGATGTATTTAAAGAATATATTATTCTATCATCTAAGAGTCGCATTCTCTTCAACGCATCCTAAAATAAATAATATCAAGATATTAAATTCCTCAAGTTTCAATACATTTGCAGTTCTGCACATATATAAATGCAAGAGCTGTCCGTAAGGGCCATTGTGCCACCTGCCTGAAACTTTTCCGCGTCCTCCAGATTAATTAGGTCATCTTTATATTTATAGTATACATGTACTGAAATCTTAGTTTTAACTAAAATATATTTTTCAGAAAATGATAGACAGACAGTGATAGGTAACACTACACCTGGCAACAACTGTACTTGTGATAGTGGTATAATTGAACAATGAACTGGTTGTATACACTCTGTCAATTCGAGTACGAGCAACATGAAACTTGGCATGCTTGTTTTTAAAACAAATGTGCATCATTTAAAGATGATGTCATTCTCAGTTCCTGGTTCATGTTGTACTCTTGTACTTCTTAGAACTAAACTGAATTGGGTTTTAATTTAAAGCTCGCAATAAAACTTATTATGTTCTTAGTACGGTAACAAATATATTTCTCTCTCTATTTTCGAATCAATGGTAATGTAGGCCTACTTGGCGGACCTTGAGAAATAAATGAAATGGGGTTTAACGTCCTACTGTTTTGCTCCGAACTGGGCTAATAAAGACGGGCATACACCATACAGTGTGCTATGAGGGAAATTTTGCATGGACAGCGGCACTACGGCCTACTCTTATATCGAATTCCAACTGTCAAGGAATCTTTTACATGCACGCCAATGTGTACACGGGACCTCGGTTTTTCGTAACATCATCCGAATGACTAGACAGCTGTCCTTGTCAGGCCCTCTGTCCTGCATCACTGACAAGGGGGAACCACGCCGGAAAATCTGGATGAACTTTCTCGGCCAATGCAGGGATCAAACACCCGATCTCCAGACCTTGAGAAAATTATTTTGGTTGTATCTGATAAAATGTCAGGAACTACCTACCACTTTGAACTTTTGTTTGTAAAATCAATAAAAAAAACAGGAAATAAAACAATTCTGTGACAAACTGATCTAGGCAGGCACCAGAGGTATTGTGCCTGATAAAACCTGAATTTATGCCTGACATTTTTGGCTTGGTGGTTAGATTCTCAACTGTCGAGATAAAACATCTTTATTTTTATTAATGAACAGCAATATATTCAACATGATATGCAGACCACACCTAAAATGAATGTGAATGATGTGAACATTGTCCATTCAATTGTCAATTGTGAAAATTGTAAAAACTTGTTGTGTTTGGTGGGCGTAGAATGGGCTACACTTTTTTACCCAGCTAATACAAAAATAAGTTTTGCATAAATTAAACATCATATTCAGAATATAATCACTAAACTGACAATGACCCTTTAACACTGTAAAATTAAACATTTCTCGTGAAATTATATCAATTTTCCACATGCATCTGGATCTTTGATAACCGAGACTATTTTAAGTAAGGCGTTTCAATATTTAATCCCGGACATGATAACCGAGTCTTTTACTGAAAGGACACGGGGGTGAACATTTTTAATAAATATATTGACAGCGTATAAGTCAATTCTAAAAACTATTAACACGATAAAAAATATCTTAACCATTTAGTACATTTGGTGTTGTTAACAAATAAATCACCTGAAAAGCAAGAAAATCCACGCAAGAAACTTCTTTCGTTTCTTCTTGAATGGGCGCAGACATCTTGGATTTTGAGATCTCGAAGTGTCGAGACTTTTCTTAATTAATAAAAGACACATTTGTATTTATTTTTTTAAAATAGATTTAAGAATCATTTCCATTTAAATATAAGAAAAGAATCGTTTTGGAAATAAAGTTTGAAAATTATACAAAATTCCGGGAAAGTGTCATGCCCAGTGTCGATCTGAGAAGAAGAGAGAAGAAAAGGATCAAGCACGTTTTGTTCTAAATTTTATAAGGAAAAGCAGGATATACCATCAAAATCATTATTAAATGCCAGCCGAGGTAATTTCTAGTGGTTCCTGACACAACTGTCTCAATGATCGATTGTTATTCTTGAGAAATAACTGAGTATGAGTCATACTCATAAATTGTTCATTATTATTATTACAAATTAACAATTTACCGTTTTATAAATGGGGGAAATGCCGTTTTGATCTATTATAAGACAAGGCATAGAAAACAAGTTGTTAATTTGGCCTGTTTACATTGGTGTGCCTTTGGGTTTCATCTTCCCCCATATCTCATGGTAGGCCTATACATGTACATTTAATTTTGAATCCAATATATGGATTTAAATTTTAGGCCTACACAAATCATCCGCCAAAATACTTTTATACTGCTGATGTTATTTTTGAATTCTAATCTTAATATCCTTGCCTGTCAGTTATTTTTAACTGAAACAGATTGATGTGAAAGGATGTGCACAAAATATAAAATCACTAAAAGTAATGAGTAGGCTTACTGCCTTAAAATTTATTATCACATGTATTCAAATGCAATGTGCCACATCTATTCATCCATGATCCAATGCACCACATTTGTTGCATATGCAGGAAGTTCGTCCTTCCAGCAATAATGTAACTTGAACAATTATATTTCATTTTGTGACTAGATGAAAGTTATGACCATTATTTAGATGTTACCATCCTGCTCAATTTCCTTAAAACTTTTAGGCGGGATTACAAAATCATGTTCTCTTTTGAAAATGAAAATGAAAGTGAAAGTAAACATTATGATTGTCATAGACATAATGTTAGGGAATTGGTCCGAAATCCTGACATGTAAATTAGTGACTATCTTAGTTTTAACAAAAAATAGAATAAACCACAGGGCTTCAAATGCAGTTGAGGTAGTTGCACGAGATTGGGATAGATTCCAGTGTATAGTGAAGTTTGTGGAATGTGTAAAGTTATTTGAAGAAAATAAATGTTGTTACAAATCTTTTTCCTGATTGATTGTTGTTACTGCACCGTCTTAATCCAAAAATGATAAATATATGTTACCTTACACTAAGTTATGGTACAGGTAAAGAGATAGGCGCAGATAATAAGATACTCAAAAACGTGTTTTCTGTGGGGTTTTACTGTCTGTAGCAGGGTTTGTGTTTTGTGAATTTTTGTTATGAACTGGACCCTCAACGTCACGTGATAATATCAGGTCCATTTTGTTGGGTTGTACAGTTGGGAACCAGATGAAGATCAGGTCCCATATCCACTGCCATATGTGAATAATAAATACTGGTTTAGGCCTTTTATTAACTATCAATTGGTATCAATTGTGTAATAGATACTATGCTTAGAAGATTAGGTCACCCAATGGTTTGTGTAAGACGGGCACATCAAACGAGCTACATGTACATCAACGTAGAAAAAAAGCCTTGTGTCAATACTAGGACTTATGATTATTATAACCTGTAATGTAACATATAATGCTCTGGCTTTATGGGTGAACATAGATACATTTAGTATGCATGACTTATCTTTGGCCTGTGACCAAATAGAAATGTGGTGTTTTTGGTGAACTATTACTGAACAATATTAATCCTATCTATCTCCTGTTCAAAGACTAATTAAAGACGATAAATCAAACCTTGGAGATGGAACCAAGAAAAAAAATCTCTAACTGAAATTGGAAATGAAATATGGTTTAATTCTGTTCTGCTCAGACTAGGCTAATGAAGTGTGTTATGAGGCAAATTACAACTGCCAAGGGATCTTTTACGTGCACGCCAATGTGTACACAGGACCTCGGTTTTTTGTCCCATCCGAATGACTAGACAACTGACAAGGGGAAACCACGCCAGATTATCCTGATAAACTCTCTCCGCCAATTCCCGAACGTTGGCCCGCGACCTCCAGGTTAGCAAGCCAGCATCTTACTCACTTAGCCACCATGGCTCCCAAACTCAAATAATAGGTGATCTTGGTTATATTTTTCTGAGTTTGTTTTAGGGTTTAGAAATGCTTATGGAAAGTAAATTGATACCTTAATTTCTTTATTTTCGTTTATTCTTAGGGATGAATCATACCTTATTTGTTTTGTACAGACCTACAATAATGTTTTCTTCTTTTTTATAAGATGACTGATCCAAATGGAAATGCCAACCACAGACTCAAATCCTACAAGAACTTGGCACTTGATTCTTCAGAACTTCGTAGAAGACGAGAGGAAGAAGGTATTCAGATACGAAAACAGAAACGAGATCAACAATTGTTTAAACGACGCAATGTCTCTATGCCAGCTCCGGGGGAAGACATGACAGTCGGTGATATACAGGAGAGCGCAATATCTTCAACATCAGCTGTAAGATTCATTTTGATGTATTTCTCATCTGGAGTCAAGTCCTTTTTTTTTGTGCACCAACTGGGCTAAGGAAGATGAGGGAAATTTTACCCTCACAGCAGCCCAATGGCCTACTTTAGCTTTGACTTTTGTGAATTATTTAACATGCTGTCAATCATATACATGTACACAAGACCTGTTTTCTTTTGACATATCTCACACATGTTGTGAACTTGATCATGTCTAGAGATGGATAGCATATGAGAGATTGTTATAATATTTTATAACCCAATAATACATTCTACAGTAGATATCGCTTGTGTGATATATTTCATAATCTACTACGATATCTCCTTAGGAGATATCGCTTTACATGAATTTTATTGGCCAGTTGAAAAGGAACTACTTTTTTTTATTTTCAAAGAAAAGTTCATTTCTTATTAAAAGTAACTTTTTTTTTTTTATTAAAAATGAACTATTGTTATTCAATTGACCTTGATGGAAACACTGGGTCAATATAAAGGACTTTGCAATGGTTGAATTGCTGTCAAAAAATGATGTATCACTACGCCGTAATGTTCAGTAAAAGTGAAATCTACAGCAAAGAATTATATTTATCTATTTGTGCATGTAAGAAGGGATTGGGTGATAAATAAAATCTGCTACTCTTCTTTTTTGATATCAAAAAAGACTGGTAGGAGATTCTCTATGTACACGGATGGACCTCAGGTTTTCTTACCATCCATAGAATGGCATAAATAGATTCTGTTTACTTCTTTTGTTGTAGGGGGGAATAACTCCAGAAATGGTACAAGCATTATACAGTGATAATACAGAAGATCAGGAAGCTGCTACCCAAAAATTTAGAAAACTTTTATCAAGAGGTATGTTGTTTATTAATCTTTATTTTATTTACTTTAACTAAATTTCTCTTTTTGTGAACTTCAATTGTAATAAGATTGTGTAAACATCAAATTTGAAGATCCTCCATGTTTATTTAGCCTGCTGGGGCTGACAATGGAAATGTGCCTTGTCATTTGGATAGGACTTTAAACTGAGATTCACCTGTGTACTCATTGATGTGAATTGAAAAGAACCCTTGGCAGTTGAAATTTGAAAAGTTGGTCGAAATGCCACTCCTCATAAAATTCTCTCATATTGCATCCATTAAAATGAAAATTACATTGTTAGTCTCAAAATTGCCCTGGTATTGTGTTAATGAGACGTTTAATCCCATTCTGTTTATATAATCAATGATATGGCTTAATATAATTAAAATGATATCTTAGATATTTATTAGTGTAATCATGTACACTATGATAAAAAATGGGAAACCTTGGCAAATGGAAACGCTGCTGCCTGGGCAAAACCTCTCTCATAGCCCACTGCATAATGTGGTATGTCCTTCTACATAAACCCAGTTGGTGGAGAAAAGTAGAATGTTAAATCCCATTTTGTTTTGTTTCGTTTCACTATATTTCGAAGCCATCAATGGTCAATCCTACTTGTGTTGCCAGACAGTATACCTACTATCCAGACATTATACCTACTGTTCTGTTTTAATTGTATATAATGTTTATTGTTTAGAACCTAACCCACCAATTGATGAAGTTATCCATACTGGTATGGTTCCACGATTTGTGGAGTTTTTACAGCGAGATGGAAGCTGGACTTTACAGGTAATTTGAACTAAACAAACCCTGACCTTGCTGGTGTGCTAGAAACGCTAGCAAGGTAGTACCAGATGAAACTGTTTCATTTAAATAGTTTCACTGTTATTTGAAATAAAATATAACAAACTCTTGAGTAAAGCATGATTTTTAGTGGCATTTAGTTATGTTCAACAAAAATCTCTGGTTTATTATACACAAGCACCTTTAGATAAGTATCCTTTTATTGGATGAAGAGCAGATGGAAACATCATTGTCTGGAGAAAATTCTCCTCTTTTGCATTGCACATATGACTGTAGAAGAAAATAACTGTATTTTAGTCTTGTGATGACCAAAGTCTTTTGTTGACAGTATGTTATTTTCCATTCTTTAGAACAGTTTAGAATATTGTCCTTGATCATAGATATTTATCAATATGTGATAAGAAACATTTCAAGAATACTAAAGTGATATCATAAATTTTACTGACATGCAGATAGCCACGATCACTGCATTATATGACATACCCATTTGTGTAATAACTGTTATGTTTTAAGAACTTTAATGAAATTTCATATTCATCTCCTGTTTTCAGTTTGAAGCAGCATGGGCTCTAACTAATATCGCATCTGGTACATCACAACAAACCCGTATAGTTCTAGAAGCTGGAGCGGTTCCTATCTTTATTAGGTTATTGAGTTCAGAGATTGAAGATGTACAAGAACAGGTTAGTTATAATTTAGTATTAACCAGTCAATATTTTTGAACGACTGAACTAGCATGAATGACATCTATAGCCAAGAGACTGAAGCATAACAAATCTGACAAAGAAGCCGAAATCTAATTAATTAAATGGTAGAATTGATACCATTGTTGTCAGGGGTGTTGGGTCACCAAATCGTTTAACGCGTGCACTTTAGATCATAAGATTTGTTATTGAGTCAAGTGGCATGGTTTCGATCCCCACTTGTACGTGACAAGGGGTAGGTTTGCCTGTCCAACTTCATAATTGTTTTCTATGTTTGTTACAGGCTGTATGGGCGTTAGGTAATATAGCAGGTGATAGTCCTGATTGTAGAGATTATGTTTTAAATGAAGGAATACTGGTTCCATTATTACAGTAAGTATATCTTACTCATTTATTATAACGCGCCGAGGGGATCACGTGGCTAAGTGGGTGAGACGCTAGCTCGCTAGCCTGGAGGTCGGGTGTTCGATCCCTGAATTGGCCGAGAAAGTTCATCCAGATTTTCCGGCGTGGTTCTCCCTTGTCAGTGATACAGGACAGAGGGGCTGACAAGGAAAACTGTCTAGTCGTTCGGATGGGACGAAAATCGAGGTCCCGTGTACACATTGACGTGCACATAAAAGATCCCTTGGCAGCTGGAATTCGATATAAGAGTAGGCTGTAGTGCCGCTGTCCGGGCAAAATTTCCCTCATAGCACACTGTATGGCGTATGCCCGTCTTCATTAGCCCAGGTTAGGAGCAGAACAGTAGGACGTTAAACTCCATTTCATTTCATTTAATTTATAACGCGCCGAACAAAGTTAGGGAGGGATATTGAAATGGGGTCGGTCTGTCCATCCCGATTTTGTTTCCGAAGCATATCTCATAAACCGTTCAAGATATCTTTTTGAAACTTTGTACACACATCAACCTATTACAGTAGTTGTGTCTTTTGCTATTTAGGAATTTCTGGGATTTATATTTTTTGTGTTTCCATGGAAACAAATGTGACTTAGTTTTTGGCGTATAATTTTTAACTAAATCACATCCTGTTTGATGTGATGAGATTATTCCATGGGAACAAAAAAAAGTTTATATTTAATAGTCAAAGTCATTCAGTTAAAGTCCATGTAGGCCTATATGACCCTCTGAACTGGCCTCCCAAGAAAAGCAGTCAGTGGAGTTTAGGCCAACTAAAGTATTTTATGGAGAGGGGGTCCATAGGCTAAGCCTGTTCCCCAATCCAAAATTTTCTGAATAAAATATTGTTTAGGAGTTTCAGCTTGGCTAAGTGGGTAAGGCGCTGGCTCGCTAGCCTGGAGGTCGGGTGTTCGATCCCTGCATTGGCCGAGAAAGTTCATCCAGATTTTCCGGCGTGGTTCCCCCTTGTCAGTGATGCAGGACGGAGGGCCTGACAAGGACAGCTGCCTAGTCCTTCGGATGAGACGAAAAACCGAGGTCCCGTGTATATATTGGAATGCACGTAAAAGATCCCCTGGCAGTTGGAATTCGATATAAGAGTAGGCGATAGTGCCGCTGCCCTGGCAAAATTTCTCTCATAGCACACTGTATGACATATGCCCGTCTTCATTAGCCCAGTATAGGAGCAGAACAGTAGGACGTTAAACCCCATTTCATTTCATTTCATTTCATTTATATTTGAATCAGATTGAATTGAACATGCAACCATGTGATCTTATAGATGTAGCTGGCTGTATAAAGTTATATATTTATTATTATAGATTATTAAGTAAAAGTACAAGTTTATCAATGACAAGAAATGCTGTTTGGTGTCTATCTAATCTCTGTAGAGGTAAAAATCCTCCACCCGATTTTCAAAAGGTGAGTTACACAAGTTTTATCTAATAGTATAGGTACCGAATTTCTTGGGTTGCACCGACTTACAATATAGCCTGGATCCCACCGTACTACTCGCAGTGTATTGTTTGATTAGAGCTAATCCCACTTAACACTGCTGTAAAGGAAGCAAATTTCTGTTCCAAATTATGACTTGTCAATTGTCCGATTAAAAACCAATAGCTAACTGCGTAACAATATCATTACACTTTAAACAGAGCTCCAAATTGGACCAAATATGTTCACATAACGTTATGTCACGATTCACGATTTTATTACGCCTAATTAACCAGTGCATAGCAGAATATTGTCGAAAAACTAATTGCGTGACAAACGAGGCTATCAACACAGATACAATATAAACAATACTGTTTGGAGACAAACAATACTTTTACCATTTTTAATACCTTAGATCACTGTCCAAAGTTTTAGGGAAGACCCCAGATTAAACTACGGGCTGTCATGTTGCTGTACTTGGGATAGATTTGATTGAATGGGAGGAATAGACACACTCCCTCAAAAGCTCTAAGTATCAGAAGCCAATCCAGCAATGGCCAGAGAGGGATTCCTTGGGCCATTGCTTCAGGAATATGGGATCCCACTGACTTTTGAAAGTCATAAATTCCAATATCACCTGTATCCCACTGACATTTAACAGAATACAATAAATCTATATGTGCCATTAACATGTCAAATAGAGAATTTGAATTAGCCATTATTCAATGATTGAGATAAGGATCTTGTTAAAATCGTTAATGTTTTTTCCTATAATATATTTCAGGTCTCTCCAGCCTTACCAGTTTTAGCTCGTCTGTTATTCCACACGGATAAAGACGTACTAGCTGATGCATGCTGGGCTTTATCATATTTATCTGACGGACCGAATGAAAAAATTCAGGCTGTAATAGATTCTGGTGTATGTAGAAGATTAGTAGAACTTTTAATGTAAGTTTTACTTCTGTATTTTGAGTTATTAATAGATAGTTTAAATGTTGAGTTTTTATCGACCTACGTGTGGGATGTATATTGTTAACGACCATAATTGCTTGTGGATGCTTTATAGGCTAAAGTCATCATGTTCAAGTTATTTATACGTCATCTCTTATGTTCATGGTACATGTATATGAAGAAGACCATTTATTTTCAAACATTTCTGATTTTAGTTCCTCGGTTTAGGCCTTTATCTTGTGAACTAAAATTGAACCTTAATTTAGTCCCGAAATGATCTAGTTTGTGTCGAGTGGACATTAAACCCATTTCTCTCTATATATATTTTGTATGAGTTGTGGCACTGTATAGATTCATTCAATAAGGATTGTCACTAGATTGATTTCTTATTTTTCACCAGGCTGATTTCTTATTTGACACTAGCCTGATTTTAGACAGGGCACACCACCCTGATTTTCTTACCCAAATCAAATTGTCTAATTTTAATTAGGGGATGCTTGATTAACAGTCTAGAACATCTGAACGTCTGTCAACCCAAATATCACATCATGTGTGAGTCATGTCGTAAGCAAACTTAGTTTTTCTCCTGGTTCTCTGGTTTTCTCCCACTGCTAAAGACATCATATGTTGGTCCCTAAATCAATGTTGAGTGGATGTTAAACCCAGTTCTGTTAACCCAAATATCACAAGTGGTGTGAGTTAGAGAGTTGATGTAAACAAACTTTTCAGCTATGGTGATTTGTATAAATTGTATCCTATTCAATTTGCATATGCCGTGTCCCTTGAAATGCTCGTTCTTAGTCAATTAATACCATTCATTGAGTCTGTGTATGAAATACAAATTGTATGTTATTTTCAAAACGTCATTCTTTGTTTTTTTCAGGCATACACACCAGAGTGTTGTAGCTGCCGCGTTACGAGTTGTAGGTAATATTGTTACTGGTGATGATTGTCAAACACAGGTTAGTTTTATTATTTCAGTAGGGGTTGGGTAACCGAAAAGCCTAACACATATGTTTTAGATCATAAGGTCTGTTATTGAGTCAAATGGGGTTGTTTAGATTACCTACTTTTTATTGATTTGAGATTAACCCCCATTTCTCTTTCCATATCTCAGTTTATCTCAGAATAATTAGACACACTAGACGTGTATTAGAATAACGATATGATTTTGTTACACATTTTCCTTAAAAAATATCAAGTAATAAATATGAGGTCATAGTGATTTAATTTAAATAAAACTTGACTGCAGGTGTGAAATTGATTGAAATATGCTACACTTAGTCAATGATATGATGTGTATTGAAAAATGAAGTTAGGGAGAAAGATTGTAATGAACATTCTCCGTCCTTTCATCCCAATCGTGTTTCTAGATTTAACAATATTTGTGTTTCTATGATTATATTAATTAAGTTTTTTTGAATATGACTTTTATTTTGAAACATATCTTAGAATCCATTCATGATATCTTTAGGACACTTTGTACACACGTCGACCTATTATAGTAGTTATGCCTATAGCTAATTCGAAATTTCTCAAATTTACCATTTTTGGTGTTTCCATAAATATGAGAAACAATTTTTATTTTCAAGCATATCTGATAAGCCTTTAAAAACATTGAAAACACATCAACCCATTATTATAAGAAATTTTTTAAGATTGTGTTTCCATGGAAACAGATTGTTATAAAATGGGGTGGGATCTGATTCTTTTTTAGATTTAATTCAGCCTGTGATTAAGTGATGATGATTAAGATTAATTTATGTTATATTTGTTTACAGGTAATATTAAACTGTTCAGCATTGCCATGTTTGTTACATCTATTGGGTAATAGTAAAGAAACAATAAGAAAGGAAGCATGTTGGACAATATCTAATATTACAGCTGGTAATAGAGTACAGATACAGGTCAGTGTGTTTGAGGGTTTTTTTTCTAGAATTATTGTTTTATTAGTTTGTTTTCATTTTGAGTTAAGTCTGTATAATTACAGGCCTGGAACTGTACAACGTAGTGGATGCTTACGACTAGCCTCCCGAATCGATTCACTTGAATTGATACATACGTTTGCTATTTGTAATGTCTGAGTATATTGTGTTTTGTCTGTGGGTTTGTCTTGTGTAATTATTTTGTGGTATGGTCCTCCTGCACTTGCTAATAATAATCTGCATTTAGTTAGTTTATATACAGAACGCAGTATATACATTTTAGTAAAATCAACACATTAGGCAACACAAATAAAATAACTTGTTTCTCGGGCACCGCCCGCACGCTAAATTGGTTGCGCGTGCAGTCTATTTATTAGTCTTGATGAAAAAAAATAAATATGTAACGCCCGCCCGCACATCGACAAGCAAGTCGTAAAAAAAATATCCCGCATGTACCTACATCCGCCATACATGTATATCTATTCAAATGTATTAAAACTGATTCAGATGAACATGCTGTCTTTTTTATCCGAACAATGGCGAAGTTTGGCAGATTTGCCTTTTTTATTGATATCGAAAGAACCTCCATTTTGTATCACGTGATATTAATTACCTCCCCTGATAAACTAGAATTTGATTCGTGTTAAAAGTCATTGGCGACAATATTTCAATCATTCGATCGTAATCGGCTCATTATTGCCGGCTTCAGTCGGTCCTTGTTTGGAAAATCCTATTGATAAAATAATGAACCGTAGAACAGGTTAATTAATTATAGCTAAGAATACGATACGATGACGATAGTCGTCATAATGCATACCTTAGAATCTGGGTCATTATTAGCACATTTACGGTAGTTTCGATAATCCGGAAAATAATAATTGGATTACCGATTTGATGGTTTTACTGACCAGTTGTTAGTTAGATTTAAATAGTCATTCAATGAGTAAAAAAAAAAAAGAAACCGCCCTCCCTCCCTACAGTTTCAGCTGTCAGTTGCCCGAGAAACAAGACATTTATTTTGTGTGGCCTTATATACATTTTAGTAAAATCATGTGACCTGTATTTAATTGGTGACTTTTACGACACCCTTATAACACTTTCTAGATTTGGAAGGTTGATTTGATTGATCTTGCATCCTTATATTCTGATATTGAGCTAAGATGTCTCAATATGCAGTTATCTCATTTTAAAGGAGAATAGCATATACTGTTTTGCCTTTAAGCACATAAATAATGTATTTTTTCTGTGTAATATAGAAGTTAAATTCTATTTCTATCTTCCATTCATTATTTGTATTAGAAGTCTGTATGATTTTGTTTTTTATAGGCTGTGATAGATGCCAATATCTTCCCTGTATTAATAGACATATTAGGTAAAGCTGAATTTAAAACCAGGAAAGAAGCTGCCTGGGCTATAACCAACGCAACATCAGGTGGTTATCCAGAACAAATCAGGTAGTATATCATTAAAATTAGGGGTGCAGAAAAATAAATGCTTGTTGTGGTTGTTACTGTATGGTACTGTGGAAATAAAATGCATAAAATCAGATTAAAAAACTGAGAATTTTATAATGATTACTATTACTCGTGGCATGACCTATCATTACGCTGGACATGATGTTCCTTAATCAAAAGGTTAAAATTTTAAACATCGTAAAATACATTTAATAATGCAGTAGAGATATATATATATTATATCTTCCCTGCGATTTGTGGAATCGGGGAACCGAGTGGTCTAATATGTACGCTTACGCTTCAAAACAAAAGGTTTTCTCTTCGATGCATGTGTTGTTGTTTTGATCCCGGGGTAGGGTCATCTGTCTCCAGGTTTTCTGCTTTCTTCCAACTACTAAGGACTCATACATGCAAGCAAACTGAAATAAAACTTACTATATTTTAGTCCCGAAATTATTTTGTGTTGAGTGGATGTTAATCCCAATTTTTCTCTTTCATTCAGATTTCTGGTTGATCAAGGCTGTATACCACCATTATGTGATCTTTTAACTGTAATGGATAGCAAGATCGTCCAGGTAGCTCTAAATGGTTTAGAGAATATTTTAAGACTGGGTGAACAAGACAAGAAGAACACGAATAATGTTAATACATATGCTGTACTAGTAGAAGAATGCTATGGTAAGATAACTTTAACTCATAGAAACATTGTAACTTGAGCCAAGGTAAAAAAAAATGTGCATGTTTTTTTTGTTTTTTTTTTAGTCAAAATCCCCAACTATAACCTTTTTTTTTGTTTTCATTCTTTTCTTGGCATGGTTTTCTGTAAACAAATTCCGACAATGAAATTTCAATATTATTTCCAAAATTACATATTTTCTGACCGACCAACTCTCTTTTTTTGGGGGGGGGGGGGGGGTCCAAGTAACCGTAACCACATGTATGTTTATTCTTGGTCAAATCTTACAATAATAATACTAGCATCAGTCATTACATTTGACTTCAATCAAACAGAATCTCACAAATATTTTAAAATGCGTCCACTTTTTATGCAGGAGTATGTTGTTGTCAGTCCGTCCGTCTGACCAAAACTCTTGTACATGCCTTGCAGATGTTTTGATACTTTTTTCAGACTTGCTAAGATTGTTTCGATTCATTGTCCTCCAACATGTTTGAGACTTTTTATACACACACATTTCAATACAGTAAATAAATGTCTAATATCAGTAAAATTATACAAAAATCCTTGTTATTTCATTAATAGTCAGTCGGATCGAACTAGATACTTATTGCATCAGTAATATCTGCAATCCAAATAAATTGGATCTTTATTTCTGTCCTCATTTAGATATTTTGTTGGGCTACTCAACATGAAGATCTAATTTCTTTGTTATCACTTCTCTGTTCTTTTTCAAGTCTGGCTTGAGTGTCAACGAAACTCTAATTTACTTGGGAACCAGAATATTGGTTTTTTTTTATGGTAATATCTTTACCTTGTTCATAATTTAAATTTGTGATATTTCAGGTTTGGATAAAATCGAGTTCCTACAAAGTCATGAGAATCGTGAAATTTATCAGAAAGCGTTTGACATCATTGAGAAGTATTTCGGTTCGGAAGAAGAGGACAAAGCAATTGCACCTCAAGTAGACGAGAATAATCAACAATTTGCATTTGGTGCCCCGGAGAATGCCCAGATGGGTGAATTTATGTTCTAGAATAACTATAGCCTTCCGTTCTTTACGATCGATCGAGATTATCCAGCATTTTCTACTGAGAATAAAGACTGTCCTCAGGTCAGTCTTCTTGTTTCCATGGAAACTGTTATGGACAGATTGTGCTGCCATAGTTCCTTGGAAATGTAATCTACTTGTTTGCCATGGTAACCGAGGATTTTGAACCTCGTTTCCAAGTGTTATTGTGATATTTGATTGGAATCAAAACGCCAATTAAAGACATTAAACTACGACCCAATGTCCATGGGTTACTTTTTTAGTGCCACAAGATTTTTCCGTAAAAAATGACAAGAGACTTGTGCTTTACAGAATACAACATTGGCGTCGTTGACAGTGGTGCCAACTATCAACTTTAATTTCTTCCGGAGGAAATGTTAAAATGATTGGATGATGTCGAAAAAAAATCCAAGATCTTACTAAATATTGCTACTAATAAAAAAAAAACGAATAAGATTTGTTGATACTGAATTTGTTAAATATGTAAATTGAGAATAAATTTATGTTGAAGTTTTATAGGGCTTCACCATAGCTGTAATCTTTATGAGAATGGTTTTTGTTGCTATGGTTCCCAATATGTTCACATAATAATATATCTTTTAGGATGTTCCATGTAGAATTACTTAGGATTGAATGGGGTGGGAATGACACTTTTTTATAGATCCCATCTACCAGCAAAATATCTAGATTTATTTACCCTTCTGCAAATAGACATTTTTTTTTTTATAAATTGCATGTAAAACATGCTGACAATTTTTCAAGATGCTGTCTACTAATAGAATATAATTTTTCTAATGCCAGATCATTTTGAAAAGTGACATTCCCTCCTACCCAGGTAATAACTATGACAGTGAACTCAAACATCAGTGTTGAATTGTATATTATTCAATGGCCTCTATACAGATTTTAAATAAATTGTTTAAGCAGCATTTGGTAATTAAGAATAAAACATGACAAAAACATGGAATACAATTGACTTACATATTTATTTCTGTTCTTGCCTTTCTCAAGTATGAAACATCACCAGAAATAAACACCCAAGTAACTTTTAATCCAGTATGTCATGTTTTATTTCGACTTGAAAGTAATGAGAGATGAAGAGTATTTTTCACATATTTCTTTTCTTTCAAGTATTCATTCTAAAATAAATAATGGAACAGTAATTGGTCAAATATGTTACATGTACCTTTATATTATTGATGGAAACTTTAAGTTTTGATGAAACCTTTATTATTATTATTATTATTTTGACGTCATACAAGTTTCTTTCCAGTATGGTGGAGACAAGCAACCAATAATGATTCTCAGATATATAGGTGCTGAAATTCTGGGTCTAATTAAATTTATAGTTATTTTGACTTTCTATTTCTAGAAACGAGTTAAAGACAAAAGAAAATTGTTCATAATATTTTTGATTATATTGAAATTGGATGATACGTTTCATATATCATCCATTTTATGATTCTTACAATTAGGTACTATTTTTGTCATAATTAACTTGAATCTCTGGTAAGAGATGTCATCTGCTTTTGTTATAATATTTAAATCTCAAATTTATAATTGTTAAATATTTTATTCAATTTCATTTTGTCAAGAACTAAATGAAATATTTCAATTTAAAATTTTATTTCGTAAATTTGATTGTAATTGGCTTCGGTAGATCAGGTAAATAAGTATTAATGCAGGAAGTAGTCACAAAAACCCTGAGCTGTTTTTAAAATCATAGAGCTGCATAAGTGAACTGGGCTAAAGCAGTCAATGAAATGAGAAAAAAAAAATAATAACATATTGTTGTAGTCATATTCCCAGGCCCAACTCTACAAAACATACCTCTAGTTATAGGCTCATGGAAATTGGATTTTTTTTCACGAAAAAAATCTATTGAACTTAAAATCTTCATGATTTTTTAAGCCCAGTTACCAAGGTAAAAACCACAGGGCTGACAAGGAAAGTGTGGTTAGTAGTTTGGATGGGACAAAAAAAAACAAACAATGAGTTCCACCTTGGTGTACAGTGCATGTAAAAATACCCTTGATAGTTGGATTTCGATGAAGAATATGCAGAAACTATCCAGGCAATTTACACCTCCTTCGCACTGCTCACATAACCATTGAAAATAATAAGCATATATAAATCTCAAAATGAACCTTCGTGCAGATTACTTTTTCTTGATATAAGTAAAACTACATATTATTTTCATTAGGCTTATTCAGCTACTGAAATGACCTGGACTCAACCAATCTCATCACTGAGAGGACCTAATCAAGATTTGACCCAAGGTCAAGTAAACTTCCAAAAAGTTAAACAACAAAAAGAAATGTTGCATTGCTGATGAATTTTTTCGTCTGACTTTATCTATGTTTTGTTCAGCAGGGTCATTGTGTAGTTCTTAGAGAAATCTTACATATCTGCTAAAGACTCTTTGATCTTTAAAGTTACTACTATTTTAAACTAATAAACAGTATGACATACATGTATGTAAATCTGAAGAAAATATCAATTAAGTTTCTCTGAAAGTCATACCAAAATCAAACTTTCTTTGAACTAGTTAGATAAGCTAGCTGCTATAGATAAGTCCGTAATAATAGAAAACATTGTGTAAATGAAAAAATACACATTGATGCCAAAATTTGTTAAAAAATAAAATGGAAGAAATTTGTTTTAGCTTTCTTGTCTATTTAATAATATCCTGTAAACAAAATAAAAACTTTGCTGCATTGACTATGTTACAGTTTGTTCAATCTACTAATAATTAGATTTATGTGTGGTTCCTTTTTAGCTGACCTACATTCTGTCAACCAGACAGTGTTCCATAAACCAGTCTCTACATACACTACATGGAATGAATTTAAATTGAATGGATTCAGACTTTAGAGACATTGAACAACATTTTTATAAGTTATTGACTAATTTTAAAGTTTACTTCTTTAAAGAATAAGGATGTATGCTACGTCTGATCTTTTAAAGTCTTACTTTGGGTTTTGTTTCCCACAACTCCCTGCAATAACATGGTCATTCGCCCCCCCCCCCCCCCCCCCCCCCCCCCCCCGAACATCACTACAGATAATTTGACTTATCAATTAGTTTGCATGGTCTAAAGGAAAAAGGGAGGTTGGATGGCCGATTGGTTAGCACATGCGCACTGTATCATAAGTTCTGTCATTTAGTCAACTGCCGTGGTTGCGATTCCCCGGTTGTATGTGACAAGGAGTAGGGTCGTCTGTCCAACCTCATTGGTTTTCTCCGGGTCCTCCCACTGCTAAAGATCCCTACGCGCAAGAAAATTATTGAAATGAAAATGAACCATGTGTTAGTGTGTGTCGAGTGGAGGTTAAACCCCCATTTCTCTCTCTCTCTCTCTTTCTCTCTCTCTCTCTCAAGGAAAAATGTTGTAGTACAGCAACAGAAATAAAATGAAGCAAAATGACATGATTTTAATTAGATTATTAGTTCTTTAGACAGACAGGTTTCGTTAGATGGTTGTTTGTTTCATTAGACAATTAGATAACTGTACTGTTTCTTTAGACAGTTATTCTGTTTCATTAGACAGTTCTGTTTAAAGAAAAGGAACAAACAAATTTATTGATGTATCCATGAAACATACCTTTTTTGATTCTAGTCCGTCCTGGCCTTAAATTACTTATTGTTTTCTCGTTTGCCAGTTCTTACAAAGAATGTTTGCCTATTCGTTTTTAAGCTACAAAAAAAAACAGATGAAGGACCCTTGACAATTGACAATCTAAGAAGAGTAGGTAGAAATTCGACTATCGAGGCAAAATTCTCCTCCCACACATTGTTCACATAGAAATAAGAATTACTGTATTTTTGTCTCAAAATAACCAAAATATTGTGTTGATAGGACAAACCCTATTCCATCCAATCTGGTGTTGTGCACAAGGCAAGGTATGCATATCCTTTTTAAACCACTTAATACCATTTTCAAATAGATATTCCTCCAATTTGAATGTCCCTCATATCACACTGCATGATGTATTCCCATCTTCATTAGCCTGGGTTGTGCAGAAAAGTAGAACATTAAACCCTATTTCATTTCATTTGAGGCAGCTTTTGAGATGATAGTCACAATAATCCAATCTTTTTCTCCAATTCTTGAGATAGGAGGCTGATTTAGAGAAAATGCTTTCATTTCTGTTATCTGCATCGGTTTAATGAACACAAATTTGATTTACAAAGTATGGCTAGTCCTGATGTGCATAAAGATGGCCCAGATGTTTATATATTGCCATTTGATTCTTGAATTTTATCCTTAATTTAGATATTTTGTAGTGTATATTAAAATCTAATAATGTCACGTGTTTGTTCTGTATCAAATGAACCAATTTTATTCAAGAGTAACTTTCCTTGGATATATACTCTTCAAAAAAAGTAGGGGATATTCAGAAACAATACAAAACTGCGGAAATGCACGGCTGTTTTTATTAGAGGTAACCAGTGTATGTTAATAACAGGCCAATTGCCTACACATGAACATAAACATTCAGCAATTCATCGTGGCATGCTCCTAATCAAACGTCCAATCACGATTTGGGGCAATTTGACCCACTCCTCTTGCAGTACCACGGCCAATTCTTCCGGTGTTGTCGGTTGACGTTGACGTCGATGCACACGTCTCCCGATCAAATTGAACGTAACACACTAAAGCAAGGATACACTAAACAGTAAATCTTATGCAAGAACCGATAGGAAAGCAAACATGGATAGATAAACCAGCACGCGACAGTTTTCATCAACCCTTCCTTGAAGTGTCAAATTTGACAATGAACCCCTCCCACGTGTATGGCGCTATTGCGTGGCGCTATTGCGTAATAGCGTGGCGCTATTGCGTGTCGCATGTGCAGCTCAGTGGTTCTGTTGGGGCGATAAGTTCTTCGTCTGTGAACATACTCTCAAAGCATGTCAAGTGTCCATGACTATTTATCATATCACAACCTGCATAGGTATTTGCATTTCAATATCCCCGTATATCGTATATCAGTCCAAAAATGGTTCAATTCTGTTCAGTATTTACAAAGATATGATGAACCATGGACCTTATGTGGATGAACAGAAAATTTGTCAACTTGTTATCCACTGCAGATAATATATAGGATATAATCAACACAAGCCAGTGGCGTCTTTGATTTTAATGGTGATATTTTTAATCTGATTAAATCCAATCAGGGAGATTATCATTGATATTTTGATTACATGTTCAGTAATTGATTTGAGTTCATTTTAGCCTGGATTAGGCCCTGAAAAAGTACATAATGTTAAAAAAAAAAATGCATGTGATAGTCAGTGACTTAAGTAAAATGATAGAAAACCATCCGGCCTTACTGTTGTAGATCATGTTCAGGGATGAGGTGGAACAGAATCATGATTACATTGACTGATAGAGCAACACAATGCTTGGGTCCTAAGTCATTTGGCCAACTAACTATCCTATCATTGTTTAGAATCCAAGAGAGGATTAAATTGTTGACTTCACAGGATAACATTTTTAGCATTATAAACTTTGTGAAGCACTGGATAGAGTTATCCCTGTTTAGCTAGACAATTATAATAAATACAAGACAAACTTGTAAAAGTTGCTGTGAAGATGCATGTCCTTTGACTTGTGAAAATTGTTTTATACAAGCAGTAAATAAAGACCTCTTGAATTGTGCAGGCCTAATTTAATTTTTGTTGATAAATTTGCTGTAAAAAAAAAAATATAACCAAATGAACTTCTTCCAAATTTCCTGTGGAAGAAAATCAGGGATGGAGAATTATTTGGGCTGGAAAGCGGTGATAATGTTTCCCTATACATAGAAAGTTCAGTCAATATTTTATTTTTGGTCGACCTACAAAGCTCTGGGATGGATGTGGCACTCCGGATCAGTGGGATGCAGAGGTATGGTGATGCCAAGGGGACATTTTAAATATGTAAAATGGATGAAATAAACTTCAATTCAAATTAAGTAGTAGATAATTTCACAGCGATAATTTCAAATTTGTTTATATCACTCTTTTATTGGATGTCCCTACAAAATGGATGGCTATCGCCCCCTGTCGTTTCCTTGCATGCCACTGCTCTGGATCCTATCGAATAGAAGATTTGCTATTCCACAGATAACATGAATGACTTATCTTCTTCCAGTTTCCAGTTGAGTTTTGACCAAAGTAATTGTGTTGATTTATATGTATATGATGTTGATGTAATATACTGATAATTATTATTATGACTGAAAATTATTGCTTATGTTAATATTTTGAAACTATTTGCTGCCATTTTTTTTACTAGTTTATACTTGATGCTTACAAGAAATAAGATTTGTTAAATAGAGTGCATAAAACTCGTTAAAAAATAATTCATTTTTTATATAATCTATTAGATTCTTAGTTGACGCAATACAGTAAGGCTTTACTATAAAGCTGTTGTTGACATATGTAATATAAACAAGTTTCTCACTTACACTGTAATGCTGTTGTTGAGATCCACAGACTAAGTACACCAGTGTTATAGAGAGACACGTGTATAATACAACAAGGGCTACTATATGCTGTTGTTGGGACATATATTATACACAATTGTTTATCTATAATGTTGTTGTTGGGATCCACAGACGACACCAGATTATACACAAGGACCTCACTATAAGGCTGTTGTTGAGATCAGTTTATACTACACCAGGGTCATACAAAGGAGGGGGTGGATGGCCAAATGGTTAGCGCGTGTGTGTTGTATCATAAGGTCTGTCAACTGGCATGGTTTTGAATTTCCGGTTGCCTGTCCAACCTCATGGGTTTCTCCCACTGCTAAAGACCCCTACTTGCAAGCAAATTATTGCGCATAGGGGTCTTTAGAAGTGGGAGAAACCAGAGGACCCAGAGAAAACCCACGAGGTTGGACAGGCGATCCTACTCCTTGTCTCGTACAACCCCCCGATAGAACCAAACATTAGTGTTATAGTGAAGTTTTACTTTAAAATGTAGAAATTAACAGTTATTTTTCTTAAAGAGTTGACAAATTCATCCTGCATTTTCAAAATGAGGATGTGTTATTTTACCAAATTTCAATTAGAGTTGTAGCGGAATGGAGCCTATTGATAATAAAATGTACAAGAATAAAAGTGAATTTATCGTCTTAATTATAGTTTATCACGTTAATTATTGTAATTGTTGAAATACAGTATTGCTGTATAACAAACATATAAAAATATTCAATTCTTGAAATGGTTTCTACTAACAGTAGAATAGCTGCAATTTGAGCAAAATTTCTTCTTCTTCACATGAAATGTTTGTAAGTTAGTTTAAAAATGACACAACAGATTTTAAACCCCAATCCATTCATCTTACAAATGATTTAGTTATTTAGATAGAGAAGGGGGTTGATTTTGAATATACTCTCTATTTAAGCAAGGGAGAGTGGGGATGGTTTCAGACACCCCTTTATTTTAGCAGGGGAGAGTGGAGATGATGTGTGTGTTAGAGATGCATTATGGAGTTGAATCTCTCTATTTCAGGTTTTTATTTGGTTTCAGGTGGTTGTGATATTAATTGGATTATAACACATGAGGCTCTTTTAATCGGTTTACACTAAATTGGAATATCAAGACTACATTTATTATCGTAGCAATTTGACTGAAATTTTCAATATATTTATTTTTCATGATTTATTTTCAAACTATTATAGTAAGAAGGACTAGCTCTTTATCTAAATCTTACATAATGCAGAAAATGTGAACAAGACAAAAAAAAAAGATGCACAAAGTTTTATTTGCATGATGACTTTAATAAGATATAAAGATCAACTAGGCGCAAGAAAGGGATTTGACATTGGGAATGGAAGAGATAGTTTCAAATAATGCAGACAAACATAGTAAATTATGGTACAGAAATAAATATTATGTGGGTTATTCCCAATAGTGAGCCGTTTATTATGATCGTTAGTGAGTTGGTTCGTTTTTAGTATAAGAGCTTATCGAACAGTCAAAACGAATCTGCTAAAATATGAAATGGTTATGCCATGATAAAGATATATAATAATAAAAATGATACACAAATAAATAAACAATATAATTTATCAAAATATATAAAATGTATATATACAAAGAAAATTATCACAGCCAAATTTAATATATGGATCTAAAAGATTAATACATTTTTAATCAAACATATATATGAATGATATATAACAAAATCACAAGTAGATATGTGTGGGTTTGGGGGAGGGACGAAAGATACAAAATCGAATTAACTCTCCACTCAACAAAAATTGTTAAATCAAGACTAAAATATCCTTAATTTTACGTTCACAAATAAGGCTCTATATAGCGAGGCTCCCACTTCTTAAATTCTGCGACCTGGTCAATATTTCATGTCTGGATTATCGCAGATTAACAAGACAATGGTGAAAACCGGTAGATTTGATAGAAATGAGAGCCCTGTTCAATAGATGTCAGATGAACGTTTTAATACTGTTTGGAGAAATCATTTTTTAAAAAATCCACTAAGTTAACTGTACATAACAATTATACTAATCTACATGACATAGGACACACATTATAATCAACCAAACTAACTATATATTTCTCTAACTAATATCATGTAAAGCTCTTATCTCAGCCTCAAGATTCAGCATTAATCACAGCTCCCAATACATAAATGCCACAGTGTTTAATACTTTACGCTGTTTTGATAACAGGATATGGAAAAAAACAATCAAAAAGCAACAATAATTTTTGTTAATTTCATTTTGAAGAACTAAATATTACTCCTATGCAGTAAACTTGTATAGGATTCCTTTGAGACCAGAAAAAAAAATTACCTCAAAATATTTTGAACTTTTGATTTAATACTAATATCAAAAACTTTGACAGATCTTGTTTTTTCAAAATTTAAAAAAAAAAAATAGATACACATTCTAATACTGAAAACAATTGGATATTTAAAAGTTTAACAGTTTTGCTTATTTTGTTCTAGAGAAATTGAACATACAGTTATATATAACCCTTTGAAACTTTTGTGGTCTATACATTGATATTTGTTGCTTAAAATTCGGATGTCTGGACAAAAACAAGCGAAGAGAACCAACCGCTCCGGCAATAAAACATTGCTTTCATGGGTTAACTCCAATATTCCACTTTGTTGTGTCAGTTTAAGGAACAGTTGTTGTCCAGAAATTCAACGTCAGAAGGCCACGAATGGAAAACCAATTACTCTGGTTGGTTCAAAGGGTCAAGGCTATTTCAATTAAACAGTGTCTAACAATTCATTTAATTTAAAATTGACAATTAAATTACATACAACAATTCAAACAAAATGTTCACGATTAAATTCACAATGGAGACAGGTTTATTACCCGATTCAAATTCCCAACATCCAACAAATTTTTCAAATTAAGACAAAAACGAATATTGTGTACTTTCATTATTAAAATAACTTATGTTTTCCAGAAGTGTTTTCTGTTTAAACAAATCCTCAACAATTACAATTCTTAACAAATACAATATTCAAATGATTGAAATTAAAAATCTTGACAGTGAGATATCACAATATAAACATACCAGTTATTGTAAGTGAAACTCTTCCTAAACAATAATGATTCTTAACAATATAAAATGCAAAACCAGCGTATTAATCGTTCCTTTGCTAAATCAGATTAAAAGAAATTCACCCTAAAAAAAACATTTTTTAAAAAATTTATCTTAATTAAATCTTTTTGAAAATAAATAATTCATTTTACACATTCAAAGAACAATCCTAAAGTAGAAAACAAGATTTGTTTTATTTTAATTAAATCTTTTTGAAAAAAAAGAATATACTGGTAAATATTTGTTCCCCACAGAAAAGTATAGCCAGACAATTTTATTTCTTTAAATGACTATCCCTAAGTTAGAAAACAGACTTAACTTGTCTTATTTGATTTTAAGGGGTCTTTCATCCAAAACAAAATGCAGAAAGGAAGATATAACTTTTGATTTTTAACAACTTCCATATACAGGTGTCTGGTCATACCACACCCTATTACATTTGAAGAAAATCTTTTTTAGACCATCAAACGTGAACCAGGTATGTATCGACTTTCACTCCAAATATTTGATTCTCCGTAATTTGCCAATTTCCTCGAACATTTATGACATCTCTTGTATTTATCGCACTGTTCATGAACTAACTTTCCTGGGTGAAGACTGCTTAATTTATCCTGTAATTCACGAGCTCTTTTGGACTGAGCAGCACCAAACCAATCTTGTTCCAGTTCTTTACGTAATTCAAATCTATGTGCGAAGCGGTTAGCTCTGTCATCCAACAACCTATCAAAGACAAAGAGAGAAATAGGGTTTAGCATCTACTCAGCTAGTATATTTCAAGACTTGATATATATAATGCAATATCAGTCAGGGATGAGAAATCATCCATCAATTTCACCTATCCCAAACTTTTCTTCAGGTCAAGGTCACAAATCAATTAAAGAGGATGGGGTTTAACACCCTTTTCTGCACCAAATTGGCTAATATAGACCTACAGCTGAAATTTTGCCTACTCTTCATTGAAATTCTAACTGCCAATTGACTAGATTAGTAGAGGCTGTTCTTTGACAGGCCCCCCTTGTCTTACACCACTGAATGATAAGGGGAAACACCTTGAAAAATTCTGAGGAACTTTCTCAGCCAACACCAGGATTCCCCTATAGTCTAATATCTAAACATTATTTTAACCAGTCTGTTAGCTATGGGAAGTCCATACTTACTCATGCTTAGTTTTTTCTAGGACTTGTTCTTCTTCTTCTTGTTCAGCTAATCGTCTCAAAATAGCATCACGTTTTTTCTGGGCGACCAAATCTTGTTGTTCACGGGATAAATCGTGCGCTCTTCGTCTCCTCTCAGCCATCTTCTCATTGCTTACATCATGCAAACCAAATACTTCTGTATCTGATTCATGATTGGGTAATGGCATTGGTTTGAATTTTAACTAAAGAAAAATAATTAATGTTATAAAATTGTTTCAGATGCTAGTTAAATATTAAAGTGAAACAATGGAACTAAATGAAGAAAAAAATAAATTAGAGAAAGAATAGGGAAAGAGAAAACAGGAGTAAAAAATGGAGTCCGCAAGAATATCTACTCAGTCAAAGAAGCAATAATGCCATCTTAAAAACTCTGTGATTTGGAATGTATATATAATTAAATGTTTCTGTGACTGTAGCAATAAATTCACATAAAAAAATTGATACACAATCTCAATTTGAATAGGGTTCCTCCCTAAGATTAGCAAAACACAGAGTAATGATTAAAAGATTTAAGTGACAGGGGCAATACCACTGTATAAAATTGATACACAACCTTCCTCCTTGTGACTATTGTAGAAAAATCACAGAAGATATTCATAAATTATGTTAAAAACTGTAAACTGCAATAACTCAATGTACAACCTTTAATTTCAAATGGGTAGCTTGTTATGACTACCCGAAAACAATCCAAAACTCTCAAAAACTCTGACAAGTAGACAGACGGGGGGAGGGGGAGACGCAAGTGATGACAAATGTAGATGTATAAAAAGATAAAATCAGAAAACAGAAAGAGAAACAAAAGAGATACCCTATTAATAGAAGAGTTGATAGAAGGCAGATGACAGTCAGAGAAAGGTCGTAATATATTAGGTTTAGGTATTGATAGGAATGTAATTGGTGGTTCTGTGATAAATGTAGTGTAATCAACATCTGGATGCCGATATTTATCTTGCATTCGCATCTAACATAGAAACATAGAAGATAGAAGAAAATATATAAAAACAGAGAGAAAGACAGAGAAAGAAATTGGGTTTAAAATCCACTCAAAATGAACTGTCATTTTGGGACTAACATATATATATGGGGCTATACTATATACCGGAAAACACCGAAAAACACCGGAAAACAACTGGAAAACACAATGTTATACTGAATACAGGAAAACACCGGAAAAACACTAAATACCGGAAACCACACTAAATACCGGAAACCACCCTAAATAGGTAACCCGGGGAAGGGCTATACTATAAACCGGAAACTAACTCTAACCTTAACCCAGGCACACAGAGGAAAACACCGGAAAAACACTAAATACCGGAAACCACACTAAATACCGGAAACCACCCTAAATAGGTAACCTGGGGAAGGGCTATACTATAAACCGGAAACTAACCCTAACCTTAACCCAGGCACACAGAGGACCAGGCTCCCGGTTACCTATTTAGGGTACCAGTCTCCGGGTTACCTATTTAGGGTATTTTCCGGTATTTAGTGTGTTTTCCGGTATTTAGTGTTTTTTCGATGTTTTCCAGTATTAAGTATAAAATGGTGTTTATATTTCATGTCAATAAAAATAAAATATTCTACCTGAGTTTCCAATGCCTTCTTATATGAATCTTGTTGATTGAATTTATTCTGTAAATACTGCTCTCTCTGGGCGGCTAAACTATAATGAAATGAAATGGGGTTTAACGTCCTACTTAAATATGGAAAACTAGAAATACAAATATTAAACTTTGAATTTCGATAAAGTTCATGTTTATGAGTATTTGATTAGGTCCACCAAGTTTGACATAATACTTGAAAACTCTGACCTGTGTTGTGATTACAAGAAGTAGGATGGTTGTACCAAATCAAATGTTAGGGGCGTTAACTTTAGAGTAAAAGTGCTAAATATTGATATGGATTTTCTTTTCCACAATACTCCTAAAATTTTGATGAAAATCTGTCAAAAACCTAACTATGTAACTGTGCAAGTGAAGACGGGCATATGTCATTCAAAGAAAGCAGCGATTCCGCCTACTCTTAATCGGATTCCAAGTGTTAAGGGTTCTTTTACATAAAATTTGTACATACTCTTCAGCTAGTTGAACTTGTTCTAATCTTTCCAGGAAATCACTATCTGTTTTCTGTTTCTGTTTCGTCTTTTCTTTAATTTCAACCTAAAAACATTCAAAATCAATTGATCAGAAATCGAATCGGCGTGATAAAAATAAAATGAGATTTAATGTCATACTTTTCTGCATCAACTGGGCTAATAAAAATGGACATATGACAGTTGTTAAAAGTTAACAGTTACTGTGTAGGACTTTGTATGAGTTTGAACGTGATATTAAAGTTTACCTGTTTCTGTAGTTCCTTACTATACGCCTCCTGTTTAGGAAATCGGGAAGGTGTTAAAGGCCTCTTTTGGAAAACATATGATCTCTGAAAGAATATACAAAATTACTTGTCAAGAAAACCTTTTATATTTTCAAAGAAATCTGTCTGTTTTTCTCTAACATCTTACATGGTGTTTATTGTAGAAAACATAACTCAACGGTCTTAGCTTAAAGCCTCTGATTGTCATTTGAAGAATTTTTAATCCTTGGCAAACTACAATATTGTAAATGTAAATCTCTAAAAGGAATACCAGTCCAAATATGATTAAATTCCATTCAGTATTTACAGAAATATGATGAATTGAAAATTTCACAACATTTTGCACACTGATAAATGATAGGTAATATTTTAATGAATCTTTTTACTCTGAATGGATCCAAGTCATTATCTACTGTTGATATTTACCTTTCGTTTCCTTAATGCTAAATAATTGATATGAGTTCGTTTCAGCATATGACAAATTAGATTTAGTTTCAAAAATGCAAAAGCAGGATCTGCAACAATACTTACATGAAATTCTGTATCTCGTTTTTTCTTCGAAAGATCTACAGCCTCAGCTATCCCTAAATTAAATGCTGCAATTCTTTGGAGATCATTTCTTTTTGACATTATTTTATCCTAAAAATATAAAATCTTAACAACATTAAATTGTGTTTTTAACTGTATTACACATTAATTCATTTCTTATCAAATACTTTAATTCGTGCTGGGATGAGGTAATAGAAGCAGTAGTCATGTGATCAGTTGTTAAAAACAGCTAGACAAGTGTGTTTCAATCAAATTTAGGCTATTAAAAAAAAAAGATATTCTAGTTCTCCAATACCTTAAAAAAAAAAAAAAAAAAAAAAAATCATCACCGCATGTTTATTGTGTTTATTTGATTGTGTTTATTTTACTCACCTGTTCTTTTAACATTTCTTCTCCATCTCTCAGAGATTGGTACTGCTGTAACAGGATATCTTCCTCTTCTTCGCGACGTTTCTTCTCTGCATTGAATGACACAGGAATATTACGATTCCATCGTTGATGACATAAATAACACAATTCTTGACCAGCGTTTGAATGGCCGCAAGCTGATGATGGTTTGGTATTTGCTGCAAAAGTGACATCTTTGGTTTCAGGGAATTGTTCGGCACTTCTTGCCCGACTTAAAGGGGCCAGATGAGGTGGAGATAAAATCTTGTTTAATGGTGTTCGAGGTGGGAATGGTTCATATCTAAAATAAATAATCAAAATCAAATTAATGTTGGGTTTAAAGTTCCTTAGCAACGACAAAAAATATTTTATGTTCAAAATTAGTATCAAATGTTCATTTGAATCGAATCTTTCAAAAATATAAAACCGTGTATTTTTTTTTTTTTTGAGTTGGCCTATTTCAAATAATTATTAATTCATACACAAAACATTACAGATGAATTGAAAAAAGCATATAAAAACATTATTTTTGTGAACAATCAACATTGCATGGGATAAATCCATATTGCTCTTCCTATTGGTTCCTATTGCTGTACTTCATAACAATAAATTTTAGCCGCATATAGGGGAATATAAATTTTTCGGAATTCCCGGGATCAGAGAGGGGGTAGGTGTTGGAACTGGATATAAAATTGACCTCATAATTTTCATTTCCCGCATTAAATCAGTCTTTATGCGAGAACTGCTACTATAAATTATAGTATGATACAACAGACACTTTATCTCACTGTTTTATAAAAATATTACGTATTTGGGTAGATGTGGCTATCCATACAAAAAATGCTAAAACGGATGCTTTCTTTCAGCTGCCTTTAGAGTGGTTAATTACTTTGCACGTCTTCAACAAAGTAAAATAATGTTTACTATTTGTGTGTGTTTCAACTTACCCATCTCCCTCACTAATCATGTGAGGACCGGGATATGATTTAGCTACCAATGGTGTTCCTGGTACTAATGGTGTTCCTGGAACCATAGGTGAACCAACCATATGTGCTGAGGGTGTTCCTGGTACAAGTGGAGTTCCTGGAACTAATTTAGGAGTCAATGAAGCTGGAACAAGATCATCTAATAAGCTGACACCAGTAGCTCTAGGTAATGGCATGGCTAATCTTGATCCTGCACGTGATCCAACTGGGCCCAGAGAACGGCGTTCTGAAAATAAAAACAATATTTATGAATCACTAATACAAAATATGATATCAATAATGAAACAAACAGTCCGATTTATAGAATCTTGCGGTAATCAAAAGTAATAAAATAAATTAATTTAATAGAGCCACCATGATTGTCGTTTGAATTCCTTACAAGTACAATATTGTGACACTTGAATCTCTAATATCAGGACATCCCAAAAATAGTTCAATTTCTTCAGTATTTACAAAGATAAAATCATTTGAAAATTTGGCAATATTAGGCATCCTGTACAGACAAGGTAAACAAACAAGCTCCACCTTTGGTAAAATCCTTTGAATGCAAGCTTGAAGATTATCAACAATAAATATTTTTGATTTGTTTTAATTTAATGTTAAATAATCAATTTGAGTACATTTTAGTGTGGTTTAAGCTGTCCAAAAATGTAAATGTTTATTAATTGTTATTAATCTAAAAAATGTAAATGTTTTTTTAATTGTTAAATAAAATCTAAAAAAAAAAAATATAAATGTTCATTAACTGTTTAAAAAATCAGCCCATGATCACCTTACCCTTAAAATTGAATCCAGATTTCAATGTTGAATTATTATTTTTACATGGTGGATATATCCTCATGTTGGATTGATTGAACAGGATTAAAATCCAAAAAAATCTTCCAAAAATGGCTGAGTTAATCAAAATAATGTCTATTTGTGTAAAAATCAAAGTCCTATTCAGCTATAAATTTATCCCGCAAAACTTTGGTAACAATCCTACTGCAAAACTTTCAAAAAAGCAACTCCCAACCAAACGCTGCAGTAAGAATTTTTAATGATAGCAGCCTCTCTCATGTAAAATTTAACCACATAATCTAAAATCTGCTGTTACAACCAGAACGCCCAACCACAGTGAAAATTAAGTCTGTCCTTGAAATGTTAATCTTGTAAATTAATCAACATAACCTTAAAATTCCCTTGTCAAAACTTAATCAGACCACAAAATAAAGCAACACAAACTTAAAATCTCCCTGTTAAAACTTCCAAGTTCCAATCACAAAATATAGCAATGTAAACTCAAAATATCCTTCTTGAAGTTCCAACCACAAAATAAATCAAAATCTGTTTTATATAAATTGAGATGTTAATCTTGAGAAGTAATCAACACTACTTGGCAGTTCTAGAGACTAATAACAAGAGACTATTGATGACATCCAAATATTAATTATATCTCTTCATCTATATACAATGAAACACAACAATAGATAAAGATCATGGTCTGTGGAGTATTAATTACATCCCTTCATCAACTGATATTCAACATTTGATTCCAATCTCAGTATCTTTCAATTACAAATCAATTCATATGTATTATATAATGACAATTATTTCTTGTATAATCTGTTAATGTTATTTGTGAGAACAAATCGTTTGATTTATATAATTCATGATTTTTTATTATTCCATATAGAATGATTAATAATGTAGAAATGTTAATATAATAATGAGAGAAGTGCACTTAGTAGGACATAATGCTTAGAAACTTAGGGAAGATACATGAAATCTTTTGCGCCATATTGTCAAAGAATCTGTAAAAATTGTGGTCCTAATGTGTGGTCTTAATACAGCTAAAAGATAAAAAACACCTTTTACTACATTGTCCTTTTTATAATGATTTTATAAACTAATTATTTGTCTGATATTCATAAACCAAATATTAATGACACAGTAAAAATTAACATGATTATTGCATATTATAAAATTGAGAGCTATGGCATGCACCATGAATTGTTTAACAAAATGGGAATAAAAAATATAATATAGAAATAAGCAAATTATTTATAAGATTTATCTTTTATTGTTCTCTCATGCATGCACAAACATTTCTAATGTTTTGTGATTGATATCATTACTTTGTTTCCATACTCATAGTCCATAATACTTTCATATTTTGTGGAGAAACAGTAGGTGTAAAGAATATAAAATTACTCAGATTTTTATGAACTCAAATGTATAAAGATGCTGGGTATGAAACTAATGTTTATTTCATGATTTGTATGTAGTTATTATAGATAGGTATTAAAATTCGATGGTATACATAATTTAAGACAGTTTTGCACGTCCATTGCTGAGATACAGATGTTTTAAGATTAAGTATGTGTCCTGCATATTGGTTTTCAAGAAATCAGCAGATGTGCTAATTTATTCGAAGTAGTCCAGCATCTGGATTTTTTAATTGAAAATCATATAAAATTAATTACATTTATTTTCTTGTTGAAAGTGATAATGTTCCTTTAAAAAGAGCATAAAGATTTGTTCAAAGTACAAAACAATGTAATAATAAAACTTATAAAAATATGAGTCTAGATTAAGTTAACACCAACAACAGCTGTTTACTTACATTCTATATGTTTGAGGTAGATCAATCAAATGTTTAAAGTTGAAAGTCTTTCTTACAAATTATTGATCTTATATGGAGATCAATACCAAATATCACATACCTTTATATTAATTGAAGGTACAATACTTACTTTTGTTTATGTTTTGAACACTTATGATTTAACTGTATATAACACTCTCAGTATAATTATTTTCACTGATTATTTGACAGTTACCAAATAGAATTTTATCAATTAAGTATTATAATTGTAGTAACTGAATTGTTTGTGTTTTTAACAGAGAGTGCTGCATGTGAATAAGTTAAGGAGGAAGGCACAGCACACAACTAGAAACCCATAGGATAAACACATGGACAGGTCATATTTTATTTGTTCTTTTCATTTATAAAACAACCAGAATCTTAATTGTGCAATGATTTCAGGTGTCACTGGGGGGAGAGAGAGAGATAGTCAAACACATTACACCATGTAGCTTCCCATGCTACAAAATTGTGGCAAATTTGCCCCATACATTTGAATTTGATAATTAAATTATTGTAATTGTTTTATTATGTCAATTGTTATTAAAGATAGGTTCCCAGAAAAGTATTTATCGGGTGGTTATCTCCAATAAAAGTATGGCAATTTTGGTATATATGGGAAGTAGAAATATCCAATCCTACTAGAAAAATACTGGATGCCCTGAAAAACACTCATGGGGCACATACAGGACAAAACTGTATGTATGGGTTTCCCTAATCGACAGCCAGACGATTAGGAGTGTCTGCACGTGTGACATCAAAGGTCGCACGCGGAGATTGAGCGCTTGATGTACATGTTGGTAAACTTTATGAAGAGTTAGACGTACAACAGTTTCGGAGTTAAAAACCACAGAAAAAAACTTGGGCAGTGGATAATCCGAGAATTTAATTAGGATTCGATATTTGTAATAAACAGTCAGCGATTAAAGACAGCATCGTCTTGTGTATGCAATGAATTCTCCTCCGATTTTGCCCCCATTGCTAGGTACCGAGAGAGGCAAGTCACGTGACACAAACATAACCTCTTTTGATCGATTTTTTTTATAGTAAAGGTATTCCTTGGCAATTGCAATATTTTGAGAAGGATTTGAAGCAAATTTATGATAAATTAATTAGTTTGAATATGTTTTTAGTCCAAATATATCATCAAATCACCCAGTTTGTATGCAGGAATGTATCTTTAATACACAATAAATGCCCTTTTCAACTTTCCAATCCACTTTAATTTATATCAATATCAGAGCCAAGATACAAAGATCCGGGGAAAATGAAAACATGTTTATTGGTTTATTGCACAGTTGTATATTACAAGCCTTACCCACAACAAGTATGGTATAAATGTTATAACTGCCCAACAATTGTAGATAATTAGAAGACCTATATATAAAGAAGGTTATATAATAGTATTTAACAATATGTTATAATTAGCTATTCATGTGTCTATTATAATTTATTGTGTATGTATTTTGTTACCTTATTTATTCTGGGAGTTAGAACATGAAATTATTCATAAACAGAACACAGAACCAAAAAGTCTTCAAAGACGTAAGTACAATAATTTACTTTATTTTTAGTTCAGCAGTATTGAATTATAAGCCACCTAGCTACCTAAGATTTAACACTTACATGTATGTAGTGATATTTTCATTTCATCATATCTTTGTAATATACTAAACAGAACTGATATTCTTTTTACACATTCAACTTTCATAATATTGACATCGTTAAGTCATAAGTGATTCAAAATGCCTTAAATGACAATAGCCGCAGTGTAATTATGTTTTAAAATATTGGAATTTTCCGCTGTGGACCATGCAAGCTTTATCCTGTCTGGGGTAGTGTCTGTTGATAAATGATGTGATGCCTCATAGTTTGTATGAAACAACAAACCAAGGTCGACCCTTGCACAAGCTGGTGTGCACTTAAACCCTTGACAAGAGAATAGATAGCAATACTGCTGCTCGGTCAAAATTTTTCTCCATAGCATTGCACATGTGGCCATAGTAAAACTAACAGTTTATAGTCTCAAAATAACCAAAGTACTATGTCAACGAGAGATTACATTCCTCATAGTTCTACTTTAGTACTTTATAAGGCCAGACGTACAGCTTTTTTATTATTCAAATATATTGGGTATAAAAAGTATTAACTAACCATCATCTATGACTAGATCTGGGGCGATGTCTACTACTTCCCCAGTAACAATGTCAGGTTCATCTGTACTTGTATTTAATATATTACACACAGCATTATCTGTCATAATATCTCCTGTATCCATACCACCTGGTATCTCGGATAACTGAGGTTGATCTAATACATCTGTTTCTATTGGTTGGATGTCAGATTCGGCCATATCTACGCTAGGTGCTGGTAAATCATTATTGATACTGCCGACATCTTTCTCTATTGGTAAATAATCTTCTTCCTGTTCCACTAATGGTGCTAGATTATTACCAGCATTTAAATGGGAATTAGAAATCCTGTAAAAAGAAAAACAAAAAAAACCACCAATATATTATTGCTTGCAATGTCTGTGTGGTTAGTGTCTTATTAATTTTGTTTGCGTGTAGTGAGTTCTCCACCACTGCACTATTAAACTGTGCAAAAATTAGCAAATGTCCAATGGTCAAACTGAAGTTCTTTATGATCCCTTTTGTTTTTGGTGAATTCCTGACAACAGGGGCTGAGCCACACCGAGAGAGACACAGAGAGAGAGCGACAGAGAGAGAGAGAGAGAGAGGGGTTAACGTCCACTCAACAAAAATTAGGTCATTTCGGGACTAACATATGGTTCAATTTTATTTCAATAATTCGCTTGCGCGTAGGTGTCTTAAACAGTGGGAGGAAACTGGAGGACCCGGAGAAAACTCACAAGGTTGGACAGGCCGACCTTACTCCTTGTCACGTACAACCAGGGAATTGAAACCACACCAGTCGACTCAATGACAGACCTTATGATACAATGCAACTGTGCTAACCATTCGGCCATCCAAGAATACTTGGGTTAATGCAAGAAAGTGTAGACAAGGCCCACGAGTGACTGGACAGACAATATTTAACATGATGACAATATACAACCACATTTAATATGTGGACGTAAACAAATATCTTACTTTGGTAAAACAAGTGTATTAGATGTAGCTGGTCTGGACACACAACTTCTATTTGTCATAACTGAATCAACAGTTCCAGGTCTCTGAAAATATATGAATTACATTTTAAAACAATTTTAAGTACAAAATTAGAAGAAATAAAAAACATGAAAGGGTTAAATGATAAAAAATAAATCTAATTGCATTGCATTGATGATGGGCTGCATTAAACATTAATTTCTGAACAAGAAAAGCTGCTAGTCATTCAGGGGGGTGGGGGGGGGGGGGTGGATGGCTGAATGGTTAGTGTGTGCACGCTGTATCATAAAGTCGGTCATTGAGTCAACTTGCGTGGTTTCGATTCCCTGGTTGTACGTGACAAGGAGTAGGGTCGCCTGTCCAACCTAGTGGGTTTTCTCCGGGTCCTCCGGTTCTGCTAAAGACCTCTACGTGCAAGCGAATTATTGAAATAAAATTAAACCATATGTTAGTCCCGAAATGACCTGGTTAAACCCCATTTCTCTCTCTCCCTCTCTCTGCTAGTCGTTCAGATAGAATGAATAACTGAATTTCACCTGAGTAGTCGAATACTGATACTGATAGGCATGCATGACAGCCGAAGAGTAGGGGTGAAACCTAGCTGTCTTATGCACTCAAATGGAATGTATGTAAAACAACCCTTAACAGATGAAGAATAGGGGAGAAACGTAGACGTTCAGACAAAATTCCCCTCATATTACACTGCATGTCGTATGCCCACTGTCATTAGACTGCTTGGTGCCGAAAAGTAGGATGCTAAACCAATTTCTTGCTAATTTTAATCCAGCACATTAATTTCAAAAGTATTCAATGAAAACAAAAATCTCAGTTTCCAAATATCTAAATTATTTTTGACATCAATCTATCATAATCATATTATATAAATATTAATACTTACATTTTGCATAGAATCTACTAATTTTCCAGAACCATCCATTTGATTGATAAAATCTTTGAAGAATCTCATTTTGACCCTAGAATCTCTAAAAGACAATCGTCCAATTCCTGCAAACAGAACTTCCACATTCTTCTTATTAGCAAGAGCTTTACCAACAGCGTTTAATATTTCTCGTATACATGATTCTACCGTATCTCGATCGAATGCTGATTCGAATGATAAAGCTGCATAGTTAAGTTGTACAACTGGTATTTGACCTACAAAAAATTAAAACCCAAAATGCATTAGGAATTGTATCTTGGTACATAAAAATCTAGTCTGGAAACAATAAGACACAGCTCTGGCATAAACTCAAGCTTTGACCTTTATCAGACTCAATCTCTTTGGTGTCTGTCTGATTAGTCTTTTATTAATATTTATAATTATTCCCAGGCCTGATAATAGTAATAATGTTTATCTACTAGAAAAAGATTAAAGAATCTTTGATACAAGTTGTCCTTATGAAACAGGTTATTTTGGAACATAACTATTACAACATTTTTCTTGTATGCAGGACTCTTCAGCACCAAGAGTAAAACAAAGAATCAGGTCAAAACATGACCTTAGACAGGTCACAGATCAAAGAATTGTGGTTGCCATGCAAGATACACCCACATTTTGCAAAAGATGGACAGAGAACAAGCTAAAAAAGCAATTTTTGTACAATTAGGGACCATAATCCAGCATGCTACGGTCTGACATGCATCAATATCAAATGAAAACGAGATCTTTGGGATATAAACATATTTTAAATTTCATCAAAATCAGATAAAAAATGTGACCTCTAGTGAGTTCACAATCTAAAAACGATTTTTCGTACAATCAGGGGCCATAATCCAGGAAATGCGCCAATATGCGCCAATATCAAAAGGAACCAAGATCTTTGGGTTATAAACATGCATCTTAAAAGTTTCATCAAAATCGGATAAAAATTGTGACTTCTAGAGGGTTCACTATCTTTGTATTACCATGGACCGTATATATACGGTCCATGGTATTACATGCTTTCACACTATTTGCATACAGGAGTAACCATTTTGACGGGAAGTTTCGGCCCAATTTTCATGAAATTCGAACTCAACTGTTGTTAGGGTGTAATGGTGATAAGACCCATCACCATATGATAAAGGGTTATAAGATTCATCAATAATTGATAAAGGGTAGTAGGACCTATCGATATTTGATAAAGGGTTTAAGACCCATCAACATTTGATAAAAGGTTTTAAGACCGGCAAAAATTTATTTATTAAACTCATGGTTTATTCTACTAAATTATGTTGTACGTCTGTTGAGTGGGGACTACCTATCATATTTATACTCTCTCTGTCTCTATAATTACATTTATTGATCCATTAGCTACACAGATCTAATTGGGTTGTCCAACCTCTGTCTCATTCTATGATCACCATTGTATCCCCTTTATAACTAGTTTATACTATAACAGTCTTTAACAAATTTCCATAACAGACAGGCAGATATCTCAAGGTCACAAAATCTAATAATGTCTATCTATAATATCCAATAATAATCAATTCCTGTCAAAAGATCAATTATTTCTGTAACACAATTTTTGATATAAAATCCTAACCAAACAGTAGATTTTCATCTTTTCCAGTAATCCTAGTCAATGAATCAATATTTAGATAAAACCAATATTATAGGCTACAGTTAAAAATGTTTCTATGTTTATTTAAAAAGTAAATCAAATGAATGTCACACAATGTAACTAAGCAAACTAGGCAGACTTAGTGAAATTCAATGATTAAAGGAGCTAAGATTCCATTCTTTGGAACCTAAAGGGTCATGAATATGGGTCAAAAAGCCCATATTAATTTAATACGAGTCTATATAAACTGATTTATATTTATTTTTTAAAACTTTTATTGTATTTTCAAATCAGTTTTGTTTGTTGAAATAAACAAGCAGGCTAAATTGAATGGCAGTCCCTCACACCTGGTCAGTCAAGTCTACATTGGAAGTATGGTTTAACATTTCACTTTCACACTGAATGGCAGTCCCTCACACCTGGTCAGTTAAGTCTACATTGGAAGTATTGTTTAACATTTCACTTACACACTGATGTTTAGTAAGAAAAGAGTGCATGGGTCATACGCCGGTTGTGGCAACCGGTTTTGGGGGTATGGCCGCTTTCCACGTCTGACAGACAACCCATGGTACTACAATCACATCCAAGAGCATAGAGTACATGCTGACATGTACTGGTTTAAAATTGTTCACTGTGTCTTGTCTTAACTATTTGATATAAGGAGCCTAAATTTTAATGGTAAGATAACATCACTATTGATTGGAATAGACCAATAATTTGTGTTTGTGTCGAAGACTATGGATAATATTAAATTCTAGCTTTACGCCCTTTAAGTCAAAAAAGTTGATTTATACATATTCTCTCTATTGTAAATGTCATTTACAATCAAATTAACAAATTATATGTCAGTAACTGTCACCTAATGAACATCTGCACCATGTTTGAAGATTCTACCTAAATAATAAATTAGAGAGAGAGAAATAGGGTTTAACATCCACACGACACAAACTAGGTCATTTCGGGACTAACATATGGTTTAATTTTATTTCAATAATTCGCTTGCGCATAGGGGTTTTTAGCAGTGGGAGGAAACCGGAGGACCCAGAGAAAACCCACAAGGTTGGACAGGCAATAATAAATTAGAACAAGAATTATTGTATTCTACCTGGTGTGACAGACTGACAATTTTTGGCGTATTTTAATTAGCAAGATTTATTTTTTTCAAAGAACATGCCAATTTTTAACATTATCCCAATTGATTTTAAATATATTTTTACAATAAGAACTATAAATTGTGTTTTAAGGTTAACTTCTTTGAAATTCTGCTTTTCTCGGCAGGTAAATTGACTGATAGGCAAGTTCTGTTGGTCTGTAAGTTAAGACTGACAAATCTAACTTGAATGAAAGCCCTGCAATGACAGACTTCATTTAACTTGTTTTTGAAAAGATTAAAGATTGTAGTCTTTTGTAAACCATGTGGTGAAGACAGTGGGGATGCTCGATTGAACGTTCCGGAATTGAATTCTGTCAAAAATCTTAACCAATCATAGCAACTGAAACATATTTGTTGTATTTAATTACATCACAATTCTATACTCACACTACCTCAGTGGTTGGGACTGACAGAATTGTGACAGGACTGAATTCCAGGTCAAACAATTACAATTCTGTTAATTCGGCAAGTTACGGACTGACAATCGACCATCCCCTAAATATATATATTAAATAGATACACCTGGCCTTCACCTTACCCATTAAACACTGATATAATTACCTGGTACATGGTATTTTGTGAAATGTAGGGCATGTGTTTGTGCAAACTTCTCAGAAATATTGAAAACTGGTCTCTGGATTAAAATAAATTTATTATTTCCAACATCCAACTTTTTCTGCGAGAAGGTGAAAACTCCAAGGTTAGGTATATTAACCCCCTGGAAAAAAAAACCAAAGAACTTTTTTGACTTAATAAAAAGAAATATTTGGGTTAATATCCATTGTACAGAACAACTAAATCAATAGAGAGAGAGAGAAATGGGGTTTAACATCCACTCGACACAAACTAGGTCATTTCGGGACTAACATATGGTTTAATTTTATTTCAATAATTCGCTTGCGCGTAGGGGTCTTTAGCAGTGGGAGGAAACCGGAGGACCCGGAGAAAACCCACGAGGTTGGACAGGCGACCCTACTCCTTGTCACGTACAACCGGGGATTCGAAACCACGCCAGTCAACTCAATGACAGACTTTATGATACAGCGCGCGCACGCTAACCATTCAGCCATCCAACCCCCCCCACTAAATCAATAAAATGGAATACTTTCAACTGGGTTTGATAAGGTCATAATTTTCTGCATCAACTGGGCAAATGAAAATGCTAATGGCTTTGCAAATCAATTCTTTTTCTTTTTAAATAATGTCATGCTTACTTACAAAGTCATGTATCTAAAACTGGCAATGAAACAACGAATGAACGATCCTGGAACCTGTTTTTTGTAACATCCAAATGACTTGACACCAATGACAAGGGTAAAACATGCTGGAAATGCTGAGCTATTTTCTTAACACCAGATTGAACCACATTTTGTAAGCCAGCTCCTTACTGAGCTACCGTACGTGGCTCCCATAAGGAGAATGTACTCACATTCCAATGGAATTTCCATACATCATGAATAAAGGGGGGCAATTACACAAAATATGCCATATAACAGATGATTTGACATGTCACCGAGTCGAATTCTCCCAAAAGAACAAGATTCAGTTTATGTCTTTGTGTCTTGAGTTTTTTGTGTTAACTATCTTATTATAAATCAATAACATAATTACCTTTTGTTGAGACATTTGTTTCTCAATAAATGATGCTGCATTTTCCCAAACACTTGAAATATCTGAGAGTAAGAAAAAAAAAATATAGATTGGCCTATTGTAAGTAATAAAGAAATAAAAATGGTATACTTTGTCGAACACCAAGTCCAGACATTATTTATTATTCAGTAAGCTTATAATATTTATTTATTTTATATTATTAACCACGAAATTTTTCTTCTAAAGAAAAGATTATGTGTTAAGGGTCATTAATTATATTCTTTGCAGTCAATAATATTGTTGTGCTGATTAAATAATTATATTTATAGCCTCCCTTCAATCAACGTGATGAATGCCGAAGCCGGCAAATTAGCACTCGAGCTTTAAAAGGACCAGCGATTATTTATAATTACGTTTGGTGTTAATGACATTGATAGCGACAGTTTTCCTCGAGTGAAAGGTGAACAAAAAATAGCCAACACTAACAAGTAACATTAGTACTTGTGAGTGTGGAGTAGGCCTAGCCTAGACTGCAGGAGTTATAAATAAAGAAATACATAAACAAACCGTCTTCTGAAAGTGTGTCTTTGATCGACGAAAATCGACCGTTTCTAGCTTCGGATAGAAGCCCTTGCATCATTTCAGTCATTGTTGAAACTTTGAACCAGCTACAAACTTTACTACACCTATGTCATGTTCAATTATTACAAGTTATTGACATTGCCATACCAAGCAAGCCCCAAGAAAAGTTACACGCGTTGCTAGGGAAGCGCGTCCGTTGGGTAGTTACAGCAAAGGGAGATAATTCTAATATACTTATCGAAGATTTTTATCTGTTCATGCACTTCATGAATTCGGGGATATAATTTAGGCTAGAATTAAAAACACGTTTTATTTTTTTCCCCATACGAGTTTTTGCAAAGAACGCAAAACATGGGAAGTACCGAAACAATGACCAATATAGTCTGGACTCTTTTTTTTTTATGTAATACAAACTTATATGGGATCACTTCGTATTCGTAAAACTAGGATTCTTGAGTCAGTTGAGACTTTATTAATCATGAGACTGAGAGAAAGACAAAGTGCACTACTATTCCTAATATGACTTGTCCGTGAAACGTCAACATGAGAGTGTTGTCACTAGGTATTCTATGCCATGATATTACTTTCAATGGAACAGACATTTTTTTTTTTTTTTATAGAGATCAATTTCAATAACATATTTTTTTTCTTAATTGTGGTGTTATCTAATCTATAGACCACCACTCAGTCACTCATTCAGTCATTGTACTGCAAACTGCCATGGGTATGGGGCTTGTGTTACACATAATATGAGTTCAAAATCTTTTGTGTATGTCAAACCTGATATAATTATTTGGGCGAACCAATTTATCTGACTGTTATACACCCTCTACTAGGTCTATTTGCAGCCTTATGCAAATACTGACATAAAATTTTTGAGAGTACTGTGATTGCCAACTCTCAATAAACTACATCTACAAATAAAAACATAGGTTGCCAGGCAAGTCATCTCAAAGCCATTACAAATTAACTTTTAAAAAAAAACCCAAAAGGTTGATCCATTAGCTCTAACAAATCAATAAGGTTCTGCATTTACTGAGATAGTTAACTCATATCATTTTTAAAAAGATACGGATGAAAATAACCTCTATTTTGCCAACAAAAAATATGAACAAATGACTGACAGACAATGAACTAATAGAGGGAATGGCAACATATACAACCTCATAAAAACCTATCACTTATACCGGTATCTACACAGATGGCTCAGGAAGTAAGGCGCCGACTTATAATTGCTACTCAGGTCTCGTCAGTTTCGCTTATGGTGATGGCTGAGAAGGTTCCCCATGTCAGTCGTCTAATCCTTCAGATGGTATATATATAATATATTATAAGTCCTGTTTACATGTTAGCATGCATTCATTTACATGGATAAAATTAAACAATAATCAGGAAAATCATTTTGTTTTTATTTATCTACACATTATAATTAATCAATATATACAATAATAAACAAGCAAACAGTGAGCCTGATGTCCCAACCCTCGATTTCTCCCCTCCCCTCCCCAAATACATGACATATTATTAATTAATTGCACATAACTTTTTTGTAAAGCTTTATGCAATCCAATGGTGTATCCATACTTAGTCCAAGCAGAAAATGCACATGATCGAACTTTGTCAAGGTTTTGATATAGGGAAATTATACACCAATTAAAATCAAAGTTATCAAGCCCCTAATTGCTTGTCTCTGGTTAGCCTAGGCAGAAAATGCTCATCATCAAACTCACTAAATTAACACCTAACATCACATTTAGATATTCTAGCAAAATTAGAACCAGAGTTATTGTGTGACAGATAGACCAACAGACAGACTAACGAACCCATTTTAATAGTCCCCTGCTTTCTTTGAAATTTTGCTATTTCAACTTTGTGCACAAACAGTAAAGCTATTACTACCTTTATGTTTATTTTAAGAGTGCCCCCTGTCAATCAATTATTTAATCTAACTATGATCCTTTTATTTCCTTATTTAAAGGTAGGATACCAAGAATTATACATGTTCCATGGTTAATGATTCCCCGGTTATACGTGACAAGGAGTAGGGTCGCCTACCCAACCTTGTGGGTTTCCTACGGGTCCTTTGGTTTCCTCTCATTGCTAAAGACCCCTATGCCCAAGTGAATTGTTGAAACAAAATTGAACCACATATTAGTCCAGAAATGACCTATTTTGTGTTGTGTGGACGTTAAAATCCCCTCTCTCTCTCTCTTTCTCTCCATGGTTAATCAACAGCTCGACAGACAAAGCTCAAGAAGTGATTATTATCAAATACTTTCTTTTGCAATTGTATATTGCAAGTTGCGAAAGGAAGTTATCAACAAAGATATTTTGTTAAAGCCTCTGAACATCATTTTTAAAACCTTTACAAACTACAATATTGTGAATTTTGAATCAATAAAAGGAATATCAATCCAAACATAGTTTTAATTCTGCTTGACATTTAAATAGATATGATGAAAATTTGTCAACAATCGGCATCCACTGCAGACAATATATATGGTACATATTGAACACAAACCAGTGCCAAGTATGATTTTTCACGGAAATCTTTAGATAGGATGTTATTAAACAATGGTTGATAGTTTTGATTAATTTACCAGTGAAAAAGGCCCATAATGCACAGAGATTTTAATGCCAACAATATGTGGAGCTGTAGATTTGCTGAGCAGTAGACAACAAATGTTGGGAGATCAAAAAATCTATGAGAAATGATCCTTGATGCTTATTTCCTTGTAAATAATAAATACATTTATGATGATCTATTAAAGGCACACACTGAATATGACATCATAAAAAGGTTTCCTCTAAATCACTTCACATTAAATAGATGATAAAAGCAGCTATCCTGTCTCTCCATCTTTACAATTCATGGAAATGATGTCATTGGACATTTTTCACAATAAATAACCAATAATAAGAAATGTAATGGGGTTTAATGTCCTACTTTTCTGCACCATTCGGTCTAATAAAGATGATTCACAATAATATTTTAGACCTGACAGAGAACAATCTTAAAGTGAATCTTTAATGTCTAAGACGTGGTAGCTGATTCCTTTTCTTTTAGACCTTCTTCTCTAAGTTTTCTGTTGGCGTCTATTCTTTCTTGAACTAAACTCTCTCCCCGGCTTCGAGCTCTTTTGCCGCTAACAGCATAAACCACACAGGCGAGAACGGTAGCTATTATCATATAAGTACAAGCTCGTATTCTAAACCAATCCATGGCATTGTCCATCTTGTTACGCCTGAAAATAGTCATAAATCAATTTACAGTGGACTGAGTGGAGGAAGCTGTTAATATGGCAGAATAGAGGTTAACATATATTTTTATCAAAACACATTAAGTACTAAAATTATATTCATCAATTCTAGTTAATGCCCACTTGATATTACAAAATATGTCATTTCGGGACTAACAGGATATACATTATCTTAATTTAAAACCGGAGAACCCAGAGAGAACCCATGAGGTAAGGCAGGTAGTCCCTGCTCCTTGTTACATTCAAGTCTAATTGAAACTAGAACAATTTAATCAATGACTGACCTTAGGACACAAGGACGTTTAATGATCACAACAATTCAGATAAACTGGGATGAACTGTTAGATATCCAAAATGTTGTTTCTAAAGGATTAGGATGTAACAATATCATATTAGTTTTATTTCCGCAAAATTGGTAATCTGAAGACGGCTCATGTTTACCTCAAGCTAGCATAAGCTCTGATATAAACAGGCATAATAAAATTCATGTTTCTGTCTACTCTACTTCCAACTGCCAAGGGTTTTATTTTAATGACATGCCAATGTGTACACGGTTCCTCAGTTTTTATTACTGTCCAAACTATTCCAAAAGACTGGACACTGTTCCTGCCCCTACCTCCAATATGATCTGTAAGTAACTAAAGTAATACATACGATATTTCATCTGGTACTTCCTCTATAGATTTATAGTATTTTGTCCAGACTAGAATTTTCTTCTGAATTTTGCTTGGTGCCACACCTGATGTTGAAAAAAAACAACCCACAACTGTTTAAATAATGATAGACTTGGGACATACATGGAGTAGCTCAGATTAGTAACTCCCTATTGACATCAAGTTCAATATTAAAATCCACACCATTCCTTGGCCTAGAACATTTTTTGTTTAACTTTCTGATTATCTTAATTTTTCTAACCTAATGCTACAATCATCTGATAATGTACGTACATGTAATAAACTTCTCCATATTTCCCTTCTCTGAAGATGGCATTATTTGGTACCTAAATAGCCTGGCAAATAATTAATTGTATTGTTCTAGGATATTCGCCACCAAGCTGTCATGTATTTAATTTTGCGATCATTGGGGCTCACATCTGGTAGGATTACATACCAGTAATTAATTTAAAATGATTTATTTAGATGTTTTGGAAATTGAAACAAATGATAATCCGAATGTGTACCTGCACATAGGGTCAAAGAAAAATTTGATTTTGCAATGAATTAGTTACTTTAGTAATTACAATTCGTTACGTAGCAATGAACGATCTACGCAAAAATAGTTTCAATTGATTAACTTCTTAACAACACTGTTAAATAGAACATATTACTGGCTTCAATTGAGTACATAGTTTGATCCTACTGTTATTTCTAGATGCGAACGTGACTTGCAAGAAGTTGAACGGAAGCCAAGGCATAGTTTTGCACCAATGTTGTCCTTCGATTTCAGTATTTCATCAGGCTTATATAAATACAGACGGTCCACAAAATTTATAAATAAAAAGTCAAGAGAATTTACAGAATATGTGTTAGTTAAAAAAAGACACAACAAAACCCACAGACATTGTCATTAATTTTCTTGGTTACATAAATATTATATTTTTACTTACCTGATTCAAAACGTTTCGTCTGAAAATGTGGTGTTGTGGTGCAGCAGACAACATTGTTGACGTTAGTATTTCTCGCTAGAAGTGGTTGCCTGTTCAGTATTTGTAGACTAGTTTTGTTATCTGAACTGAAAAGTCTTTTAATAACCGATTCCGCCTCCTTGGGTCTTAATTGTCTAAGAACAGATAAATGCTGCCGAAACATTTTGACCGAAATGACACGATCACACTGGAGTATTACCAAATCATGACCTTGAACCCCAATGAGGGAATCTATGACGTAATAGATTTGACAAGAAGCATTTTATTGGATAGTTTTTATCAATCTATAAATGAATGATTTTCATTGGTTATTAGGACTTTCCCACGATTCTGTACCTAATTTCCGATTCATTGTCGAAGTCTGGAGATGGACGTGGTGCCTTGAGAAATTAAAGTAAGATATTAGCCTTTGGTGGCTGAATTACGTACAAACTATAATGGATTGTAGTGCCATGCTTTAATTTCTTGGTTATTATAAAACTAGGGTTTTGGTAACAGAATTACTAATGTCAATTTTTAGGCCAGTAATGTTAAATTTTTATGCTAATAATAAATGGCAGTTGTATGGACATGGTTATCCTATGGTAACATTTAGAAAGTAAAAGTAAATGAAATGGCAAATGTTGAAAATCATTTGCCAATATACCAATCTGCCAATTATGAAAATGAAGATAACTGGAACAAAATCCGATTGCCAAGTCAAGTATATTTCTTCTAAGGCTGAATATTAAAGTATAAGGTACCGGTATCCACACGGCACAGGGAAGTAAATTTAAGATGAATATCAATATAATATTATTATTTAAATTAAAGGCTCAATGCGTCATCAAGCTCATTTAGAATCCCTGGCTTGCAAACTACAACATTGTTCAAGTTTAATCTCGGCCCAAAAATGGTTCAATTCGTGCAGTATTTACAAAGTTATGATAAATTGAAATTTCATCTATTTATGCTGCTCACTAATAAGAAGACACTGTCATCTATTATTGGTAGCGGAGAATTCAAGCCGTCAGATTATCTAGCGTTGGTATTTTTTTTTTTTTGTCCCCCGCGTTTAAAGAAAGCAGGGGACTATTAAAATTTGTTCGTCCATCGCAGTCTGTCTGTCACAATTTTTGGGAGACAATAACTCTCCTTCTAATTGAGCTAGAATGTTCACATTTGGCATGTGTTTATTAGGTGAATGCCTTGATGGAGTTCGAAGATGAGAATTTTCTGCTTCGGGTAAGCAGAGATAAGCAATTTGATTGGTTGAGGCTTTGGGACACGATAACGTTAGTTCTAAACCTAATTGAGTGAGAGTGAGGACACTTGGTGTATAGTTTTATCACATCAATACTTGACTAAGTTCGATAATGAGCATCTTCTGCTCAGGGTAAGCAGAGTGATAAGCAATTTGATTGGCCGAGACTTTGGAACACAATAACTCTCCTTCTAATTGAGGTAGAATGTTCAAACTTGGTGTAGGCATTCATTAGGTGAATGCCTTGATGGAGTTTGATGATAAACATTGTCTGCTTTCGGTAAGCAGAGATAAGCAATCTGAGTGGTTGATGCTTTGGGGCACAATAACTTTAGTATTAATTAAGTGAGAGTGATGAAACTCCGAGTATAGATTCATTATATCATTACCATGGCTAAGTTTGATGATGAGAATTTTCTGCTTAGGCTACGGAGCGATAAGCAATTTGATTGGTCAAGACTTTGGAACATAACAACTCTGCTTTTAATTGAGGTAGAATGTTTAAACTTAATGTAGATGTTCATTAGGTGAATGTCTTGACTGAGTTCAATGATTAACATTTCGAGCTAAAGCTAATCAGAGCTAAGCAATTTCATTGGTCGATGTTTTGGGACAAGATAACTTTGATTCTATCTGATAGAGAGTGATAAAACTTAGTGTATAGTTGATAATCAGTTTGATTGTTTGATACTTTTGAAAAAAAATAAATGTGCTATTATTAATGTGTCATCTATTTATTTTGGGACATCAGCCTCACTGTGGGCTTGTTTTCTTGATTTAATGTTGGTTGGATACTCAGTCTTTGTACATATTTAGCCGTGAGAAATTGGATATTTTAGTGAGAATCAAATGATGCATTGATTCTTCAATATAGTTCTGGTATACACCTAGAAGCAATATTGTAGCCTCAACATGCCCAAGTAAAAATAGCCTCAACCAAATAATTTTCAACACCTATTATCATAATTTGTATTGAAATAAATGGTTTTACCACAAACAATGAAATATCAATCATTAAAATATAGTTTCTCTTTGTGCTAATGCGTTTTATATTTTCATAGTGACTTTTTTCATGTACACAAGTGGCCATGACATTACCAATGTAGGCCTACATGTATCTGGAGAAGGGGTTGGGATTTTCAAAATTATAGAATTAGCCTGTAAGGTTTCACTTTTGTTTCATTATGTGGATTATATGTTAAGCTATTTGTAATAGCTTTTGAGGCCAGATTACAAATGATTACAAAACCTGCTCCAAGTAGGACCTAGAACCATCTGCTACTATTCCTGGAGTCAAAGACAGAAGTTTTCACTAGTGAAACCATTTCTAGTCCAGGCCTACATGATGTACATGTATACAAATGTACAGATATGTGGAAGGGTACGATATGGGTCCTTCCTTAGGAATCATGTATTCCACTGCCTTTTGAGGAGCTTGTTTTGTTTTATTTGACCATAATATAACCAAATAAGAATTGGAAAATAATTTATATCATTACAGAATGGCAGAAGGTGGCGCTGCATGTTACAGTCGACCAGAGAAACAGTATGTCTGTGTTATTTGTGGTGATGAAGGAATATTTGAATCAGAGATGCATGACCATATCAAATTACATACAACAGATAACTATTGTCCTTTTTGTGATATGGCCGGTCTGATAGGTAGGCTCACATTTAGACTAAATTGTGTTTTATGTTTTAAACTTTCAAACATCTCTATAATGAGATAAATAAAGCATTAGATACCTACTCTAGGTTAGAATCCTGAAATTGGCTGAGAAGAACCATTGGGAGCTTTCATTATCAAGTCCAATTCTCAATTGTCAGTGGGTTTTGCCAACAAGAAAAGTGTGCCTCATTCATCGAATAGTATTAGGTAGAAAAACCAAGGTCTTCCCATGGACATAATTGCAATTGGAATTCGAAGAAGAGTGGGCAGAAATGCTGCTGCCCAGGCAAATTTCTCTCTCTCATATTGCACATATAATCATAGAAATGAAATTTATCACAGGATGACATTCAATTTTGTGAAATGGGACAGACCCATGTCTTACTACTATATTGCGGCGGCGGGTTGGATGGCCGAATGGTTAGCACGTGCGCGCTGTATCATAAGGCCTGTCATTGAGTCAACTGGCGTGGTTTCGAATCCCTGTTTGTACATGACAAGGAGTAGGGTCGCCTGTCCAACCTCGTGGGTTTTCTCCGGGTACTCCAATTCCCTCCCACTGCTAAAGAGTCCTACACGCAAGCGAATTATTGAAATAAAATTAAACCATATGTCAGTCCCGAAATGACCTCTCTCTCTCTCTCTCTCTCTTTAATGTGGCTTAACAGAGAGTGATGAAACTTAGTGTATAGTTTCACTACCAGATGCTTCAAAATCTTGACAGAGTTTTAATCATGAACATTTTCAATCTGATTAAAATACAGATCTATTTTTCATTTTGTTTTTTATACTTTCGATGGCCTACACTACATGAAGATCTGACCCTCTGAGGTCATACGAGTGGCTTTTGACCCTATGACGTCAGACATTTGATTAACCAATCAGCATTGATGTTACTAGTGGATTACCCACAGTTCCATGCAAAACCAAGCCTAAAGCTCGCCGTAACAGACCGTTTCATTGGCTAATTCTTCACACCATTCCGAACACGTCAATGATAACAACTCTTTCAGATCCTAGTGTAGAAAAGACAAGTAAATTTTGAACTATAAAAACGAAATGAAATAGAATCTGTGTTTTAATCAGATTGGAACATTTTATGCTTAGACTAAACGAAGTATAGATAATCAGTTTGCCTGCTCAATACTTTTGAAAAAGATAAATGTGCAGTTAACCATTATGTGTCATCTGTTTATTTTGGAATTATTTTATCTATCTTCTTTCACTACAGATTGAATGAGCATGAAATAAATTATTGAATGATAAATATGATTATAATTTGTTTTCAGGATCTGATATGATACGACATGTAAACGTAGAACATCTAGATCTTGTCAGTCCGTCATCCGAAAAACCTTCAAGAACTCAACAAACAAATCATCACTCGGACTATTCCAAACCATCGACATCAAAATCACTGAATAATACATCTGATTATTTGGCTGCTTCAACGTCTCATTCATTTAAATATAATTCAAGTTTTTCATCTTTGAATGACGAATTATTGAAGGACGCTGAAAACCGGGATCCATTAGCGCATGTTTCGTCATTGCCCGTCATGGAACCACCAGATAAAAAACGTAGTAAATTATATCTAGACGTTCCTCAAAGACAAAATGGCCTCAACTCATTCCATAAAGTTAAACAAGTACCGACAAAAGATAAGGCTAGCATGTCTCACGATTCCGGATTCTCATCTTCAGGAAGTCAGAATAGCAGTATGGAGGCCGAACCCAGTATATTGAGTATCGCAGAGGGTGCGACGGCCATGTCACCAGCGTTTTCTTGCCCTCTGTGTAGCTTCACCACATCCTCAGATTCGTTGATTCAGCAACATGTCAACCGCGAACATTCCGATATTCTCAGCCCGATGAAACAAGGCCCAGGGTGCAATGTAAACTTGGACGATATTGATGTAGTATATTCATGTCCAATTTGTGCAATCAGTTTAGACAGTCCAAAAGATGTTGAACTTCATATCAATTCTAAACATGCAGACGTTTTAAGTCCGGGAAAATTTCTCAGTGATCAAGGCTCTGATGATTTGTTGATCTGTCCAGTGTGTGGGGAAATATTTACAGATCCCAATTTTCTAACAGGTCACGTCGATGGACATTTTTCAGCAACTCATACTCCAGGTTAGTATAGTTTATTATTTAATGTCACTGATCTTGATCAAGCATTTTTTGGGATGTCAAATTCGTTATGGCTTAATGTACACTAAAATGTACTCCAGTTGATTATTTAACATAAGTTGGAAGTAAAAGAGGCCTTTCAAGAGATTTTACCGAGCACATATTATAACTCATGCTGGATGTTTATATCATCTGCAGAGGTTGGGTGGCGTTGAATCAGAAGGTCTGTCATTGAGTCAAGTGGCATGGTTTTGATTCCCCGCTTGTACGTGACACGGAGTAGGGTCACATTTCCAACCTTGAAATAAAATTGAATCGTGTGTTAGTCCCAAAATGACCTAGTCTGTGTCGAGTGGACATAAAACCTCATTTCTCTCTTTTTCTCTCTTTTACTAAATCAGTTGTCCTAATATTTTAGTTTGTCACAATAGTATAGTTTGGGTATGTACAAAATAGATGAAATACTTTTGGGTGTGTGTTCATGAGCAATGTTCCTAAGTGAACAATTTTTGTTTTTCTTTCGAATCATGGCATTCTACATGTACTTATAATTAGGGAAAATATACAGAGATCTTACTTTTCTACATTTTCATGGGTCCCATGCTGTGGATTATGTTTACGCCAAAGACCTAATAATGGATACCCTACTAAGATTATACATGTATATGTATATATATATATATAGCACTTTGAATTATTTATGTTCTTTTACTTTTAGTGACTTTACATCCAAGATTATGGACAAATTGAAAATTAATTTTTAAGGTAGAAATGTGTATAATTGCAAGTGTTGAACTATCGAGAAGCAAAATATTAATATTAAATTTTACAATTTTAAAGGTCTTCGTTTTATGCAAGAAGTGTACAAAAGACTTATTATTTCATCAATTCTGTGTTAATAATTTACAAATATATTTTTGATGACTATATCAAGGAACACTGATTGTGAATAAACAATTTGTACTGTCTGGGTTGCCTGCAGACAAGTTAAATATTTCCACCGACGAATGACCTAAGACAATAAATTATAAGTCTGTAATTTTTGTGTTGAATGAGTAGCTTATATCAGAGTCACATTAATAAGAATGGTGATCATCTTGCTATGGCTTGATGTATCCTTTTAATCAGAATTAAAATAGCACATGTAAAGGTTTATCATAGGTTTATATAAAAAATTGTGGCACAGATATGGGGGAGGGGTCCTCAGTGGTTTGGAAATGTAAATTGTTCAAAATTTTTGAGAGTGGAAAAGGGTTTGAAACCACTGGTTTAGGGTGATTCATGACAATCTTGTTCAGTATAAATGGTTTGGTAATTAATATTTTTGACAGAATAAGTTTTTATCTGTGGTGTTGTCATCCTGTTGACTGTCTGACTATTTGATTGATGCTGTGTTTGTTATTATAGTAAATGAAGCCACAGATCAACTTATAGCTGAAGAATTACAACAGAGAGAACAAGATCAAGCTGAAATGGAGAAAAAAGATTTCCAGACCCTACAGGTAATATACATGATAAATAATATGGCAGGAATCTGTCCACCACTCAGTTTAGGTTATAATGAGGACTATGTTAAGACAGTAGTTAATCAGATCATGTTTTTATTAATGGGTTTCATACAGGAGAATGATGAGATGGGCATGTAGAATTACCAGGGGAGGTATGTACTGTATAGTGGCATAATGTGATGGGCATGAACAATCTACAAGGGTGGTAGTGGCGTAATGAGATGGGCATGTACAATTTACAGAGGAGGTAGTGAGTGGTGTGACATCACTTTCTATACTATCAATAGAATTATCATGCACTTAAAGTATGATAAATAAAACCCATGTCTATAAGGAAACTTTCGTCTGTTCGTATCCCAACTAACAACAGACCCACTGTCTCTAAACAATATATTGTTATAGGATTTCTGCAAGTCGATATATCTTGATAGTTATATATGCCTGTATTGCTTAACACTACAGTTCGGGTTGGATATTTGTCAAACTTGTGGGGATTGTTCATCAGGAAGAAATATCTCAAATTTAAAAGTTGTCTCCTCATTTAAGTATGTTTGATATTATAGGCAATGTATGGGATGGATGGTAAAACAGACTATAAACAGCAGTATGAGAAGAATTTAGAAAGAGCTGTGTGGAATGGTCATTTATCAATACCAGAATATCACAAACAAAAAACAAATCTTAAATGTAATGACTTAAATGGTGTAGATGATGGGCATTCGTGTACAAAAGGTAAATCTTGCATGTATATCAAGAGATTATTGAAATCCAGGTCCAAGCGTTTAGTAGTGACATGTGTTGTGCAGAAAGTTGGGCATTTACACTCTTTCGAGAACAACTGATACACTTCTTATAAAAATAAAACTGTTTCTTGTTGACATGGAAAGTATTGCTTAGTTTTTTGGATGTACAAACACCGACCTAGTTACATTGTTCATCAGATTTCAAATAGAGATTCTCTTACTCTTCTTTTTTGATATCAAAAAATATCAACACAAGTAGATAAAGTAAAAAAAAAAACTAAAGCTTTACTTTATCGACTTGTGTTGATATTTTTTGATGTCAAAAAAGACAAGTAACAGATTTTATTTATTACCCAACCATCACAAATTAATAAATTTAATTCTTTGGTATAGATGTAATTTTACTGAACCTGATTACATTACTGCGTAGTGGTACATCATTTTTTGACAGTAAGTCACCCGTTGCAAAGTCCTATATATCAACCGGTGTGAACAGTCTACAGGTCACAATTTTTATCCGATTTCAATGAAACTTGAAATATAGGTTTTATCACCCTAAGATCTCGGTTCCATTCGATATTGGCATCTATCGGACCGTAACTTCATGGATTATGGCCCCTGATTGTACGAAAAATCACGTTTTTGGCTTGTGAACACTGTAGAGGTCACAATTTTTATCTGATTTTGTTGAAACTTGAAATGTAAGTTTATAACCCAAAGATCTCGGTTCCTTTCGATATTCGCGCATATAGGACCGTAACTTCCTGAATTATGGCCCCTGATTGTATGTAAAAACGCGTTTTTTGGCTTGTGGACCCTATAGAGATCATAATTTTTATCCGATTTAAAAAAACGTATTATTTTATCACCGTTAAACCCTAAGGACTGTTGAGTTTGAATTTCGTGAAAATTGGTCCAAAACTGACAGACAAAATGGCCGCCCCTCGTTCTCAAATTGCGTAAAAATATGGTATATCAAGGTTGTGGACCGTATAGAAGTCACAATTTTTATACGATTTTGTTGAAACTTGAAATGTAAGTTTATAACTCAAAGATCTTGGTTCCTTTTGATATTTGCTCATATCGAATTGTAATTTCCTGAATTATGGCCCTTGATTGTAGGAAAAATCACTTTCGTTTTAGCTTGTTTTCTATCCATCTCTAGAAAATGTGGGCGTATCCTGCCTGGCAGCCGCTGGTTGGTAATTGAGAACTTTCCTCCAACAATATTACTGGATCCAAATCTTTTGTACTTGTAATTTTTGTAAGTATTTTGTACATGTAGGCTGTAATAGTATAAATTATTTTGTAGGTATTATAGTGAAACTACAGTATTATTATAAACATACTAGTAGCTGTGTTCATCGCTGGTGGCTGGCCACATCTGTAGATCATTATTCGGTGTCGTTTGGTGATAAAGGTTGGGGGTGTGGCTATAGAAACTTTCAAATGTTATTATCATCCGTTACTGCTGAACTTGATATATCCCAGGTGCTATTTAATGGTGAGTTACTTTTTTCAATGGAGGCTCTTTGGGATTTATGGAACCTATAGCTCAGTTCCCACTTGTCAGTTGTTCACAATGGAATCACAGTCACAATCAGGGAATGGACATGATAAATCTTTGGGTTTTTCCACCCTGGTTCACAATTAGCATGGGGCTGATACTGTGTCTAGTTGCTGGGATGGGATGTAAAACCAAGTTCAGTATAAAAATTGTAGTGCCTTTATAAGATTCCAGCAATATCCATTTCAGCAATTTTGACCAATCAGTTACTGAGCAGTCATACCAGTTTTGACCAAAATTGACAAAATGGATGGTTCATATCTCAGGAACCGTTAGTCTGATCAAACTAAAATCCGTAATAACAGTCTTTTCCGCCAAAATAAGCATATCAGTTCATCAAAATCGAAGCAGGTACGGTTTACATTTTTGTTTGTGATTGAACACATAATCACCCAATATTCCCCAAGCTTTGGGTACAAATCTGTTATAGACCTGTTGTCAAGTTCGGGAATATTACCTATACATTATTAGATAAAATTAGACGAGGCACGATTACAATGAATTAATGATTTTTATTTTCACATAACAGGTAAACCCCTCATCCCATCAATACCCAAAATACAGCGATTAATAGAGGTGGCGTGGGAAAAAGGTTTCGACAAACAAGGCTCGGAACAATTAGGGGGAAGGGTTGTTAATACAAATAAATGGATTGGAGCAACCGAAATAGTAGCAACATTATCTTCATTAAAAATAAAGTAAGTAGTCATGTTTGTTTACCATGGTCGCATGGTGAGTATGGTGTTGACTCACTAAGAGGTCTCTGGTTTTATCCCAGGGTAGGTTGTGAACCGTCCTCCCGAAGTTCTAGCCTATTTTCCCCTTGTCATTGATGCAGAATGTGGATGACCTAGCAACAATCATTGTCTAGTTGTTTGCATGGTACTAAAAACCAAAGTCAGGTATATATGATTGGCAGTACGTTAAAGATCCCCTGACAGAAATCGAAATAAGATTAGCACCATAATTGCTGCAAGGGCAAAATTTCCCTCGTAACACAGCATATGTCTATTTTCTCTAGCCTGTTTCATTCAAAAAAGTAGGATGTGAAACCTCATTTCAATTAATTTCATTTCTCACTCTTTCAATAGAAAAAGGTAATTATGTACTGGCAAAGTGTGGACAAGATCATTGAACCCCACCAATGCCATTTCATTTTTTAAACATTCATTTTCTTTTTCTTACAGATGTCGTTTAGTGGATTTCTTGGGTCCATCTGGTCCCGATGGAACGCATCCAAAATTATTCCAATGGGTGAAAGATTATTTCCAGTCAGCTTGTGAATTTAAGGCACCACTTTATTTACAACATCAAGGTATATATTTCTGTTAATAAAACATAGATTGCCAGGTAATGAAAACAAGCCCACCCCAAGTAAAGTCATCCAGGCTTTTTATAAAGATTGTCCTGATTTCGAAAAAATATTTTCTCCAGAATCCCAGCAAGTTTTAAATGCCATAGCCAAATAGTAAAAGCATGATTTAAATAAAAATGTTATAAATTTTTACCTGTGAATTGAATACAAGGTTTCTATGACTATTACTTTCGATAAGGTTTTTCATTATGACTTAGTTGATCAGTCTTGGCAAGTTGTAAAATAAAATGGTTAAAAACTCTGACCTGTAAAGCGATTGGGTTTTGATGGTTTGGGCGTTAATTCTTGGGGAAAATAATGGTTAGGACAAATTTTTGATGCATGACTCTGAATTTCAATACAATTGATGGCAGGACAATAACTCGGTGAATATGTGATGTGTGAGTCATGATGACTGAGGAAGTAAGGCACTGGCTCACTAAGCAAGTTCAATCAGGCTGTTGGTTGAGAAAGTTCCTTGAGATTTCCATCCTCGTTTCCCCTTGACATTGGTGCCGGACGGAGGGCCGTAAAAGATCCCCTGACACTTGGAAATCCAAATAAAAGTAGGCCATAGCACAGCTGTTTGGGCAAAAATTCCTCATAGCACACTGCATGCACATAAAAAATATTTGGTATTTGACAAGGATTAGGTGGAAATGCTGCTGTTTTGGCAAAATTTTCCTCACAACATGGCTTTTTCTGTCTTCATTAGAAAAGTAGGGTATTAAACTCCATTTCATTTCATCAACATACAACTCAATTCATTCTTTTCCTTTCCTGTCATTAAAAAAAATGAAAATGTCTGTTGGTTTTGTTTTGACAGGACATAGTAGAACAATTATTGGAATAGAAGAAATGAAAGATGGATCCGATCGTCTGTTAATCTTTGATCCGAGTATTAGTCAGAAACAGATGCAACACTTCCAGGGTCGAATAGATAATAGTATGTTGCGTACCTTACGACGAACTATGGCAGGTTTAAAAGCTAAACAATATCAAATTGTAGCTGTTGTAGGTGTTTTATCTGATGAAGAATATGAAGTAAGTCAATGTGTTTACTTTTTATACACCCACCACACCCCAGTCTGTCATCCACAATCAGGAACATCTTACAGGATAAGGATAATAAGTGTATCAAATTAAAATAATTTCTAAGAATCATGTGAGTACCTTGGTTGAACACCTGACAATAAAGCTGTTCACATTTTGCATTTTGAGTGCTTGCTGGCCTGGGACAAGAATTTTTAAGTGAACAATTTATAAGTGGGGGATCCCCCAAACACCAGAAAAACAGGTGCTGTATTGATTTTTATAATGTACAAAGTTTCTGTCTCATTTGACCTTCATTAGCAGCTTTAGTCCAGTTAACGGCTAAATTTCTAATTTACTTCACATATTACTTTCCATATGTTTGTTGTATTTATGATTTTTTATTGTCCCCCGCCTTTCGAAGAAAGCAGGGGACTATTAAAATGGGTTCGTCCGTCTGTCTGTCTGTCTGTCCGTCTGTCTGTCCGTCTGTCTGTCCGTCCGTCTGTCTGTCCGTCACACTTTTTGGGACACAATAACTCTCTTCCTAATTGAGCTAGAATGTTCAAACTTGGTGTATGTGTTTATTAGGTCAATGCCTTGATGGAGTTCGAAGATGAGCATTTTCCGCTTAGGGTAAGCAGAGATAAGCAATTTGATTGGTTGATGCTTTGGGACACGATAACTCTCTTCCTAATTGGGCTAGAATGTTCAAACTTGGTGTATGTGTTGATTAGGTCAATGCCTTGATGGAGTTCGAAGATGAGCATTTTCCGCTTAGGGTAAGCAGAGATAAGCAATTTGATTGGTTGATGCTTTGGGACACGATAACTTTTAATTGAGCTAGAATGTTCAAACTTGGTGTATGTGTTTATTAGGTCAATGCCTTGATGGAGTTCGAAGATGAGCATTTTCCGCTTAGGGTAAGCAGAGATAAGCAATTTGATTGGTTGATACTTTGGGGCACGATAACTCTCTTCCTAATTGAGCTAGAATGTTCAAACTTGGTGTATGTGTTGATTAGGTCAATGCCTTGATGGAGTTCGAAGATGAGCATTTTCCGCTTAGGGTAAGCAGAGATAAGCAATTTGATTGGTTGATACTTTGGGGCACGATAACTCTCTTCCTAATTGAGCTAGAATGTTCAAACTTGGTGTATGTGTTGATTAGGTCAATGCCTTGATGGAGTTCGAAGATGAGCATTTTCCGCTTAGGGTAAGCAGAGATAAGCAATTTGATTGGTTGATGCTTTGGGACACGATAACTTTAGTTCTAATTAAGTGAGATTGATGAAACTTGGTGTATAGATTTATTATATGAATACCTTAACTAAGTTCGATAATGAACATTTTTTGCTGAGGGTAAGCAGAGTGATAAGCAATTTGATTGGTAGAAACTTTGGAACACAATAACTCTCCTTCTAATTGAGGTAGTATGTTCAAACTTGGCATAGGTGTCTATTAGGTGAATGTTTAAACTTGATGTATATGTAGATGTTCATTAGGTGAATGTCTTGACTGAGTTCAATAATTAACATTACGAGCTGAAGCTAAGCAGAGCTAATCGATTTCATTTGTCGATGGTTTGGGACAACATAATCTTGATTCTATCTGATAGAGAGTGATGAAACTTAGTGAAAAAAATAAATGTGCGATTAATTAATATGTGTCATCTATTTATTTTGCAATTTCGGCGGGGGACATCAGCCTCACTGTTGGCTTGTTTATTTTTATTTTTTCACAGAGATGCAAAATACTTCAATCAGAGAAAATCAGATGACAATGAGGTGATATTAGTAGTGTGAATTGAGTGATATGAATGACATAGAAATTCTATATAAAATATTAAAACTTTCCTTTTTATCATTCTAATGAAAATTAGATCTTTATTCGTTCTAAATTTAGGTTATTTATGTTGGCCTATACATTTACTTAGATATAACTAATTCTGTATCAGTTGTGGGTTTTGCTTGGATTTTGATTTAGGCAGATGTGATTGGTTATCATGATTTAAACCCAAGACAAAACATTTTATCATTGGCTAGGTGAGGTCAATTGAATACATTCGTCTTAAAAATGTTGTTAGACTGCACTGTTGTATAGCAACATAAAAACATTAAAAAAACAAAGTTTATAATTTTAATTAGTCTGAATTTGTATTATTTTATTATTTAACCCTTTCATTGCGTATACCCGGTAGTACCGGGTATTATAAAATGCCGGTAAAATACGCGTACCCGGTATTACCGTGTACTCAGTAAAGCCCTCGCTAAAATTAGTACCGTAACTGCAAGTGCCATCTATTGTATTTTCTATACACTATACACGCGTTTCAAAGCGGCAAACCGTAAAATGGCGGAGTGCATAGTGACAACGTAGACGATGCCCTCTCGACGAAGTCGTGAATGACGTCTTGCAGACCAACACGTGGACAATTTCGAGCGGGTGATACACATAATTTGTTTCCAGTTACTTGATAATGATAGTAGTCAGGACAGTGATTGGTATTATGAAGTGTGTGATTTGTTGCGCGACGTTCCGCCCATGGCTATGTCTCCCGTGCATGATGAACAAGCCCAATGTGAACACGATAGCCCTGTGTCTGCAGTAGATTCTGACAATAATTCTGATGTTGATAATAATGCTGGCCTGCTGGATCGTAAAAGACGTAGGCAATTCCTGAGTCCCGAACGTGTAGATCTATTGACTAACTGTATTGATAATGATATGGGACTTGAGGATGAAAGTGAAAGTGAAAACAAGGTATTGCAGCTTCCAACAGACAAAAAGATTTTTCATAAAAGCTTCCATAAGTAGTGTTTGGCTTTCAGTTCCAACCCCCCTTTTTTCCTCAAAAAAGGGTCTATCACAGGCAGTGGATTTACGTCTAGCATTGAAAGGGTTAAGCAGAGAATCTCTTTTTAAGAAAAGAATAATATAGTTTGAATATAGTTTATTTCAAAAATAATAAGAAATACATAACAATTAATGTGTCTAAAGATCTGATTAAATTCCAATTGATGTCCGAATACAATAGCTACACATATATGCACAGACTGACGTGAATTTTTATTTCCATCCTATTAATCAGAAACATTATTTAGTGTTTGAAATTTACAAAATGGAATTAGTCCATGTGCATTTTATTTAGAATTTTCCATTTTATAAAATAAACTACTATTAATTAGTTTTATTTAAATTTTATTATTCAGGTTGTTGAGGCAGTAAAATGTAAATACTCAGTCATATGACATTCTTTACCTCACTTTAAACATTATTTACATTATATTTAGTCAGGCAGGCTTGGATATAACTAGTTCAGATAGTAGTATGTGTGGGTTGTATGTGGCAGCTTACTTATAGAAGTAATATGCATACTGTACTATGTAAATGCAATAAGCAAACTCTGTATCAGTTGTGGGTTTTGCTTGGATTTTGATTTAGGCAGTTGTGATTGGTTATCATGATTTAAACCCCATGCCCTTGTTTACCAATAACTAAGTCAAATTTGTTTCCATAGAAACATAAAAATGATTAAATCCAAGAAATTTCTAATTAGCAAAAGGCACAACTTCTAAAGTTGATGTGTGTACAAAGTTTCATAAAGATATCGGTTTATGAGATATGCCCCGAAATATAAATCAGGACAGACAGAGCCCATTTTAACATTCATCACTACTAAATTTTGACCTAAATCAAAGAGATTTAGCATCTTTAAGTCGTATAATGGAATGAGTTTTAGTGTGTAAGTAAATAGGACTGACATATAGCAATATGTCTAAACTATACAAAAATGTGATTTTGTTGATTTCTATACCAATGCTATAGGACTGACACATGCAGCAATGTCTAAACCATATACAATAATGTGATTTTGTTGATTGCTATACCAGTGCTATGGGACTGACATGTGTAGTAATGTCTAACCCATGATAATGTGATTTTGTTGTTAAATATTATCGCTATACCAGTGCTATAAATGGTGCTTTCATTGTGTTGTGAGCTAATTATATTAATAATAAATATGTACCAAAGATTAATATGGTGGTCCGTGAATATTAATGTAAAAGTATTTATTGTGTGTTACTATGTAGTATATTGTGGTTCTTTTAAAAAATACATATTTTTTCCAGTCTAATTAAAATTACACTAAGATTTCCCACTCGGCAAACCTCGGCAGATTCCTGTACCCTACATCTAGTCTCGGCTGTATGACGGTAAGTGATATGTACCTACGCCTATACATGCCGCTTTTAGAAAGAAGTTCTCACAATTGTGTCTTTCGAAGAGTGTGTAGAATTTTCGGTGCAAACTTGTCATTGTCTATAGAAAATCGAATAAACTTAAGAGAAAAACAGCTTCAGACTTTGAAATCTTTGTATGATAAAACATTCTTCAAAGGAGTCGTCATGGGCAACGCCGTTGGTAATCCAGGAACTTGAAAGTAGTTTCAATAGCAGACTTCGTCATACAGCCGAGGCTAGATGTAGGGTACTGGAATCTGCAGAGGTTTGCCGAGTGTAAGATTTCCTTTTGGTTTATTTGGCTGTTGTTTAAATATTTGTCTAATCATGTCTTTATTGGGCTCTTTCCATAATACATGATCTGTGATTGGTTGATGCCAAATCTAAAGATTGGACAATTCCTCAAAATGTTTTAAATGACTCCAGAATCGATTTCCTTAAACTCGTATCTAGATGTTGATAATCAAAATAAACAGAAAGGAAATAATATATAGTTTTGATTACAGGTAGATTTGTATGTGCGAATAAGAATAGACAAAATTAGTCATGGATTGATTCAAATCTGTTTATAGAAACTGAAATATTAGAATCTTTATACCAGTGATACTAAACAAATTAAAAAAGAAGAGATATCTTTAAATCTCTGGAGGTAATTTAGATTGATAAGTCATAGCTTACATTTCAAAAGTTTAATTATTGTCGCTTCTTCTTTTCTAAAAACATATATTTACTAATGGTGTATGTTTTTTTTATATTATTTTTTTTTTTTTTATTACGGTTTAATTTTGTTAACCTGCATTCCAAATAAATATTATCATATTGGTTGACAAGTCCATCAATATACAATTTTTGTTCTGATGCTATGAAGGAAGAAATCATCACGTGACAATATAACTATGTAGGGCTTTTATTGTCCCCCGCCTTTCAAAGAAAGCAGGGGACTATTAAAATGGGTTCGACTGTCTGTCTGTCCGTCACACTTTTTGGGACACAATAACTCTCCTTCTAATTGACCTAGAATGTTCAAACTTGGTGTAGATGTTTATTAGGTCAATGCCTTGATGGAGTTCGAAGATGAGCATTTTCTGCTTAGGGTAAGCAGAGATAAGCAATTTGATTGGTTGATGCTTTGGGACACGATAACTTTAGTTCTAATTAAGTGAAAGTGATGAAACTGGGTGTATAGTTTCATTACATCAATACTTTGACTAAGTTCAATAATGAGCATTTTCTGCTCAGGGTAAGCAGAGCGATAAGCAATTTGATTGGCCAAGACTTTGGAACACAATAACTCTCCTTCTAATTGAGCTAAAATGTTCAAACTTGGTGTAGGTGTTTATTAGGTCAATGCCTTGATGGATTGTTAAGATAGCATTTTCTGCTTAGGGTACATTGTAAGTAGAGATAAAAATTTGATTGGTTGATGCTTTGGGACACGATAACTTTAGTTCCAATTAAGTGAGAGTGATGAAACTTGGTGTATAGTTTCATTACATCAATACTTTGTCTAAGTTTGATATTGAGCATATTCTGCTCAGGGTAAGCAGAGTGATAAGCAATTTGATTGTCCGAAACTTTGGAACGCAATAACTCTCCTTCTAATTGAGCTAGAATGTTCAAACTTGGTTTAGGTGTTTATAAGGTCAATGCCTTGATAGAATGCGAAGATGAGCATTTTCTGCTTATGGTAAGTAGAGATAAGCAATTTGATTGGTTGATGCTTTGGGACACGATAACTTTAGTTCTAATTAAGTTCGATGATGAAACTTGGTGTATAGTTTCATTACACCAATACCATGACTAAGTTCGATGATGAGAATTGTCTGCTTAGGCTAAGGAGCAATAAGCATTTTGATTGGTCAAGACTTTGGAACATAACAATTCTGCTTCTAACTGAGGTAGAATGATTAAACTTGATGTAGATGTTCGTCTTGACTGAGTTCAATGATTAACATATCGAGCTAAACCTAAGCAGAGATAAGCAATTTCCTTGGTCGATGCTTTGGGACAAGATAACTTTGATTCTATCTGATAGAGAGTGATGAAAATTAGTGTATAGTTGATAATCAGTTTGATTGCTCGATACTTTTGAAAAAAATAGATGTGCGATTAATTAATATGTGTCATCTATTTATTTGGGGATTTCGGCGGGGGACATCAGCCTCACTGTTGGCTTGTTTCTCAAAGGGATAAATGTGTTCTTCATTTCCTTAAAAGTAACCACATTTCTCATGAGTTTGGTCAATATGAACTCAGTTTAGCTGTGGTACGAATTACATGTGATGAAGCAAACCAAAACTGTCATTTCTGTCAAGCTGTATTTATAGACAAAATTTGTTGGTTCATTAGGTTTTTCTGAGGACGCAGCACTTTAAGTATATATAAATTCAATTTCTATATATGTCTGATTTTTTTGTAAGAGTATGAGCTAAATTACAATTTGCAATACGGTACATGTGGTGTAGACATCAATATGTTAATGTATTGTGTGAACTGTAAAATATTGCTAAAAGTTTCAAACAAATTGTTAATGCGTTTTTTTATCTGTGCCAATATTTGTAAATATAATTTATATAAATGTTTTAGAATTATAATAATTAATATCTTTAATGTATAATATGGTATAATTGCCTTTATTCACCTTCATTCTACCTTTGTTAAAAGTTATTTGAAAAGTGCCATAAATTTAACTTTAGTCCTAGAAAAAAATTAAAAAAAAAATAATTTATAGAATTTGTTGTTTCTTCAGTGGTTCCATTTCTCTACGCCCATATTTTGGGTATGAGCCAAAAATATAAACACACACAAAATCAAATGTGGTTTAATGTCTTACTGATGAAGATGGTTTTACACTAAGCAGTATACAATGAAGGAAATACAATGCAGCTAATCTATATACAGGACCTCTTCCACTATCTCAGTAATAACAACTTACAAGGGGCTATAGAGCTATCAATCGCAATGGTATGCAGGGGATAATCTGTAGGGTTGAGTATTTTAACAATTGAATTTTACTATCCAGCAGAGATCACCAAAACCAAATGCCACTGTATTAATATGTAAATTCTTAAAGTTATTGATCCTGATCGTGCATTTTTCAGACAATATTGAATTTTTCAGAGCTAAAGCCTTTCAAGAATGTACTTGTATTGATTATTTAATATTTAATTAAGAAAAACTAAAATATCAATGGCAGATAATCTCATGTCTTGGACTCGGTCAGATTAATAAGGTGTTCATCAAAGATTTTAACCAACACTTATAATTCGCATTGTCTTCTAAATATGTTCTACATTTGATGCTGAATGTTGCAAAGCTTTCCATTCATCATATCTTTGTAATTAATGAAAGGAATTTGACTATTAACTGGACTGATATTCTCCTTAGAAATTCAACTTTCAAAACATTGTAATTTGCAAGAGATTCATAAGACCAGAAGAGATGAACAGCAGCTTGAATAATAAAATTAGATAATCACTGAGAAAGTAAAACTACAATAAAATAAGAAGAGTATAATTTATTTGGTTAAATGAAGATGTTTGTTTTATGATATATGATACATGAATACGTACAGTATTGAAACATGATCAGTTTTATATACAAAACTTTACTATTTTATGTGAGCATAAGTGGTATCAGGTGCTAACACAACCTGTGATTGATGTAGAATTGAAACAATTGAAATATAACATACACCATGTGACATTGGTTTCTATGCAGCTTTTTTAGTGATGACATTTTCCGTACCCCATAAACAGCATATATATGACATAAATAAGCATATCAAACAGAAATAAAATTTAAATCATTGACATTGTATATATAACTTAATCATTTCGTTAACAATATTTTCAAAGAAATTTTACCCTAAAACTGACAAGCATTTTTCACATCAAGCATTCCATTCTACATTGGCTCTGCTTTGACTAAAATAAATATAAATCTAAACAAAATACCGGCCAATGTGTACATTCAATATAGTTGAAGCAGATACAATATAGGCTGGAATGATCGAAACCAGTTTTTGAAACATGTTCTTCATTTACTAGTATACTACAGTAATCTACATGGCAATATAAAACAAATACCAGTACTTAATAATACATAACAGCTCTAACAAAACAAATTCCTGGACAATCCCTACAGTCTGACTACACCTACTTATTTTACAAATAATCAGAAACTATCTTTTCACTTTAATAAAATGGATTATTCTGCTGCACATAGTTTACAAACTTTACTGGTACCCAACATTGTGATATGCCAGTAACAGTTCTATGTATGTTGTTGTTCATGGTGTTTAACCTCCACTTCTACCAAGGGTAGCAGACAAGTTTTCTTATATTTATTATCAGCACATGCCCAAGGGTCTTTCCTGTGGGAGGAAACCGGAGTACCCAGAGTAAACCTGAAAAGGTTGAGAAGGAGCCCCTATATATATCTCCAAGCCACATAAGATCACAGCAGGGATCAAACCCACGACCGATTACCTAGAGCGCGAAGTGTGACACTAGACTATCCCATATATTAACCAGTCATAATATATACTAGAAGCACTCTCTTGTTGGACTTTATAATTCCTATTATTCACCACATAATAAAGCCCCTTACCCAATGCAGACAATCTGATAGGTCAAACAGTACAACATATATAATGAAATGTTATGGTTATCTGATCTTGATCAAATTAGACTTTTCTGACTACATTTAACTATAAACTTACAAAAGATATTCATGATCAAAAATTAGTGAATACAAGAAGACTGTGTTGATTTATTGTCTCTTATCATATGACCATTAAGGGTAGTCAGGTATAAAGAAAAATTATTTTAACACTCATCTACATTTCTCCTCTAAACCTTTTTCAAGATGTTTTACTGGCTTACAACTCACCATTGTTGATGAAACCCTGAATTAAAACCAGCTTTTCTTTATAGCACATTATGATCAGTCATAACAAGTACAGATTTTGATTCACAAATTGTTTTTCACATTGGTAGAACTAAGTTTGTCATCAATTCTCGTATGGCGGGAAATAAAGCACATTCGTTTGGATTTTGATGCAAGTCACCAAAGCGTGTCAACATGACCATGATGGCATGAGCTGTGGGTGTGGTCAATTGTTTGTTCTGACCTCGATCATTATATTGAAAGAAGTTGACAGTGTTATAATGTAGATCATATAGTAAGGGAATGTTTATGGACTGAGCCTCTTTGCCTGGAGGAAGATTGATGCCGATTCTGGTCAGCTGAATAACTATAAGTACTTTCGCTTTAACAATAACGCACGGCGTACCTGGCTGCGGCTGGAGTTGGATATCATGAGGTATCGTAAGGCACCAGCGTATAGACCATTTCATGTTTTGATCTGGCATCAACTCAAGCCGCATAATTTGTATAAAGTCTTTAAGTATTCTTATCGGAGCATTGAATATTTTTGTGAAACTACTCAAGGCATTGATTTTATATGGATAGCAAGCAATTTTTTGGTCAAAGTATTTCTCCATAATCTGTGTTTCCTCTGTCGTCCACTGATCTGCACTTTCAGGATTGGGAGTAACTTTCATATGAAGAGTTTGTAATGTCGACATGTTTAATTTCACCATAAACTGAAGAGTTTCTGCTTTGAACATAATGACGCCTGGTTCGGCACATGGTATGAATGTCAAGGCCTGGTCCATTTGGATGAGTTTGTTAAAGTGACGTTTAAGAATGTTGCATCCGAGGAATCGTTCCAGTGGGGATAGCATGACAGGTGCTTGTAATGGTCCGGGTGTTAACATCTTATCAAAGGCATCGTGGGATAATAACGTTGGTATTGAGGCTGCCCAAGATTTTTTGGGAAGAATTCTTGATGGTGGACTGAGAACTTGGTTTTGAGGTGAATGAAGAGCTGGATGACCTGGTGATGTTGTACTGGTTGCACCGTAATAAGATGCTGGAGATGGTCCAGATCCCACAACTGATGGAGATCCAGGCCAGTTCCTTGGGGACGGATGGGCAAAGTTTGATCCTGGATATGGAGAGCCTCCTTCCACCATTCCACTAGGACTCATGAATGACGCAGCTGGTGATTGCATGTGCATGCCTATTGACTGTGGAGATGGTGCTGCTATTAATGAACTGGGTGAAGGAACATGAAGATGAGGGTTACCTGGTGATTCTCCTGTCAGTAGGGTACTTGGAGATGGGGCTCCCATCAAAGCAGTGGAAGGAGATGGGTTAATTCCAGTTGGCATCCTTGCTGCCCCTGGTGATGCAGGTGTGTGAGGGTTGGAAGGGGGTGTCATAGGATTTTGGAATCTAAAATTACTAGCTAGGTCTTGTTTTGGTGGGCGTGTCGCTGGAGATCCTGTGCTCGGATGCGAGAAGATATCCATTGTGTCCATTGGAGATGGCGGATTATCATCTTCTGTTGTTGAACGTCTTCTAGATCGTCCACCTATAGCTGTCTCATCCACGAACATGTTCAAAAAAGCTTTCAGACCAGGTGTTGGCGTCAAAGCATCTACGACAGAACTATTATCAAAATGGCTGTACGAACAATCCCGAACTGCAACAATCTTGTTGGCGCGGAGATGAACATCAACACAATAAATATTTCTGTAGATAATTCTAAGATGTGTGGATGACTGTGGAACGATCGTAAATGTTAACATAGAAATCTTAGGAATTTGGCTTGTTCCGAGGACAGGTAGTGTATTAAGTTTAATCATAGATGCCATAGGAGCCATGGTTTCCAGCAAAACTTGAATAAGATAAGAGAGATTTTTGGAAGTGTTCAATTCTTTCTCTAAGTGAGTTAAAACTGGTACATGGGGATTACCAGTGGAACACTGACCATTTGTTCCCAGAGATAAGTGAAACAGACCATCGTCACCATTCCATTTAACTATAACCAAACACGATAACCCCTGTCCATAAGATATAACCAGTTTCTTATAATTGTACGACTTGATCTTGACAACAGATTGAAAACCAGACCTGACGTCAGAATACACATCGACAAAATCTTGTACTAGACCAAATAAATTACCAATGGCATTCCATTCGTTTAATAAATCTTTGACAGTTTTTTGATAGTCGTCACTGTTTAAATCTAGATTGAGATAAACTCGTTGTGATGGACCACTTTCTTTATAATGTTCAGATTCCAATGGTGACTTATCAAATATAAACTCAACATTCCAGTTCCGGAATCTGGACAAGATACGAAACTTACATGACAAGAATAATTCCTTAAGCATTTTGGTGACTTCCTCTGGGCATCCTTTACAGTTTGGGAAGTCCAAGATGGTTAGAGCCATGCATACTCCTTCTCCGTCAATCTGTATCCCTTGATGGGAGATATTATGTGAGTTTAATTCTTGACCCAAATAAATAAATGGAATCTTCTCTTCTGTTGAAGCCAACAAATATGTCAGCTCTGGGATGAAATAAGGAGATCCTTTTATCTTCTTGGCATCAGGCTCATCACCCTCACCTAAATACAACTTTCTTTTGCGACTTAGGCTATCAAGTGTAGTGTAAGGGGAGTCGTCAAATATTTTACAAACGGGACCTCGTGTTATCGAATGAATATGTAATGGAAGAAACATTTCGGCCTTCAGGAAGAATTTTACAACCGAATCGTCTCCCATCACCTCTTCCGTTCCATCAATTGTGCATGGTTTTGTCTGTAAGAAGTAATATTTGAAATCTACAGATGTGTCAATTTTCTCTTCCAATTCAACGACAATGTAGAAATAATGCTGCCGGGGTACACCAATAAATAGTCTGGTTTTAGACAGTTTTTCTAATTCATGACCTGCCATGTTGACTATTGGCAGAGTGTGAAAACACGGAGCTAGGAGTAATTGGACAGATTTTTCACATCGCAACAAACTTAATTGTAATCTTAATTTAGAGATCGCTTTATCAAAGCCCCTTTTGTCATTATTTAGACAATCTTCAATCTCTTGAATGGCCAAACTGTTGTATGCAGGTACAGAAGCGAGATAAGTCCCCCGTAAAACATCGATGGCAATCCGTAAAACTTCAGAAGGCATACACGGAGAGAGGATTGGTACATGAAGAGCAGCTGGCATGTCTCTAATTTCACACTTGTCGGAAACGTATCTCTGCATTTCTTTTGACAGCTCCCTTAATTTGGCATATGTTCTAACCTCGATGGTCTGCATCAAGAGCTTCTCTATAGAAAGTTGATCACTTTTTATGGCCAAACCAACCTTTGTACATTCCTCTGGTGACATAGGAGGAAAGTGAGTTATTTGTAATGGTTTTCCATCATCTTCCTCGCAGACATGGACACTTAGTTTATAGATGACTGGGTCGGCACTCTTACAATTCTTTGTCTGGTCTCGCCAATAAGAAACCAAAAGGCGTCGACTCAGAGTATATTCTTCCACTCGAACACTGTCACCCAGTCTGGATTTAATTAACCTCTGTGTTTGAGAATTAAGAACCTCTAGTTGTAAAGCCTGACAGAATGAATGAAGAACCCTGTATAAGTCATGCAATGGTTTGTCATTATCTAATAATCTCGTCTGAGCCAATCTGTGGATATAATTCACCTGAAAAGATAAAAATGGCATATTTTCAGGTGGGAAAAAACAATATTGCGATACAGATCAGACGTAACATTTCCTAATGGGAATGGTGGCTGCTACATGTACATGCAGCCCAAAAATTGTAATAGATAAAACCTTTTCGGTCAGTTTGAATGAGGATGCTTATAGAATATTATTGGATTCCTATAAAATTATCAAATATGTAAGGCCACGATTTTATTTATTTTACAAACCTGTAAAGAATGGACTAAGGATTTCCCATCTCCTGTTTCATGATCTTCAACCAAAATATCTATATCAAGTAGACGCCATGGTATCGTTGAGCTATCACCCATTAAAGTCAGGGTAACTTCAAATTCATGTTCAACAGTAAACTTAACTCTGCCTTGTTCGATCCTCAGTTTTCTCATCTGTGGTGGAAGTTCTGATGAAACGAGACGATATTGTATTACTTGGTTCAGTCGGTGTAGGGTATCTTTTTTCTCTTGTGGAGTTATGGGGTCTGGAGGAACTATTTTTTCTCGGATACAGGTAGGTAAACGAGGATAGGTGCCAGTGGTTAGAACATCTATAGCACTTGGTAACGAGAAACTTGGCAGTCTGGCATTGCCAAGGGTGTCACGAGCTAATCGTGCCAAACTATCTGCAGTGTCAATGAAAAACATGGACTGTTGTTCCAAGAAATTGCATATGTCTGTACACTTGTCGACTTTGGTTGCCGAGGTGGCCCATTTTACCAAGGCAAGAAGTCGAACAAAAAGCTGTCTAGTTCTGCTTGCAAACTGGAATATCTCAATTTTTCTTTCCATGTCTGTTTTTCTCGGAAGAAGTTCAGACAAAACAACCAATTCGTGATGCGTTCTTTGTAGGCTGTAATCTATCAAGGTTGCCAATGAAATGGATCCTCCGCCCTGTTGAGGCCCAGGAGGCACTGGCATATCAACCGGCGGCATATTTGTGTTCAATAAAAGCGTATTTCAAAGAAAATCATCCAAATAATTTTTCAGCCGGTTAAATATCAGCCATCTTTAAAAACAATGATGCACCGTATGATCCACAAAGAGTTTGCCTAATTTCGAAGTACAGTCATTTGAGAAAAATGTTTCTATTGTAAGTAAAATGAAGGATAACTTCCGTATTCGGAAATCTTTATTCTATATATATACAAATTGATCAATATCAAATAAGCCAGAAAAAGCGTCACTGTGCATCACACCAAATAATTTTGATTCAGCGCATGCGTGTACTTTCCCTACAATAAGATTGTCAAAGGGAGAGAACTATCTTCTTTTCTACGTGAATTATTTCGGTTTCAGACCAATCATTTTCCTCTTTGATGTCGATGCATATAACATGCTATGGTTAAAACATTTCATGATGATCTAAAACATTTAGGTCTCAACGTACTAAACAAAAGGTTAGATAACGAGTTCAAGATCATACACAATCAAAAGTACTTTTAACATGGACCATGCTTTTTCCCCCCCCCCCAAAAAAAATTGGTTCCAAAAATAACTCCATTCTTTGGAACCTTAAAATAAATAAAATTGGTCGTGGCTCTGCCCCCGGGGTTGAACATGGGCCAATATAAATAGGTACAATCCTATGATGGATCATTCCGAATTGGATACAAATCTATTAATAATTGCAACCTGTTTACAAACAATATATTAACAGAAAGTGGGTGTGGCACCGCCGAAAGGGAGGGGGTGGGTCATGCACCAAAATCAATAGTTGCCGTCCGTAGAGTATAGGGAATAAGTATACCATGTTCCAAGATAATCCATTCAGAATTGTGGCCTTATGGCGCTAAACACAAAAATTGGGCGTAGCTCTGCCCCTTGGGGATGGGACATGCACCAAAATCAATAGTTGCCGTCCTTAGGCTATAAGGAATACATATGCCAAGTTCTAAGCTGATCCATTCAGAATTTCGGCCCGTATACGATAAACACAAAAATTGGGTATGGTTCTGCTCTTGGGGGTCGGGGCATGCACCAAAATCAATAGTTGCCGTCCTCAGGCTGTAAGGAATGCATATGCCAAGTCTAAGACGATCCATTAAGAATTGTAGTCTGTAGACAACACACAAAGAAAAATGGGCCTGGCTCTGCCCCCCTCCCCGAGGGGTCGGGCATTCACCAAAAAATAATAGGGACCATCCTTAGGGTAAAAGGCATGGGTATGCAAAGTTTCAAAAGGATCTGTTAAGAATTGCAGCCTATAGGCGAAACACAGGCATACCCAAAAATTGGGTGTGGTTCTGTCCCAGGGGGTGGGACACTCACTAAAAACAATAGAGGTCATACTTAGGGTATAAGGAATAGGTATGAAAAGTTTTCAAGTCGATAGATTAAGAATTGCAACCTGTAGGCCACCCACAGACACACAAAAAGAAAATGGATGTGGTTTTACCCCATAGTGGTTGGGCATGCACCACACGAGAGAGAGAGAAATGGGGTTTAACGTCCACTCGACACAAACTAGGTCATTTCGGGACTAACATATGGTTTAATTTTATTTACATAATTCGCTTGCGCGTAGGGGTCTTTAGCAGTGGGAGGAAACCGGAGATAACCCACGAGGTTGGACAGGCGACCCTACTCCTTGCCATGTACAACCGGGGATTCGAAAGCACGCCAGTCGACTCAATAACAGACTTTATGATACAGCGCGCGCACGCTAACCATTCAGCCATCCAACCCCCCGCATGCACCACAAACAATAGGCATGTTCGTTAGGGTATAAGGAAGAAGTATGCAAAGTTTCAAGATGATACACTAAGAAATGCAGCCTGTAGACAACAAACAAACAAATAAAAGAAATGGGCAATAATATGTGCACTTTAATATATGCCATTAGTGAATCAGGCATTTAAATTACTTCCACATTGTCTTCTGTGATATGGCAGACTTTATGATACAGCGCGCGCACGCTAACCATTCAGCCATCCAACCACCCCCATCTGATAAACACCTAGGACAGGGTTCATGTAGATTTTTTAATAAGCAAGGACATCTGATCACGGTCAGTGGAGACATAAGACATGGGAAGTGAAGAAAAAATGCAGGTGGTCAGAATTTGAAAGTGTGCAGAAATTAAATACGAAATAAAATGGGATTTAATGTCCTACTTTTTTGCACCAACTGAGATAATGAACACAAGCATAAGCGAGGCAGTGTGTAATGAAGGAATTTTTGTTAGGAGAGCAGTGTTTCCACCTACATTTACAATTCTTCAAATTCAAACTTTTACGCTGTGTACACAGGACCTCGGTTTTTCGTACTATCCAAATAACTAGCAGAAATGAGACTGGAAAATCCTATTAATTCTTCTTGGCCAACAGGATCAAACCTTTGGTCTCCTGATAAGCAAGACAGATTGGTGAAGAAAAAAAAAAGACACATAATGACGTAGATTTGATCTTGTTTATTTAGGGTTCTGTAAACCAAACTACATGATGCATCTATGAGTAAGAAAATGTATAACTACTAGAATATATATTGAATAGTTCACAATTTAATTACAGTACCAAGTAGGTTAAATATATTGAATAGTTCACAATTTAATCACTAAGATAAATAAATTCAACATGATTATAATAAAACTAATGACATGATTACCAGCCTGGTCAGCAATTTACAGTTCAAATCGATCAGTTATTTTATGCCTAATATTACTTTTATCAGAAATACCTTGATCATATTTATTCAAAATGTTCTAGTTCGTATTTATCTGAAATACCCTAGGTCCTATTTATCTGAAATATCTTAGAGCCTTTTTGTCTGGAATGTTCTATATCCTGTTTATCTGAAATTTAATGATCTCAATCCAATTTATCTGAAATGTTCTAGCTTGTGAATCTAATTTACTTGACATACTCCCAAATTGACTGATCTGAAATGCTCTAGATTCATATAAATGCTTCATATCCTATTTATCTGAAGAGTCAAGATGAAGGCTTAGAAAGAACCAGAAAAAGAATTCTCTAGAAACTGCCGTAAATAACATGACCAGTCCAGCTTTGTGAAAAAAAAGGCGGTGTTGTTCAGTGTAAAACTAACTGCTTATGAGGAGGTAGAGTGCATGAAGAAAACTAATGGTTAAAACTTAGGCTATTCTACCAATCATTTGTTCTCATTGAAAACTATTATAAGATATAATAATGATTATAAATCTGTTACTAATTGATTAAAGGTGCATTATGTAAGAGCTAAATCTGTATATTAAAGTTTTTTATTTTAGCTTTAAACGTTATATAAATTATTATTTAGACATTTATTCATATGACAAGCCTATAATCAACTCTCTAGTCCATCGGATGGCATTGATATAAACAAATTAAAATACGATCACCATTTAATGATTTAATTTAAAATTAGATGAGTCTCGATTAACAATTAATGTTGCTACGATAATAAACAATTTATGTCAAACGTCGCTCAGAATATAGTAATTTGAATGAAATTTTCAATATATTAATTTTGAAGTATTCATTTTGGAACTATTATAGCAAGAATGGCCAGCTATTTATCTAAATCTTACATAATGCACCTTTAATGATAAATGAATTTGATTCCAGGAATGTATGGAATATAAAAGAAATATCATCTTCACAAAACCAGGGATAATCCATACCTATACTGTAGCCCTAGGGTGCCTATTCATAAAAACTAAACTAAAATATTTGAAGAATGCAGCCATACTAAGACTATATCTCTCAACCATAAAAAGGCTGCATCCTTTATATAAAGTTTTCGTGAATGATGTCCCTGGTTTAATTCCCTTCAATTTCTATTGGGCCTTGGCTTGGTAATATAAACACTGCGTATCAATTTTAAGTCAATCAGATGATAACTTTAACAGACAATTGTGACGATTGACTGGTGCAAGTGACACTATAGTATACAGCCACATGGGCCTATACAAAAAACCATCAATATACATTTTTTTTTCTACCCTAAATCACAAATGGTACGATTGTAGCTCAAATTCCAGAACTAAAGACCATTTGACTAAAACACTGATACACGTAACAATTATTTTGATTATAATGGCTATTAGATAATTACAATTTTAAAGATTGGTTCCCAGAAAAGTATTTATCGGGTGGTTATTTCCAATAAAAGTATGGTGATTTTGGTATATATGTAAAGTAGAGATTTCCAATCATACTAGAAAAATACTGGATTCCACGAAAAACACTCATGGAGTGTACGCAGGATAAACCATCAATATACATTTTTTTTTCTACCCTAAATCACAAATGGTACGATTGTAGCTCAAATTCCAGAACTAAAGACCATTTGACTAAAACACTGATACACGTAACAATTATTTTGATTATAATGGCTATTAGATAATTACAATTTTAAAGATTGGTTCCCAGATAAGTATTTATCGGGTGGTTATTTCCAATAAAAGTATGGTGATTTTGGTATATATGTAAAGTAGAGATTTCCAATCATACTAGAAAAATACTGGATTTCACGAAAAACACTCATGGAGTGTACGCAGGATAAAAATGTAGGGGTTCCCCAAATCAACAGCTCGACGATTAGGAACTTCTGAACGTGTGATGTCAAGGGTCACACGCGAACATTGAGCGCTTGATGTACAAGTTGATAAACTTTATGAAGAGTTAGACGTACATCACTTTCTGAGATAAAAATGACAGAAAAAGACGCGGGTAGTGAATAATCCGAGAATTTAATTAGGATTTGATATTTGTAATAAATAGTAAGCGATTAAAGACAACATCGTCTTATGTATGCAATGAATTCTCCTCTGACTTCCAAGAGAGTTAAGTCACATGACGTAAACATGACCTGGTTTGATCGAATTTTTATAGCAGGACATTTCTTCGCAATTACAATGTTTGAGAAGGATTTGAAGCAAAATCATGACAAATTAATTAGTTTGAATATGTTTTTAGTCCATATATACCATTAAATCACCCAGTTTGTATGCGGGAACCCATCTTTAAACAATAAAAATAAAACATTAGCCTCTGGTTACCCTTTAACATCTTTATTTTCTTTACAGCAAATTTTAAAAGTAGAAATACAAGCTAACTTTTATACAAGGGTTGTTACTATAAAAGAAGATAACTGACTTAATGCTAAATTTAAATCTTATCAATTTTACAGTATTACCTCTTTTCTACATGAATACATTTAAGATAAAATAAGTGTAAAATAATTTTCAAATTTAGAACTAATTAGTTTCTATAATTTGATTAATTGAGGTCTCCTTCAAGGTAATTATTGGTTATCATTAGTTGGTATTGTTTTTTACATGTATATAATATACAATGCAATTCGAGCGCTATTATAGTAATTGGGGGAAGGGGAGACATATCCCTACACCCCATTCTTGAAATGCCCATCATTAAATAAAGGTATAATAGTAACTGGTGTGAGGGCAAAAACCCGCCCAACACCCTATATCTTGAACCGCCCATCATTAAATGAATGAATAAATGTAATTATCAATAAAATATACTGCAATTCATTTTAAAGTTTTCAACACAGCACTACTTGTTAAACATAAATTGGTTGAGCGTGTAAATGGGCTTCCTGTATTTCTCTGACCAGTAAAATTCGGTTTAACATTTTTGTCATTAGTTCGAGAGCCAATGATTGTGTTGAATACCATACTGGACTGTCAGGAACGCAGCTCCGCTCTGGTACCAGGTAAAACATGTCATTAACATTCTTGATACTCTCGGGACTGAAACAAACAAAAATGCAATGAAAGATATTTGATGGCGTTTTAATGTGTTAATGATATCTATTCTCCACCATATGGTGTTAAGATAAAGCAAAAGTCATCAGTTGAGTCCATTATTTTTCAAGACCCATAATGACCGAATAAATTTTAAATATAAAGTTTAAGACCATATGTTTACTTTTACAGAAGACATTAGTTTTCCTTCCCATCGTAATGAGTAAACTAAGCATAACATGTAATCAACAACAAAATGTAAAATGTAATCAACAACTAAACTAAACATAAACTGTAATCAAAGACTTAACTAAGCATAGAATGTAATCGAAGACTTAACTAAACATAAAATGTAATCAAAAACTTAAAAAATAAGCATAAAATGTAATCATTAAACATAAAATGCAACTAATGACTAAACTAAGCTTTAAATGTAATCATTGACTCAACTACACATAAAATGCAATAAATGACTAAACTAAGAATAAAATGTAATCAACAACTTTACTAAGCATAAAATGAAATCAATGACTTAACATAAAACGTAATCAATGACTAAACTACACTCAAATGCAATCAGTGACTTTTTTTACTAAGAAAGTGAACAATTACTAAACTAAGCATAAAATGCAAGCAATGACTAAACTAAGCATAAAATGTTACCAATGACTAAACTAAGCATAAAATGTAATATTGATTCATAATACTAACCATTTTGAAAGATAGAATTCATACAACTTCACAGGACATCTCAATGGATTTTCTAAATTTTCTGATGTTTCATAAACAGGTATACCTTCCTTACTCTTTGGTTTGCCTGTTGCACCTAGTTAGAAATAAATATATACTATCTTACTGTTTTTGAATTGATGGAACTTGGTATATTAAGCATATTCTAAAATACCATATTTACAAAAAATTAATGTGACTTACTGTTCGATTAAAACCTGTAGATTTGAAAATAAATGTTTGGTGATTGCCAGTATTGATCATATAACGTTTCAGCAACTGTGGTGGGGAAGTTGGATGGGCACAACTTTGCTAAATCACTAGATATTATAACCTGATTGCTCAGACTGCTTGCTGTCAAATACACAGGTATTGATTTACGATTTCATTCATGAGCAATTCCTATTTGCCAAATATCGAATTTGTTCACATCAGCTGCCATTGCAACAAACAAAAGTGATTTTTGACAGCAATATGTAGGGAATAAAAAAAAAACCACTTACAAATGGCAAATTAAAATCACATATGTTCGTTAGTCTCAACGTAATGTTCAACACTTTATGTTTCAATATGGAATGAATAAAGTCCCCATTTCTTATTTGACAGTACACATATTTCCATTATAAGTCGATTATTTAACATTTGTTTTCTTGATGTCAGATATTTGTTATATCTTACCTCCAGGTCCCATACAATAATATCGTAGTGTAACACTACGCCCTGCTGTATTAGCCGTCGTCGGTTTGCCCGGTCCACCCTTTCTCCAGTGTTTAAGAATTTGGGTAAACGACATGTTCATATGTTCTTGTGGTGTTTTCATCATAAAATATTTGGTATGGAAGTAAATGAGAGTGTTTAGCAGGACGTACGGAGAGTGAGCTCCCAGTTGCTTCGCTTCCCACAAATGTTCTTCTTCTATTCTGCATAACATCTGACCTGAAACAAAATAGTCACACATAAACAAAATACTCACACAAACAAAATACTCACATATAAACAAAATACTCACACATTTAATTTCTTACTTTATCAATTATTGGGGTAATGAAAATGTGTTCTTTTACATTCATGTCAATATGTACACGGGACTTGGTACTGACAAGGGAAACCACACTGGAATATCATGAGAACCTAAAATTTATTTTGACTTAAAAGATATCTGCTGCATTTATTGTATTTTAACTTCATGATGTAAGAGCTAAATCTGCCTAATGCAGGTCTTTCTTTTGGCCCTAAATGTTATAAAAATTATTAATTAGACCTTTATTCACATGACAAGCGCATAATCAACCCTCTAGGACATCGGATGGTTGTGATTTTTAATGGATGGAAACACAATCGCTGTATTATAATTTAATCTAAAAATGAATCAAGACTTTGTTTATTATTGTAACAATGGTAGCAATGATAATGGAGACTGCTATGCTTATCAAAACTACAAATATTCATAACTTCGCTGAAAATAAAGTAATTTGACTGAAATTTTAAATATATTCCCTTTTCACTATGTATATTTAAACTATTATAGCGGGAACTGTCAGCCCTTTATCTAAACCTTACATAATGCGTCTTCATACCTGCTGCATCTAGTATATTTTGACTTAAATAGACATACCTGCTGCATTTAGTTTAGGTTGGTGATTAGATAGAACCTCACTTAAACATTCAGCAAACTTCTCGTAATAAAAATCACTGAATATATTATCAACTCGTCCACTCTCGTAAAGATATTGTTGAATACCTGCAGAATTAAAGACAGTTATGATTAGAGAGGGGGAGATAAATTTGGCTCAACTCAAACACAATTAGGTAAGGGCCAACGTATCTTAATTTGCAATGAAAGGAAAGCTATTGTTAAGATGACTTAAGGCCTTTTGGTCATGAAATTTTTGTCAGTAAAACATACAAGTGATCATTACGGTAAACTAATGTTTAGTATGTATAGAAAGTTAACTAGCTGTAAAAGATACCCCTTCTAGTGTAAAATCATGATTATATATAATACATGTCACTATTGAATACACAAACCAATAGTGATGTTTATTATTCAATTTTAACATCTTAGTGACATAACACCAAATTAATGACCACTGCATGATTACTAACAATATTTACTACCTAATAAACATTATGTATATAAAATGACGACTCTGATCTGTTTGTGGCCAATATTTTCATTAACAAAAGTTTTTTGTTTGTATCACAAGTCCATGATATCAATTTTACAATAAGGATATAAAAGGTAAGGAAGGTAGTTAACATCTTGTAAACATAACATTTTGGTCATTTTGATTTGAAAAGAACATACTGCATGTTTATAAAAGTCACATGTGCAATGCTAGGAAGGTGAATTTTCCAATTGACAGCAGTATTTCCGCCTACTCTCCATCAAATTCCATCTGTCAAGGGTTGTTTTACGAGCACACATGTGGCACGACTAGGCAATACTTTGCTTGTTAGCCTCATGAGTGGGAAGAACTAGACTGAGATTTGTCTTGGCCCTCACTGGATTCAAACTCGTTACATTTTATTTGAAGTGGCCTGACAGCTTGACAAATTTAGTAAATACTAACAGGTGAATATTTCTTTCAACCTACCTAAACAAAGATAGTAAATACTATCAGGTGAATATACTTCTCAACTTACCTAAACAAAGATAGTAAATACTATCAGGTGAATATTCCTCTCAACTTACCTAAACAAAGATAGTAAATACTATCAGGTGAATATTCCTCTCAACTTACCTAAACAAAGATAGTAAATACTATCAGGTGAATATTCCTCTCCGTTGGGTTTTCGAACTTCTTTACAGAATAAACATAAAGAATAGTTTAATTCATCAGCCGTACACTGTAACAGGTCTGTTTTAAATAATTTCAATTTTCCTGACCCTACTTTAGATACTTTCTCTAACTGATTGTTCTTGAACACGACCCAATGTTTCCAGGCATTCACACCATACGTAAACTTCAGGTACGAATTTGCGTCTTCTGGTGGTTGGGCGGGAGTTAAAAGTGCTGGTGGAGGTGGTTCCACTTCTGGTTCCTCTATTTTCTGTCGTTTAGCTCTGGCATTAGAAGCACTTCGGCCTCGTGAGGCACGCTTTGATCCTCGTCTTGATCTGGTTGGTTGAGGAACATAAACGGTTTCCTCTTCTTCGACATATTCCTGTCTTGGTTGTGTTGATTTTGATGGTGGATCTTAAATTACCAAAAATAATTATAAAGTATTACATTTTTGTACATAATTCTTGAGATGGAACCACTAACCATACTATTTTCTCCTATATATAGGCCACATCAATGTAAATCTTAGTTTTTTGGGAAGAGGCATTCTTTCATAAATGGACCACGCTAGTTTTTCCCATCAGGTCACACCAATTTGATAGGAACACCTGTACGAAATTGGCTTCACAAGCTGGATTTTTATGATATTATTAATTATTTCTTCATTTAATAAACTGATACATCAAGATCAGAGATAAGGTTTGACATAAAATGGAGTGCATGCATGAGTGGGAGCAGAAAGTACATCTATGGTATTTTAACATGATTATAAATGAAATGAAATGGGGTTTAACGTCCTACTGTTCTGTTCCGAACTGGGCTAATGAAGATGGGCATACGCCATACAGTGTGCTATGAGAGAAATTTTGCCCGAACAGCAGCACTACGGCCTAATCTTATATCGAATTCCATCTGTCAAGGGATCTTTTATGTGCACGCCAATGTGTACATGAGACCTTGGTTTTTCGTCCCATTCGAACGACTAAACAGCTGTCCTTGTCAGGCCCTCCATCCTGCATCACTGACAAGGGGGAACCACGTTGGAATATCTGGATGAATTTTCTCGGCCAATGCAGGAATTGAACACCCGACCTCCAGGCTAGCGAGCCAGCGTCTTACCCACTTAGTCACCGTGACTCCTTAACAGGATTATAGAAAACAAAGATGACTGACCAAACCCTTTATTTTGCTATTTGACTATTTCTGATGATGGCAACTTCAAAATTACCTGTTTTAACAGCAACCGGTTCTACATTTGCTTCTAGATCCATGATTGGTTCGGATATTTCTTCAGCAACTCGTATAGCCATCTGTAACATGTCTTCCTCACCACCATCTTTAGTTTTCGCTAATATCGGTGTTTTCTCATCAATATCTACAATAAAAGTACAAATATATTTAATGGTAGTAGATACAACAATTGAAAGTGGAAACAAGATTTAAACTAGGTTAGTTCAGTACTAACATTGTATATCAAAAATAAGTTAAATCTGTTGCCATGGAATGATCAAATCTGATAAATTATATAACAGGTTATAAGATATGCCCCCGAAACAAAATTGGGATGGGCAGAGCCCATTTCAATATTCCTTCTTTAACTTTCTTTTGCTTGCGACTATATCCTATTAATATCATCTGAATAGGATGACAAAATGTTCACAAAGTTTCCATTTATCATATTTTTGTAAACAGTGAATGGAACTTCACCATTTTTGGATTGATATTCCTTTTATAAATTCAATCTTCACAATATTGTAGTTTACAAGGAATTCTTCCGTGCATTACATGATAATCAGAGACTTTAAATTTCACCATCAATAATTTTGCTTCTAACAGATCACCTGTCTTCATTAGCCCAGTAGGAGCAGAACAGTCGGACATTAAAAGCCCATTTCATTTCTAACAGATCAAAATGTATCTGGTACATTATTTTCTACCCACCTTCAATAAATGGTGGTAGATCATCTTCTTTATCACTATGATCACTATCACTATCGGAACTTGCTTTATCTCCAGCCACAGCCTCTGCCATCATCAATAACTCTGCTTCTAATGGATCAGCTGGGATTTTATTTTGTATTTCCTGAAAAAAATAAGTAAAGAAAATGTAATTATGGCTAAATATCAAATCACAAATGCAAGTTTTCAAATTCAAACCAGAATTCTCTCCAATAAATAGCTCACATAATATCCTTTTCAATTTAGATATTTTGGTGCCTTCTGATGCAATTATTATGTGAAAATAACTGAAATTTCAAGCTTGGCATTAAGGCACCATTCACAGAAATTCTGAGGCATTGTCAGACACAATCCATCTGATGCCTGTCATTATGTCCAACACTGATTTGTCTTTTTCTAATATAACACATGTCTGGAGCACTGGCACCAATTTCAAAATGGCAGGTACTGGTTCTCTACTATACAAAATTCATCCATACAAAAAAAAATATTCTTGTTCTCAGACAACCCTTTCAAACAATCTGATGCAGGAGGGAGGTCTTTAGTTTGTGTTTTTATTTTGTCAAAGGATCACTACTGAGCTAAATGAATTCTCACGTCACATTTTAAGGCACTACATTTATCGCATCATGTTGTTTAGGTATGTATGATTATCTAGTATCATTAATGATTGCCAGTAACATTTATCAGGGTTGTGTATGCTTAAAATTTTGGCTTCCCGTAACTGAGGAAATATATTTACACAAGGTTATTTATGAGAATGTTTTTGTTTTATTTTTTTTTTTAATACAAAACTTCATGAGGCCCCTTTTTTAAATGATGCAGGAATATCTGAGAACCAGAATATTTTTTTGTATGGTCTTATTTAGCCATTTTGACTATGTATAGTAATTATATAATACAGACAATGGTTACAAACAATCTGCTTTCTTTACCTTGATCTGTTTAAGGATTTTATCAGCTGATTTTTTTGTTGTTGGTATAAAGATTGGTACTGGAATGGGTACAGGTACTGGGAAGAACATGGGGGTTGGGGTAGAGTACATAGCTAATGGTGTTGGTATATAGATTGGTACTGGTACAGGTATCAATACGGGCTTACTGGGTTCAACTTCTTCTACAAATAAATAAACACAAAGACTCAGTCATCAATATTCTCCGCTCTCGTATACCAAATACTAAGTCAAATTTGTTTCCATGGCAATACAAAAATCTAGAAATGTCAAATTAGCAAACGGCATAACTACTATAATAGGTTGGAGTATGTACACATTTTTATAAAGTTATCTTGAATCGTTTATAAGATATGCTCCGGAACTTGGACAGATGGATGGAGGCCATTACCTGATCCCTCCCTTAATAATAAATAATACTTTTGTCCGCAGCAGGATGGTAAATAATCTCTAATCAGAGTAAATAATATAGTCGTAGAAAGTCTTTAAATACTTTGCTTGAGCTACGTTTCCTCCATAAACTCTAGCCAAGTGTGATTTTTGTTGTACTTTAGACAGACCATGATTACTCTTTCTAAAGCTTTGGATACCAATGCTAAATGAACTTGAGTCAACTATGGGAAGGATGCAAAGTTAGGTAGAGGTGGGTTGACTTTCCCATTCAGGAAATTAGTATTGGGCTCAATGGCATATTGTGTATATACTAGTCATTATAATCCAACAATCTCATTCTGCCAGTGAGGGTCTTGAAGGACTCATCGTTCAATTGCATTCTTATTGACAGAGAAAGAATATATGCAGTTGAATCTGGAGTAGATATTTGAAAATATTGTAGTTATAATGGGAGGGTGTTTATTGTATCACAGACAGCCCTATTAATGAAAGAACAGACAGAGAGAAAAAAAATGGGGTTTAACGTCCACTACACACAAACTAGGCCATTTTGGGACTAACATATGGTTCAATTTTATTTCAATAATTCGCTTGCGCGTAGGGGTCTTTAGCAGTGGGAGGAAACTGGAGGACCCAGAGAAAACCCATGAGATTGGACATGCGACCCTACTCCTTGTCACGTACAACCGGGGAATCAAAACCACGTCAGTTGACTCAATGACAGACTTTATGATACAATGAAAAAACAGAAGCAACTACAATACAAACAAACTAAAATTTGAACACAAACAATCCGTAGAAAAAGATAATGATAATTTACCTGTTCCAATTTTTTTATTTTGTGTACTAGGTCTACATGATGTGGCTTTAGTTTGTACAAATGGTTTACAAAGTAATGATTTATTTTTCATTACCTTTGGTGGGGGAGGTTGTACAATAATCTGTTGTTGTACGGCTTGAGTACCAGATGACACAGTCACAGGGGGCTGAAACATACAAATATATCAAACTTTGAAAATACCATTGAATATTGTTACCTTGACCTTGGTGAACTCAAGGACCTGGTATATCTCAAGGTTATATGGTGGTTCAGTCAAATTCCTTCTGTAATTCAACAGAGTTAAAGATGTCCGCACACACTGCCAGAGATACTGATGTCTTGAACCTCATTTATTTCGAGAATATGTATATTATATATACTGGGCCATTCTGTACTTTCTTCTATAATAATAATAACTGTTTTACTTCAGCACTGAAATTTCAACCAAATGGCTGCTAATAGGTGCATATACCAATTTCAAAAGAAAGTCATTAACAATATGATTGTTGAAAACTTTTTTTTGTTTTTTTCAGTTCTGTTGAAAAGTGTGCATGTTGTCACAATTTCTAATTTGTGGTAAAAATCAGCTGAGTAAAAGAAATTCTTGATTTTTTACCTTTTGACCTGCTAGTACAACTGGAACCTGATTAGTTGTTTTAATATTAACAGTCTGCTGTTTCTGACCTGTAAAACAATAATATCAGAGTCATTTTGGGTGGTGGTACTCACTTGACATTAGGTAATTTCAGGACTAACATGTGAGTGTTATTAACATGAACTAGGTAATTTGGGACTAACATATGGCATACTTTTTGTCAATAAATTGCTTGCCAGTAGGGTCTCTCAAGGTAAAAGGAAACTGGAGTACACAGAGAAAGAGATGACCCTAACCCTTGTCACATACCAGCACAGAACCTGTAACTAGAATAGGTAAGGGGCGACACTACTTCTTGGTTAGTACACACATGAAACCCGAGACTGGCATAGGAAACAGGTCTTATAATGTAAAGCATGCACAATAGACCAGACACCCCACCTACCCACCTGAAATTGGTATAAGATGCTCTAATTGAATTTACCTGGTGGTGCTAATGAAACAACATTTGATATAATTGGTATAGCTGGTTGACCTGCTTGTTGTTGTTGTTGCTGTTGTGGTTTTGGTTGTGAGCCTGAAATAATAAAATTAGAAATGAAGACGGGCATACGCCATACAGTGTGCTATGATGGAAATTTTGCTCGGAAAGTGGCGTTATGGCAAACTCTTATTTCAAATTCCAACTACCAATGGTTCTTGGCATGCATCAGGATTCAAACCTAGGATATTCTATCCAACTACTGTGGCCAAACAAATTAAAAAAACTAAGAATAGTATAAATTAGAACTGCAATGAGTGATGATGGGTGTCACCCATTGGTCTAACCAAGTAACCAACTAGGATTAATGTAAATTGATATTACCTCTTGTATTAACTTTCACGGCACCTTTATTAGACGTATTTGGTGTGATTGATGACGTCACTCCCGATGTAAACTGTCGCTGGAAGGACATAACACAATTATACGAGCAGAAGTTTCGTACAGACGCATCGCTCATGGTCAGATGATACTGGGCAGGCGTGTATTTTCTACAATGGTCACATGATACACACAAGTTTGACTTCGCTTGAAGATTGACACGGTATAGGGATAAACAGTTCAGTGTACAGAATAATTGGTACTTGTTGTTCGAGTCTACTCGTTCAATCATGTCAAAGTTTCTTTTCTTAGATCCGCACCAAGCACATGGAACAACTTTTTGGTTTGCATTTCGGAACGTCTCCACACAGCGGTCACTACAAAATTTCTTCTGGTTTCCCTCATATTGAATGAAGAATGATTTGGTTTCCTCACTCGAGCAAACTTTTCCGCAATTTTCACATTTGTTCAAAGCTAACTTGTTAGCATATTGGAAAGCTTGCAAACATGGCGCACTACATAATTTGTTCAAAACATTGTTCAATTTAACGGTATGTAATGGAATACAGCTCTTAGTACATACAGCGCAGGCTGATGGTGTCTTAACGGAACCGGGTGTTACAGCCATTATCTCAACCTCTGGTGCGTTCTGTTCCTTTTCGTATTTCGACATGCAATCTTGAGAACAGAATTCATGGAAAGTTTTTGTGGCACCGACAGGTGCAGAAAAAGAATCAGGACAGTTGGATAAATCCTTGTTGCAATAGGTACAGAGACGAATCAATTTCCGGAATTCTGTTAAACATTTCTGGGAACAAAGAGTTCTAATGTCCGAGGATGAAATCTTAAAAACGTACAAGCCACGGTTATTGACAGGAATAACTTCGGTGCAGAGACTACAGGAAGTGTTCAAATTGTTCTGGAATTTTTGCAGACATCCTTCATCACAGAAATCTAAGCCGTGCCAATTACAGAATTGTTTATTGGTATTGATGTTCATGAGTTGACAAACGTGACATGTCTTCACAACCTGTTTACTCTTTACTCCTCCATTACTCACAGACTTATCTACCCCCTTTTCTGCTTTGGTGGACTTTAAATATGCGGTGGGATTGCTTCGGAATCTTTTAAAACAATTATCATCGCATAAATGTTTGATGTCTCCATTTCGTACAATGTTGTATTTACACTTACACACCTAGATAAAGACAAAAGATTTTAATGTTAAAAGGGTTATGAATATAGTTGGTCCGATTATCGGTTTCACCATCGGTAATTTGTCGATAAGTGGCCTATCTGTAGAAATCGGTATCGGCCGATACACGGCCATTTTGCCAATGCTTGCCTAGCCGCTATCTGTCCAAAAAGACTAAATACCTTTAGAATATTTTTCAAATTGTGTAAATCATTCTCTCTTGCCTTGCACTCAGCCCTTTTATTTTAGTTGCCGTGTGTGACTATTAAGTGATGCTTAGAAAAGACAGAGGCAGTAATTTAAGATCAATAGATTTTCTCAGTTATCTGTTCTATTGCAAATTGACCATGACTTCTGTTTTCATAATAAAATTCCTTTCAAATCGTGTATACACAAACCAGGGCTCCCATTTTGAAACAAACTGACCACAATAAAATGCATTCCGATTGATTATCTAACATAATCACAACTTGGATTCAATCGAAATTAAAAGCAGCCTTGAAAAATTTTCAGTTCAACATATCTTTGTAAAAGCTGAACCGATTTGAACTATTTTTGAATGGATATGCCTATTAGAAATCCAACTTTATCAATAGAGTATATATATAGTTTGTATGGGATTAAAAAATCTTTAAAATGACATTCAGAGATAATAAGAGCAGATCTCAGTCCCAAATTGCATAATTCTTAATCTATGTGCTGGGAAGAGTAAATAATATCAAAACATGATAGATGCAATTTATTTTCATTGTAATATCACAGAATTTTAGTTGAAAATAAACAATACCTTGTTACAAACAATGCAAACTTGGGGAGTTTTCTGTTTCTGTGATTTTGTAGTTGATTCAGGTTTCGCTGAAATTTAAAATAATCTGATTATTATTGACAATATCAGAACTTTATGTACTGTTAAATCCCATATACATTATACAACACACACTATTATGCCCTGAGCAGTCCCCGCTGAACAAGGGACGTGTATTATTCAACGGAATAACAGGCTTATGAAGACAGGCCTACATCATGCAGTGTGCAATGACAGAAATTGTGCCTAGAAAGTAGTGTTTCTCCATAATCTTCATCAAATTCCAACTGATAAGGATTATTTTTATGTGCATGCCAACAGATACACAGGTTACCACCTATTCCGAAGGATTAGACGTTTTTCCTTGTCAGGTCTGCTGTCCTGCATCACTGACAAGTGGAAACCATATTGGAAATCTAATTAGAAGGAAAAGCCTATACCTGATGGTTGTTTTTCAACTGGTTTATCATCAACAGGCATGGTGATACCACTACTAACTGATGATATCTGTAAACCTGTCTCATTATTATTAACTATAGCATTATCTATACTCTTCCTCTTATCACCCTCCTCCTCCTCCTCATCATCTATCAGGTTTACTACTTCTGCTTGAACTTTAACATCTTCTATTATTGTTACATCTGGATCTAAAATAAAAGTTTATCATTTTTTTACATTTATAACCCAATGAAATTATTATGTGACAAATGTCTGACGTCTCCCACCTTAATCCCAAAATCAATAGACAACAATTAACTACTTGCACATTTATCCTTTTGTAAAGCCATTAAGCAATCAAACTGTTTATCACTCTGTAGAAAATGCTCATCATCGAAACTTAGTCATCTTTAGGTATTGATGTAGTGAAACTATCACCACTATCACTCAATTAGAACCAAAATTATCAATGTTCCAAAGCATCAACAAATCAAATTATGTATCTCTGCTTAGCGGAAAAATGTTGTCATCAAACTCAATCAAGACATTCACATTGCCCTATGAACATCTATATCAAATTTGAACATTATTCCAGCAAAGTTAACGTGTTCTAAAAGGTTTGATAAAGACTTGAAAACAGATGGACAAAACCATTTTAATAGTCCCCTGCTCTATGAAAGGCCTGGGAGAATAATATTTGTGAAAGGAATGAAAAGTCAAAATTCAAATTCTGCCAAGACAGCTTAAAGAGTCTTAAAATAGCCCGAGTACGTGTAATTTCATCAACATTTAAACAATCAATCAATTTTTCTATGCAATAAATGAACATAAATGTAAAAAGGACTTTTAAATTTTTTTTTTAATGAATACTAAAATATTACCCTCGTCTTCTTCTGTCTTCTCACTTTTAATAGAATCCTCAATTTTCTTTTCTTTTTTGGTTTTATCTTCGTTTTGGTTTTCCATTTTGTTCTCTGATTCCTTTTCTGTTTCATCTTTTCCACTGTTTGTCTTGTCCTCTGATTTCTTTTCTTTTGTGTCATCAGTATCTTTAGCACTCTTGGCTTTTTCTTCAGAATCCACATTCTCGTCATCTTTGGATTTGTCAGAATCCACCATCGCATCACCTTTGGTTTTGTCAGAATTCACTTTCTCGTCATCTGCGGATTTGTCAGAATCAACTTTCTCGTCACCTTTGGTTTTGCCAGAATCAATAGAATCACCATCTTTGGTTTTATCCACTTGTGATTTTTCAGCATCTTTCTTAGATTCATCTACATCCATTTTTTCATCTTCATCTTTCTTCTCTTTAACTTCTTCTGTGTCGTTTTTAGTGGACTCCTTGTCATTGCCTGTATATTTTTCATTTTTTGTAGAATCTTGGGACACATCCTCAGAACCAATTGGACTTTTACCACTTTCTGTTTCTTTCTTTTCGGATTCAGGACTAACCTTGTTGTCTGTTGATGTTGTTTTTCCAATTTCATCATCCAGTATTTCCTTCTTATCAGAAACTTTTTCTGTCAATTCATCGGGAACAGTGTCTGTTTCCATGGATAATTCTTCCTTTTCTTCAAGTTTGTCAACACTATCAGTTTCCATGGCAGTTTCTTCACTGACTTTTTCTTCATTTCCAGCTGCTACTGGTGGTTTAACTGATTCTTTCTCTTTTTCACTCTCATCTTTGTCACTAATGTCAGGAGTAGCAGTGGTTGATTCCATCTTGGTTTCTCGAGCATCTTCTTTTAACAGTTCAGCTTCACCATCATCAGCTTTCTCTTTCTGAGTATCCTCTCCTTGTATCTTTTGTGGTGAATCTGCTTTCTCTGTTACGTCGGATTCAGTTTTCTGCTCAGCCGACTGGACAGATTCAGATCGCTCATCTGCTACTGGTTGTTCCGCTAGTGGTAACGGAGATACCCCACCGTTTTTTGATCGAACCTGGTCATCTTCAACTAATGGGACTTTCTGTGAATTGTCATCATTCCCAGATTGGGCTGACTGGGATTGTTCATTGTCAACAGAGGAATCAGGGGTGGGGCTTTTTTGTGGTGGTGATTTTGACTGTGCTGTTAATGCAGTCCCAGCTACTGGTGCATCCTGGGGTGACTGAGAGCGCTCATCTTCGAGAGGTGTACCTGGATCATCCAATTCAACTGTGGCAGATTTAATTAAATTATGAGTGTTTGTATTTTCTTGAGGGGAAATGGTTGTTGCATCATTAGTCTCCACTGACTCTGCATGAGTTACGTCCTTCACATCTACTCGTGTTTGTGACTGATTTTTTTGGTTTTCATTTGTTGATTTTTCTTCATTCAAAGAATCAGACGGTGAATTTTCTTTTACTGCTGTTGGTTCTACAGATTTTTCATCACCAACATCTGTTTCGGTTTTATCACTGATGGTGTCCTGTAAAATAGGAAATATTTTTGCAATTAAATAATTAATAACAATATATTCAATGAAATGTAATTCTTAAATTAGGTACATTCAGATTTTCCCTTTTTTAGATATGCCAATTTCAAAACACTTTGTCATCATGTTTGTCAGATCTTAAATTGCTAATCCTGTTAAAATATCATGAATATACAACTGTGCATAAGTTTTTCTTTGATCTTAATAGCTGCTTTCAAATATGAAGAAAATTCATAATGATTTACTAAATATTCATATTATATCATCATTCAGCATAACCAAATGAAAATAAAAGTACCGGGTAACAAAAAAATACTGTAATGTCCCTTTAAGGCTTCAAAGCAGTGCCAACATTAACAGGTCAAAGGGGAACAACTCCATTTAATGACTTGTCACTTTACTGGTTTCTTTACTTCAGCGGCAATTTTTGTTAAAGCTTACCGTTTCTGATGTGATGTCTGACATTATTGCATTTGCAATCTTCTCAATTTAAAAACAAAAAGAGTTTATATCTGGTAAAACATCTAAACTAACTAGACGAAGTCCAGAACGATGATAATAAACATAAACGCTACACACCACACTCACAGGTGCCCTTTTAAAGGCGATCGACAAACTCTTATTTTCCCGCGCGCCGACTAGTTACTTTTTCTTAACTAAAATATCGATGATTCCCTTTAAAAGTAGATAAACTGTCAAAATAATGACCCGTGTAATAATTCTCAAAAATATGAAGTCTTTTTTCTTCTGCTGACAAAGAAGCTTTCCGCAAAAACTTCCAACCTTGCCTCGATTTGAAATTGGGTACATAAGCGGAAAAGCAACCGGTCCTAATATCTGTTTACGGAAAAGATCGGAAAAACTTAAAACATCTATTTAATTTCATTTCAACTAAAACATGTTTAATATATATATTTGAATATCTCATTTATAATGAAGTTCACTGATGAAAACCATACCGTCAAAAAAAGAAAAAGATATCGTTCGAAATTAATAAAGCCACGCTGACGTCACGTGACCCTCATTAACATTTTATTTTCATCGACGCCATTAGAACTGCTTGAAAAGAACGCGTGTCTTATTTTTCCGAAACATATTTTAAGTTTTCTTTGTTTGGTAGGACATACAAATGAAAATGGTGGGTAATACACCTCAAAAACAACAGGGCCAAATGAAATCAGAGCCCAAAAGTGCGGAGAAAGGTGAAAATAAACAAGAAAAGCCCGATCACAAAGGACAGCAAGGCGGCGGAGGAGGTCCTAAACATTTTAATCGAGACAATCGTGGTGGTGACTTCAAAAATGAAAGAAATCGAAGTTTCGGTGGGAACAGACGTCAGGATAACAGAGGGGGAAATGGAGGCGGTCAAGGAGGAGGGGGAGCTGCTGCTGCTTCACAGGCACAATCATCTGATGATTCGACACCAGCCCCACCTAAAAAATTTACTGGAAGATGTCGGTTATTTGTTGGAAATCTTCCCCTTGATTTCACGGAAGATGATTTTAAAGGTTTATTTGAACCCTTTGGTGAACATTCAGAAGCCTATGTTAATGGAAACCGAGGGTTCGGTTTCATCCGCATGGTAATTATATTTTGGAATAGATGTATTGTTCAGAATGTATCAATGTTTTAATTTTATAGCCGTTATAATAACCCGATTAGGATAATAGACAGGTATCAAATAGGCAGTGGCTATTGTTATGACGAGTCGTAAAAATAGTCCTCGGGCTATTGTTATGATTCCAGAGCCCTCCATCAGCAAAGTTTAGAACAAATTCCAAAATAGCTGCCAATCTCCCCAACACCAGAACTGAAAGTGAAGGCAGCAATTAAGAGATGGGAAGCAAGTACCAATGTATATTTGTACACACGGAACTCTCAATCTATACAGTCTGCTCAAAAACGTAATCCAAATCAGGTTAGGGTTGGGTCTGAAAGCATCGTCGTAACAATAGCCACTGCCTATAAAATAATTGCAATACATCATGACTCTCAGCTTTAGTCCATAAACCAACTATTTTCACATAAAATTTGTTAGTCTAAAAGCTTCTGTAGGAAAGTGGCTGAAATTGTTTATTGACATTCTGTTTTAATCACCAGTAATATTTTCTCGTTCCTTTTCAGGACTTTAGACACAATGCTGAGGCTGCTAAAGCTGGGTTAGATGGTACTACTAAAAAAGGAAGAACGTTACGTGTACGATTTGCTACCCATGGTGCTGCTTTGAAAGTGAAGAATCTTCATCCAACCGTCTCAAATGAATTATTAGAACAGGGCTTTGCACAGTTTGGTGAACTGGAACGAGCTGTGGTTATTGTTGATGATCGAGGCAAATCTACTGGGGAAGGCATTGTTGAATTTGTTAGAAAACCTGGAGCTCAACAAGCACTCCGACGTATCAATGAAGGTGTATTTTTGCTAGGAACGTAAGTAGATTTCTGGAAGGTATGATCTTCTAACAGTTTGCCAAAATGTCTCATTTGTAGCTTTCCAGACTAGAGATAAAAGAATCTATACTTGTATTTCATTAGGGATGAACAAAATATATAGGTTAGATTTTCGAAATTAGCAGAATGGCGTAGGCAAAAGTATCTATTTTTTTTTTATGAAAATCCTCTGTCAGTCGTTTTGCATAAAATATTATGTCAAAGTTTGGATTAATGATTCCAAGGAATGATAATAGCCTACCTAGGGCTTGACTAGCTCCCTAAAAAGCTACTCTGAATCCTTTCATCTATTCTTGTCTAGTAATTATCTAATTTTACAGCTGAATATACATGTAGTGTTCTTTATTGAATTAATGATTGAACAAAACTTGACGTTAATGATATACTGGTATATTCTATTGTCTTTCAGATCTCCACGTCCAGTTATTGTTGAACCATTAGAACAGAAAGACGATGAGGATGGCATGCCAGATAAATTCATCAACAAGAATGACCAATATAAAAAGTGAATTTCTTGAATTGTTTATATATCTTAAAAATATTTGTTTACAAAATATTTGATAATTAATGGCTCTGTGAATTGACAGAAATTTGATGTGGACTATATTGATCTCTGTGGAACCCCAAATCCCGCCATTGTTTTTTGGAGGCGCGCGATCGCTCGCGATTACCTGTCACACACCTGAATGTCAACCGAGTGGCTGTTTTTCTCCCTCTTAAAATTGAAAACTGCTCTCCTTATTTGAAAATCATGGATGGATGTATTTTTTTAAAAATATAGTGGAAGATTCCCATTCCAATCATCGCCATTCTGTCATTGTGAACATACATTTGGTGTATGCATTAGTGTATAATGTGAGATAATAAAATTCTGATGAATATTTTGCTAAAAATAGATGGTGCTTGTGCATCATTGGTTAATTTAACTGAAATTTAAAGTAGAATCTTGCAAGTCGTGAGAAATTATCAGAGATGGCACATGAAAATTTCCAATGAGAATAATTCCGGAAGAAATAGATTATATTTTGATGGAATTTTCGAGCATTTATGATTATATTTTGAATAGGGGTTATGTTTTTAAACAAATTTATACAAGCTATATATATTTAGAAATGTTGACAAGTTTTTCTTTTGGAATGCTGCAAGTAGTTTTAGACAATAGCAAAAGTTTGACATGACCGATTACGGGTACTATTATTTAGAAGACGATGTTAGTTATCATTTATGTAACCAGGAAGTACCCCTTAAGCGCAGTTATTGATCTTCAGAACCATTTCTCATACATACAACTAATCACTATCATTAATATCAGATCACTCTACTTAAACTGGGAGAGCTTTTTTAGGGGAGGGATTTTTTCAATTTGTTAATTTGAGACTTTTTTCAGCTCTCCTGTAAAATACAAATGACAACTCTGCAAATCGAGTAATTATTCCAATATTAACTTCTTTTCTGCAGAGAAAGAGAAAAGGAGCCTAGATTTGCACAGCCAGGAACTTTTGACTATGAGATGGGAATGAGATGGAAACAAATGGAAAATTTAGAAAAGGAAAAATTGGAGCGAGTCAAGAAAGAAATGGAGGAAGCTCAAATAAAATTAGAAGATGACATGCAAAATGCTTTGTATGATTATCAAGCTGAACAGATCCGACAAGGTCAGTTTATAATTTGGTGCTACATCTCTTCTGTGATACTGAGTTTTCCAGTGCATGCATTAAAGAAGATCAAACATGTTGGTTCTGTCATTTGTTCTTCTGTAGCTCTATGCGACATGTAGTAGGGTTGCCAGCATAATTTTGTTGGTTTAAGGGTTCTCCAGTTTCATCCCTTTTCTAAAGACCCTGCAAGAAGACAATTATTAAAATGGATATACCATGTTAGTCCCAAATTACCACTTTTCTCTTATTAAATAAAAATTCAATTGATCTTTAGTATGTGATGATTGAAGTGCTGTGTTGAGTCCAAAATGAACTTTATGTCTTTGTTCAATTTAGATTTAATGAGACAACAAGAGGAGTTAAGAAGATTAGAGGAATTGAAACAACAAGATCAAATGAGAAGAAGACAGGAGATGGAAATGAGGTAATTATTATTGTACAGTATTATATAGTGCTCCCTCTTAGAAAAGGGGAGTTTTATATCTGATGGTCTAGGGGCCTGAGATCTCCATACCTGTGTTCAGTTTAGGTTTTGTTAATTGTTGAAAATACAATGTAAAATAAGTTACATTTAAATCTTTTAATTACATGCACACTTTCATTTTGGAACAATAACTTACTTTGGCTTTGTTTTTTTTTTACTCTCATAGAAACCGAGATGAAGAAAGAATGCGACTAGAGGAAGACCGCAGACGACAAGATATGATGATGAGACAGCAGAACATGGGACAAGGTGGACCAGGACGACGAGGCCCTCCTATGATGGAAGGTCGTGGTCATGATGTAAGTTATATTTTTTCATTTCTCTCTGTTCCTATGGTCTCAAGAATCCGATTTTGAGGCATACCCATAGTGTACCCTTAAAATTGAAAATTTTTCTAACAGTACCTTTAAGTGGAACTGTAGTGTAACAATGTGAAACAATTTCTGATAAAAGTACGACTCGGAAACAAACTGAAAATTGGCCTGAGGGAGATAACAAATGCCATTTTATTTCAATGGTTATTTTCAGGATGGCATGAATGGTGGTCGTCAAGGAGGTGCTCCACCCATGCAGCCCCCACCCATTCCCCCAGCAGGCATGGGGTTAAATCGCCCAGGAAATCAGGTAATTTAAAACTGGTTCTCTCTTAATACTAAAACAAGTATGCTTAATCTTCAAAAAAAAAAAATTGGTTAAATATGGGTACTACTTCATGAATGAATTGTTTTTTGTAACAAGCAAGCCAACTCTCCCCCTTGCATGTACATGTGTCACTGCTAAAAGCCAATTGGAGGTTCCAGAGACGTGAGTGATTAGAAGATTGCATTTGTTTTGTTCTATAACTTAAGCGTACAAGTACTAAACATTTAATAGAAAATCCATCTGAAGTGTTTTACAGTTCAGAACAGGCGAACTACTTGTTGCAGTTGCACTTAGAATTTCTGAGTGCATAAAATAAGAGCAAATGTCCCCTTTTGATAAGTGACAAAATGGTAGCTCTCTGATTGGAATAGTGTAAAATGTGTATAAACTTTTATTTTGCTAGAATCCGTCGTCTGGACGTAATATTAATGATTTGAACAGCAATGAGGTACATGTAGTTGTGTTTCTTTAAGCTTAGAACTTTATAATCAAAGTTGCTTTATATACGTTCCCTTATTAGCAAACACAGCCCATAAAACGTATTTGGCTTTGAGTTTTTTACAAATTTGCTTTAAGCTATTAACAAATTCCTTACTAATCATTGAGTAGCTCTAAAAATTCATTATTTCATAATTAATGGTTTTCACTGCTGACTTTAGGATCCTGCTAAACAGCATTTCCCTTTGTATGATTTTTGACAAGACTTTGATGGTTCCTGCTTTAGCAACATATTACATGTACCTTTGTAGTTCCAGATCCTTTATGTACATTCAGAACCTGAGCACTTCTCATTTGTGAACATATCTTGGTGATTAAGATAATAGCTGGACCTAACTACACGAGTCTGAACATCTTTGTGTAAATCAGAGTAGATTTTCTTTGATTGGCTCTGTAGGTTAAAAGAAAATTTGCCCCTCCCTGCCCCTTCTTCCAAATAGTTATGCCATATTGAAAGATTATATATCTGGGGTTGAGCCAAGGGGAGTAAGGAAATCTTGTGGGCAATGTTTATGCTGTACTTTGTAAAAGAAACAATATCTATGGTAAACATGCCACATCAATGTGTTGTGTTGGGTTGCTACTTGCAGGTTGTTGACTGTCAATCAGCAGAACAACCTGACAGGCATCCAATGGTATGTTCCATCAATATTTCAGTTTATTTTAGATCATTACCACTTTTGAAGTTGGCAGAATCGCCAATATTGTGCGAGATAACCAAACATAAACATATTTTATTCTCCAAGATTATTTGGCTAAAAGATCAGAACTTGCTAAACCATTATTTCTTTAGTTAAGTTAAATATTAGCAATACAAATTTCTCTACCATTTCAACGTTTGTTCATTATAGAATTTATTATATGTACATTAATCCCCATTGTACTTTCTAAATGCAAAGAAAAAAAATAATTGTTTTAAATCAATGTCAAATCGTGTTGTGACAATGAAATATTTTCTGAGAACTAAGAGGTGTAATGGTCTAAAATTTATTGCTATATATGTCGGATTAAACAAAGTTAACTTTTTGTTGTGTTGTTAATTTTGGTATTTCAAATTGAACTTTTTATTAGAAATAGTTAGTTCTTTGTTCAATTGAATCATGCCTTGTAATTCAACACAATCATTTGATAAACATGAGACATCACCCACCCTTTCCTAAAACTATTGTTTCAATGGCTTTAATAATTGAACTGCAAATACACAGGGACATTATATACATGTAAAACAATTATAACTTGTATTCCATAGCAATTTGTCCTGTGAATCGTCTTAAAATTGTCTAAATATCAAGACAATCGGAAGTATATCCTTAAACCAGAATTATTAAAAATTGTTAAGTTCATCAACATGCAACAGTTGGAGAAATAATTGCATTTTGGTGATATAAAGTTTAAAATTAACATATTTTAAATTCAGATGGGTGGCAATTCTGGTGGTCAAGGAAGAGGTCCAAGCATGCCAGGTGGTAGTGGAAATCAAGGGCCAATGGTAATGTATTCAATTTAGCTTTGTCATTGTATAGATTTTCATCTTCAATAAATATACATGTAAATTGATACATGCACCTCGCATAAATCAAACTGTTTAAATCATCATTCAGTTGAAATAAGTAGGATACTTGGTTCATCAATACAATCAAGTAAATCTAAAAACATCACAACATAATTGTATTGTACTAACCTACATGTATCAACCTGATTCCAGTTATCACAGCTGAGCATCCAATATGATTCTTATGTCTACAGTGACAACATCGTGAGACCTCATTTAAAAGAGTTGATTAAGAATTAGTCACTCTTTGTAGATTTGTTTTATATAAATCCACACGCACAACAAATTGCAGTTGAATAAGCTTAAAGATAATAATCCATAATAAATTATACTCTTTCTAGACATAAATTGTGAATTTGCGTATTGAAGATTTCTTTTTCAGATTGTAATATACATTTTAATGTTTTTGTCTTCATGTGTAGAATTTAAAAGCAAATATCCTGAAGAAAATAATTTAAAATGCTTGTGGTTCCCTTGTGGTCCCTTGTTACCAGTCTCATGTATCTACAGTGTTCATAACTCTTAAATGTTAAGAAGAATCATACACTGTTAAAACTATATAAAATTTAACAAGTACCATAATAAGAATTTGGTGTTTTAACTCATCAAAGTATTATATAAAAGCCATGATCAAAGCTGAATACTATATTAAGGACACATATCATATATTTCAGTCAATAAAACTGGAATGCTGTTAAAACCCTTTAATTTAGTCCCAAGAAACTATTTCAAACTCTGTAATATATCCAGTTGTCCGCTGGAGTTGGAAATGAGGTTTGTGCCTTGATACATGTAAATCTGTGTATAACCTTAATGCATGGTCAGTGACAACTTGCCACTATACTTTTGTATTTATGAAAAGGATCAATGGTCGCAGCAATCCCAAGACCTAAATCCGATGGATTGCGCCATCTGGAGCAGCTTCTCCGAAAAGGTTTATGAAGGATGCACAGAAATAAGCTCAAGAAATAGAAAATAGAAGACTTAGTACATATTAATGACAGTTTATGTAAACTGGTATGCGACTTCTCAGTTCAGAAAAACTTGATTAACATTCTTTTTAAAACTCGTACTATGTAACACTTTTTGAGCAGTGAACCTGCAATTTAGAGCAAAGTTGTTTAACATCCATATTGAACCACATGTGAAACGTTCACGATATAGGTACAACTTTTTAGATCGTGTGCTCGTTTTTATGGGCTGCCCGTTATAGTGTCTGAGAATATTGTATTACCTTGGCGATGTTTCCAATTATGTTTAAAGCACAGCTAAATAGTAGTAACATGTCTAATTTATAACTTTAACCAAGTAGTGATTTGAATTTCTCATAGTAGAATATAGTACAAAACCATTGCATATGACCGTCTTAAAGTGCTAATTAATCTTGAATAGGAATAATGGATAATATTTTGGAACGGGATAGTATTGCTTGGAATATTGGAAAATATGGAACAGTTTGCGTATCGTTAGAAAATTGGTGCTGCATTGCTTTATCTAAAATCTCTAAGCCACTAGCTGTCCGATTTAGGCAGAGCTCTCTCCCTTTCTAAGGTCTGGGTTGTATTGGGTTTGTGGTGCATTTAAATACATTCTGGCTTATTATAGGTAATATTTTAAAAGTATGACAGATGGCAGTGAAAATTGTTATATATTTTGTCAGATTAGAAATCTAATGTACATGTATGTGTAGACATACAATACATGATCATCTTTCATCCCACATTAAACAAAATAAACAAACTTGGTTTAACTCACTTGAAGCTACTTTTCCACAAAATTATTTATCGGGTGGTTATTTCCAATATAAGTGGCAATTTTGGTATATATGGAAAGTACAAACATCCAATTTTAATAGAAAAATACTGGATTCCTGGAAAAACACCTATGGAGTCACATACAGGACAAAAATGTAAAGTTTTCCCTAACCGACAACATGGCAATTAGCGATGTCTGCTTGAGTGACGTTAAAATTTGCACTCAAAGATTTCACAGCCTTAGTGAGCGCTTGATGTATATGTTGATAAACTTGATGGTGAGCTTAAACGGTTTCTGAGATAAAAATAGACATGGCCAGTGGATAATCCAAGAATCTAACAGGCTTCAATATTTATGATAAATGAACAGCTATTAAAGACAACATTGTCTTGTATGTATATGCAAAAAATTCTCCTCCGGCTTCGCACCCGTTGCTGGGTCCGCATCAGCCAATTCATGTGACACAAACATGACTTCTTTTATTAGATTTTTATAGCCAGGGGTATTCCCTCGTGATTACATTGTTTTAAGAAGGATTGGAAGCAACATTTGGATTGATTAGTTTTATTATGTTTTTAGTCCAAATATACTCTTCAAAAACAGTAGGGAATATTGAAATGCAAATACCTACAGTATGCAGGTTGTGATCTGATAGTCATGGACACTTGACATGCTTTGAGAGTACTGTATGTTCACAGATGAAAAACTTATCGCCCCAACAGAACCACTGAGCTGCACATTTAACACGCAATAGCGCCATACACGTGGGAGGGGTTCATTGTCAAATTTGACACTTCAAGAAAGGGTTGATGAAAACTGCCGCATGCTGGTTTATCTATCCATGTTTGCTTTCCTATCGGTTCTTGCATAAGATTTACTGTTTAGCCTATCTTTGCTTTAGTGTGTTACGTTTAATTTAATCCGGAGACGTGTTTGTCGACGTCAACCGACAACACTGCAAGAATTGGCTGTGGCACTGCAAGAGGAGTGGGTCAGATTGCCCCAAATCATGATTGGACGGTTGATTAGGAGCATGTCACGACGAATTGTTGAATGTCTGAGGATTGGTGGAGCAATTGCTCATTATTAGGACAAAAATCAAAAACGTCCGTTTTCACTTTTGACAGTGTATATCTTTGCGAGTGAAATGGGGCCGTCAGATAAGCCGCCCATATGAACTGTTGATGTGTAGGCAATTGGCCTGTTACTAACATACACTGGTCACTAAATAGAAACAGCAGTGCATTTCCGCAGTTTTGTATTGTTTCTGAATATCCCCTACTTTTTTTGAAGAGTATCATCAAATCACCCAGTTTGTGCGCTGGAAGGTATCTTTAACCCAACCATTTAGCAAATTTAACTGATTTTGTGCAAGCATTACTAGTAGATATATTTAACTTTATTTGAGACAGAGCTGCTAGAGTCCATTTGAGCTACAATGCAGTAAAAAAGTTGTTGGATTTCTTTGAAATTATGGGATTTACAGTAATTAACATGATTTATATTGGGTTGGTTTTCAGTTGAGGTGGAGGGAATAATGCTTGTATTATGACCTAAATCCTTCTGAAAGAGCATAAAATTAGTACGTTTCCGATCAGATGCAGTTTGTCTTTAGATTACATGTTACATGTACATTGACTCAAAATTTGTGTCATTGTTATACTTCTCTCCCTTGCCATTAATAACTGAAATGATCATCTGAATCATAGACGCAGTTCACCTTGAGATCACATTGAAAGATTACATTGATTCAAAATTTGTGTCATTGTTATACTTCTCTCCCTTTCCATCAATAACTGAAATGATCATCTGAATCATAAAAATAAAAAAAAAATACAAATATAGACGCAGTTCACCTTGAGATCACATTGAAAGAAAAAATTTATGTCATAGTTCTCCCCCTTTCCTTCAATAGCTGCTGAATGATCAGTTGAACTATTTAAAAAAAAAATGGATTAATTTATCTTTCTATTCATCTGTGTGTGAAAATGATGTATTAGATTCATTTTTTTTTTTTTTTAAATTCGTATGTTTGTGTAAGTACATGTAGTATATTTCAAGGTATATTTCTCTAAATGTAGGCTTAGGCTCACTTTCACAATATAAATTATAAATTGTATAATTCATCTTGCATAAAAAGTGAAAGTGGGTTTTTTTTTTGTATTTCACTATGGGGGTTCCATAGATCACTAATTGTTATTGTGTTCAGCTATATTTAGTTACTATTGACTTACTGAGCACATTAACTGCTAGCTGAATGTTTTGAAATAATCTTATTGGGCATATGGTAACAAAAACCCATCCTACACAAGTATTTAATTATAAAAGCCAAATGGAGAGTTTATCCTACACCATTATTATATAATAAACACAGTATGAAGTGTCAATTCTCCAAAAAGTTATGTTTTGTAATGATACCGTTATTTGAGATGGATTATACGGCATCATATGGTTAATGTGAACAAAATCGTATTATGGACTGGTACAAGGGCCACAAGCTAATATGTAACAAAATATTGATAAAAGAAAAGTTAAAACCTGGTGTATGTTAAAAAGCAATTATTATTATTAGTAACACCAGTTTATTGTGCAAATATTATAATTCTAATTAATGTTACTATATTGTTGCATACCTATGCATCACTTAATTCTGTGACCATAAACTGTACACATTTTTCATTGTATCTGTATAAACTCCAGAAGTGGTAGGGTCATGTTTTAACAGTCTCAAGAATGGGGAAATAAACACAGGGGTTTGATGGTATTGGAAAGTTGTTTTATTACAATTTAAACATGGGGACAAATTTGACTTGGAGAAGAATGTATAACGTAACTCAATGATTTATCCGTGTGTAGCTGCTGGTTTACTTTTTGTCAGTTAAATCACCCGATTCTACAGGCTGTAAAAGAGTAGTAATAATGAAAATCTAATATTGGATGAAACATTACCGTTAAAGGTCTGAAAGAAAATTTGAAAACTAAGATAGTTAAAAAGCATTTGATAAACATAGTTTGTTCTTTTAAATGTCCAATATAATATATATATATATATATATATATAAGCATTAGAAAAAGCCTTTAATAAAGTGTGCTTTTGAATTGTGCTCTAATCTGTTCACTAACAGAGCTGAGGTTGTACCCAGAGAGTTTATTCATTTTACATTCTGTAAACACAGTGTTTAGTATGGAATGGCCTGGCATAAGATAAACTTTTATGTGCATACATTGGGCACTGCCATTTTTTGGTCTAAGACATGTATTCAGTGCAAAAATAATATCCAATATATTCAGTCTTACAAATGCTTGGTGCAATGTTAAATTGGATACAATAAGCTGATAGCAATCTTTATTAGTTTTCGAGTCGAGTGCCCTACATTTTAACAGCCAGAATGGGTTAAAGATACATGAAAACAGATATTGTCATTGGTAATAACATGAAAACAGATATTGTCATTGGTAATAACTTTACTTCAGTATGAAGTTACAGTTATGCATTAAATGTTAACTGCTGTTGAAATTAATATTTCAATGCTAGCATGTTTACTCATGTCTTGGAAATCTTTTTGTATATGATTATTGACTACTGGTGACAAAAGATTTTCAGAACAAGTGGGTTGGGTTGTTCATTTATGATTGTTCTTATTCCTTTACTTTATAAACTTCTGGAGAAAATTTCTGTCATAGGGAATCAAAATGTACAGTTTATGAGTTCATTCTAATACAAAGGTACAAAAACTATTAGCCATTAGAAGTGATATCAGGTATTATGAAACTAGTAGGCCATCACTACTAACAAGTGGTTAAATTTTTGGGTTATTGACAAGCAGACTGGTAAAAGAGTAGGTTATATATTTGCACAAATAGAAATTGGTGTTATTTTATTCACTATATCAGCTAACTTGTTATAATTTCTTTTTCCCTTTTCTCTATGCTGTTCCTGACTTCAACCGGATTCCTGTGATGATCCTTTATGAAAATCAACATTTGATCAACTGTAAACGCTTGATTTTGTGTAATATCCTAAATGGTATTTCTATGAATTTCTACTATAAACGTTAAAAAATCTAGCGTCAGTCTCGATTTGATCAGACAACGCCTAATTTTGAAGGTGGTATGGGTGGGCCACCAGGCCCAAGAGGTAATATGTATGGCGGTAATATGGGTGGGGGCCCGGGTATGAGAGGAGGAGAGCGTGGAATGATGGAAAGACGCAGAGAGGGCGGCCAAAATGAAGACTTCGGGGAATTAAAGAGAATGCGGAGATTTTAAGATGTACTGAAAAACAGTGAAATGTACAATTTGACTATATCCATTTGTAAATAGAATCATCATCATTATCCTTGTTTTTGTTGATCGTGATCTGTGCTCGCTGTTCCAGCTTCATTTCATAGATGTATTGTCACGGAGGAAATATTTTGATAATTAATAGAACTTTCAACATTATGAACTTTAAAACAAAGCTGTTGTCAAACTTTCAATACTTTTCCTTCCAACATCTTATTTCAATTATAGAAAGGTGAATTTTATTAAATGAACATGAATTTCAACAAAAGGAAAATAGAAACATAATATGGTTCATCCAGAATGTTAGGGCCAGAATATTTATATCTTTGGCGTCATCGATTTTACATGTATACATATTCATCCTGAATTTTAATTATGAATTTACAAAGAGGCTTCCCTGAAACATTGAACTCAGAACATACAGGTATAAAGTGATCCTTTGTTGATAACAGAGCATGTTGATGATCTTAGATTTTTTGTTTTATTATTTTTATTTAAAACTTGTCATTTGTTTAATTCATGTAAGTACCCCCAAATTATAGAACTATAATAATGTTATTTTAATTATCATTGCTAAACCTTGGTCGTACATTTTATATATAAATAAATATTGTAGTATACATGTAGCTATCTGGGTCTGTTTTAATTAATATTTAATAATTATAGAAAATTAGAAACAAATCAGTTTTGGTTGACTAAACACTAAATACTTGAAAGAATGTAGATAAGATTTTGATTAGTAAGAGGGATGTCCTTGAAGGTGGAATATTTTGCAGTATCTTAACATTCTGACAATCAGAAATAGCCGTAAGCTTTAACGAAAATAGCAGAACATTTGTAATGCCTGTGAAGATCATTCAGGATTTTGTCAATTCAGGTTGGATATATTAGTATATAACCAATGTCATGTGTGTACATTTTGATGCACACTATTTTTGACTGCTGCATTTTATATGAGTAATATTATTTACCAATGGTCGAGTGATTTAAGTCGGACGTTATTTCTAAATCTATTAATATAGATTATGTACATGAATGTAGAACAAATGGGGTGATGTGGTGGGAGAAAAACATGGTGTAAAGAAATGCACTACAGATGCTTCACTTGGAATCCAGGCATGGGTCCATGGGTCATTCTCGTAATTCGTCAGAATTTGTAATAAAAAAATTGGGAGGGGGGGTGTAATACATCTTGGCCAAGTCTTGAGAGGGAGAAGAGCCGTAAGTTGATTAAAAACTCAGGCCTTCACCTCAAAACTGATGTTAAAAGTAAACAGTTTACATCGTCATCAATTCTCTTGTCCGTCATTACCATCCTGTATAATTAATCAGACCTACATGATAATAATTGTCCAATGAAATTCCAAGAAATCATAATCTGTGTGGTTCGATTCATAGTTTGATAATAATCATGTCATGCATGTTAGGAACGGGATATTGACATTTTCTGTTTCATTTTATTATCAAATTGATATCAAATCTTATAATCCTGTCGTGCAAGCCACCTGGATATATTAGAATTAAATTTGAAACCCCTGGATATGAAATCCGTAATACAAATCGGCCTACGAATAAATACTATGAGACGAATTGTCCCATATCTCAGCTGTGAAATAAAATGGCAGCAAATGTTCCTGCCGCCCCTAGTAAGGTGGCACACCTGCAACGTCTCCCATTTGCACGACTTGGGCATGAGGATTTTTTTTTTTCAGTTAATTTTTGGGAAGGCGCAAAATCATGCCTAGGAGTCAAACACTTGGAATCATGTCTTCACTGTTCACTCGCACAAAGGAACTGTGCAGATATTGAAAATCGAGCCATGGTGGGTAAGATGCTGGCTCGTTAGCTTGGAGATCACGTGTTCGATCCCTGCATTGGCCAAGAAAGTTCATCAGGACTGGCGTGCACGTAAAAGATCCCTTGGCAGTTAGAATTCGGTGCAAGGGTAGGCCATAGTGCCGCTGCCAGGGATAATTTCCCGCATAGCACACTGTATGGCATATGCCCATCTTCATTAGCCCAGTCGGAGCAGAACAGTAGGACGTTAACCCCATTTCATTTCGATATTGAAAATCCCGCTTTTCAAGAAAGTAATTGCTGCTGTTATCTGAATTAATCCTCATCGATTTGCTTGTTATTGAAAGCATCCATAGAATCAAGTACCGGGGTCGGTTAAGAAATAATTGCAGGTTGGCTTATAATGCCACTCATGGGCCTATAACTGATTTGATGGGTTTACGAAAGCAATGTCAATGAAACTTAAATATAGTAAGTAAATATGAAATCCATGAAAAAAAAATGTGCCACATTTGTGGGGGAGTTTGTTGAAGTGCAGGGTTAACTGGTGATTCTTCGAGCATAATATACTGCTGTTTAGCCTTAATTGTAAGAGTTTGGACACTTCAAACAGATCAAAACAAATATGTTCAGGATTCTTTCAAAAGGCTGTCAACGATCTTGAACAATCACATCATGTTGATTTATCCCCTGGATTACTGATAGTTTTCTATATAAGGTGAATTCCTGTCAGCTGTTGTATTAATGCAAAATTGTAACCGTACAGTGTAGGTTGGCTTAGATTTTCATTCTTCTGTAACCATGTCTGTTGTCAGGGTTGTGGTATTTTCACAAAATTAGCTCTGCATGTTTCTTCTCAAATCTGAAAAGAATATATTGCACAACTCTTTATTTGAGTTTGCCTTTGTCCCATCACTAAAATTTAGAGCTGAAACTGATTCATGCATTATTTTACGATTTCTAAGTGGCGTCCCTTTCTGAAAGGTGCTCTGTTAGGCATGCATTCGCCCAGAAGCTTTCAATAATCAAAGCTGAAGTTCGGAATTCACAAATATTGACATGGTAGGTATGCTGAAGGATGTATAATTTGCTTAATGAGCAACATTAAAGGAAACTTATCTTAATACACCCTTAGATCTGCTGGCCTTGTTTTAAAAGATATTTCCCCATATATCATTTTGTATTGTTCCTTACACTGCCTAGCATTTGTGATAGATTGTATTTTTCAGGAGAATGAAGATCCAATGTCCAGACAATTTGATGTGCTTAGAACAGCAAATTAAGAAAAGAAATCATACTTGTTTCATTTACATTTTGTGTTCAGATTGTTTCTAAGAACATTTAAGATCATGGTTCATTTTGCAACAGTATTTCTATCCAATTTATTACTTTCTTACCCTTGAGCTACCATGTAGTACATGTAAGTAAATGATCAATAAATTTGTATTTTATCTGCCACCAATCCATTAATCAAAAGAATAATCAATCATAATTGCCAGGGCTTTATTTGCGGAAACTGGATATTGAGCACTAAAGTTGTAAAGAAATTAATGCTATACCCAAGTGTTTTTTCTCTGAAAGTAGGTGATGGTGGATGTTTCACATCGATTTGATTTTAGTAAAAATGTGCTGATTGCGATGCAGATGAAAGCTGCCAGTCTATGGGCACCTATCCCTTTATTAATAGTCATGGATATCACAGCCTTGTAGTACCTATCCTATGTACCTGGATGTTGTATCCCACAAAATATCAATAGTACTATGTATCATTGAAATACCAGTGGATGTAATTTGTAATTACTATGCAGTTGCTGCTATATTTGGTAATTGTCAAGAGTTACAGGAAAATGTAAATGCACACTTCTCTACAGCACTTTGTGAGGGGCGTGTCATACCATACTTGATTAATGCATGTTAACTGAGCCAAACTCTTGTCATTTTTGTCCCCTGCCTTTCGAATAAAACGGGGCGACTATTAAAATGGGTCTGTCCGTCAAATTTTTTGGGACATAACTCTACTAATAGAGCTAGAATGTTCAAACTTTGTAAAGGTATTTATTAGGTGAATGCCTTGGAGTTCGCTGATGAGACTTGTTTAATTTCATAACATCAATACATTAACTAAGTTCGGTAATGAGAATTTTCTGCTTAGGGTAAGCAGACCGATAAGCAATTTGATTGGTCAAGATTTTGGAACACATATTGAGGTAGAATGTTCAAACTTGGTGTAATGTTCATTAGTTGAATGACTTGATGGAATTCCATGATTAACATTTTCTGCTCAAGCTAAGCAAAGCTAAGCAATTTCATTGATCGATGCTTTGGGATAAGATGACTTTGATTCTAACTGATGGAGAGTGATGAAACTTAGTGTATAGTTTCACTACCAGGTACTTCAAAACCTTGACTGAGTTTAATTGTGAACATTTTATGCTTTGACTAAGAATAGATAATCAGTTTGATTGCTCAATACTTTTGAAAAAGATAAAGTTGGAATTTATCAATATGCGTCACCTATTTATTTATGGGATATCAGCGGGGGACATCAGCCTCACTGTTGACTTGTTAAATGCAGAAAAGGGGTTTCTTGAGTTTGTGGGGTGAATATACATTTAAAAAAAACTGCAGTTTGAAGGATGCACAAAGTAATAAACATCTATGGGTCACTTGATGATTTTTGGGTGATAGCTCTATGAAGATTTGCTGGAGAAACAGTGGAAAGTTAGAAACCATAAATTATTAATATGGATTTAGAAAAGGTATTAATTGTAAGAGTACACATGCCTATATTCGGTTGCTTACCTCTCATAAATGTTACGGTTAAAGCTTTCTTGAATTATCCATATCAAATCACTGAATCAAAGACAGTATTTATTTATCCATTTTCAACTGCTTCCAGAGGAAGTTGGTGGGTGGCAAATGCTTGTACTATTCAAAAGGGAAGTCTTACTTTAAAGAGGCAAAATTGGGTTATTTATGCAAACAATAGACATGTTCTTTGGATGATATGAGACCTAAATGAGCATAATTAGCAGTACTAAGCACCATTATAACTTAATTTGTATATTCTGAGCTGATTTTGAGGGAAAATGAAAAGAGGGTAGGGTTATTTATTCAGTACAATGTATTTAGAACAATCCCATCTGAAGCTAGTATGTCAAAATAATGTACATACTGAGAACTGCTACATGCATAACCTGTAAACTGAACCTGTTCCAACCAGTGGGAGCGAAAAATTAACCAAGATTGAGGTATGTATTTTGTGTTTGTGTACAATTTAGTGTTGAAAACCAATTACAAAAACAAACAAAAAACCCAAACTATTGAGGTTTCTTTGGCATACATGTACTCTTAACAGCAAAGTAATGAAGACTATCGACCAGTGCAAAAAAACTTAAAATAGAAATGTTTATCATTGAGCTCAAGTGACCAGCTCATACAAATAGAAATGATTATTATCATTGAGCTCAAGTGTCCATCTGATACCTTACATTAATTTATGACAGAGTTGAGCATTGGCCTGTCTAGTAGAGGATGTCCTGAATTAAAATCATGACACATGCTAAGAACCCTCAGGATCTTTTGTGTCTGATCCTCACTTGTGAGGGTTGGCATCTGACGAGGAACGTGTACAACTACCGGTACCCAAAAAAAAAAAAAAGTGGTCCACTGGTGTACACATTTTCATGCTCGTAAAAGATCACTTAGAAGTTGGAATACTATAGAGTTTGTGGAAATGCAGCTCTCTGGGCACTGAAATGTAAATTGCCATATTGGGTCTCAAAAAGGCAAAAAATGTTATACGCCATGATTCCCGCAACCAATGCAGTCCTTAGAAAAATGTTAAAAAAAGAAAATTGCTGAATATTGATCCTGTTCAAAATCATGTCCTTCATTTTGGTGCAGCAGTGGACACTAATTTATGGGATTGGCATACAGTTGCTGATTTTAAAAATGAAATGTTTTTAAAATTAATGACATTTAATATTGTTTCTGTTCTAATATTTTGAAATATTTCTGTCATACCTTTCTTTTTCGTGTCTTCGCTCTATTAAACAAAAATAATTTATTTTATTTATTACTTCATATTATTTCTAATACAGAAATTTTAAAACCAGAGTGAAATTGAGTGGTATATGTGTTTATCTTTTTGATTGAGCAATGCTCCCACTACATTAATGCATATTATCAGATGAGTCACACTTACATGTATTTATTTGTAATGATTCGGTTTCAGACCCATGGGACATATATTGAAATATAAATCAATGTATTAATGTCAAGCTGTGTATGGCACATATAAAGTACTTACATATATGGTTGTCCTGATGGTGCCCAAGACGGATTGTGATTGAAAATATGACATTTTCATTTAAATATTACATAGCATAATTCTCAACTCTTCACGTTTTGTACCTTTGAAAATTCAGAATTTATTATGGAATTCATTATTTTCTTAAAGTAAAAAGGAAAACTATTGACATTTACAATGATCATTATCTTTAACATTGAATGCACCGACCCACATTCTAGGAACTTGTGGCTATGCTTGAAGTTGGTCTGATTGTGATAATCTGACAGAACAGTTACCTACGAATAATTATTTACTGTACAACCAATTTATAATATCCTCAACTATTATTGTACACTGGTTTCTCAAATCAGAAAACCCATGACTTGAAACAGAATTTAATTTCATTTGTTTTGCAAAGTGTGCTGCAAGATTTCAAGGTTTTTTCCTGTAGTATTTTCATGTCACCAATCTCTACCATCGGTTTTTATAAATATCCATTTTGGCTCAAGCCAGAACAATGCAGAATTAGTTTTTAAACAGTACTTAATGTGTTGATTGTGATATAGGTTTCTCACAATGCTGTTTTTGTCTTTCACACAAATGCTTCGGCCTTTCATATTTATGATTTCGAAAATTTGAAAGGCAGATATTTATACTTAGAATATTTCATGACTGACAATTCCTGTACCCCATGGATGGTTGTACTTGGCAATGTTTATGTAGATATAAAAAAAAAAAAATTTTGTAGGTATTCATTTATTTACTCATTTGTTGATTTAATGCTAAACATCTGATACTGAAAATTTGTTAAAAGTCTAAAGCAGAACTTTGTGACTTTCCTTATATTTTATAACTGAAGCTTGGTACACTGGTCAACTGCTTTAAGTTTTTGATAATTTTAATAAATGAAATGTTTACTGAATTGTTTTCTTAAGTACATGTAAAAGGTTGAAAAACAAAATTCCATTCACATCACAAATTGTTGACCATTGGTAAAGTCAGCATGTGATGCATACTGGTCAACAATCAGAGCAGAACTTACTAGACATGGCAACAGTTTTTACCTGGATTTGAGCTCCCCCAACTGAGAAGTGCTATCAGATGTAGACTTTGAACTGGGTGCACCATATACGGTAATATAATTTGACATCAAATTCCGAAACTGAAGTTTCTGATGTACCAGTAAACCATTGTATACAGGAAGATAAAATGTTATTGAAATAATTTGTGGATGTTCAAGTTTCTAAACAAGTGAAAGTGTTAATGCAAATGTACATGTAACCAAGATCTTAAAGTAAGAAATTTATTTTGATTTCACCCAAGATGGTAATTCATCCAGAATTGTAAGCTATTGTTTACAATGTATAGTGCGATTAGGCTGGCCTCCAGTCTGGATAAAAATTGGGTTTCTTTTTTACAATTTTTGTCTTTTTTTCGATGACTGGACTGAGGTCGCAGAAACCATATCTTTAAGTAAGTCAAATGCATCCCTATGTTGCATTAAAAAAACATTTAAAGATACATTATGGGAGATTCGATAACGAGTTGGCAGTTCTCACTATAATAGTTAAAAACTAGATAATGTTAAGGTAATTTGCTGAAAATTTCATTCAAATTGATCCACTATAAACCAAGAACTAAGCAATTGATATTTCCGCCCAGCCACGATCATCATTACTAAAGTCCATACAATAAACAGCATAGTCTCGATTATCCATTTAATCGTGAAGGAAAGTTATGCAGTAAATTGACTCATAATCCACTAAAGATCGCAGGCTAGCGATGCCATCTAGAGTTGATGATGGTCTGGATAGGTTAATTAATGTCTAATTAATAATTTAGATAACATTTCAGGCCTAAAAAAAGACCTGCAATAGACAGATTTAGCTCTTGCATAATGTATGTTTAAACTAAAAGATGAGAATTTCATTTTTTAGAATATTTTATAATAAATGTTATTGAATATTATATAGGATCATAAATCTTCATTAGGCATCACTTTCAGCAGCACTAGTTGAATTTTAAAAAAAACCACTAAAGATTATGACTCATAAACTTGAGCAATAGGTTGACTGATTTGTCACAGATTTTGTGTAGAATATAATCAAACATCCTCAGTTGACTTCCCAAACACTAAATCCATGTCAGAAATAAAGTGCTATCTTGTGTTCTAGAAAGATTAAAGGGGGGGGGGGTATATAGCATGTCTTACCCATGGGAAGAATATATTGAGATCCAGTACCAAGTAAAACCTTAATATTGCCATTTTTGAACTATCAATATTCATTACAATACTTTTACTATTTGCATTGTTGATTAATTACATTTAATCTATTTCAAATTGTACCTATATTTCATTCTGATTTCATTAGGATGGGACCAAAAAAAAACAAGGTGCACATTGGTGTGCCCAGGACCCTTAGCAGTTGCAAACATGACTATAGAAACAAAAATAGGTGTACGTTAATCTCAAAATGACTAGTATTGTGTTGACATAACGTTCAACTCTCAGTTCAATTTTGATTTAAGACTGTTTCTCCACACTGGCCTACAGTATAAATGTTAACGCAATAACATGCACACAAAAAAAAAGAACATGCTAACATTAAGTAAACAGCTATAAAATTCTCTATGTTTACAAAAAATATGTAGCTATGACGCGACTCATATCTGGCAGTTGTAGGCCCTACTTAGTAATAATGATTGCCATCAAAATGTATTGCAAATTGTTTGTTTTTCAAGTGGTTATACTTTGTAATGATTGTGGGACTGGGGTGGGAGGAGTGATTTTTTGCCAAAAAAAGCGACTTGAGGTGTTGGTAGCACTTTTCCATGATTACTAGTGATATCAACATATTAGGACAGTGATGGGCCAACTTTTTAGGTGATGGGCCAAACACAAAGTTTTGAAACAAAGCCAGGGCCAAACAAGGATTATGAAATATCATTTGAATAAAGTAATAGGTAAAAAACTAGGTCGAGTGATGCTGCAAGCTATAAGTGGACCAAGGTCGGTTATTGATCTTACAGAGAGAGAGTAAGGCATGTTTAGAGCTTGGGCCCAACAATAAGCAATTTCGATTTTTATTTCATTTAGAGATAAAATTGCTCATAAATTCTCCTATACAGAGAAAGGTTCTGGTGGGCTGGATTTGCCGTAGTTTGACCATCACTGTATTAGGAAGAACTTGTATATATTTTGTTGGGGCCATTTTTCTAGTTATCTGAGCTCTCGGATGAAAATTTACACTGCAATTTTTGCAATCTAGTTAAATGTCACACCGCCATGTGTTACTAAAAAGATAAAATGTTGTAAATATATATATATATGCCTAACATACCTCGTCACTATTGAATGAAATTGTTCTCAAATGAATGATTATGTCAAAAGTGATATTGGGCTCACTGCAAATGAGTTTTAATAGGATATGAAAAAAATTAGTCAGTCCGCCGTTGATAGAAATTCAATTTGGCGCTTTTACTGTAAGGATGCCTATTAATGGATTTATTTTTCAGATTGAACAAGCTGTATATAATATAACTATGTTACTTGATTTTATATTTACACCCATGTACATTCAATAATGCATCATTCACAAACAAATATTTGAATTCATTTATTAGGCCCTTCTAGGTAAGTACACACATCTCTCAAGATTATCTGTCTTATTTGTATTATTAACTTAGTTTTATGAATGTATTTTAGGTAGTATCAGTTTATGGTTGATGTATTGGTTCCAATGGTTACCAAGGTCACCCGTTTAACTTTGTTGCCATGGTTTCTGGTTCAATTTTGTATTGATACACAAGGCAGACAATGGGTCTCCAAAGTAATGGTTATAACAGTGGCAGATACATAAGAATTACCCTGAAAGATAAAGATCGATTTTCAGAAGATAATGGTAAATTTATTGAGTTTCATTTCAGCATTTAACACATTTGACTACAACCAGATATATCTAGTGTTAAGCGTGTTAGGTAAAGTAATCAAGGGAAGCAGTTGCCCCCTTTTCTACCACTAAAAAAAAAAAGAGAGAAATCACTTTAAGGGATGTAATTAGGATTATTTAAGCTACAGTACCATTTTATACATGTAGTCTGAATTTTCAATAAATGCAGGAATCGAGTTTACAATCGTCATGTCCTAACCATAAATGGTCTTGTGTTTGAATTGGTTCAAATAGCTTAACACATTATTGTATGTGCTGATAGCTCTTCTCATATCCAAGATGTGTCTAGTTATTACATGTCATACTTTCAACAAGTGCAGACTCACCGTTCAACACAAGCAAACTATCTTATGTAAATTTGTTGTTCTTTCAGGGAACCATTCCACTTCTAAAAGGGATATAATTAGAAAAATGGTTGATCATCTTTTTTTAAAAAATGAAAGGTTTGTACTGCCTTATTAAAGTGTAGTTAATTTTTTTTTTATATATATTCCAATTAGAAATCTATCTTTTATTGCCTTCAAGCTCCCATAAACATGTAGCTGTCCGTCCTGAAAACGTAACTCAAATGATTAACATTCAAAGACTTTATAATTAAGTATGATTGACCCAGATAACTTTGGAATAGACAGTGGATTCGAGTGGAAACAATCTGAATTTGCTTTATTATAAATGAAAAGATTTTAGTTTCTTTGCTGAGTTCGAGATTTGCAGAAAAGCTTTTCTCCTTTCCTAAAATACTTCATACACTACTACTTGCTAAATTTAATCATTTGTATATTTTCAGAAATTACAGAAATCTATGGTGTAGAGGAGAGGGAATGAACTGAATTTCTCGTGATGGGAATGGATTTGAAATATTGACTACGTGTATATATTTGATTAATAAATATTTTCATAAAATATGATTGTTTTTATGCGCCCACATTTTTATGTGGACGTGTATTGTCATCGCGCCTGTCCGCCCCTGATGGAACTTGAAACATACCTTCATTTCCGAAAGATTTTGGTTCCTTTTGCTATTTGCGCATTTCAGACCATAACTTTCTGGATTATTGCCCCAGATTGTACCAAAAAATCCTGTTTATTTTTAGCTTGTTCTCTATCCACCTCTTGCAAAATTTGGGCGTACCCTGCCTGGCAGCCGCTGGTTCAATTTTACAGCACCCCCGAGAACACTTCCTGCCCCCTTCGTTGTTTTGAGCTAGTTACGGCCCTGTCTAAATCACTATTCTTTGGCACCTAAAAATGGACACAAATGTAATATGAATGTATACAAACTGATTTACATTCAATCGTTTCTGTTTTTATACGCCCACATTTTCATGTGGACGTATTATGCCGTCGCCCCTGTCCGTCCGTCCACAATTGTTTGTGGACTCTCTACAGGTCACAATTCTTATCCGATTTCGACGAAACTTGAAATATAGGTTTATCCCCAAAAGATCTCGGCTGCTTTCGATATTGGCATGTATCGGATCGAAACTCATGGATTATGGCCCCTGTTTGTACGAAAAATCACGTTTTTAGCTTGTGGACCCTATAGAGGTCACAATTTTTATCCGATTTTGTTGAAACTTGAAATATAAGTTTATAACCCAAAGATCTCGGTTCGTTTCAATATTTGCCCATATCGGACCGTAACTTCCTGAATTATGGCCCCTGATTGTACGAAAAAATCGCGTTTTTAGCTTGTGGACCCTATAGAGGTCATAATTTTTATCCGATTTAAAAAAACGTATTATATCACCGTTACACCTTAAGGACGACTGAGTTTGAATTTCATGAAAATCGGCCCAAAATTGACAGACAAAATGGCCGCCGTTCATTCTCAAATAGCGTAAAAATATGGTATATCAAGGTTGTGGACCCTATAGAGGTCACAATTTTTATCCGATTTTGTTAAAACTTGAAATATAAGTTTATAACCCAAAGATCTCGGTTCGTTTCAATATTTGCCCATATCGGACCGTAACTTCCTGAATTATGGCCCCTGATTGTACGAAAAATCATGTTTTTAGCTTGTGGACCCATTAGAGGTCATAATTTTTATCCGATTTAATAAACCGTATTATTATATAACCGTTCCACCCTAAGGACAGTTGAGTTTGAATTTTGTGAAAATCGCCCCAAAATTGACAGACAAAATGGCCGCCGTTCGTTCTCAAATAGCGTAAAAATATGGTATATCAAGGTTGTGGACCCTATAGAGGTCACAATTTTTATCCAATTTTGTTGAAACTTGAAATATAAGTTTATAACACAAAGATCTCAGTTCCTTTCGATATATGCGCATATCGAATTGTAATTTCCTGAATTATGGCCCTTGATTGTAGGAAAAATCACTTTCTTGTTAGCTTGTTCTCTATCCATCTCTCGAAAATGTGGGCGTATCCTGCCTGGCAGCCGCTGGTTAATGTAATTTCTAATCAGCTATGTTCGGCGAAATACGCGAAGAGTCCGAATTGAATGACGTCTGGTTATTCCAGTCTATTCTTCTACATGGGATATGTTTAGCCTCGTCCATCGAGTTGCGCATTAAACTCCATTTCATTTCATTCCTTGTAGCCCATTCGATATGGATAGTAAAACGTGATATAGGCCGAACATGGCATGAAATGAGCATTTAAGAGAAATGCCTTCAAGTACATGTACCATCTGCAAATGTCGATTCCATCTGGGGCTTTTGTAAATAGAGTTAATTCCCTTTAGATACCATGCAGCGAAATGCTGTGAAATGAACATGCTAGGAATTTTGAATTGGCTTCCCAGAATGTTTCAGTTTGACCACTGCAGTCTTGTCATGGCGGTTTAACATCTTAATATCGCGGTGGGGGCATCTTTATGGAACACCCAAGGAAATGTTTCATTAAAAAATAACGTTGGCCTACAATCGTCATCCCAAACTTAGGCTGCCTGTCTACAGCTAACTCCGCCTGAGAACAGGCCCTAAGCTAATTACCCGACATTTTAATTCCTACATCGACGATTTTAGTCGAAAACACCGAGTATGCTTTTGAAAATTCATAACTGAAAAACGACATCTGTGGACTATTCGGCGCAGGGTTTTTTTTCTCGTAGTCATAGCCAAACTTTGTAAGTTAAACCTACCAATTTATAGGAGTAAAGTCGTCTTCGATGTGTTCTATTTCAACTTCGTTTCCTACATTTTCACAAGTTGACAAACTTTCCAGTCTCTCCATTTTTTGCAATACTTTGTTGTTTATGTAGGGCTCTTTCTCGTCGCCCACTATCTGACAAACTTGTTCTTTTCCAAGCAACAGGTTTCAATATAGGACTACTATTGACCATTTGGTTCCCTGGAATAATATCAAAAAAACAATCAAATACCGGTAGACTTAAAGGCTCAATACCACTCTTGTTGTAACTATATAATATGTCCCAATCTTTATTCTGGTCAACAAATTGTACTATTAGTATTTTACAATATTCCAATTAATTGATGATACAAATTTCATCTTAACACACCTAATTTAAAAAGTTGGAAAAATTCAACTAAATGATTTGAAAAGCCTCACGTAAAGCTTTTCAAATGTGACTTGGATTTAAAAATATTTTTGAACCCTCTGGATAAGTAAAATAGGATTTAATGGATAATTTACACAACAGGTAAGACACTAGCTACGAGAACGTAGCTAAAAACGTTGAGATATACTGATGTGTTTGTTTTTAGCTACGATTGGATGCCTTTAGTTCCAAGTGGCAAACTCAATTTCTTTATTAATGCATGTAACATCTTTAAAATAAGATAAGTTTATGCTATTATGATTAAACATGCATTATGCAAGAGCAAAATCTGCTTATTACAAGTCTTTCTTTAGGCCTGAAATGTTATCTAAGTTATCAATTAGACATTAATTAACTTATCCAGACCATAAGAAACTCTCGATGTAGGCTGGATTAAATTCCTATATGCCGCTAACGGCCAAAGATAATTAAATCAGAAAAAGTGGATAATCGAGACTATGCAGTTTATATTAATGATTTTAGTAATGATAACCGAGACTATGCAAAAATTTCACCGGCTTCTTTCTCAGCTCATAGTGGATCAATTTGACTGAAATTTTCAGCAAATTACCTTTACACTATCTAGTTTTTAACTATTATAGCGAGAACTGCCATCTCTTTATCTTATCTCCCATAATGTATCTTTAATTAAACTTACAGAGGCCAATGTAGTGGCACAACTGTCGCCTAACTCCAAATATTCGCGTTTAAATTAAGGAGCGTTGTTTTTGTCTGACATTTTCACCGCCATCGAAATCCATTCATAGTTACAGAGCTTTAGATTGCCCTATTGATTGGCTGTTATAAAAGCCTTATATTTAGCCCCGCCTTCATGATGACAGCTTAATTGTTGTTGGGTCTGGCAGAAATATTATAAATAACAATCAATCGTTGTTTTTATTAAAATTATTGTCAATTTTGTTTACAAATGCCGGGTGCGAATCGCTTCCGCATGTGCTACGTTGAAGGTAATGGCCTCATGTCTTATCTCGAAACACGGAGGGTTGGGAGATTAAGGTTTGTTATCTAGTAAGACACTAAATATCTAGTACTTAGAATAAGGCTATTTTTTTATTTTCTGGAGCTGTCAAGCCAGCAAGAGTGTTATTGTCCCTTTAACATTAGTCATTAAACTACATGCTTATACGCAACAATGAACTGGCATGATTTAATTCACACAGAAAACTAAAACGAGCGCTGAATGAAAATGATTGTCGGTAGAAAGACAGCAGACGATGGTCAGCGAAGAGCAGACGAGACTGGCACTTCCGTGTCTTATTTTGCGCGCCACCTAGCTTCCGGTTAAAATCTGCCGGTACCTCCAATGACGTACATATATAGACAGATCGCGCAAGCTGTTTGAGTCGAAGGCCAAGAAGCACTGACATCCGCCCGTGACAGAAGACATCGAAATGGCACATATATATGTAAACGTTACACTTGACGTATTATTCGTATCAAAATGGTCCGTTCATGCTGCGCAGTTGGCTGTAAAAATCGCGATACCCCTGTTGTTAGTTGCCGCGTTAGTGAGTTAGAAGTTACACTGTTGCTACATGTAGCTCTAAATACGCAGAAAAAAATTTGAGACTGGAAATTAATTGAACGAAATGTATTTTCCATAATCTCGATTAAACATACGTGTATGATTAAAGTAATATTACGGTACTGGTCACAAGACTCGAATTTAATCATTTTAGGCCAACGGTTTTGGGTCAAATTTAATAGGAGGATGTGGTGTACAAAAGGGCCATGCCATTAATCGTGTTTAGTATATGCTTATGCTTTCGCGCGTAAAAAGTGCATTTACAATTTCTAACATGATGGTTACAAAACGTTTCAGATATAAATTCAGCTACAACTCATTTTTCTAGAACCGAAATATAACTAAAAAGACGCGCATTGACTGTTTCATTATTATTAAAAACGTGAAAACGCGACACGATGCGTAAATTGTGCGTCTTACTTTAAAGAACAATAGCTATAAAATAGACATTTCCAGATTGATACATAATGCAACACAACCAACCATTAAGTGGTAATTCAAACCACCCGTCCTTTAGACAACGGTCGCGACCACATCGTTTCTCAAACACCCCCTCCATGTGTTGTAGCGGAAGCCAGAAAAAAATTTGATCTAGTTATGAACAAGATACATATTCCACAAAAACTTTTTTCCAACACCATCCATTTCCGGAAACAGATAAAAGAAGCTGGTTTGAAAGGGGTGGGAGGCCATATCTTTTTCTCAAACACCACCCCTCCCCCTTCCATGTGTTGTGGCGTCAGTCATAACAAAGTTTTGATCTAGTGATGAACAAAATACATATTCTACAAAAACATCTTTCTGATACCACCCATTTCCGGAAAGAAGCTG